AAAAATTGATTGATTATTCGAGACCAAAATTTGCCTAAAATTAGCTCTCTGACTTTTCCATTTTTTTTTTACAAAAAAAATGGGTGGTGCCGTCTAAATGCAGACTTATATGCCTTAAGGGAATCAATTTAAAATAAAAAGGCAACAAGAAAAAACAACATACCCAAATAATGAAAATATATACACATACTTATATACATTAAGTTGATTTTTTATATAACATAGTATATAAAGAGCATATCAAACACTACGATATCTACAACATTTCTTAAGAGAAGGAAGACGATTAGGAATGTTAACTGGCCTATAGGCTGAAGAAGTAAAAATACGGACAATTTTACTAAAGCCGATTACAAAAAGATAAATGTAACTCAACTGTAAACTATTTCAGCAGAATTGTTTTTTTTTTTAAATGCTGTACTCAAACTGGAACATCAATAATGAATAAAAATTTTGGTGCGCTCTTTAACTGTTCTAACAGGTGTAAGAACGATTTTATCGGATTGTAGTTATAATTGGTGACGGAAAAAAATATATTACATAAACCATTTCCATTCCTTCCTTGTCTCTCTGTATTTGTGATTATCAAATAAAGAGATTGAAATATCATTATAAGTTCTACGCCCTTGATATTTTAATAATAGAATTAGTTGAAGAGAAGGCTGATCACGTGACATTCTAAATAAAATGTAATATCTCATTTGGTACAATTTGCGTACTTTACAGGTAAAAACTATGGATTTTACAATCTTTTACTTAAAACATGGATTGTATTTGTCTATCTGTTTTCGATATCCCTCCTTCATCCGTCTTTGGTTAGATTGAACAATCGTTATAGACTAGTAATTTATTCGAACTGGCACGATGAACGTACTTGTAGTGCAGATAACTGAACTCAATTTACATTAGACGGTTGGACGAACCAGTAAATTAATATTATAAAAAATGTTATAAGCGTCGCGTAATAAATCAATTACAGCGTCGGAATAACGCATATTGATCAGTGAGTAGGAAAAGAAATAAGGGAGGAGAGAGGAAGAAGAATGATAGAGATAGAGATAGATGGAGAAAGGAAGGAGAAAAGAAAGAGAAAAAGAAAGAATAAAAAATAATGAAGTTAAAAGCGAAGCATTAAAGAGAAAAAACAAAGGTATCTAAAAGGAAGGAAAAAAATTATTTTTGGCGGTGGGAAAGGAAAAATAACTAGAATCTTCGGGGGAAAATGTCAAACGGGATATTGGACTTCAGTCCCTTAATCTTATATTGCCTCAGGAATATTGAGCAAAAGACCAAATGACTTTTTTCTTTAAAAATTTAAACAGCCTTGATTTCACTTCTTCCTTTTTCTTTTATCTAGAATATAAAAAAAAAGTTCAACGATTTGTATTTTTTACAGTAATAAGATATTTTTTCTACACGCTACAAACCTCTGGCATCAGCTTTAATAAGGATAAGTTGACTGCACTAAATATAGACGTGTACATTCATACGTGCGCTCATGTTCTCAATCTCTACTTTATACGCCTTGACATAATCGTCAACAAAACTCATTGATAATTTCTTTAAGTCTTTCTTTTTCTTCTTTCTATTTTCTCCTCATTTACTCTTATCTCCTGACTTAATACATTTCCTGTACGATTTATTTTAATTGCTTCTATAATGAGACAGGCTTAGACTCTCCTCGAATCCCATTTATTTCTTTATCAATCATTTTTCATATTGTTAAATCCTACTAATTTCGTCTGGACTTTAATTTATTAAAATTAGTAAGAAGGTTTTACAATACGTCTTGTGTAGCGTTTCATCTAATATATTGTTGCAATTTTATCCTTGTTCATTACAATATACGTAGATCATTTTATTGTATTAAAGCTAATGTATTGTTAGTAAATCATATCGTCATTATTGTAAAAAAAAGTGACACATTCTTATTTCTTTGAAGGCATTGCTACAAGCTCACGACGTCGTCGCACAAGAAATATACGGTGAAGACGCTGTTCGAGTTACTCCACCCCCAGTTACTTCCTTCCTAAACGGCCAAACTCCCGGCGCTGAACATTCCTCTTCACCAGACACTGTTCCTCCTCCAACTATTCCGGAAATGGAGAATGTTACACGTGTCCGTTTAGTTCAGTTCCAAAAGAATACGGAAGAGCCAATGGGCATTACCTTGAAAATGAACGAAGAAGAAAAATGCCTGGTTGCGCGTATTATGCATGGTGGTATGATACATAGACAGGGTACATTACATGTTGGCGACGAAATAAGAGAGATAAATGGTGTTGGCGTAGCTAAACAATCTGTCGAGGTCCTGCAGAAGATGTTGAGGGACGCAAGAGGTTCCATAACCCTCAAAATTGTGCCCAGCTATCGTAATCAGCCCGTCCAATGCGAAATATTCGTTAGGGCTTTGTTTGAGTATGATCCATCGGACGACGATCTTATACCATGTTCCCAGGCCGGAGTCGCTTTCAAAATAGGCGATATTCTACAAGTAATTTCCAAAGATGATCATAATTGGTGGCAAGCAAAGGGATGGGGTAGATCTTTTAGCGAAGCCGCCGGTTTAATCCCATCTCCAGAATTACAGGTAAGAAAAAATAATTATCCTTCAAAGTACACACATCCACTTATAAGATACACAAGTTACTTTATCCAAAATGAAAGAAACAATAACTAATACTATCGATATGCTATCTAAAATGTATAGTGCAAATATGTAATTTCTCCCTCTCTCCTTATGTAGTTTAAAATATACTATATAGACGCAAGTATAAGAAATTAATAAAAGCTATAAAAGCCAATGTAATATTTTCTAGTACAATTCTCTCTAATTAGGAAAGTAGTAGGCTTTTTTTTCTCTTTTGAAGTACCTTTTAAATTATTTTAAATGAAAGGTCGTTAATTAAGCGATTTGTAATATCCATTAATTGTGCGGATTCGTTAGCACGCTAAATATAAATATTTAACTGAAAATTTAATTCAACATATCATTCAATGATTTTCATAAAAACGATGGTTTACTTGTAAGTTTATCGATAGACTATTTAAAAAAATAGCGTCAGAAAGCAGATAAATTGGAAGAAATTTTATCAATCTATCACAAGAGAGATACCAGTTATATGTTGGGCGCCTGTATATTGTCATTGACCCAGCTGCCTTGGTGTCTAATCTAGACAACTAATCTGTTTAATTAACTACAAAAGTAATCTGCAGTCCTTGCTATATTTTTTCTTTTCTGTTTTATATATAACATGATATATTCTGCAACAATATATATATATATACTACAGTATATCATATACAGTCTTTCTGTTCTTTTTCGTTTAAATTTAACTTATGCCTTGTCTTTTTTCTTATCACGTAGGAATGGCGAACAGCGTGTACTGCAATGGACAAAGCAAAGCATGACCAGGCTCTAAATTGCTCCTGGTGGAATAAAAAGAAGAAAACGTTCAGGGATAAGTATTTGGCAAAGCATAATGCTATTTTCGACCAACTCGACCTAGTTACATATGAAGAAGTCGTTAGACTACCTGCTTTTATGCGGAAAACTTTGGTTCTTCTAGGAGCTCATGGAGTTGGTCGACGACACATTAAAAATACATTAATCACAAGTCACCCGGAAAGGTTCGCCTATCCAATACCCCATACAACTAGGCCACCAAAAAAAGATGAAATAAATGGAAAGAATTACTTCTTTGTCAGTCATGAACAAATGATGACTGATATAGCTGCAAATGAGTATTTGGAATATGGTACACACGAGGATGCAATGTATGGAACCAAAATCGAGACCATAAGACAAATCCACGAACAAGGACTAATAGCAATCTTGGATGTTGAACCACAGGTATGTTTTCGATATTTCTTTTTCCTTCTCTATATATTTTTATATTCATTCAAAAAAAAACACACAAAACAAAAATTGAACACATTTTATTATATGAGAAAAGAGGAGAGAAATAGTTTTCATTTACTCTTTTTCATACTATATTTCATAAATTCTTATATATACTTTCGTAGGTATATACATATATATATATATATATATATATATATATATATATGTATATAATTCAGATATGTATATATGAATATTTTATAATTTTCCTCATCTTTCTAATTTAATATTTGTGTTTATTTCATTTTTTTATTCAATATAATTATAAGTTGTCTTTCTTTAAGTTGATATATTTTCGGGAGTGAAATACGCGTGTGTATGATTAGAAAAAATCTTGAAATATATGCCTAAGGTCATAATATATGTATAAATTATATATAGCTCTATATCTAATATTATATAGAGTAATAGGCAAAGTATGTACAACTTATAGATCTATATTTAGATACATGTGAAAAAAAAAGTGAAAAAGAGAAAGAGCCTGTCGAAATATATGTCTTGTCCTTATTTCCTGTTGCTTGATGTTTTTCTCTCCTCGCGTATTTTAGTTTTCTTTATCTTATTATTATTTTTTTCACCTAAACAAAAAGAATCGAATGCAAAGAAAAGAATCTACGTAATATAAATTTATACATTATACTGTATATTTCAAACTTAATGTACATATATATATATACAAATACATGTTTCAGCACGATTCTATATACATTCGTTTCTCCTTTTATTTCCTCAATTCGGAGTCGTTTTTTTTTCACTTAATTATTGATATTCTTGACTTTCGAAACCAATTAACCTATAAAAGTAGCGTTTATAACTTAGATTTTAATTTTCCTTTCTTATATTTCTTATTTTTTACTTATTCTCTGTTTCTTTTTTTTTTACATTTAAGTTTTATTCTTAATTTATTAACATAAAAAAATTTGTTAGGGCGTAAATAAAAGAAAAAAAGAAAAAAAAATCGTTCAATGAAGGAGAGGCGATTGATCTCTCTGAATTTTTTTTTCCTTCTAATGATTTTCGCATTTTCTCTATAGGGGAAATTACGATTTTCATATGAAAAAAAAAAATACTTAACCAAAATCATACTTTCAGTTATTATTTTTTTCTAGTTTGTTGTTTTGTTACTCTACGATAGAGAGATAAAAATTTCTATTTTTATAACAAAAGTAGGCAGTAGAGAGAATAGAAGCTAATTTTTCTGATGTTACCATAACGAAAATGAAGCAGGCGGAAACGTTTTGAGAATTTTAAATTTTTTCTCTGCTTAAACTATAAGATATAAAAGAAAAAGTAAAAAGATTCTTTAGATTATCTCCTTTTCTTTTTAATTTGGTTCGAAAATCAGGGATTAAATAATTCTATTCTTCAATATTATTTCAATAATTAAAGACACATTAATTTTTACGTAAGATAAAAAAAAAGACATGAAAAAGTTATTGCGTGTTTCTGTTATTTGTAATTTATTCATATCCTTCTTTTTCTTTATAAAAAGTACGGCATGAACATTAAAAAATCAACAAAAAAGGAAAATTATAATTAGAAAATAATATGAATCTAAGTTTACTTTATACAGTATATATATGTTTTATATATAGAAGAAAGAATTATTACGTAACTATCTTTATATACAGTATATATATATTTAAACAAAAGAAAACTCTCGAACGTATTATTTTTCTTTTCTTTATTTTCTAAAATTATTATTTTTCTTATTATAAAAAACATAAAAAGAAACTAAAGATATATAGAACTAAAACCTACTACTATACATTTCCCTTTTTACTCTCTCTACCATCTTTATCTTTTACCATTTAATTGAATTAATACTTTTTTTTTATCTAACTTTTTGTTTTTTGTTATTTTCTAAAACAAAAACAAAAAAGAAATCTCTTCAATCGAAAAAAAATAATTAATTAGATAAAATTATTTTATTATTTTTTTTTTTAAAAAAAAATCAACTTCCAAAAAAAAAAAAATATTTATTCAGAAAGAAAGAAAAAAACTTGTTTAAAAAAATTCCCTCCTTTAGAGCTTAAACAAAAAAAAACTTATGTTTCATCAAATGTTTGCAGCTTCTCGGCTCCGAACAGGATGTGAGTAACAAAACTATCGAGTTATTAGAGCAAACCATTACACCAATATATATTTTATATACATATATATTATATATTTTTATTCTTTTTTCGTTTCTTACTTATTTATTATTTAATTAGAAAATTTATTAAAAGTATATTTTAATAATTAATCTTGTTTAATCGTTTTCATTTGATATTTTCTTATTTTGTCATTTATTTTCGTATTTATATAGTTATATTCACGCAGCGGCATGAACGTCTGATGAAACATAAGTTGTTCGACATTTTTATTTCATGTATGTATTTATTTATATATATATATATTAACTAATATATATAGATATTTGGATACATACATGTATATGTGAATATGTTACTCTTTTTAGAGCGTTTCTTTTATTTAATAAGTTTTATTTAAAAAAAAGAAACATTAAACAAATTTGTTCAATCAATCATTTTCCTTCTTTCTATTTATCTTTTGGATTAAAAATATTATAATATTTTCTTAGTTTCATTTCATATTTCTAACTATTTCTTTTTACTTTAACTTTTATACCTTTCATCTTTTCTCTTTTACTTTTATTGGTTTTCTGTTATTATTACTTTTTAGTAATTAATTATCTATTTATTAAATTACTCTGTTTTGAACTAATATCTAGAGTAAAGAATAAATATAAGAATATACATTTTTTATTAAAACTTATATTTATATATATAAATATATATGTATATTATTATATATATATATATATATTTAAATATATTTACTGATATTACATATACTTTATGTATATGTGTAATATATTTATTATTTACCTCTTTAAAAATGAACAAAAAATTCGGCGCTAAATATGTCGTTCATGCCGTACGTGTTGAGGCTGCGTTTTTTTTATTTGTAACTTTTTTTTCAAAAAAAAAAATGACATTAAAAGATCCTATTTAAGATATGATTTTAAGTTTTCATTTCTAGGCAAAACTATTATTTTTTTTAGGTTAACTCTTTTTTTTGTCCTTTTATTTTATTTGTTTATTTTTTCGTTTATAATTTCTTAGAATGCTATCACTTTCAAATTTAGTTTATTATTCATTTATTAAGTACTTGTATATTATATACTCATTTTGATAATAATCTTTATATAGTTAAATTTATTTAATTAATGAATTAGTTAAGTATAATTTATGCAAGTACTCTAGATTAAAGATCCTTTTTTTTTTCTTGGAAAGTCAAAAGGAATCTATCTTAGTTAATATCACTTTTTCCCTTCATAACTCGCAATAGAAATCAGTTGTATATTCATACTTATTATATTCCGGGAGGTAAAGAACTTTATACTTGTTTAGCTTAATAACGATTAGGGAAGAAATAGATTATTTAGTTTTTGGAGATGAAGGGAGAAAGTATATGTATATATATATATAATTTAGCATGGAAATTAAAGTCTTAAGATTAGGTTTCTAATTAAGTAAAAAGAAAAAAAAAGTTAAATTTAAAAGACGCAGCCAAAAGTGTGATCCTTTAACTTTTTTCGTTTTTTCTCGACCGGGAAAAATCTACTGTGCAGGCTCTGAAAGTTCTGCGTACCGCCGAGTTCGCGCCGCTAGTCGTGTTCATAGCGGCACCAACTGTCGCATCGTTCAATGAGGTATGTTAACATTTTCTTACTCTTTCCTCTTCTTTTTTCCCCGAACAGGCGCTCAAAGTGTTGCGCACGGCACCATTCGCTGGATTTATCGTCTTCGTCGCCGCTCCTGATTTGCAGACCCTTGCCAAACTTCGCACAAACAACGTCTCCGTGAGTGCCATCATCGCGCAACACACGGATCCTTTTTTTTTCTTTTTTTCTTGTCTTTCTTTCAATCTACCTACTACTACCTATTCCTGCCTCCTAGATAACTCTTTGATTAATCATTCCTTCTTCATTTCTTTCACATCTTTCCCCGTCAACATCACCCACCTCCTCTACAATCTTTCAATTCTTTCCCTTCTCCATTTTCTTCAAACCCCTGCTTAACCTTTTTTAAGAAATTACCATTCTCTCACTTTGGACTTAAAAAGGAGGAATATGCAAATGAAAAATTTGAAGATACCAGTTCATCAACTATTTTCATTTTATCCCTCTAAACTATTCCCCACCCCATCGATTTTTACTAAAAGGCCAAGAATGGTTAAGATACTGAGGATCGCCTCTTTTGAAAAACTAATGATAGATGTTTATTTAAGAAAAAGAGAGTGATAGACAGAAAAAAAGGGTGTGAGAAAGAAATAGAAAAACAGATAGAAAGATAGATAAATAGAAGAGAAAAGAAAAGTAGATAGAAAGAAAGTGAAGGCTAGAGAGTGAGAAAGAGAGATATTTAGACCGAGAAAAATATAAAGAATATATTGCAGGTTTCTTTTCTTAGCTTTTTATCGTGAAGATAAATTAGACCCAAGGCTTAGCACCAAGATTTTACCGCTTATCTAAATCATTTAAATCATCAAGGGAGGATTTCTTTTTTGTGAATCATGGAACAATCTTTACGACAGTCGAGAGGGAAGGCGAAGAAAAGATTCAAATTAATTAATTTTAAAAATATATCAGGATTTGATATGAGACGAGAACACTTAGAGGAGATTTAGAGTTGATCTATCCTGATTCTCAGGCAATTGAGATAATTAGCTGTCATTTAAGTTTAGTCAATTTCATAATTATATAAACTGAAGAGAGAAAGAGGGGGCAATGCATATACAGTGACAGAAAAAATCAAGGCAGTAAATAAGAAACGAGAAAGAGATAAAGAATGGGATATGCAGTACAAAGAGAGAGAGAGAGAGGGTGGGGGGAGGGGGGGGGGTAGAGTGTGTCTGATTGTGAACTATGGGCACAGAATATTGACATAAATAAATTGAAAGAATAGAAAAAGAAAATTTATAACATAATTCAATTTAATATGAGATCCTCATATCCAATCATATCTATTCCTTTTCTTATTACGCTTTATTGTGATTATTATTATAACTTAATAATAATTGTTTGTATCCGAAAAAAAGATTTAGTTTTTCCCCTTTTTTTTTCTTTATAGGATGGAAGTTTAGAGCGATTAGCTCGAGAATCCGAACTATTAGAAAAGGCTTATGGACATTACTTCGATTTGAAAATCGTTAACAACGATATTGAAGAAACTATACATACACTGCAAAGAGCTATCGATGAAGTTTGCAGCACACCACAATGGGTACCAGTTTCCTGGGTCTATTGAATATTTTTAAGGATCATATTGGGAAGAGATTTTTTTAAGTACAAAAATTTGGAAGAAAATAAAAAATTAAAGGGAACTTTTTCTCTTTCAAAAGAGGAAAAAAATGAGTTAAAGGAGACAAAGAACTGTTTTTGTTTTCATTTTATAAAAGTCATAGTTTGTAGTTACAAAAGAAAGAAGAGAAAAGAAAAACGAAGTAAACCGTGAAAAAAAAAGGACTAATTATTTTTCTTTTAGCGGTTTCAAATTTTTATGTTTCCTTTTTCATATTCTTTTTTTTTTGTGCATATTTTCGACCATTTAAAGGAGAAAATATATGATAATTTGTGATTCTTTTGACAGAAAAAAAAGACAAAAGACAAACTATCCCTTTAAAAAAAAATTTGACAAAAAAAACAAAAAAAAACTAAAAAATGATAAACATACAAAAGATAAACGATCGATTAGAAAAAAAACAAACAACGGTAGAAAGAAACGTAGTAAAGAATTTGTTATACACGTTTTAAAGAAACATTTGTGATTGTTATAGAAAAATAAATCTTTTTGAAAGAATACCTACAAAAGAAAAGTATTATGAATTATTTATCTAATTAGTTAATTAATTGTATTATATTATTACTCTATTTATTAATTAATGACTAACCAAACAAACATATTAAGTATACACCTTATAGTTTTTGTCATTCAAGCTGCCACATCGACATTTAATGCATATATAGATAATCTCTAGTAAGTAAATTTTGAAAAATAATAATGATAAATTCTGATATATTTACATACAGTGATTAATGAATATTCAAATTAGGTTGATAAAGATAGAGATGACATTTTTGTTTATAAGAAAAAAATAATTAAAAGATAAAAAGAATGGATGGATGATAAAAAGTATTCCCTAACATTATAAACCTCACCCTTTCGAACCTTTTTCTTTATCTCTTATAGCTTTTGCACTCATTCTCATTCTCTCTCGCTCGCTCGCTCGCTTACTCTCTTTTTCTTTCTCTGCATTCTAGTCTTTGTCCTCTTCTAGATCGGCTGGCGAGATTGCTCGAGCAACCTTCAATCTTTTATCGTTTAGCCACTGATTCTGTTTATTTTAGATAAGAAATTTATATAATTTTATCTCTAAAAGAGACGAGAGAATATACGTATGCACGTATAAAATAACTAACAATTCGACCGTCCTTGCCAAAAACGTCTAGAAAGTTCCCAATTAAACTGTGACTCATATCCTCCCATTTGCTTATTAATTCTGTCTTCTTATCGTCTATGGTTTTTATTATCTTCTCAGATTTTCCTTTAACTTGACTCATCTTTTCTTGAAATTGAATACGCTTCTCCTATATAATGTTTTTTAATTCGGGCATTAAGGCATAATTATCTACTTTTTCTTTTAATTAACGAAAATATTAATTACTCTGACGTAGCTGACGTTCAGCTCCTTTGCTGTATAGCCCCTAGCCAAGTTCCTCCTTACGTACATATCGTAGTCCTTAATAATTCTAGCAATAACGTCCGTCGTCGATATTCCTTCAGTTCTGTTAGTTGCAACGAACATACCCTTCTCTTTAAGGGATTTGTAGATATCTTCGGCTCCACTTGCAGCATAAGGTATATCGTCATGAGCGACAAAATCGATCTGAAGGACATTGGCAAGGTTACAATTAAAATCGGTCTGTTTTTGTTTGATTCATAAGCGCCAGCCTTCTCTTGCTAGCTTTAACGAATAATACTAGAGAAGGGAGTGACATTTTCCTTGCATCTTAAATGTCTTCTTCATGTGACGTCCTACCTTATTATTCCTTAAATATTCGTCAGTTAACTGCCAAGGAGCATCCGTAACAATTTCATCAACGTACCGACAGTGACGTACGGCTTCATAACGTTCTTCTTCGTTCATTACAGTTCTACCCTTCATCCTATGTGTCAATTCATCATTGCAGATACCAACCAACAAATAAACATTTGGAAAGCACATTTTGGCTTGCATAAGTTGTCTTGCGTGACCTGAGTGGAACATGTCATAGATACCATCGGCGTAAACTCGAATTTGTCTTGGAGCTGGAAAATGCCATCTATCGGATTCAATTCATCAAAAAAATAATATTCCGATCTAATAATTGAATATATCATTCATTCTAATATCATATTGTTAATATTACGAATACAATAAATCAACGTCCTATAAATTTCGTCAAACTAACGTGTCCCTTCACCTTCCTCCCCTTCCTCTCCTCTCCCTTAGCAACTAAATTAACACACTATATAAATATTCCTAACCTAACGAACAAGTAGGCCTAGGAAGGAGTATATATCATGGTTTTACATTGCCAAAGAGATGTAATGCTCCTCCCTTTAGAAATCAATAAAACCTAAACTTTCATATCTATAATATAAATACATCAAAAAGAAAAACTTGTGTATCGTTTTAATTGGTTAAAAGTATTATTTCTAATATCCTTTTCAAGTTTAAATGAACTATGAACTTTGTCTTGTTTTTTTAAAAAAAAAAATAACTTAATACCAGTTCCACCATCAGCCATTTCCTTGGTGATTTTAATTGTATAGTCGCAGTTGGCCCGCTCTAATTTTGCCGCTTCATCGCTGCTGTAGGGGGCTGGTTTGTAATTTACCTAGAGGCAAGTAATGAATAAATTAATCATTTCCTAAAGTAAATAAAGGTTGTTATATATATATATATATATATATATATATATGTGTGTGTACTCTATTTATACGGTATATGTAAAACTATATCAAAAAGTAATGCTTTGTATCATATGTAGCTAGTCATTCCTGATTTACATTACAAATTATTACTATGAAAGGGGAAAAAAGAGAGAGAGAGAGAGAGAGAGACAGTAGAGATAGAGGGAAAAGAGAAAACTTTATAATTGTAAGGATAGAAAGTTAAGGAGAAAATGCATAAACTGCCTAGTTTTTTTCTCCTACTCATTAATCGTAAATATACGCTTAATCAATTCCTAATTGTACGATAAACGCGGAGGGAAATAGGGTAAAAATTGATCTTAAAATAAGGCTACTTTAAAGGAGAGGTATAGAAAAAAGGTAAAAAAAATTTTCTTAGTACTTTTTCCTTTATACTTTTATATGAAAGTAGAGAAATTATACTGTATATATACAAATATTTATATATTCTTTATGTATATTATATAAATATACGTAATGAATAATTCTCTTTACGTTCATTTCCGATTAAGACTAAGGTAAAAAATTCAATTATTATAAATGAACAAGAAACGTATAGAAATGAAGATGATTGACCTCTTCCTTTTATAGATTAGTTTCTACTGATTTCGTATATATACGTAAATAGATCAAACGAGTACAAAATTTCATCATAACGTTAATTAAGTTTATCGTCTTATTACTACAAATTAAATTATTTTTCATTTGCCTTTCTTTTTTTAACTAGAATTAATCATTTTTTTTACCATCCTCTTAGCCGGAGTAACATTATTGTCCTCTTTTTCTTCCCTTCTAGATCTTTTCCTACTAGACATTTTCTCTTCTAATTTATCCTTTTCGGTTATCGTGTCAATCCTTAATGGCCGTCTGAATGGACAGAAAGAAATGTATGATATTGTAGAAACTTAAAAAAATCGCACGAGGTGAACCTTTGGAACTAAAGGTTTAAAGATATAATCGCATACCGTGTGATAATTTGTTATCTATTTTTGTCAATTATATATATATATATATATATATATATATATATATATATATATATATTAGTATATATACTATTTTACTGATTTTTAACCTATATACTGTTAAAAGTTCACTAAAACAAGTGGGAAGAGTATATGCATATATATGTATCTATAATACTATATAAGTATTTAAATAGAATTATCATAATATCTCTGCTTAATATATTTAATACACGTACTTTAACACACGAATACTACTTTATCGTTTTCAAACGTCATAAAAGAATTGAAAAGATAAAAGGCCTATATTATTCTAACCTTTTAAGACTTCTTGTATTATACATAACCAAACTACGAAGCTTTTAAGAGAAATTTTAGACAAGTTTTCGTTTTTGACACGAAGCAAATCAATGAAAAATAACATCTGCGTTTGAACAGAATATGTGGTGTGTGTGCGGGGTGTTTTAAAATAAGTTTCTTTTTTTTATACTTTAACCAAGACCTACCACTACATGAGATTGACAGTTAGATAGAAAGAGTGAGAGAGAGAGAGAGAGAGAGAGTGAGAGAGAGAAAGAGAGAAGAGATTGTCGGAGGGTGTGTGAGAGAGAGTGAGAGAGAAAAAGAAAGAGTATCTAATTAAAGTTAATAAATAGAAAACAACATATTTTATTCTGGTACAGTTCTAGACCGTTGTTGTAGGTCTGATTGGTATTTTTTATATAAATATTTTATCGATTATAATTTATACTAATGTTTATTCTATTTACTTTTACTTAATAATTATATAATTTGTAATATTGCTAGAATATACTGTATATACTGTATATCATAATTTATCAATTTTTTGTGTCTCTATTCATTTTTAATATATTGTTCTTTAATAATAACATCAGATAGTTCAAGGACTGATTTACATATTAAACTAGTGGAATATTTTAATTAATTAATCATCCATCTTTTTAACCTTCTTATCTCTTTAAAAATCTTATACTATTCATAAATTAACTCTTGTTTAATTATATACAGAATACACATATAGTATACAGTATTACATATTATATAGTATATATTCCGTAGTATTCATCACTTACCTATCTATACCCTCTTATCTCTGCAACGTTTAAACTATCTATCTTTATATGTTATAATTAACGGTCATAGTTTCAAAGATCTGATGAATTTTGGCGTAATCGCTTACATACTTTAACCTTAAACGTAATGCCATTCAAAATTCAAAAGTTCATCGTTCAATTAAATTTTAAAGTGTTATCTTTAGGATTATTGAATGCTAAATAAATCTCTTTACCATCACTATTGTTACATAAGAAAAATGTAAGTATAATCTAAGCCTATTGACTTTCAAACATTACTTATAGATTAATATGACATATGTAGTTTTAATTGTATTAATGAACTGGAAATTGTATATACAACATACTTATAAACAGTTTGATACATATATTATACATACTGTATATATATATATATATACAGTACATGCTGTATTTACATATATAAATATATATAAAATTCGGATTATCTAAAGAAAAGAGAGAAGAATAGATAAGAGAAGATAAAGACGCAGAAAGAGTTATTTAGCTTTATCGTCCAAATTAAACATTTCCAGAAGAGAAGAGACGATTATGTAGGGCTACTTTCGCTCCTCTAACGCTATTAACAAACTTTCTAGTAGTTTCTTCCATAACGGAAAAATCAAGAAGATTATTAAATGAATTAAAGAATATATCTTGTACAGCTCTTAATCTTCTTTTTCTCTCATCTAATTTTTGTCTACGAAAGAAAGGATAAGATTTTTTAATTAGGCAATATACTTAAACTAATAAAAAATTCTTACCTATCTGATTCATTTACTGGCCTATGAATTGAATATTCTTCGCTCGAAATCTCATTGAGAAATGAAAAAAGAAAGACTAGTACATTTTCCTTTTTAGATATTCTTTCGCATAGTTGATGCCTAATAATTGTAAATGGAATAAATAAGAATATACTGTGTATACTTCTTCTCATTGATAAAACTTTCTTACCCGTGTAAAAACCAATCGTAAGCTAGAGTAAAGTAGGCCATTTCTGTATCAGATAAGGATTCGTTTACTGCGCCATCAGCCCACAAGGACAATCGAATTAGAGAGATAAACAAAGGCGTTCGATCCCACCCAGATATGCAGTGGACCAGAAAGTTGCCATTTTCTATTAATTTAATATAATTAGTTAGTTTGCCTCCTTAAATTACTTTCTTAATTAACACTTACCAAACTGCAGAAAATTTAATACTATTCGTAAATAATTTTTTGTTAACTCAGCTAAATCCCAATTCTGTAAATAATAGAAATGTATTAATTCAATTTTATTAAAAAGTTCCTTCCCATCCTCAAATTTATCTTAAGGATAGAGGTAGCACAAAATTATATATAGTGTATATTACTTTATATCTCATAGATGGCGTATGCGTAAAGTAACAAAATGTTAAATTAATTTTTGTTCTTACCCTTTCTGATTTCTCACCGTTCGCTTTTATCACACCTTTCATTAGATGTGAGGGATTCGACTGAGTTTCTTCTGGTAATTTCATACAAACATTGTAATCCTTAAGAAGATTAATTAAGTCAAGATTAATTGTAAAAAATACCCTTTATTCCATTTAATTACTTACATTGTCCCATTGATATTTTAAATTATCTGGGTTATATCCCCTCTCGCTCCAACAAGAGAAAAATTCGCATCCGGGGTACGGTAATTGAACAATTCTAAATCCAGAGTATTTTTCTCGACTAGCTGCCTTTTCAGATGATGCTACACTATTAAAATAATAAACTTTGAATTACAATATGTAAAAAGGAAAATGAGATCATTATGAGAAAATTAGTATCTTCTTGTATATACTTACTACATTCCATATCTTAACAATCTCTCCTCAACCATTAAATCAAAAATATAATTTATTCCATATGTTTCTAAAACCTTAACGTCACGCGATCGTAATGCATCAAGTATTGAGACCCTATCACCGTTCGATGGGGAAGTAAAATCAAGACCGTCTTCAGATTCGTCATGTGTTGATTCGCAATTATCTCTATTCAAATTTCCGGAGAAGACACCACTCCAAGAACTCATCTTTACCAATTTTTCAACTAAAATGTCAATAGGCAGATGTAGATAGAAGGATAGAAAGAAAGAATAAAAAACATATTTAATAAGCTATCTCTCATTTCTCTATATAGTATATAGTATTATTTATACTTACCAACATTTGTTAGACCTTTCTTCGTTTTCCTAGCCAAGACTTCTTTACCACTTGAAAGTGTTGCACTACGGAATATACACTAAAAAAGCCAAAACAAAGACAATATGAATATACAGTATATATGTACACCTATCCTAATATTCTCTTAATTTATTATATAGTAATACTATACTTTATTTTTATATATTATAGCTGGAACAACAAATCTTTCACGACTTCTGGCTAGTCTGGCTCTTTTTAATTGGTTTGTCAACGCATTTAAATCAATTCTAAAAGGAAAAACAGTTAATTAGAAATTTTGATGTAATTCTTTACGTGATTTTTTTAATTACTCTTCATTTTCCAATAAACAAATAGGAATGTAGATTTCTGAAGGATAATGTCCACATAAGCAGCCATCTTTATTGTCAATAACCTATTGTTTAAAATCATAGTTTCTGTGTATATATGTATATAAATATAATATTTCTAAATATATTATGATAGTTAGACAGTATATAAATCCTGTCTCTCAAAGAATATTAATACATAAATATACCTGAACACTTATATTTCGCTTTATCAGTTCCTTACACCGACTCAGATGACTGTTAACCTGTTAAATTAAATAGTATAATTGGTATACAGCTGATAGCAATAAGTAGAGTTCTATTGTTTTTTCTTTTATAAATAGATAGTTATCTTATTAACTGTTACTCACATGAGCATCATTAGAGGAAGCTTTATAATTTTGTTTCGTAATTTCGAATAGAAGACTTTCGACTGAATTATCATAGATTAAATTAAGACCTTCTAAGTTACCCTCTGCCATTTTCTCATTTAATATCTTAAGGTATTTACAATACTTGAATTTATTTAAAAACATTAACTAAAAATGATGTACATATACATTTCTTTAATTCTGTCTGCTATTTAAAGAAACTTTTCGTATTCGTAATTGTTTCTTTTAGGCCTATATTAAAGAGCCACCATATAAAAGATAAACAAATATGGCGTATACATATCAACAAAAATCGAGAACCATCATTGAAAGACATAATGTTGATATATTTTTAATTGATTATAATTAATTTAGAAAGAAAAATAACTTGTTCTATAATATTCAAGTATTAATTTAGTGAATTATCAAAGAAATTCGAAAACAAATAAGCTATACAACCAATCAGTGGCCGACAAATTTCGCCGCTGCAAAATGGCGGCCTCCATGCATGTATACAAAATTTTTGTTATCTTGGTTAGTAAACGCCTAATTTGATTTGTTTTAATTAAATTTGTTAACAAAAGGAAGTATAAATAATAATCAATCATTTCAGTAGCAAATAAGAAATCATTGCCTACGTCAAAACTTTTTAAAATTCTTATTTATTTTCAATAGATAATCTACTTTCATAATGTGGCCGATTGCAAACCGAAATATGTTAGCCTCCAATTGGATGCTTCATGGTCAGATACACCCCTTATACTGGAAGCTAGGTACAGATTGCACTATTAATACATGTAGAACTTTATTACATTTTTCATTTTATATAGCGAATATATTGCGCAAGAAAGTAATGATTTATTCTGGTCATACGTTGAAGATATTGTAACAGAAAATGGAGACTACTGGGAAAGTTTACAGCATATTGATTTATACAATACAATTGTTGAAAAAGTGGGAAAGTTATTGTCTCCTCTCAAGTTGAAGTTGTTTAAATTTTCCTTGTCTGTGAAAGCTCATTCACCAGCTGTAGAAATGCATAATCAAGTATGATAAAGATTTATCTTAAAAATTTTCGAATTATTATTACTTATACACTAGATATAAATATATAAATATATATATATATATATATATTTTTTTGTATAGATTGCGTACGAAAAGAAGCCGTCATCAACTTGCGAGAGTTTCGTAGATGTAAATAATATGATAACTTGCGACGAGTACGCCTTTAAAGCATTCCTCGAGAAAGCCGATCAACAAGATAGACATGTTTTGTTAAAATCAGATCACATATTTCCTGTTAATGAGAATGGAAAAATTGTTGTTATACTATACTCTCAACTATCTACAAATTCTTTTGCCAAATGGCATAAAGAACTTAAAAGTCTTGCTAATGCTGGAAAGATTGTGTACGTCTTAAGGCATTTTGTACATAATAAGTCTGAACAAAAGACTAGATTGTCGGGTTATGGTGTTGAACTTGCCATTAAAAGTACAGAGTATAAAGCTAAGGATGATAGTAAAGTTGAAACTGATGAAAATAAGGAATCAAGTGAAAATGAAATTGATGAAGTTGATGGATTCATATTTTCAACATTAAAAAAGCTTTATCCCAATGAAGAGGAATCATTATCGAAGTATCGTAAACATTTAATCGACTCAAATAAGGAGTTGGCGCCCTTAAAAGTATGGCAATTACAGGACTTGAGTATTCAGGCTGGCCAAAAAGTAGCTAACGCAAGCGCTGACGAAGCATTGGATTTATTAAAAGATATATCTCAAAATTTTCCATCGTTAGCGAGGTCTTTAGCATCAACAACTGTAACCAAAGAATTTTTAAAAGAGATGAAAGATAATCAGCACGTTATTGAAAGTGAATTAAGAATGGGTGCAGGAGAATCTGCTCTATTTATTAATGGACTTCAAGCCGATTTGGACATATCTGATGTATTCACCCTATTAGATACACTTAAAAGTGAAGCTAACGCTATCGAAGGATTAAATGGATTGGGATTTAAAGTATGTATATCACTTTTATTAAAGATATTCTGAATTACGTATTTAATGATAACATTCGAATAATATTCATTTCAGAAAAGTCAATTACTATCTCTTCTTAAGCTTGATTTCCAAGAATCTAATAAAATCGAATACGCTATAGATATCCGAGGGGATTGGTTTACATATATAAATAATTTGGAAAAGGATAGAAAATATAATAATTGGCCTAGATCAATTCACGATCTATTACAGCCAACATTTCCAGGAATGTTAAGGCATATTGCTAAAAATATGTTTCATATGGTAGATAATTAATTCAGTTCTTTAAATATCGTACACTCTAAAGATATGCATTTTTTTTAATTAATTAATTAAGGTGTTTATCATCAATCCTTCATCAGCCGAAGGTAAAGATTTATTAAAAATTCTTGAAGCTTTCTACGTTCATAACGCACCTGTAAGGTAAGGAATATACTTGAAGAATTAACTACAAAAGAAACCAATTCCATAAGTTATAGTTATGTTATTTCTTTATTATTAGACTGGGTCTTCTTCTTACACCGGAAGATGAATTCGGTTATGCAATGTTACGTGCATTTAATTATATTAATGCAAAGAAAAATGGAGTAAAAGCAGTGTCTTTTCTAACTGATGTAATTATTCTTATTATATCTCTTATAATGATATATAAATAATAATTCTTTTCATTAATTCGTTAAGATTTACGAAAGACTTGGAAACAATAAATTTGAGAAACAAGTTGTCACTTCAGAATTTAACTTACAATATCCAGAAGCAGACGATAAAGAACTTTTCTATAGTGAAACTGAATATAGTAAAAATGAAGATGTCTGTATAACAAATTTTCTTTCTCCCTTAATATCTTTATTATTAAATTTATTAATATATTTAATAGAAAGGAAAAGAATTTTTAAAACGTACCGGATTGAATGTTTCACCTCAAGTTTTGATTAATGGAGTGCCTTTACGTAAAGAACAACTATCTGGCGAAGCCTTCGAAGAAGCTGCCGTAACTGGAATTCTTCGAATGACGAATGAATTACAAAAGAAAGTTTACGATGTTTGTTTTCTTAATTTTATAAATATCTTTTTAAATTAGATTAAGTTTCCATTTTCATTATTTCATTCTTTGTTTATTTTTGATAGGGTAAAATTAATGATCAAAGTAATTTAATGGATTATTGGATGGAGAAGAAGAATGTTATGCCACGTTTAAATAATCGTATATTATCGAATGATGCTAAAATGCTCTCTTTCTCTGTAGACTCTAGTAAAGAGTTTTTAGACGATTCAAGTATATTTAAAGGTCTACCAGCAAACCAAATGAGTAGTGCTGTTGCCGATAATGCCGGCTATATTTCAAAATCGGCTGGACTTCGAGCTGTAAATCTCTGGGTGGTTACCGATGTTGAAACGGAAGAAGGAAGAGCATTGCTATATGACGGAATTAAACAACTGAAACATTCCAATACAGCAAGATTAACAGTTATATTTAATCCGTCGAATTTTGATAATTTAAAAATAACTAAAATTATCTATACGGCTTTAAAATCAAATGAAGATATTTCCCAAAAGAAAAATTTCATAACTAAATTCGTAAAAGAAGAGAATGTTGCCGATATTTATAGTGGAAAGAAGAGTTGGAAAGATTTCTCCGTTCATAATATGAATGTTGAAAATTTCGAACAAAATTTGAATAATTTTAATATTGAAAACATTAAATCGTTGAAAATATTTGCCGAAAGAGTTGTTGGATGTAATAATAAATTAAAAATGGCTATTCTAGCTAATGGAAAGATAATTGGTCCATTCGAAAATCGTGATGAATTTACTTTTGAAGATTATGGTCTCTTGGATAAATTTAGTTATAATAGAGGTGGAGAGATTGTAAGTAGAAAGTTAAAAGTAATCATGAATGGTCAAGATGACAGTGTGTAAGTTGTACATTAACATATAATATATGAATAATATAATTAATATATTTGAAAAAATTCATTTTAGGATTAGCGATAAAGTCTTAAGAGTGCTAAGTCTTTTATCATCATTGCCGTCAACAGAAGCGAGAAAAGATATTAAATTCGTATCTGAGAAATACTCTGTTCTCAATTTTGAGGCAAATTCAAATGGGCCAGCTTTTGAAATATTAGCAATATTAGATCCAACATCAAAGGCTGCTCAAAAATATACACCACTTATAAATGTTCTTAGTAAAGTGACGAATGTTAATTTGAAAGTTTTTCTCAATTGCCGTGAAAAACTATCAGAAATGCCTTTAAAAAGGTAAATAATATTAGAATTTATTAATTTCTTCAATGATTAATTAGGTGTCTTTTTTTAAAATCTTTTCTTTTTTTTATAGCTACTATCGTTATGTCCTAGAACCGGAATTAGCCAATACTAAACCAATGGCAAAGTTTGTTGATTTACCTCAAAAAGCCTTACTAACTCTTGGTGTTGATGCTCCGGAGAGTTGGCTCGTAGAAGCCGTTAGAAGTCCATATGATTTAGATAATCTTATCTTAGACGAAGTTTCTAAAGGAGTTCACGCCGATTTTGAATTGGAATACCTTCTAGTCGAAGGACATTGCCATGACGTTACAACTGGTCAACCTCCAAGAGGATTACAGTTTATCTTGAAGAGCGATCTTTCAAAGCCTCTGCAAGATACAATTGTTATGGCAAACTTGGGTTATTTCCAATTGAAAGCTCGTCCAGGCGCATGGAATATTCAACTTAGATCAGGACGTTCAGCTGATATTTACGAAGTAGTAAGCCACGAGTATACAGATTCGCCATCAAACAGTCCAAAAGTTGTAGCTGTGGTTGATAGTCTTAAAAGTAAAATCATCAGGATAAAGGTTATTTACTTATGGAATTATTAATACTGTACTTTAAATATATAAACGTATACTATTCTTAATTAGGTTGGCAAGAAAAAGGGTAAAGAAAAGGAAGATTTGTTAGGTGGTGACGAAGAAGAACCTGGAAGTTTATGGAGTTCCATATCAAGGTAATAAAGACATTTAGATTAGATATGACGCTTGATGCTTCTAAATTATTATTTAACATTATTAATTACATTCTTATTTGATAACGTAGGTATATATTATTATTATTATTACGTTTATTTCCAGTGATGATTCATTTGATACAAAATATACAAAGTTATTACAAACTAAAATAGATGACGTTGAGGTTGATGATAATGATGAATTTGATGAGTTTAGTGACGGTTATAACGATAGATCATTAAAAAGGTTTTAAAAAAATATATAAATAAATAACACATTAAAAATTCTAAATCCAAACATTTAAACAAACAAACAAACATATAAACACAGAAAAAATGTTTGAACAAGTTGTATTCAATGTTGTTTTTATGCATAATGTAAATTTTTTTGTTTGTTTCAACATATTTGCTATAATTGTCTTCTATTTATTCAATTTATCTTATATCGCTCTAAACAAGTTTGCACATTCTTATCTAATATTTTTTTCGTTTTTTTTTTTTATAGTAAATTTACGGGATCTAAAGGAACTTCTTCCGATTCGAACAATTCGGACGAAGAGAAGGACGATAAGTTGAATATCTTCTCGCTGGCTTCCGGTCATCTTTATGAGAGATTTTTGAGAATTATGATCGTATCTGTAATGAAACATACAAAGTCTAAGGTTAAATTTTGGTTTTTGAAGAATTATCTATCTCCATCCGTTAAGGTATTATAATATTTGAATTAGTTAATTAAATAGTAAATAATATGATTTTTTTTTAAAAAAACAAACAAAAAATTAGGAATTTATTCCCCACATGGCCGAAAAATATGGTTTTGAATTTGAACTTGTTCAATATAAATGGCCTAGATGGCTGCACCAACAAACTGAAAAGCAACGAATTATTTGGGGTTATAAAATTCTCTTCCTTGATGTCTTATTCCCTCTAAACGTTGAAAAATTTATATTTGTTGATGCTGATCAAATAGTTAGGGCTGATTTACAAGAGTTAGCAGATTTAGATTTGGAAGGTGCTCCCTATGGTTATACGCCGTTTTGTGATAGTAGGAGGGAGATGGATGGCTTTAGGTTTTGGAATAGTGGGTATTGGAAAAGTCATCTTGGTCACAGAAAATATCACATTAGCGCCTTATATGTTGTTGATTTGAAAAAATTCCGTAAAATTGCTGCCGGAGACCGCTTAAGAGGTCAATATCAAGGTCTCAGTCAAGATCCTAATAGTTTATCTAATTTGGATCAAGATCTTCCAAATAACATGATTCATCAAGTTCAAATTAAAACATTACCCCAAGAGTGGCTTTGGTGTGAGACATGGTGTAGTACTGAATCACTCGCAAACGCAAAAACAATTGATTTGGTATAGTTTCATTTTATTACCAGTTTTCTTTAATTTATCCTTAATTTTAATTTACAATTTTTTACAATAGTGTAATAATCCACAAACAAAAGAACCTAAGTTAACTGCAGCCGTAAGAATTGTCAAAGAATGGAAAGACTACGATGAAGAAGTTAAAACTTTATGGGATGATTTCCATAGTAAACGACCTTCAACATCCTTTTCAAAAACCAAAGGTGGTAAAGATGAATTATAGAAATGTTAAAGAGATATTTGAAAGGAAAGAAGAAGATGAGTTTATATGTAATTTAATACCAATTAGGTACATTCTTTTTTTTGCTATTTTACATTCAGTTTCTTATAATGTCTATTAACTGTTTTGGCTTCATCTGGCTCAAATATTTGTTAAGAACTGAATGTTTACTTGTTTAATAAACGTTCGAATTTTTAAAAATTATAGGTGGAGTTGCCATCGTATACCTTTTTCTTATATACAATATCTATTTATTTATTATACACTTTAACATTAGCAACAAGAAAGGGTTCTAACATTTTTAATATAAAAACAATACATGATGTAAATTGTCAAAGAATCGAAAAATCGTTGAATTCTTTATATTGTACTTTAATTCGCAGAATACTATATATTCCAAAAGAATTGAGTACTTTTATCGAATAGTACTTTTATCGAATAGTCCTTAGAGTGGTTCGAATTCTCAGTCGATTTATAATCCAGAAAAATGCATACGGAGTAACAATTGTAACTAAACAGTTAACATGGCGGACGACGACGCTGACATTCCTGGTAACAGATGATTTAATTGACAATAATGTTGATCTTTGTTGAATCTATTTGATAGTTTTTGTAAATTAGCTGATTCAATAGAGAAAACATATAAAATCAATTAATTTTTGTCTTCTTTTCAATAAATCACGTTTTGGCGCGCTTTCTGGACATGAGATAGCATGATTTTATTGCGGTTGTCATCTTGCAGATGCTGGAGCCGTATTTACCTTCGGAAAAACTAAATTCAACGACAACATACCTGGACAGTTTTGGATAAGAAATGACAAAGTTGTTCAAGTAGCATGTGGGGATGAACACACCGCTTTGGTAGCCGGTAAGAAGAAAAATTCCAAAGATCATTTAATATATTAGCCAGTTTGACTTTGTTTTTCAACAGAAAGTGGTCGGCTATTTACATTCGGATCCAATTCCTGCGGGCAATTAGGTTTAAAACAAGATAAAGTTGAAAAGCCGACACCCGTTAAAGGTAACTAACAAGTGTCCAATATTCCTTTTATCATTAAGAAAAGCAAGTACAAATTTCTCTGTGTTACTTAAAGATGTAGACTTAGTTTTAACAATAATAATAAGTTGTCAATAGAGAGACTACGAACTTGATTATCATTCATTTTGTATAAATAGCGAAAAGGAAATAAGATTATGAATAAATTAAATGACGGTACTTTATATCTATATATGTATATAAAAGTAGAAAGTTAATGCTTACAAATATACTAATATATACTTTTATAGATATCTATATGCTCTTTTTAGGTCAAAAATAGAAAAACTTGTACATTTTACTTCATTGTGCTTTATAAAGAGATTATTTGATTAGTATAGTCTCTATTTCTCTAAAGCGCTTGAATATACTGTATATAGGGTGTGATTATTTCGCAATACGGCCTATTTATATTATATAAATAAATTTATATGCTATGCAGGATTATATATAAAAACAAAGAGAATAATTAAATATTAATGAGTTTTCTTTTCTTCTCTTAATTAATTATAAAATTTAATTAAAAGATAGAGAGAGAGAGAGAGCTTCTTTTTCTCTTTTTGTAATTTTAAAACGATAACTAAATACATTATTGATCTCTATTATCATTCTTAATTTGATACAAAACTTATTTATTTATTACCTCTATCAATATCATTGTGTGTTTTTTTGTAAGATAAATAGAGAAGATCATTACACTAGAATGCCACCTAAAGTTAATATATACCATAATTCAATTTCTATAATAATAGATCAATAAACTATATAGAATCTTTTTGCAACAAGGGAATAACTATAACAAACGATTATCTATTGTTTTTTCTCAGTCTTCCATTCCTTTTTATAAACAGCTTTAAAACGAGAAAAAGTAACGCTAGTTGCTTGCGGATTTAATCATACAATAGTTGGTACGATGTCTGGACGGATATATGGTTTAGGTAGCAATAACGAATGTCAAATAGCTCAAGACGGTGAAACTATAACAGACTCAAAGAAGCCTGTGCACATAAAAAATCTACCTGAGACTGAATACAAGCAAATTTCTGTTGGAACGCATCACTCAGCAGTATTGACAGCTGATGGAGATTTGTTTCTATGGGGTAGCAGTAGCGAAGGTCAGAAAAGAAATTAATATGAAATATGATAGTATAGTAATTTTTTTATTACGCCATACGTTCTTTTTAACTTCTAGGTCAATTGGGTGAAGACACCGAAAATATAATCGAACCAAAATTGTTTGTTCTTCCCACTAAAGAAGCGATTAAACAAGTGTCGTGTGGGAGTTATTTTACATTGGTTCTCACGAAATCTGGAAAATTATACGCTTTTGGAGAGAACGATTCATATCAACTAGGTCTAGGAGACGATAATAATCGAACGGAGCCGACATTAGTCCAAATTAAGGAACCTCTTCAAAATATTGCTTGTGGAGGTAATCACGCCCTTGCTTTAACTTCTTCCGGTGAAGTATACTCTTGGGGAGATGGCAGGTATGGCCAATTAGGTCTTGGTACTAGAATTAAAGATAACTATTGCCCTGAACCAACGAAAATCGAAGGTAATTCTAAAGTCTTTATTATTCATCACTTAAGTACGCGAAAACAATAAACTAGAGATCAATAACATGAACATAAATTTACAGCGGGAGTGTCTGGTTCAAACGGTACACTCTAATAATTCAATCAATTTTTATTTATTCTTCATATAGTGTCACCAAATCGATTCTTTTAATAATTTCATTTCACTTTTAGGTATTGGAAAAATTGATCAAATCTATTGCGGTCACTCTCACTCTGCTCTATTAACTAAGAAAGGAGTTCTTATGACTTTTGGCGATGGTAGACACGGTAAATTGGGGCACGGAGAAGATCGTTTTGTAAACGAATTTCATCCTGTTGTTGTTGAAAGATTTCGCAATATTCGAGTTGAAGGAGCTTCTTGTGGCGGATGTCATACAATTGTTCTTGGTATATAATTTGGGGATTAACTATTCTATCACTAAGATAACTATAAGAATACTTAATTTCTCTCGAACAGGAAGTCGAAAAGAAGAAAATGAAAGTTCAGAAGAAGAGCAACAACATACAGTTAGAAATTCTTTAGATTCTTATAGAGAAAATTTAGACTTAAGTGCAAGTTTTACCGCAAGAAAGCGGAGACAAGACAACTTGAGTTCCAGTATAAATAATAAAACATTACCCACCCTAAATAATTCCATGAAGCCCAGTCCAAGGTTTGAACATAGTCAAGGACATCCTACGAGAATTGAACCTATGCGAAGAAATGGAGTAAAAGCTGCACCACTTTTAAGGAATGACATGGATTCAATTCATGGAAGGAAGGAGAGAATGATAGAGAAAAGCGATAGTGACGAAGAGAGAAGTAAGATCAAACCAGTAAGTAAATTCGTTCTGTTTCATTTCCAATTTTCTTTCATCTTTCTAATAGAAAAAGATTTAGAATAAGAAAAAACTAATAATAAAGAGGGTTTTTCTAAGTGATTTTCTTATTGTGACAAACTCACAAAAATATTATCTTCACTTTTGTATAAATGCCAAAAACTATAGAAAGAGGAGCAAATAGATGAGGAAACAGAGCAAAAAATTGACTCTGATAAAGACGAAATTGAAGATTATGATAAAAGGGATAAGGATAATAGAGAACCTAAAGCCGAAGGTGACTCAAAAGAAGATAGCTCTGATTATGGAGCAAACGTTAGAAAAACTAAGAAATTCGATAGAAAAAAGATAGCAAAAAAATCTAGAAAGGATACAAAAACAAGCAAGAAAAGTGACGAGGATGAAGAAGAGTGCGAAAAGGAAGAAAGAGAAAAGGAAAAAGATGAGAGTTCAAATGAAAATGAGGATGATATAGACAGAAATAAATTAAAAGAAAAAGTAGATGTGAGTTAAAGGATTTGCAGTTGCGTGAAGATCAAACACACTCCTTTTCTATCGAATTTTTTCCCTTTCTACATTTAGCATTTGAACATCTAATAGAGTCCTTTTATTATCACATTTTTGCAAATATACCTATAATATCCATTTATTTTCAGAATTTTAAAACATATCTTAATCTATCTTTGCTGCAAAAATATTAACACTGTGTATTTTCTCTGCTAATTTTCCAAAAAGCTTGACATAGAATGCTAATATTTTTTATTTATTTTGTAATGAAATGAATAATGAATATTCATTAATTATACACTATATAAACAAATATATATGTATATATATATATATATATATATATATCCTGTATATATTTAATACTCATTTTCAAGCTTGTTTACGTTTGTTTTTTTTCCTTTACGTTTATCTAAATCTAGCCTAAACCCCGTCCGCGCCAGCTTCACATTTCCGATTATCCCATCAGCACGGTTTGTTTTTAACAATATTTTTTTTCCAAATTGTTAATTTCTCCTCCTTTGGTTCCCACTTTTCTATTCATTGATTTTTCTTTCTCTATTCATTGATTTAAACCTTAATAAGTACAATTTTATAGTTGAAAGGTTATTTATTAATTGTCTTTTCGTTTTCTTTTTTTTACATATCTTTAATTAGTCTTATATCCATTTTTACTCTTTAGTCTTCTAAAAAGGGAAAATCAGAACGCCCAACTCCAGTAGCCAGGCGTTCTCATTCACCTGTAATTAAAAGGAGAAATAACGAAAGTGCCGACGATGATAGCGGAAGTGATGGCTCTGAAGAAAGCGAAGAAACAACGCCACCGCCTCGCGTTGGTCATAGGAATAGGGCTGAAGCGTCTGGAAACTCTCGTGGGCGAACAAGCGAAAGAGATGAACAGAGAGCTAGGCCTAAACCCGTAGCTAGGCAGCAAAAAGAAAAAAGGAAAGAAAGCGAAGACGACAGTGGTAGAGAAAGTGAAGATGAACGTGAGCAAGCTTAAATAACTAACTAATCTAAATAAAAGTATATTCTCTTTCTAAATTGCCTTTGAAGCGTCCACATCAAAATCACTCAGACCCCCACCCAAACCAAGAAGGAAATCAGCTGGGAGAAGTATACAGGAAGAAGATGACGATTCAGTCGATAAATTATCAACAAAAAGCGTTAAAAGCGATAAAAAAGACGAAAAATCAGGTAACGTATTAAATATAAATAAGAAGGAAAAAAAACGAGTTTTTTTTAAAAAAACAAACTTATTAAGTAATTAATAATTATCCTAATTATAAACATTTTAGAAGAGAAAATAAAAGGAAACGTTGAAGAGGATAAGGTTGTTGGATTCGATGTGTAATTATGAAAATTCTGCAAAATTTTATGATCACTAACGAATATCTTCTATATTTCATTTTAACAAAAAGAGAGAAGTGACTAAAACTTTGCAAAATTTTCTCTTTTATTATTATTTTTTACAATCTAATTTTTATAGACAACAAACGTATATATATTAATAATCTATTTTAATACTTTATGTATTTATTTATGGCACTTTCAATGCTAAATGAAAGTGTTTCATCTTTTTTTTCCCTCTTTTTCCTTTTGATAAAGGAAATCTCTCTTATTAGTAGATCTTAAAAAAAAAAACAAACATAATTTTCTACCCTTTTACCCCTAATCTCTTAAGCGTTGTATATTGTTGTCATATTTACTTCATTCAAAGCAACAACAAAAATATGAATAATATTCACACTTTCATAATTAAATGACTATAGTTTTTAAGTCTTTTATTTATTTATTTTTTTATAGAATTCTTTAATTTGGTCACTTAACACCTTTTTTTGTATTCAATATATTTCAATGACGTAACTTGACGACGAAATTATTACTGTGTTAATAAAAAATGAAAGAGAAAGAGTAATATTCTTGAATTTAGCATTAGAAACTTCTACGTTCTACGTTTAGCGGACTATATAAACTATACATTAAAATTGTATTGTCCTTATTTTGACGAAAAGTTTTCTTTTAAAAGGAAAAAGAGAAGACAGAAGAGAAAAAGGAACAACCGAAAAAGAAATCAAAATTATGCTCCATTCTATGATTTAAATATACAAACTTATATATTTAACAACAAACATAAGGTCGATTTCTAAGAAACATATAACATTTTGTCCAGTGATTCCTGTTTCATTAATTCTGATTGCCTTATCACAAAGACTTATTGCTAAATTGAGCAATTTGTGCCAAATCTGTGATAGTATTGATATTTTCACTCTTTCATTAACTAATTTTATCTTTATGATAATTGTTTAGAGATATTTTGTGTGTTAAAATCGACTCATTTTTTTCTGTTAAAATGAGGAATAAGTTTAAGAATAAATCAAGTTTTTAACTGTTTATTTTATAGTTACAGATAAAAAGGGAAAAACTAGTAGAGACATCTGTTAGTTTAACTTAGATTAATTAGTAACTACTCTACAAAAAATGACAAAAGAAAGGGAGACAGTAGAGTAGTTTTCGTATATAATAAGAACGTTCGAAGAATGAAGTAAAAGTTTTTTTTGGAAGCTATACGAAATAAATTAGGATTGAATAAAGAAAATATGTATTTCAAGAATGATCTTAAAAGAGTAAGATCATTAATTGTTTTCATAATCTTTTCAATGTCCTTAAATTTATTTACTGAAATTTACACACCGAATTTCTGGTTCGCAAAAGAGTATAACGATAATACCTTATTATCGTACAAAGTTATACCAGATAATTATAATATGCATAGAGATTGTGGTTCCTATAATGAAAAATTTGCGGAAGATGGATATAAATGTCGTCCTATACCAGACTATATATCAATTGTAAGATGGCAATTATTCGGTGGTATATTTTTCCTAATGATTAACTTTGTTTGCGTACTATTTATCGTGTCTGGAATACAAAAACATCCTTTATTACGGCAAACAATTTTAGCTATATGTTCATCACTTTTAAGTAAGTATTTCTAACTTTTATGTTTCTTTTTATATATTAGTGAAAAGTTAATATTAATTAAAAAAAATTGTATTGAATACAGTATTAATCTCTTTTTCGAATACGATTCTCATTGGCTGGAATTGGATAAACCTATATGGATCTCTTGTAATATGCTGTAACTTTGTACAAGTTTCAATTGTTTGTCTCTGCTACTCTCATATACAGGATTTAAAGGAATATAATTCAGAAGAAAGTTATTAAAAAGGTATTTTTTTTGTAGATTCTAATAGTATTTTTATATTTCAAATAAAACACAAATTTAAAAAGAATTCTTTAATCTTTTTCTTCGACATTGAAATCGCTACATTTTCCTATTATACAAGAGTTTTTACTTATTTCGCTATATATAAAAGGTATTCTGAGAGAAAATATTACACCGACAAATATAAATTGATTAATCTAGTATAAGATATTTATATAGCATTAATCTTCTACTATAATCTATTTTAATTGAAGAAATATGAAGGCACCATATTGTATTCAAAAGCAAAATAATTCAATATCTTCAAATTGAGAATTATCTTATCTCTTTTCTCTTCTTTTTTAAATAACTCAAGTTATATTTTTTTATGTTTCTTGCTTTTTAAAAAAAAAATTAACAATAATGTTGTTCAAGAGCAGTTGTCGTTTTTCTGTTTTTTTTTAAATGCTTCGCTAAACTGTAAAAGATAGAAGATGATGAATTGGAAATTTGAAATTTCGTGAATAAATTGAATGATAGAAAATACAATGTATCTATCTCCCTTAAAGGAAGTATTTTTTTTCTATAGAGAAGATGCTATGCTTTGTTGGTTTTGATTTTCTTCAAGTTTAAAAAAAAATAAAATAGATAATTTTCTGTTTTACTTTCAACAAACAAAAAAACGAAAAGGCGGCAAGTAAGCAATGTTAACTTACTAAACTTTAGAGATTTTTTACATATTACTACAAAGGAAATTGGAAAAAAGCATTGGATTCAATTTTTCAAATTTAGCGGTAAGACGATTATAAGCAAATCCATTTTTTATGGTGTACACGTTCTGCCTCTCCTCTCTATCAGTGAAGATTTAAACAGATGCGGAAGTAGTAAAAGATTTTGCTACTTGCAACCTAACTTTTCGTAGAACGTATGTGTTAAATGTAAGCAATGTATGTCTGCATGAATGCTGCATTGAATCTGAAATTTTTTTTTGTGTGTCAAAACTTATTCACAAAAGAACTTCACAACGCTTCAAAACTGAAATTTGTCTGTGCAACCATTCGTCGTTCCATCTGCAAGAAATTTATATTGTCCATCTCCAACAACAGGAGCCACTTCCTTATCTTCTTCATCGCTTCCAAAGTATTTTTCGATAATATTGTAAGCCTTTTGATATAGTTCTTGGTTTTCGTGGCTTTGTAGAAATTCTATTTTATCCAATCCGTAACATTCTTCGACAATGGCAGCGTAAGGGTTGATTCCAGATCCATTTTGTTTTGATTCGCTGAGTCCCAGTTTAAGTATATTTTCTAAACCGCTAAGCGCTACCTGTTTGATAAAAAAGCTTAGTATTTTTTTTAAAACCATAAAAACATGTACTATAAAACAAAGATTTTTAAAAGGTTTAGGTAGGGTTACTGACCTGAATAATTTTAGCATCCATAACAGTTAGAAGATTGCACAATTGTGGAATACAGCCTTGTTCAACCAAATAATGAATTTGTTCATTACTTCCACCAGACGTAGCATTTGTAATTGCCCATGCAGCTTCTTTTCTAGTTTTAAAATCCCCTTTTCCCATTATCTCGATAATCATTGGAAAAATATTTGAATCAATGACATGCTGAATCTGGTCTCGGTTTCCAGCTGATATATTTGATATTGTCCAACAGGCTTCTTTTTTTATTGACTCTCTACTGTTACTTAACAAATGAAGGAGGCTAGGCAGTGCAGAGCACGTAATAATTATCTTTTCGATGAAATATGTAAATTCAAATTTTAATAAAAATATTCCACATTACAAATTAATATAATTATATTCTTACTTGTGTTTGAATATCATCTCCAGTAACAATATTACCAACTGCTCTTAAGGCAGCCGAAACAACTAGTTGTTGATTTGACATTAACAGCTCAACCAATCTTCGACAAACGCCGCTGTTTATAACTGCTTGTATCTTTTCGTTGGATCCATCGCTTAAATAACTTAATGCCCAACAAGTGTCAGCCAAAACATCACAGTCTTGATGAAACAATAACTTTGCTAAGACAGGTAGACTTTGAGACACAATGGCAAAATCAGGGGATGGATTCTTCCCTCTGCACATATTTGATAAACACCATACAGCATTTCGAGTCATTGAAATTTTCGATGCAGGTTTCAATAATAACTGGAGTAAAGGTTGTAATATATCTTGTCTATAATAAAAATTGGATTATTTATTATGGAATTGAAAAAAATTATCTTTAATGAAAAACTCACTTTAAAACATAATCTCTGCATTCAGGGCCATCCCCGGCAATATTTCCAAGAGCCCATACGGCTTGCTCTTGAACATTTTCAGATTGGGCACTCAATAACCTTATAAAGAGAGGAACTGCCCCAGAATTTATTACTACGCGAGTTTGAGCTGAAGAGCCACTGGCTATATTTGTTAGCGCCCAAGCAGCTTCAAATTGTAGCTGGGGATTAGTGTCATCCTCTAAAAATTGTACAAAGATGGGAACTACACCAGCATTAATAACTTCATCGATCGGAGGATTAGGTTCTGAAAATATTATTGAATATCAAATAAGATATAATAAATTACAAATTAATCATATAATATAAATAGTTGCTTAAAAGATACAAATTTTACGATTCTTTGCTGACTATATATAATTTGCTACAGCAGTTCTACAGTAAATTAACTTAGAATAATAATAGATGGCATTACAAAAAGACGTTACCTTTAGATAAAAGCTTTCTAAATTTTTGGGTTGCATTAAGCATTTCCTTCGGATCTCCTGAATACAATGCTTGAACCATGTCAGCGGTAATTCCCGACTAAATTAGGAAAAAAAATTTGATCATTATTTTGATAAAATTCCTATAAAAAAATTACATATTCCAAAGAATCTGGATGTTGACCCAACAGTGAGTCACCACAATGCTGGGTCGAATCAGCAACTGCATTATCATCGTAGACATTCCTTCTTTTGGACAACTGCAACGTTTTAAGGAATTAAGTATACAAAAGAATCTTGTTTTTCAGGATGTAAACAAAAAAATTCTGATGACAAACCTGTTCTTCTCGTTTTTGTTTGCGTAACTGAATTCCTTCTTCCTCTCTCCTCCTTCTCATTTCCTCTGGGTCTTTTCCTTTATTCTTGAATTGACCCATTCGGTTTGAACCATTCGTTTTATCATCCGCCATATTTAATCTAAAATTCCATTATGTAGAACGTGTTAACAAGTACTATTGATAAATATATATATATATATTCGTTACAACTGTTTTTGTTATTAGATTATTAATCTATAACGCTGAAGAAATGATTTGACTAAAGGTAATAAAAGCAGAGTTCCTAAACTGAAATATTGAGTAATATTTGTAGTTCTATGTTGTTACATCTCTACGTTAAGTCGTGATAATCGCCAATATACTTTATATACTGTATATGTATATATTTGAACAAATAGTGCTACAAACATGTAGAATTTAAATTATTCTCTTTTTTATTATCTACACTCGCAAAAAAAGTTACAACTTTCTAAAAGGTAATGTTTTAATTCAGTATCAATTATTCTAGTATCAAAGGACAAAAAAGATGGATATGTCGTCTAGAAGAAATCGAATGTGATTTAATCTCGGACAGAACGCTTATCTGAAATTGTCTTATTTGAAATCGATTTAAAGGAAAACTTACATGTTCTTAATAAAATATAGCTAATTCTTCTGGCAAAAAGTCTTCATTTTTTATTAGTCTTACCAAAAAGAATAAAGTGAAATTATATAGTAATATGCATAGGAAATTATATCTCCGCAAAAAAATGTGGAATATCTGGCCTATTTAAATTACATCAATATAGTATACTTTCACTAAATTAAGACTAATTATACATTATATTTATGTAATCATGCTCACGATTTATTTAAAACTTTTCATCTTATTTAGACTTTTCAGGGAATCAAACATGAAAAATGATGTTGACTTGTATCGGTTACAAATTCAACAACTCTTTTAAATGTTAATTAATACAACTAATATTAATACTTTAGAGGAAAAAAATGATAAAATATACCTAGCACCGGTAAAATTGAGAGAATTCGGCTGAAAAACTGGAAAAATTAGAAAATCTCGTGGGTTTATGGACTAACGGAAATAGACTCTGCGCATGAGCAGAAGAAAATAATAGGTATAGCTAACAACCGTAAGGTAAGAAATACTTCAAAAAGTATTGACTGTTATATTTATTCTATGTTGCTAAAAAACGTATTTACTTATTTATTCGCTAAGTGAAAGTTTACAAATTATATTGATTTTTCAATATTTCTTTCTTTTTAGAGGAAGCGTGCAGAAAATATTTTTCAGAGAGACATGAACAAAGTTACAAGAAAATGTTTATGACTTTCTAAAGATACAAACACATATATACAGTATATATATATATATATTAAACGATCTCCAACTATGTTGATTCACACCGACTTTTAAAGTAACAGTGCATTAAGATAAATAAAAATTATATCGCCTGATCAATAGCTTCGGATTGAAGTTTATTTGTTAAAATTTAAGCCATCTGTAATGAGGTTAATCTTTCTGATTACAATAGTTGAAAATGTTACATGTCCATAATAATAGTAATATCACAATAAGTGATGACTTAACGAATGAATTGAATCGTAAAATTCAAGACAAGAAATTTTAGACGATCACAAACTTCTTTTTTATTATCTACAAATTTCGCATATGATATATGTCAATCTTTCCTTGCTTTTCCTTATTTTTAATGTCGACTCTTTTTTGAACCATGATCTCTGGATCCTTTGTCATCAATAGGACGTTTGTTAGAGCTATCGTGAGTTTTAGCCTGTTCCAAGAAATCATCCAATCCGAAGGGATCCTCTTCCTTTTCAAAAGCAACAGGTCCCTCTCTGTTACTACCTCCCTCAGTTCCGCTGAAGCGTTGATCAGGAACAAATCTGTTGCTGTTAACAATCTTTTCATAGTCGTCTCCATACATGTCTTTATCAGAGTTTCTGCTTGGAACATATATTCCCTTAGAGATATTTTTATTTTTATTCCATGGCTCATTATAAACATTATAAGCGTCATCATCTCCGAAACCACTATCCATTCCACTAGTTTTTCCAAATAGACGTTGATCAAATTGAGAGTCAGCGGATGGTTTAGAGACTTGAGGTCTACCAAGATGGATTTGTTCAGAAATATCACGATCTCTATCTCTCAAAAGTCTATTTTTCTTATCTGGAGCAGCACGACTAATATTCTTTTCCCTAGTTCTCTCTTTTCCTCTGATTCTACGAAATTCATCTCTCTCTTTGGCTTCTTCAGAAACTTGTCCTGATCCGTGATTATAACTAGATCGATTAACTCTTGCTTTTTCAGCAACTTTCAACAAGTTTTCTTCTTTCTTCTCTTTTTCCATCTGTGCTGTCTTACGTTCCATTTGGGCTCTCACTTCAACAGCTTCTCTAGCTTTGCGATCAGCAATGTAGAGAGACTCAGCCAATTTTGCAAAATTTTCATTAATGTGTACACTTTGTAAGCCCCTTCCATCGGCAGCTAATCTTTTATCAAGAGGTATGGTAAACCCTTTAGCATTCTTCCAATGTGAAATACTTGGTGGAATCTTCCATTCATTTTGCTCTTTAACTGTTGGTTTACGAGGTGGAGAATGCATAACAGGAGCTGGTGGTGAGGGCGGTGCTCTTGGTATTTTTGAATTTGTTCTTAAAAAAAAAACAAAAAAGGACACAATGTAACCCAGTGATTAATAAAGATAAAATATTCTTACTTAAATCTAGGTGGTTCCATTGGATCTTGTTGGGCTTCCACCATCCTGATAATTCTTTGTTGGGCTCCTGAGTTGTAAGAATTACCTTGTTGTGATGGAGTGTAACGGATGTATTGAGCAGGTTCTTGCTTTTCTGCTCTCTTTGTAGGATTGGCAGCTGCTATTTTTCCTGCAACCAATTTTTCGAGGGCTTCTCGTGTTTTATCAGTTGTTTCTTGTATTTCTTCTTCGTCTGGGCGTTGTAATTCAGGATCATCATCATCGATTGGTTTCGGTAAAAGGTCTTCAAATCGTGAGTGAACCACCTGCAATTTTTATATTTAACATTGCGCTAGAAAATAGTATTATATATATGTATACCTTATTTTTACCATGACCATACTTGGCAAGAGCATCGTATCTAACTTTTCCCTCACTATCAACTTGTAAAGAAAGAGCATTTGAAGATTGTTTCTCCTTTCCTAATCCTAACGGATATTGAGCGACGTGGATCTCGGGAAATGCTCCTCCATCGCAATAGTCGTCCTCTTGTCTTGGTATCCAACCTTTTCTATGACCATAAGGAGGAATAGCCTTCGAAATTTTAGGAATCTGAAAGTTAAAAAGAAATTTAGTTTGTAAGCTCAATTGAAAGAAAAGTTTGATATTTACCACATTACGAGATGTTTCCTTTTCCTCATTGTCCCTATCGTAATTTTGTTGGACAGGTGCAGGCAGCAAGCTGAAGGAAAAAATTTGATAAAACTGTCAGTTTCAATACTATTATGCCTAAAAAATTCATTTATAATTCAAAATCTGCGTAATACATTTTCAGATCGTAGATCATCATATAAAGTACAAATTTTTGCCCAAAATATAGTATCAGTCTCTTAATAAATTAATTTACTATAGCTTTTCAATGTTTTATCAAGCAACGCAAATGGGATTATGGCAAACGTCGATAAAACGTTGACAGCGTGCGATCTTAATTTAAGTTATATATTAGAAAATATCTTTTTACTATAAAAATCCATAAAGCTACTCTAAACGTAATTTTAAGTCATTCTACATCATTAAGTTACTATAAATGAACAGTAATACGTCTTAAGCTTCAAATTATACCTGGATAGCGATATCGCGGCCGTAGACATTTTGAACGGAAATGGTATTCCTAAAGTGAGCTCACTGGATGAAAGACAAGCTCCCGCTTTTTAATACAAATTTAAAATTCAGTTAATTATTTAATTTAATTAGGACGACTGCCTTAGATAAGAATTTATTACACTTTAATTATTAGAGCAATGTCTAAAAAGAGACTTAACAAGTACCTATTCAAATTTTTCAAGAATTCTAACTTTTTTACGGAATTTAGACATACCAAAACTATGAATTGATAGAAACAGTAAACTTTAAAATATTAGAAATAATGAAAAAGTGAATTAAGCTTATTCAAAATGGAAAATTCCTCTTGGGAAAAAACTGCCGATGAAACAAACGATGAAAATTGCAAGACTACTGTTTTAGGATATTCCAGATCTCTAACAACTTTGCCCAATACAGACAGGCAATACCGATTTTTCGACGATGCCTTATTTCGAGATGTTTTAACTGTCGATGATATCTCTGTAAAATTAATTCAAATACCAGAAAAAGTTAGTAAAAAGATAAAACATCTGCAAAAATATATTAATTATAACCACATTTTAGGTTTTGAATTTAAGACCTGGATCGGCTACTTTCTTAGAAGATTCAAATTCATCTACTATTTATGAAAATGACCTTAAGCGATCTCTATTTTTTGCTTTGCAAAATGTTCCTCTTCGCGAAAATGATAACTTTGTTGCTTTGGATATACCTCCTCTTGAAGATAAGCGTTTCGTTGGATTTCCTTTCGAATTCCCGTATGAGAGCTCTTCTACACCAGATGCCGGCTTTCATTCTCAAGATGACGAAGAGTTTGAAACTTTACTACCTCAAGGTTCTTGTTAGAATGTTGCATAAATAAATTAAATTTTACATATTTCGTAAATCACAAAGTTATCATTACTTTTCGTTATTTCAGTCACAAAAACAATGAAACCCTTTCTATCAGAGAGTGAACCAGATGACATAATATGCTCATACAAACGTTACCTATCCATGCTGAGATATCTGAATAAAAAGTCCTCTATATATTCTCCTGATATCCTGACTGATGTTGAAACATTGACGTTCGCTTTGCAGCATAGTTTATTAGGTTTACCATCCGCTCTTGTCGATATGGAAAATAATCAATTGACATTAAAAGAAGGAGTACGTGTAAAATCATTTTCTCAAGAGGCAATTTTATCGCTAGCTCAGGAGTTTCTTGATCATGGCAACCTCTATTTGGATTTACAGTATTGGGATCCTACGAATATTATGCAAAAGACTTTACAAAATGGTGTACAGAGATTTTTAAAAAGGTACTCAAAATTTATATTATCTTTGACCTGCAAACGTCCAATCGAACTACTAGCCACTGTAAAAAATGAAACCGCAAGCTTAAGATTTATACACGACCTTTGCGGAACAAGAGAATTTAGTGGAAGAGGTCTAGTTAATGACATTTATAACAAGAGTTTAAGATGTTCATCGATAGATGAAGAAATTATTTGTCAACACTTACTTAAGGCAACTAGTTCACCATTTACCAAAGCTTTATACAAGTGGATTGAAAATGGTATTAGTGATGATTTATTTGTCTACGTCAATCACTCATTCAGTTCAGAATCAAATAGAAGCTACTGGTTGAAAGCATACGAACCAGTTGAAATATTCCCCATTATTGATAAAGAAACTTATAAAATGGCTTTAATATGTGGAAAATCTATAAATTTACTTAGACGACTGCAACCTGATCATCCATTTTTACAAATCTCATCAGGACCTTCTTCTCTCCCTCGTTTATTTTTAACATTTGACTATTATTCCTTAAATAAGATTGAGTATCACTTGAATGTTTATGAATCTAACGTTAGAGCTATACTAGCTGCTGATAAAATGAAGAGGGAAGCAATATTTCGTAAAAAGAGAATTTCTAAAAGAGATTTAGTAGTTAGAGCTAGAAAAACTGCTTTAGAAAGAACAAAAGCTTTTGAGGAGAATAAACGAAAGCGTCTATTAAAAATAGCTGAAGATAAAAAAATATTGCTTCAAAATTTTAAAGAGCAAATGGATAATGAAGTTGCCGTAAGTTCGATACAAATTGTTGTTAATATAATACATATACTAATATATTTTCCTTTATCTATCCTATTTAGCGAAAGCAAGAAATGAAAAAACTTGAAAAAGAGAGAGATTTACAAATATTAGAGGAAAGTAGGCAACTGGAAGAAGAGCAGTTAAAGGCATCCAAGTAATAATTAATTATACTAAATATCTTCTTTCTATTTTTTGTTTTATAAATTTAAAATAAATTTGTATTTTAGAGAAGAAATGGAAAATCAATATTCAAAATTATACGCTCAAGCTGAAAGACGGGAGAGAAGAGCTATATGGCGTCTACAAAGACTTAAATTACATGATCAGCGAATTAAATTGCATTTTGAGGAGGATGAACTATATAAAACTATACTAAAAGAATTAGGAGTTAAGAAAGAAGCTGCCCCTATTGATTTAAAAAATTTTGAGGCTGCTAAAATTCCTGTAGCCTTTAGGGATACAGTTTCTTCTTTGATTAATGCGGAACCTGTTAAAGTTTATCCGGCTCCCTCGTCGAGTGAGAAAGTTACCTCTCAATCCCAAGATGAAGTTTTGGAAAAAATGGCATTTAAGCCCAAGAAAATCTTGCCTCATGATACTGCAGGTGATATTATTTATAATGAAATTCAAGAAATTGAAGAATTTAAACGAACAACAAAAGCCGTTGATGGCCAACATCCTAATAAAGAAAGTGAAGTATCTGAAAAATCGATAGAATCCTCTGTCCGCTCTATTCCTAATAGTCATGTCAGCCAAGAGTCTAAGAACACTGAAGAGGAAAAGAAAACTGTTAAAAGTGTTGCTGGTCATCACATGACTATGGAGAGTCAAACCCCGGAAGAATCTTCTCTTCCCTGTAGAAAGATAGTTGCAGGTAGAAACATTCATGAAGAATCATCAGAAGTATCATCAAAATCAACAATAAAAATTTCCAATATGAAATCGACCACTGAATCAAAGCCAGAAGTAGTCAAACCTCCTCGAAAATCTTTTTTTGGACATGTTTCGGATCTATCTAAAGCTGATTATACTTATGATATACCGAAACTAAAAAGACCTGTAAATTTAAATGCCATAAAGGAGACAGTCTCCATGGATAGATTTATTCCAAAAAGGAAAACTGTTTCCAGTCATTCGGTTGGCGATCAAACGAAAGAAACTGAAACTCGTCACCACATTAAATTATACGCTGACAAACATGCATCGATAGAATCTGAGCTAATTGATACAGATGCTAGAAGATTAGAAGTTTTTAAGTTAAAGAATAGAAGAGGCCATTCTTCGAATTCAACTATACAAAATCTATTATATTTTGATAAAAAGACCAAAACTGATGAACGAAAGCAGACTAGAACGATAAAAACGGAAGAAGAAATAATATTCGAATATGGAATATGGAATAGCTTAGATAGAATTAAATGGGAAAGTCCACTTTATAGATGCCAGCAATATATGCCACCGGAATTATATATACCTGGCCAACCGAATAATCGAGAAGATAGCGATAATTCAGAAAATGAGATATTTTCCGAAAACAATCTAGTTGTATCCGTCACATCTGCCGTTTCCAGATGCTTAGCTACTCCTATCCTCCTACAAAAATCTCTCATTGATAATGCTCTCCTCAGTTATTTTATTTATGAGTTAGAATTTGATAAACATATTAAAACTGTTAGGGATTTTGTATTATTTTGCGATGGAGCTTTCGCCCATCAATTAGCCCATCAGCTTGCCTCTAGTATGGATGATTATGACAATTATAAAGGAGTTGGAAGTATTCTTCATCCGTATTTCTTGAAGGAAATACGAAATAAGTCTCTTACAGCCGCTGTCTCAAAAAGAACGTCGGTAGCATCTGAATTCGTTGATTTTCTAGTGACGGAAGAGGAAGATATAAATGACAAAGGCTCAAATGTAGTAAAACGATTATCTCTATCTTATAATGCAACTTGGCCATTGAATATTATTTTTAGTGCTGATTTAATGCAAAAATGTAGCATATTATCAAATTTTCTACTTCAGCTACGTTACGTGGTAATAATTGGTCATTCGGTTTGGCTCAAATGTACAGATCTTAGAATGAGAGAAGGTGCTAATGAAATGTGCCATTGGACACGAGTTTTATTAGATTATGTATCAATGCAAGTGCATTCAGCCGCCTGGAAGTTATGGAGAACAAAACGTAATGCTGTAAAAAATCTAGACAATCTACATGATTCTCTTTCTTCCTACGTAAAGTCTTGCTTAAGAAGATGTCTTCTAAATGAAAAAGCCCGTCCAGTTCAGGCTATAATACAAAAGATGCTTTCGGTTTTATGCGACGTCTATAATCTATTAGATAAGGAGAACTCTGATGGTGAAATTTTAAAATGTATGCAGCTCTTCCACGGTCATGCAGTTTTCCTATTTAAAGGTTTTTATTATTTTAAAATATTCTTAATTTTAATAGAAAACTTTTTAAACCCCCTTATACAGTTATCAAGCAACTATCTGTTCGAGGTTATCAAACTCATCTCAACGAACTACTTCTTCGGCTCAATTTCAATGAATTCTATAAGAGTAAAGGAAAATAGTTAAATTAGACAGTAATGCAATTTTTAAGACAAAGAAATATTATTCCAAGTATCAATAAATATGTTTTATACAGTTTTATTAATAATTGTCATTTGACAAAATAAAGCCGAAATTTTGTTGTTTTAATTGAATTATTTCTAGATTATCTTTCTTATAAACGTATAAATTAGTATATTAAATATTATCAGCAGTGAAAAAAACGGGATTGAAGCCAATTTTTAGTCTTATTTTCAGATAAAATATGAGTTTCTCTTATTTTGGATACCTCTGAAACATCGACTGTAATTGCGTTTCGACAGAGGGCGCTCACGTAAATTTTTTCATTTGATGTGTTTTTTTTAAAAAGTTTCCATCTGACATTCTTTAGAGCGGAAAACTTAAAACTTTTTGTTAGAAAAGAACTTTCTGGCTTTTGAGTGGAACTAGGTATCGACTTATGGAACCACTCTTCATCACCACAATTAAAAAATTGTTTCTTTTCTTTCTCGTATGTAACAGCTCCTAATCTAGGGGATGCTCTTCTACTAGGAATCTTTGGTTTCAAATTGGCTTTATTTTCACTCTCTTCAGAGGTGTTATCGAATTTTTTTATCATGTTTTTTAATTGTTTACTTCTTTCGGCTACCAAAGCTTCCATTATGTCTAATCGTTCCATTCCCTCGCCTGCTTGCGAATCGACTGATACAGATGAGAAGGATGTTTGAAGGATATCTACTTTCTCAATACCATTCTTCGCAACTGGAATTGTAGATTCATAAACTCTTAGATCAGAAGAAATAATTGATCTCTTAACAACTTTTGGCGATTGGTATTCGACTGCTGGAATTCTTTCTAACTTTGGTCTAGAAGGACGTCTTTCAGTGGAAAATTGCGGAACAATTTCTTCTATCAAACTAGCAGAATGAACATTTTTCTTACAGATTTCAGTAGTTTGGGTTTGTTTCGAATTCTGTTGAGCATCTAACGAACCTGAAATTTAAGTGAAATTCTAAGAAATGAAAAATCTTTCCATCGGAATGTTTTTAATCTTATTTTTTTTTGGAATTTTTTTTACCATTAATCTTCTCACATAATTGGCCCGTGAAATATATAGATTCTTCAACTAGATTAGAGCAATTCTCCAAGAAATGATCCTGAGTAGATTGATTTGTCGCAAGTTTAAACGACGAATTAAAGAGCATTTCATTCTCTTGAATCTATTTTGAAATTGGGTTTAGAGAAAAAAATGATAATTCCATTCGAATATAATGTTTATATTATAAAAGGATTATTAAATTTACTGGAAATTCCTCAAGATTGCATTCAGATTTTGCTTTCTTCCAACAAGCTCTTCCATTTTGACATCTTAGAATATTTTTTAAAGCTAAGCCTATTTAAAAGAAATTGAATAAACATTTTTATATATAAAAAAAGCTATAATAAAGATAATTTTACATTTGTTTAGTAACTTTGTTTGTAGTTTAGCATATTTAAGAGCTAAAATATGCCTTCTCGTTAATTTCGTATTAATTGTGTTCTGTTTTGAAAGAAATGTAAGAAAAGTAAATAAACAAAAAAAAAGAGATTAGAACTAAAAACTTACGATCTTTGTATTTATTTTTAATAATTCAACCATGGCTGCGTGTGTTACCTTTGGAGCTGAGTAAACAGAATAAAATCATTAATAATCATTAATAATCTTTATTAAAACTTTAAACTAACCAGAATCTAATCGCTCCAATAATCTATCCAAATTTCCTAGTTGTTTTTCCAGATCATCAAGATGATCCCAGTCATTTCTTTTGTATAAATCGCAATGTTGAGTATTGAGTCTTTCAATTAGATTTCCGAGAATTTTCATTAGTCTATTAACCTCGTTTGTTGAAGTGTTGAAATTGATATCATCCGATTTCTTGGTATTAAAAATACCTTCATTTGAATCGTTTGATAAATTTAAAGTTGGTAAGGTCTTATCGTGAGAGGTCGAAGGCGATATCGTGTCAGTTTGATCTTCACTCGTTTCTATTTCGCTTCGTCTACTCAGTAACGGCGATACAGATCTACGCTCCAAATCGAATTGGCATTGAGAGTGCTGTCTCTAATGGAGTTGAAAGAAATTGAAAATGTTTTATTAATTAGTATTAAAGTAAAAAAAATGATAAAAAAGGAGAGTCTAACTAGAAAAGAGTTCTAATTTCTAATTTTTGTTTAATCAAGCAACGAACAACACCATCTGCTTTAGATTAAGATAATAAAACCCTCCTTGGAATCATTACCTGCCAAGCGTGGTACTTTTTAGCAAAATCTTGACTTAAACCGTGACACATAGCCTCCTCGTTCACACTCATTGTTTGTTTCAACCGTTGTAATTTAACTGTTTCCTTTTGAATTTTTTGCTGAGCTTTTTCAATTTTCTGCATATCTTTAGAAACTAATTTTTCGTACTTCTGTCTTCTATCTCTAGACCTTGACCTTTCATTCTGAATTCCGAAAGAATATAATAATCTATGATTAGCAGATCGTTATTTATACGCTACACTCTTTCATACTTACCTTATACAATTCTATATTCGATTGTAAACAATTCTGATCTCTAATTTTCTCCCACTCTACTTTCCGTCTGCTGAAATCTTCTCCAAGGTTGGTTGAACTTTTTTCATCACTAATACTACCGTTATAAGAAATTGTATCTGGATGAGAAATAAACGTTTTCGGAGATTTTTCCCTATCTTTTTGAATGAAAGAAGAGAGAGAGAGAGATGGGGAAGAAAGAATAAAAGCTCTCATAAGATTTTTAAATAATTTAGAAAAGTATTTAATTGACCTAATCGTTTTTTCTTTTCCCATTCTTGCATCTTCTTGATAAAGCCCCTAGAAAGCGAATCTTCGTGTTTCGTACCTATAAACAAATAAGCAAACCAAGTAGTAAAATGTTAAAGTTACTTATTGGGCCTATACTTTGTTGAGTAGAATCTCGCCTGTTTTCCCACTCCCCTATTCGCTTCGCTAAATCAGCAGTCAGGTAATCTACAACGTAAATTTCAAACTAACAAATATTAATGAAAGCATAACTTATCAAAATACTTTGAATTCCTCCTTTCTCATCACTGGGAAACACAACTAATGACGTTCTTAAAGGTCTATTTTGAATTGTTGCTTTCTTTCTTGTCCTTTGAACTGGTTCGGTAGGTGATGGATTCAAAAGCAAAAAATTATCAGTTGATTTTGAGTCGTTATCGCGTTGATTTTTAAAGGGTATATCTCTAAAGCTTTCAGTCCTTATCAATGCATCTTTCATTCTTTTCAAAGGGTTTTTTATTGATTTGACACTTCCATTCCTACTAAATGATGAGACATCTTCCTCAACATAGATTAAAGGAGAAGACCTCCTCCTGACAAGTCTATTTCTCTTACCTCCATTAGAGACAATAGTAAAATTTTCAGGAGAAGATATAAAGTTATCATAATTCTTAAAGTCTGACTGAGATGATGATTTAGAAATATCAATCTTAAATGATTTAGAAATACTTAATTCCCTGTTCGCTAAACCTTTTCGAACTTTTCGAGCCCAACTTGAAATTTTTCTCTTAGAAAATTTTGCTTCTCGCCTTTTCCGACAATTATCATTTTCCATTCCCTGTAAAATATTAAAAGGTTAACATAATAGTGCTTTATAAAACTGTAAAAATAAACTGGGAAAGATTTCCTAACGGTCTTACGCAATAATCTTCTATTTAGTACAACATAAAGTTTATTATTTTATATAACTTTGGGAAATAGATGGTATTATAGCAAACTTTTCTTTATGTAATAATAAGCCATAGGTCTAAATTTATAGTAAAGTTATACTTGGATTATATCGTTCATGTTTATACTTCCGGTACTCTGACTACGTTTGGGTGTTGAATTTGTTTTTCCATCTTTTCTCTTGTTAAATGAAGCTTTAACTTTGGTACTTTTGGCTCTCATTTTTTGTAGGCCTTTATTCCATAAAGAACTTTGATCATGATCCTCCTCTGGATAATAACTATTACTTTTTGGTAATAAAACACTAAGACATTCACATTTTTTGTCAATTTCATCATTTTTCGTTGCCAAATGATATACGCGTTCCACAAGTTTAACAACAGAAGACAGATGTTCCATTCCTTTTGATTTTCCTATTGTAAAACATTTCTCATCTTTTTCTGAATTTTGAATTGACATCCTCTCAAAATCCCGTTCCAATTCCAAAAGAACATCGTCCGGAGTATTGAGAAAGAAGTCAACATCCTCTTCCATAGCTCTTTTTTTTACTTAATGACAGAGAACTTTTTATAAAAGAAACTTTGGGAAATGTTCAAAAAAGTTCATTTCAATTCGACTGCCAAACTCTAACTGTAGCTTTGGTACTCAGGCAAACTGTGAATGTTGTTATGGTAACGGGGGTTTTTTTTCTCTAGACATTAACTAGAAGGAAACTCTCGGGAAATGCCCCAATTTATAGACTGGTATTTATACTTTCTTATCTCTCTGTTTTTACAGAAATTCCAATTTCTTAATAATAAAACAAAGTTTAACCTATTGTATATTATTAATTATTTTCTCAATTCATAATTAGTCTAGCGGCCATTTTAAGAGTTATTGTTGTATATGTTTTATATTCGTAAGAATGTTCTTTTTTAAGAATGGAATATTCTTATAGTTATATCTGTGTAGAATACAATTATTCCCTCCTTTGAAGTTTTCTTTTACTTATATTATAAAAGCTATTTAGAAGCTTAGAAGTTTACCTGTGGAATTAATTATATTAAATAGATGGAGTTATTTTTAGTTTTCTATTATGAAAAAATATACACTTTCCATCAATTGATGTTTTTTTTACCCTTCGTTCCCTCCTCACCGCTGGAAATTAGGTCCCATAGTAGGTCGAAACGTGCTTTTCCTTTAGTTTTTCCAAGTTTTTTTTAAAGAAGAAATTAAATTCCTCATAAATTTTGAAGTTTTCTGGAATGGATTACATGACGCCATTCATTAGAAAAAAGACCTATTTTGTTATGTTTTATGTCGTTACGTTGAAAAAATTTGTCATAATTGTTTCTTTTTAAAAGAAATTGAAAAAAAAATAACATTTGATAAATCTATTCTGGAGAAAAATGACAAAATATCATAAAATCCTAACCTCAATGGTGCGCCATCTGATGGGAAATATTTTATTAAAAGTGATATTTACTATATGTTGTTTGACTATTTATTACTTTATATTGAAGGAAAATGATAGGAAAGTTAATAGGAAAGCAATTAAATTGGAAAGAGAAATTGAAACAATAAAACTTAAACCAATAGAGTTGAGAAATATATTTCAGCCATTTGCATCTGATGGAATAGGTGAGAGAGGTGAAGGAGTTTTACTCGAAGATTTATCAAAAGATAAGAAAAGACGAATTAGGGAGAGCTATGAAAAATTCGAATTTAACGAAATAGCTTCGAAGGATATTTCACTTTGGAGAAGTTTAAAAGAATATAGACCTTCTGGCTGTCCAAACATATATTTTCCTATGCCAAAGGTTACCAGTTTATATTTATTTAATTTTTATACAAATCGTAAAGAAAAGTGAAAGAAAAATATACATTTTTAGTATATATTCTCAAATAATTAACTGGCAACCAAAAAGAAATAGGTTTCAATTATAATATGCTTTCGAAATGAAGCTTGGTCAACACTTTTGCGTACATTGTACTCAATATTCAATAGGACACCTTCAAAATTATTATATGAAGTGTTACTTATAGATGATTTATCAGATATGAGTCATCTGGGCAAAAAACTAGACGAATACATATCGAAAAAGTTTCATAAAGTTAAAATACTAAGAAATGAAAAAAGATTAGGATTGATCGGTTGCAGGAATCTAGGAGCAAAGTTCGCTTTGGGTGAAATACTTGTATTTTTAGATTCACATTGCGAAGTTACGAACTTTTGGTTACAACCATTAATTCAACAAATTATTACTAATCCAAAGAGTTTAGCTATACCTCAATTAGCATATATTGAAGATACTACATTTAAATTCTACTACAATACTAGAACAAATAAATACGGAGGTGGCTTCACTTGGTCTTTGACCTTTAATTCAATTTTATTGTCTGAACAACATTTAGAATATGTAAATTATAAAACACCCATTATGGTTGGTGGTAACTACGCAATAAATAGGACATTTTTTTTTCAAATGGGTACCTATGATGAAGGTATGGAAAACTATGGAGGAGAAGATATCGAAATGTCATTAAGAATTTGGATGTGCGGCGGAAAATTGATTATGATACCCTGTTCAATTATTGGTCATGTCTATAAAAGTAAATCATTAAAGAATGAAAAATTGTATAATGAAATGAGGACGAGGAATTTAATTAGAACAGCTTATATCTGGTTAGATGAATACAATGAACTATTCAAGAAAGTATCAGGGTATAGTATCTACAATACAACAAAAGATCATCATGTTTTATAGTGTTGTATATAGAATTTCCAGGTGGAATATTAATCTTAATAGCACTCTATATCGTAAACAAATACGTAAAAAACTGAATTGTAAACCATTCGATTGGTATATAAAGAATATATTTCCTCAACAATTTGTACCTGGTACGGAATTGCGCAACGGAAAAATATCTAATCAATTCGATTTTTGTATAATTTATCATAAAATTTTAAAATTGTCGCCATGCTCTAAAGATAAAAAATTAATATGGTTTTTGACGACTATAGGAGAAATTCGAAATCATAATTGGGAGTATTGTTGGACATGGGAAAAGGAAAGTAATGACATTATAATGGGGCAATGTTTATACTCTTCCAAAAGTAGTCAAACATGGGAATACAACGACAATGATAAAACTTTTATTCATAGACAAACCAAATTATGTTTGAATGTAGTTAAAAATAAAGTCGGTTTAAATTTATGTCATTCTTCTATAACACATCGAACATGGCACTGGATTTAAATTTACAAGAAAAGTGATAAAACTCAAAGTTTTTTTGGTAGAAAAAAAGAAAAAGAGTCATACACTAACTCATCACGATCGTTCTTATTTAATAATGAGGGCCTAAGCTCTCGTAATGAGAATCATTGTAGGGTGGAGGTTCACTTTGTGGATATTCTGTATACAATGGTGATGCAATTGGGTCTAAGTGATAAAATAAAATGATATAAGTTTTTAATCATATTTCAATTATTTAAACCTACAATCTCGGCTCTTAGTGGCTGTTTGACCACTGGGAACTGTTAATGCTATTCCTGGTGTCATTGATGCTCCAGTAGCGTTAGCTGTAAAACATCGATAATTTTAATAAATAATTAACAAAAAAAATAAACTAGTAGTAAACTTACAGTTAGGTTGAACTGCTGAAGTTTTACCTCGTGATCGTTTAAGAATAAATTTTATAAATAAGATAACGGCTACTATCACTAGTAATCCTCCTGCAGCTATCAAACCAACAACCCAATATTTGAGGCTAAATTTAAGAAATAAATTTAATAAACGTGAGAATTAATAAAAAAGCCAAGGGATGAGTCATATTCCAACTCAAATATAATATACAGTATAAGTTGAATGTGAAGATTTAATAAAGACCTTTTCTTTCTTTACTTACCAATTTGCTTTTTTATGAAACCAAAATCCATTATTGCAATCGTTATTACAGTATTCACCTTCACATAAACAAAAGGAGCCGGAAATTGTAGATATATTATAAGATTTGGACTTGAAATTTGCTTTTAGAAACTGTTTAAAATAAGCGAATGAAACATTCATTGTTAATTGTTGTTCAAAAAGTATCATTAAGATAAAAATCCTTTTACTTGATATATAAATAAGTTTTTATCCATAATGTGATGCATTTCTTTTTCATTGCCATAACATTTATTCTTGTATGATTGTACCACTCCAACACATTGGCGAAACATACCATCTATATATAGGTAGCCAGGTAATGGGGAGTATGAACGGCGTATGGCAATTTTGACTTTTCCATTAAATGTTCCACATTTCTCATCGACGAATGGATTCGCTCCGGCATTAGATACACAAGGCGAAGTTGGAGTATGATTATCAAGAGATTTGCAGTTTGTACTCTAAAAATTAATAAATATTACGTAAAACAATAGACAAATAATTCGGAAAGTATCGTGTTTATAATACCTTTAGTACTTTTGAATTGACCTGCAGAAAAGTCTTTATGAAATTATCATTAGAATACATTTTAGCATCCATACAGCTATAGCATGGCGACGCGAGTACTAAAATTTAATTTACAATATTATTTCAATTGCAATATAAATTATCGAAACAAACCATTATGTAAAGACGCTATTAGCAGCAGGAAGTAGGTGATAGACCAAATTCTAATCATAGCAAATATGTCCATTATCTTTTAGACCATTCGTTACGAGTTGAAAGATCTTTACAGCACTGCGTTCCTTTTATAAAGTAGAATATATGAAAAAATATACCAATAAAACAGATATTGGTTATTCAAATTAGGCCCCTAGTAGGCTTCTAAAAGGAGTAGAGGCAAAAACGGTTTCTTTCTGTTCAGAATGTTATAATATGAAATGGTATATTCTGTTTATAGGCTTTGTGATTTCTTTAAAAGAAAACTATCAACGTAGAAGGAATAAAGCTTTATTCTATGTTTTACGTCATTGGGTGGAGTAAGTAGAGCAAATTTTTATTGTATAAAGAAAAACTTTTATATTCTATTACATGATTCATGCACACATCACGACACTTTTTTTGCGTACCCTATATTAAACTCTAAGGGAAATTTGGTTGCAAGTACTTACAAATCTTCCTTAATTTAAGTTCGATGCTTCACCTGCAAAGACTAATGTAGTGCACAGGTAGAATGTGATGTGTTATGGAAGGGATAATAAAATGGAAAAAAATCGATTATATTACGACGTCATCATTGTATACATTTTCACTAGCACATTTATCAATACTAGATACTTTACTTGTTAGTATTGTATTTAATTATTATAAACCTTTAATTAATAAATCAATCATATTTAATTAGTTTATTAATTATTGTAAAAATACGTAAAGAGTAAAGAAGTATGATTAAATATATAGAAAAAGGAAGCATATATTAATTTTTGGTGTTTAAGCTTCCTCATGGATACAGTATATCCAAATATTTAACTATTCATAATATACCTATACTAAGAAGCCTTTATACAAAATCTATATTTATAAATAAAGTTTATAAACCAAAGAATACCAACTGACATCTATCGGATATATTATTTATAACAGAACAAAGAGGAGAATTAGTTGAATTTTATGTTTTTAAAACTATAAAACCTTTATACTAATTTCACATTCATTTCTCTCTCTTTTTTTTCTAACGAAAAGGTCATCTGCCTATCAAATAAAAGTAAGTGATACGATAATAAAAGAGTATGAAAAAAAAATAAGTCGATTAACTACATATTCGAAATTTTATGTAAATGAAAAAAAAGGTCAAATTGATAAAAATATAAAAATAAAAGAAACATTTAGAAAAACGTTTATTCGTTCAAAAATAGATATCCAAAATGTAAAAAAAAAATAACTTTACTTAAGTTTGATAAATACACCTTTTTTTGTCTCTTTTCTTTATAATTTAATACAAAAAATTATATAATAGTGTATTCTGACAAATTTGTCTAAACTAAGTAGAATGACTTAGATGATGAATAGAAATAATTGATCTTTAAGTAAACAAGCACAAAAATAACAAAATGAAAATGAAAAAAAAACAAAAACAATATATATATATGTATATATACTAAAGTTAACGTCATTGTAGTGGTTAGGATAAAGGAAGCAAATGAAAATAGATTAATAATAATGATAATAATAGAGTTTATCAAAAGAAAATAAAAATACGAAAATAACTCTCTCTTTCTTTTTATTTTTTTTAAAAAAACAAATTTAGTTTTTTCAAGTATTTTTCCACAAGTCTTTCTCAGAGGCGCACGCGAAAAAAATAAACTAGCCCGTAAAGTTACATCAATAGAATTGATCATGGTCGAAAAAAAAAGAGAGAGAAAAAAGTTTGATAAACCTTTTTAAAGACGTCTGGTTATAACAAAACGAACGTTGAAAAAAAAAATGATAACGGACAGTTGTACAGATTTAGAAATATATACGAAAAGTAGCAAAAGGGAATGAAACTGTAGTAGGTGAGGTGTAAAATGAGAAAATAGCGAGAGGGAAAGGGGGGCAGGGGTTTGTTTGGGAAGAATATGGAATTGATGAAAAGTTTAAGTAGGGTAAAGTAGGAAGAAGCATTCAAGATATAGTTATTCCGGTTGATTTCATATCGTTCTCAATCTATTCAATTCTTCGAGAAAGTCCTCGCCATTAAAACTATTTTCGATTGAACTTGATAGCTGGTAATCTAGAGCTATAGCAGAATCGGATTCGTCAGGATCGTTTATACGATTATTGACCCATGTTTCAATCATATCTAGTTTTTCTCTACTTTTATGTCCAACGAATCGGGGTAAAGTATGTGACAATTGGGGTGGCAGAGGTGGTGGTTTTTTGCGATGGGGTGTGGTCAACATACCTGATATCATTTGTCTCTTAGGTGGAGCTTCTTGTACTCTTATTGTAGAATCCAAAGCTTCGTCGCTATCAGCGTATATACATTGCGCAGCCAACTCTTCCATACTAGATTTTTTCAAGTATTTTATTGGTTTCGAGTAGATTGGTTCGGAGCATTCATTATAATTATCCATTTTACGATAGGGCGGCGGAGGTGGAGGCTTTACTTGTGGTGGCTTTAATAAAGTATCACCATCAACAGCGTCCTTTACTTCAGCATAATCCGATTCAAATGTTGGTATACTGCTTCTACTGGCATCCGAATAGACTGGTGAACTTGGCGAAAAGTAACCTGTTTCGTCTGAATTAGCCGTAGATAAACTAGGAGCAAACTCTTTATGTGGTAAACGAATAGAAGAATAAGGTGGTGGTTCGCAACTTTTCACTGAACAAGTAATTTTTTGCATCTCTGATTCTCTAATACTCTTTAATCTATAATTTTTTTCCTTAAATTTCTTCTTTTTCTTCTTCTTTTTTAAAGTTTTTCTAAGTGCGTAACTTTCGCAACAGTACAATTGCTCTTCGTCATCGGCAATGGGCGGAGTTAAACAAAGTAGACCATATGCTAGACATGCCCAAGTACCAGCAACTGGAAGGCAAGCCGCCTGCATAGCCACTATAAATATAATATAAATATAAGTATAAATAAATAAAACAATAGAATGTTAATAATTAAAATAAACGAAAATTGAAAACAAGAATTGAAAGAATTCTCTCTTTTTGGAATTTATCCAAAAATTAAGGTCAATTCTTTACTTTTGTTTTCAAGTAATCTAACACCTACAGCTGGTTTTTCGCCTATTAAAAAACTTTCCCTGTTATTTTATACATTATTAAAGCCTATTAATTATATGGAAAAACTACAGAAAAGATTAAAATTCTTTTTCTCTTCTCTTCTTCATTTATCTATTGTTTTATATAGAATATATCATTTCCATAGGTATCCACCCATTTCTTTTTCTAGAATTGTTATTGTAACCTATCAGTTTCAACACGTAGACAACAAACAAACATATAAAATTAAGAAGAAAGAAATTGATCTAATGCTAAGTGATTATTATAAAATTAATCAAACAGGGAATAGTAAGAGTTGTATACAATTCACACATATATTCACTATATAGATAACAGAGTATAACACTTTATATTTTTATATATTGAAGTTTAGTTTAATCTACTATTATATTACGTTTGTATTTCTAATAAATTAATAAATCATTTTCTCGCTTTTCTCTCTACTTCTATCCTTTAAACAAATCGATTTTTCTCGCTATCGTTTGTCTTAATTACACGTTTAACCACACAAAATATTTAAACTCTCACAAAAGAATTGCGTAACGATTGTTGAAACTACGTGAAAACTTTAAAGAGAGTTACGCCATAGATGTATTATTGTTGGAGGGTTAAGCATATCAACTGTTAAAGATAAGAATCAGTGTGTGGGAATGTTAATTTATAAAACAAAACAAAAACTGCGTACAATTCCAATACGCTAGTAAAAAAATTTAGCTATAAATACTATAATAAAAAATAATAAATTTACAAATCTATATACTGTATATAGATAAGAGGAACTTGAGAAAGAGAAGAAGACTTTTAGCTATTTTAAAATCAACTTTTTGACCTAAAAATAAATCGTAAACAAGAGGAGATAATAAATAAATTAAATTATAAAAACGTTCTAATCTTGTATCAAATAAACTTTTTTGGGCAGATGCATAAAATTTTTATCGTAAAAGTGCAAGTATACTAAATATATCTCTGTCTTTGAAGTATTGTAATTAATTATATCTACGGCAAGGTCAATTGATTTACTAATAAGACAAACTAAATTTAGAAAACATTAATTAAAGATTAGAAGGAGATTAAGAGAAAAGTAAATTATGATTATTGAATATTTTCTTACAGCTTGGTCTCTTCTCCTCCAGGTCGCTATTATCCGAATAATCGCTATCAAAATTACATTCTTCTGCTTCTATAGTTGACATTCTTGTTGTTCTTCTTCTTCTTTCTCTGCCTTTCCTTTTTTATCCTTTTTTTTTTAATTTTTATACTTTTAGTTGACTTCTTTTAGTTCTGAAATGATTAGAAATATATCATTTAGACGTATAGATATCAATATGAACTATAATATATAGTTTTAAACGTATTAAACACTTCACTAAATCTAAATAAAATGTTTATTATACTTATTTCTCTGTCGTTTATATTGGTTTGTATTTCGGAAATCTATCATATAAATCGTAGCTGATGCGAATTTCTAACACCTACTGCTAATAATAAAAGAATATACGCCACTAGACTCTTTTTTGAACAATCTACACTTGCACCAAGGCCAATTCGACTAGCTGTTTTACGTGTTTAATAAAAATTAAACAAAAAAATAATTCAGGCCTATTTTAAAATCTAGTTATAAAGTAAATAGACTTACGTTAGCTTTACGCCTACATCTCGTTAGGTCTACGTCAGGTTCAAAAAAAATCAGTGTAAGAAGGAATCTTTAAGCTGAATTTGTCACACAGAGAATGAACAGCTATTTGTGTGTGATGAACTTTTGAACCTTCCAGGTGAGGGCGCTGCCGTTGCAACTAAACTATATAGTTTCTTTGTCTCGCGAAGAGTTATAGCGATATATTTTCTTGGCAAAGTTTTCGATGTGTTTACATAGGCCTTTGAGAAGGAATATAAATAGACTTTAAAGTTTTCGACGTTTTCAATCTAGACTTTAAGGTTGTAAAAATCAGTACTAATCAAAAGAGGAATAGACGGATCGTAAATCCTAAAAAATACAACTTTTCCCGCCATTTTTTAAACTATACAATAAATTGATTATGTACATCTTATAGAGAAAAGTTTACTTTTAAAGTTTAGGTTATGTCTTTTTTCGTTCTTAAAAAAATTAATTTATTAACAATTTTGTTAAGTTTTCTTTTCTATTAAAAGCAAAAAGATAAAGAGAGAGAGAGAGAGAGAGGAAAGAAGAAAAGAAACAGACAAGAGAATAGTTTCAATAGTTGAAAATATAATTAGTAATTGAAGCCTAATTTTCACTCTTAAGTCTATATAATATAAGGATATTTAATGTTGTATATAATAAGAAGTATTTCTTTTTTTAACTTATTTGTTCTCGTTTAGAATAGACTATATATATATATATATATACAGTATATATATATACTTTTTATACTTAAAATATAGGAGTATTTTTCCAGGTATTTTTAATAATTCAATATGTTAATTAAACTTTGCATAGGTTTGAAGTTTGCTTAGTGTTATATAGCAATAAAATTGTAGTAAGATAATGTTTTTTAAGGCTATATACAGGTGTATATATATATATATATATATATATATATATATTTTAAATTATGATTAATACGCTATAAAAAAGAATAATAAGTATTGTATCTAATATATACATATATATATTTAAATATATATATATGTATATATATAAATTATCAATATGTTACATAACATGCTTTTTTAAGCCTTTTGTTAGATTACAAGTTACAATTTAAATACCATTTAATAGATTATTTTTTTTTTATAAAAAAAAAATTGCTTTTCAATAGACTAAGCAGACGCCAGTAATTAAGTATTCTTTAAATTTAATTTGATGTTATTCTTCAAAAGTTCTTAACATAATACAGTATAATATTTAATAAAGAAACCATTTAATGATAATAAATAAAAGTGATAGACAGAAGGAATAAAGAATCTTTTAATATAAGTTTTCTTTGTAAAAAAAATATATAATACCTTTAGTTGTATTTTTCTTATTTTCAATTCTTTTCTCTTCTATCTCTTGTCTCTGTCTCTCTGCCTCTCTCTAGCTCTCTACCTTTCTCTCCAATAGTTTAGAGAATGAAACTTGAAAGACTGGTTATCTTCAAAAATACTCGATATATAGAAAAATAAAATACTCAGGTGTCGCCACCAACAAAAAAATTAATAATGTAAAACTAATGGCCTATTGTTCTTTTTTTCGCACTGAGTAATAAATAAAGTCTATACTATATATCTTGTTTCACGCACTTTACAAGAATTTGGTGTGATCTATGAAAATTGTTGAAAAATATAATTAGACAAAGTGTAGTAGAATGTAAATTGAAACTTCTATTATCAACTTTGGCTACTATAAACTATATATTTTTATGTCTTCTCTTGTTTATTCTATTCAAACATTTAGAGAAATAAAAATGAAAAGAAAGTAATGGTTAGTGTTAAATATATGATAGATGGATAAATAGTATTAGTTTTATCGTCTTTAACAGTTTTAACGGTTACAAAGTACGTTTTCATGTATACTACATACAGTATACATATACTAATATTCTAAAAATGATTTAATAATTAGAAATATGGGCTATGAAAAAGTATTATTCCAAAAAAAAAGAAATCCTACGAATTGTAGGATCTCTCAATTGAACTCAATTCTTACCTATAGGACTTTATAATATCTGCTTGTATAGAGTATTTTACTGAGACGTTTATTCAAATTCAGCTATAAATGTTAATTAATTAAACAAGACAAGAACTGCCTGACCTTTTAAAGTGAACAATATAAAAGTAGCATGTTTATATTAATTAGTTAACTGTTCCATAATTGGGTAAGTACACTTCATTTGGTATGATTGTTCTCGATAGTACCCACGATTCCCATAAGGTGTAAATAACTGTAGACGCCATAAGTATTGTTCCAATACTGGACACGACAAGACCGGACATAACGCAAATTTCCAATTTATGTTGTAAATTACTCATTGATATTTCAATACTTTCCATTTCTGTTGCAGGTAAATCAGAATTGAATTCGTAACTTGTTGGCCAAATTTGTCCTATAATCACTAGAGAAACACCAATGGCAGTTAAGATAAAAGAAAGTTTATTAGCATTTTCTTGAGCTTCCTCACTAATTCTAGTATTACAGCATATTTCTGGAGACACAGAATACAATGGTTCTTTATCCATTCTATTCTATCTTCTACTTTGTATGATAGGAAAAAAACGGGTAGAAACCAATATTTATTCTTCTTCCCCTCAAGCCTATTCACCTATTTCCTAATGTTTCTGATTATAAGGACAAACAGTTACAAAGACTGTTCGCCATATGTTTCTATTGAGTACAGAAAGAAATATACATATATATAGTATATATAGGATTAATATAAACTATACACATATATTTAATATAAGCTGAACATGCGCACACGAAGTGTTAATGTATATAGAATTTTTGAAAAAAATTTCAACAACTGACAGAGTAAAAGATCGATTGATAAATCAATTATTTCTATTTTTAAGTACAAACTTTTCATCTACCTTATGTTTCTATTAAAAAATAAAGAAGGTATTTAACATATGTTACATGTTTTCGACGAACAGTGCAGGATGTTTATTATCAAATCTACAATATCGAATAGTTTTTGGCAATTTTAAGAAATTGTTCAGTAATACTAGATGAAGATAATTAATAGTTGTCTCTATATGTACATATACAAATGGAAGTTGTATACAAAACACATTGCTTTATACAAGTATATAAGCTATATTACATAAATTTATACGTACGTACGTACTGTTTACAGTACCTGAACTAAGTTAGAAAATAGACTAGACTATCATTTAATGAAATTGGAACTCTCTTTCACTATTTCCCTCCCTCCCCTTCTCCCTCCCTATATCTTTCTCTTCTCTTCTTTCATATCCTTATATTTCTGCTCTCAGGCAACTATACATTAAATTAACGTTTTAAAAATTTAAAACTTTTCTTTATGCTAATTAGTTAAGTTCAACGAATTAATTAATTTGCATATCAGTATAAGTTATGCTATACATACAGAATATATATACTGTATATTAAATATATATTGTTACATTCATTATGCTAAATATCCTTACAAGTGAAGAGTGTATATAATGCCATCTATATTGTAAAATGAAAAATGGTATAAAACCCAAAGATAGACAATGCCATCTATAGTTCGAAGAGAAATCGAACTTTTCCCGGAAAAGGAGGTTAGAAAGGGCTTTAAGGGATGAAGAGATAAAGTTATCGACCAGGGAACGCTTGTCGTAGAATATCGATCAGAAATAAAATTGGTTGGACGCCTTAATTTATAGGAAATTTCCCTTAGCCCTACATTTTCAACTATTGGCCGAATGAACAATAATATTTATTTTTCAAGGTGAAGGCAGTCCCGTACAATTAAGAAAATAATAGTTGTCGTGTAAAAATAATGGAAAATTAGGGTTAATTGAAGACAGCTTCCGTTTTAATATAAACTTAAAAGTAATATTATGTCAACTGAATTACTATTGATAGTTATTCTAGCTGTTCCCGCAACTTTTTTCGCAATACTATTCTGCTGTCTATTACTGTGGTATGTTAATCTTTATTATTGAACTGCGTCTGCGTGGATTATAAAATAATAAGTGATTTATTTTTTTCTTTTATCAATTTTCTGAACAGTTTCAAATATTGCGGTCAACCTGATCAAGGTTATAAAGAGGTCAGACAAATCAAACATAATGTTTTAATGGAATATATCATTTAATAAATCCTTAAACGGGACGTTATCTAACATTTCATACTGTTTTTTAGTTAACTTATCAAGACACCTCAAACAAATATCTAAACGATGTTGGTAACTTTTACAATTAATTACTTAAAAAAAGTACGATTTATTGAACATTATACATAAATTTCCAATTAAATTAAGGTGTGTTCGGTATGCTTAGAAGAATTTGCTCCAGGGATGAAAATTGCAGTTTGTAAATGCAGACATTCCTTTCATTCTTCGTAAGTTATTCGTTAGTTGGGGGCATAGAGAGAGAAAGCATGTTATAATATGTTCAATATATACTTTGTATAATAGATGTCTACAAGAATGGTTGAAACTAGAAAATTCTTGTCCATTGTGCAAGTGTCAAGTTTTAAAAAAGAGCGAAGTAACTCCCCTACTTAATCTCAGTACGGTATAAAGATGAAAAATGACTGCCAAAAACTTAAACTTGATAAGTTTCTTTATTACTTGACTGAATTAAAAAGAATTTTGAACAGTAAGAGAATATAACTTTAAATGTTTATACGGTATAATTGTATATATATACAATACGTGATTATATCTTTTATTTGATAGTCTTAATTGTTGACATATCTTTACCGTCCATTGAAAAATTTTACAAGTGTTTTTATGTATCTATATATAATATATATTTATATATATAATTGTATATAATTTTTTGTTAATAACGAAATCACTCTAAATGAAATAGCATATGTTACCTCTTACGTAAGCAGAGGCTTCGTCTAGACTGGGATAATTACGTACAATTGAGCTATAATAAAAACTGATATAAAAAATCGTAATTTTTTGTAAATGCTGGTCTTTTTAAGAACATTCTGGAAAAGTCCCGTTTCTAGCTAAATTCTATCGACGCACATGATAATAAATGCATTACGTTGCTTAAACGATCAAGGACGTCGTGACCCAACCAATAACTGTTAAGCTTCAAGTTTTTTTTATCCATCTAGTGGTAGGAGTGAATGACCTTGGGGTAGGCACTACTTTTTTTCACAGTTTTGTACTTGACCTATTGGAGTCTTATGGAATATTAATCGAATTTTTACTTTTAGCCTTTCACAAAGAAAGTTTTTCTTATAAAAAGGTTAAAATCGAAAGTTCTGCAAAATAATTAGATTTTTTATGTTTGTGATTCTACTTTCTCTCACTTTTCAACTCTCTTTTGACTGATAAACATAATTAATGCGCCCCTAATCAAATAACGTTTCCGTAAAATATGTTATTTACTACTTGAGACAGATTCTAATATCAAGAGAGCTTGGTCAATTGTCCGATGAAAAAAGGTTATTAATTTCATTAGTCAAAATTGCCTTTCTCTGACTTCCATATTAAGACATGATCCATTTATACAAAGAATTATTATGCTAATAGATTCCTTTATCTATTTTCTCCTTTTCGGTTTATTACATTTTCCCATTTTTAAAATGGCTTAAAGAGACAGAGTGTCCGTTTTAGGAGGAAAATCAGACTATAAATATCGGTTTAGAAAGTAAAATAATTAAGAACTCAATTCTTTTTTTTTAAAAGTAAAAAACAAAGGAAATGCCAACAGAAGAGACAATACAGTCTACTTTCTAATTAATTGAGTAGCAAGTTTTCTTGCGTTTGTATATTCAGTACAGAGTCGGTAATATCGACGAGATCTTCGGCTATAACTTGATTATTAGCCGTTGTTGGAGAATCATCTTCGCTATCCAAACTACACAACAGTAGATCATCATCGTAAGTAGAAAAGTAATATCTGTTTTAAGTTATATATATATATATATATATATATATTTATTAAATTAGTTATATATATGTATTAGTCTTACTGGGGTTGATTCCACAAATTTTCATCTAGATTACTTTCTATCCATTTAAGGCAACTCTTAGAATGATTGTCAATTTCATTTTCAAAGTCTGTAGAATCCTTCAACTTGTTTAGGCAGAATGGACAAGTTTTCACCGTTATCTTCAATGGAAAGTGTGTTATTATTATTATTTTGTTTTTTTTTTTTTTAAATATTCAATTAAACAACATTTGTAATTATTAAACATAATAATTAAAAGGAAACTTTACTTGTCTTCTTATATAGTTGACCAGTTTAACTCTTTCATAGAAATTTAAAATTGTCTTATCTTGATGACGAAACTTTGTTAATTTTATATTATGTTCATTCTAATGTGGGGCATAGAACATATTTAAATACTATTTATAACTTTAATGTATAATTATTTACCTCCATATGATGTAATACTAAATTTCCATTAATTTGTTTAAAAGGGCAAATCAAGCATACAGCGTTAACATTGTTTTCGTAATCATCTTCTTTCCAGTCATCCCAATTTCTGTATTGAGTAGAGTATATTGGACAGTTGTTTATTTGTTATAAAAGAATATTGATAATGAATACTTACTCATCATGATCACTTTCTTCGCTTATATTATCATCACTTATGTTCTTAAGACTCTTCCAATTTTGATCAATTTCTAAATAATTAATAATATAATATTTATCCCATTCAGTACTATTCGAATTAAGTCTTTTATGGTTTTTTTTCCTCATATGATCTTTTAGGCAATTGCGATCCTTGAATGTTCTATTACAATATAAACAATTTAAATTATCCAATTTCTTTTGTAGGGCCATAATCATCTCTCTTTTATATACTGTTGTATTGTTTATAAAGATTATTTAATGTAATAACTATAGAGTATGGATATATACCTATGTTTTGGGGAAGGCCAATATTTAAATGATGATATTTTGACATATGATTTAGTAAATCGGCTGGATTCGAATTATGTAATTCATATTTACAAAACAAGCACATGTGGGAGAATGATTTATCTTTACTCTCCTCTTCTAAATGCTTTATTGCAGTTTTCTGTGTGGATTAAGCTATGTAGATGAATATCTCTATCTGTGTAAAGCTATAGGGCTACTCAAATATTCATGTATTTTACCAGATGTTGTGATTGAAGGGATAATCTCAGTTCTTTATCCAAGGGCATGTCCTCACTAAGTATGTAAGCTTGGGAGCTGTCAACCATAGTATCCAAATTGCATAACTTATCGATAGAGTTGATTTTTAATTGCTTTCTCCAAAAGATTAAATACCTATTTGGAGAATAATGTGTATAGAATTGAAAATAACAATTAATTAAGAAATAAGAAGTACTACCATGGTAAATAAGGTATACGTTCATAATTAGTAATAATTATTCTATGCTTTTGTAGTAAGTGGGTCATATATTCTTGAACGAAGGGAATTCTACTTTTATATTCGCATAATAGACAATTCAACTCATCGCATATTTCATTTAACGATTCGTTATCAACTTCTATAGATAATTTAAGGCTTTTTTTCAATGTTTTTTCCAAGTTTTCGGCGGACATCTCGCCCAAATGTTGAATATCGACTTTCAAATAATCTGGTAGTTCTAGTTGTGTTTTACTGTAAAGTGTACAAGTCTACATGTGCCATCTATCGGTAAGAATTTTTTGAGAACTATCTATTGATTTCATAGATGGCAACAGTCTTTTCTTAATCTCTTGATAGTCCATCTAGCGGGAACCTTGTAACTCAGACAGTAATTCATAATTTTTTATACTATACGTTCAATAAATACTTTCAATGGCATTTACATTGAAAGGATAGCCGGTTTCTAAGTCTAGTCTACGATCTGCCCTCTTTTTTATGCTATACAATTATATCCATTCTTATGACTGTCTGGGGTGAAAATCGTTATTAGAATATCTAAGAAGCATTTTTTAAAGTTCAATTTAACGCCAATATATCAGTATAGTTGTAAGCATTAATTTGTAAAATTCTTTGAGAAGAATGACCGTCCTAAATACCCTCAAATCCTGGCGGGTAAATTATTCGTCTAGACAGCAAGTTACAAACGGTCTCAATCATTTCTCATTCAACGGAAATATACACGACAAACCGTCCGACGAATATATTACTATATTATGTTTATGAATGTAAACATTAGCGTTGATTGGCTGCTATAATTTTCAACGGCTCAAACCGCATGAGTCCTAGATATAGACGATAATTGTGCGCAGGAACATAGTTCGATCAAAAATTTAAAAGTTTCTTAACGAAATTTAAGTAACAGCCTTTACTTGTTAGAATTTTAAATTTAGATGTAAGCCTAAATATAAACAAAGATTATTTATTTGTTTTCAAAGAGACTTTGGAATTTGGAACAAATTCTAAAAGTAGTGGGCGAGTGGCGCAGTAATACGTCGGCGAGTGATCACGTGGTATCGAGTCTCAGTTGCTAAAACAGTTGTGTCAGTTTGTGTATTTTCTCTGTATTGGACGGATCTAATTCTTATCATTTAACGGATCGAAAGACTATGTCAGTTAAGAACAGTGTAACTAAATTGATACCTAAGAAACTCAGAGACGCTTTTGTCTGTACGAGTCCTGAAAAAGAAAAAGGTAAGTTTTAAGCGCTTATTTAGGGAAAAAAAAGAACTTTCACTTTTTCGTCTATCAAATCTTTAACACTCGATCTCTTTTACTTGTAGTTCGAAGTGACCGAGCTAGAGATAAAGAAATGTTCGAAAGGACGTACGCCGTACACCAAGTTGTAGGCAACGGCGGTTTTGGAACTGTTTACGCGGGAACGAAACGACGATGTGGAACTCCCGTAAGTTTTTTAGCTTCCTTTTTCCCACTGTTAGAACCGGAAGTTTTACTTGGCGCGCTTTTTTATTAAACAGGTTGCGGTAAAGCAGATCGCAAAAAGTAAAGTCACCGAATGGGGAACGGTGAGTAATCGAACTTTAATAGTATGAATTATGCTAATGCTCTGACTCAAAAAATTTAAGGTTGACGGCAGAACCGTTCCAATGGAAATTGTTCTTCTAAAAGCAGTAGAAAACATTGAACGCGTCGTAAAAATGCTAGATTGGTTTGAGAAGAGTGATTCATTCATAGTTGTGATGGAACGCCCTGATCCAGTAAAAGACCTTTTCGACTATATAAGTGAAAATGTTACTGCTTTGGATGAAGATAAAGCGAGGGATTTCTTCCGCCAAATTGTCAAAATTATATCTCAAGTTCACAACGCTGGTGTTTGCCATAGAGATATTAAAGATGAAAACATCTTAGTTGACTCAAAAGGAGACTTGCATTTAATAGATTTTGGAAGTGGGGCGTTCCTTAAGGATACTGTATATACCGACTTTGAAGGTAAGCTACTCTTTTGACGACGTGGCTAGACGCTAGGTTGCTAGGAAACAACCGTCATTGACGTAGTTGTATAGATTATGTTAATGAGGGCGTAGGAGTGCTTCAATGTTTGCTCATAAATAGTTATATCGACTATCGGTTCCAGGATCAAACCAAACATAGGGAATGTAAATATTGTTATCTGACCTACATAGAGAGGAAATACGACGTTTTCAGCTCAATATCGTATTGTTTTGACGGGTGATATAGGGGTCACTGTCGGCGGTGAATGACTTAGGCGAGAAAATAAATGAAGGGAGTTAGCTCGTTGAGCCGAATAGCGCCCAAGGTTCTATGATTGTCCCTAAATCTAGGCGAGTAATTTTCTGCAGCCCTTTGTTTTCTTAGTGATTATTTGTTTACTAACAAAAGAGTGAGAGTGACTCACTATCGTATGGTAGGGATACCATTCACGAATTGTACTGAGCTAAAAATAGACTTTGTCACGACTACTATTTATGATGTCCTACATCCTCAACTAAGAGAATCTCTGAATCATAGCAAGTACTTTCTAACGAAATATTTCATAAGTCTTATGGCCATTGTATACCTCTACAAATGTTAACCGTCGTAGTTAGAAGGGACTGCAGTGGCCTCCATAGGCATTGAAGCTCTAACAAGATGGACTAAATTGAGCCCAAGGCCCTAGAATTTGTCCACAAATCTAGTCAAGTCTAGCTAGTTTTCTTTTGCTATTATTTTGTCAAAGTACTTATAGTATTCTTTTATTTAACAGGAACAAGAGTTTATAGTCCACCAGAATGGATAGCTCATCATCGTTATACAGCGGAAGCAGCAACAGTCTGGTCTTTGGGTATCCTATTATTCGACATGGTCTGCTATGACATTCCCTTTCACGAGGATAGAGAAATTTTAAAAGCAGAACCTCAATTTAAACCAGGCCTTAGCGAAGACGTTAAGGATTTAATACGTCAATGCCTGAGCCTTAAACCATCAAAAAGGCCACGACTAGCAGAGCTTTTGGAACATCGGTGGATGAAAGAAGAAGGAAACAGCGATTCCTCACTAGCCTCCTCAACCGATTCAAACAATTCCGATACAAGATCTTCTGCTTGAGATAGAAGAATTGTTAGGAAATAAATTGACTTTTGCTCCATAAAATGGTGGTTGTGTGCTGTAAATTGTTCGGCCGACTATCTCAAAAGAAGAGGCAGCTATATTCTTCTCGCTTTTTTGAACTGAAAAATCTGTTACATGACGCTCAGATTTTCGTTGTACTATTGTCAACGTCGTTGTTTTACTTTTTTTTTTCGCTATGTCAGGCTGTTCTACCTCGTTCAGTCCTAATTTATTGAAAACGTTAAATTCAAAGAAAATAATAAAAGACAAAAAATTATATCACATACATAAATACTAAAAGTATTTTTATTGTATACGATTTTGAAATTTTGGCGCTAACTGGAAAATTACAGTGTAGACATACACATCTAAAGCTATATTTATAACGTAGGTATTACGCCTATAGTCTTGGCAACTTGCCAGTCCACATTCCGGTACTGCAAAAAAAAATCAATAGTCAGTTTTCTCTGCTGCACAATCACTGGTCGACAACCTTCACCTTATTACTATCCCCTTTAATGTTAATTTATATGGCTGTTTTTTGGGTCTAGCTCTCTTTCTTGCCTGGTCTAATGACTGTCAGTTATCTAGGGCTTTGCCGTCGACATCTAAATCAGCCCTGGTAACAATCCATCTTGTCTATGCGACAACGTTTATCGGTAGCAAGATAATCCTGGCTATACATTAACAAACAACTAATTAACTATTTGTGTGTACAAACAGCAATGATAAATGAGATGAGTACTCGAATAGTATAAATCTTACTTAAGCGTCCTAAAGAGAAAAAGATAGAAAAAATAGCTTTTGAATTGCTTCCTCCATAGAGTTTAATTTGTACAATTCAATACGCACCGTGTCCTAACCACTCCTATATTTATTTATAGTACTAATCATTACAGCAAGGGAGAAATTACAAATCAATAAGTCAAACTCGCTTTAGTTATATTAAACTTTTTTTTGTTTTATTCAAAAGAAAGCAACAATTAAAATTTGGTGTTCATCTTCTATTGTTCTCCCATTCCACGTGCCAGTGATCACGAGATCCACGCATGGGAAAATTTAGAGGCATGTGCACGGTAATAATGACGCCATAGTTCAAAACCACAACCAGTTTTAGGAAAAGCGGGCGGAAAACTTTTATAAATGTTATTTAATCATTTAATCAATAATTCACAACAAAAAAAATCCAAAGTTATCAATTTCAAACATATTTATGATTTCTCTATCTTCATGGGAATATAAATATAAAGAGTACAGTCTTTTCATTCGATGGACATCATTTTGTATAAGCGTGCATATATTGTTAAGAAAGTATAAAAAGTAACATATAATTATCTAGTCTAAAAGTAGTATAAAATGTGAAATTTATTCTGTATGAAAAATTAATATAGTCTGTGTTATGCCATTAGTCTAGAGTTTCGTGATTCATTGCCACGGTGAAGTTCTATAATACCTAATTAGAGTATATTATTATTAATACGAATGATATATTGAGTACATATTGTATATAAACACTTTTTCTAGTTTCCATAAAAGAGGTTAAAGTAATGATGTGTAGTTGATATGTATACATAAGAATACAGATATTAGAAATAGATATGCATTAATAATCATTTTCTATACATTTAAACTATTCGTTACTTATTCACTAGTGAAGAAATGTAATAGCTCTGGATTTGACCCGTGAAAAAGTCAAGTAATTAGAATAACAATCCACACTTAATTATTTTTTAATAAGAATGAAAAACTTGACGTTTTCCCTATATTTAGTTTTTGTCTTAGTATGGTAATTAAAAATACATAAAAATAGAAGTTAAGTTCATTTTTTAAATAATAGCATAACAGTCAAAAACTGTAACATCCAAGAACTGGTTCATAATAAGTAGTCAGACATGTAGCCCAATAATTTTCAATTCTTTTTTTCCATTAGACAAACTAAAACAACGAATTGAAAGATAAGAAAGAGAAAATATATGATAAGTTATATTAGTAAAATGAATATTGAAATAATTAGGGTAGGGTCCAAACATAAAAGAGAATGTCTCATTATCTCCCACCCCCTTTTCTCTCCTATCCCTTTCAGCCTTTCATCAACTGTCTGAAACTAGAGCATTTCAAACTCCAGTATTACTTTTATACCAATACATATTTTAATTTTACGAAATACTTTGCCTAACTCGGATATTTACTATATTCTTTCATTAGGACAATCTCGTTAATAGTAGACTCTCCTGAAATCTCTCCTCTATTGATATTTCTATTGCCATATGAATTCGGATAAATATAAACCCTTAATCAATTATTTCAATAACATTTGCAAAATTTTAGACATAAAGAATATAATACAAGTAGTCAAGCTGTTAATACTTATATTAACTTTATACATAGATTTTGCTGAAAATTTGGTCGCCTTTAAGCAATATTCAGGTGATCTTATTGGATATTCTCGACAGATATTTAACCTTAGTTAGCCGTAAGCTTATCTACAACAACGTTTTTTAGAAGAAAAATAAATAGAAGGAAACGGCCGTAATTATTAGTATATCGTTAAATCATAGAAACAGTTCTAGGACAAATGCAAAAAGGGAAACGTGGGAGGCGGGAGAAAGGGAAGGGGGCGAAAAAGAAAAAAAGAAAATATCCCATTAATAGAGCAGATGGAAACGTACTATAGAGAAACTCGTTTACGAGTCTGGCAGAAAGGGGATTGTACTCACAAAGTAACGCCTGAATAGATGGAATGTGGCTCGAAAACGGTACACTTTTGTAATTAAAAAAAAATTTACCCCGTTAACTGAAAGCGGCTCAAAACGGTGACAGTTTATTAATTGAGTTATGAATGGAAAAATACTATTATATTTGATTGTGCAATTAATGAAGCTGACATCTCAGGGAAAATCGAAGGGATTGTGACCCAGAATTGAGACAATAAGCTTGTTTAGGGTCTCCCTTGGACATAGTTAAATATTGATTTGAAGGGGAAAAAATATGACATTAGATTAAATGAATAAAAACAACCTCTGTGGAATAGGAACCCTTTGATGCATTAAGATACTATGCTTTTCAACATATAAGAAGTAAAAACAATGACAAAATAAATTAGTTGGCTACTCCCATAATGGAGGCTTTCTCTTTTAAATAATTTATACTGATAAGAACTACTATTATGCAATATATCCTTATCGTGTAGTACTATCCTTATAATAAACTATTAAACAACATTTCACTCAGCAAGGAGCGAACAAGATGGCATAATTAATTCAACTATAGTTTACTATTTCTGTTCTATGTCAAAATATGAGACCAAATAAAAGCGGATTATAATAAAAAATTGTCATAAATACTTAATTCCTTGGTATTAAAAATAAATAAAAGGTGATCAAAGGTTAATGTTATTTAAAAGATTATCGGTATTAAAACAAAATAATAAGAGTTAATCTTATAGCTAATTTAAAAAATCATAATAAACTATCAATCAACGTGCTTCTTATATTCTCTCTTTCGCCCCAAGTTTTCTCCCTTTATTAAGTTTTTTCTTTTTCTTAATTTTTCTCCCTTATTGTAAATCTAAACCTTTTAGAGAGGCTTTTTTTAGTAACAATTTACAATTACCAAGGTCAATGTTAAACTTGAATAAAGTATGATTCTCTTTTCTTTTTGGGTGTAGTTGAACTTTTAACTATGAAATTGAATACGAATGACCGATTTTTAAAAGATTATACGCTATAGAGTAGTCTGAAATTAGTACAAAGTTATTATCCGTAGGGACTTCCCTCGTTATTTAAAACGCTTAAAGGATTGGATTAACAGCGTGTTAGTTGAAAGATGATTTATAAGGGGAGGGGTAGATGAGAGAAAAGAAAAAACTAAAACGATAATAGACAGTTGTATTACCCCGTCCGTTCTGTCTTATATTTTTCTTTTACCATCTATTACCAGTATATCTATTTGTCTGTCTTTTATTTGATTGATGTTTTGTCCTCTATTTTTATTGTTCATAGTAACAAATTCAACGGAAAGGAAAGAAGCTAAAAAAAAGATCAAGTATAATTTATATGCTGTATAAATTTAGTATACGAAGTGAGTTATCTAATTCTTTAAATAGATTTCAAAGGAAAAGAAACAATAAAAATCTGGGGTATTATATAGACTAAATAAATATATATATATATATAATTCTTATGCATCATAGAATATATATATATATATATACAAATACTAATTTATTATTTATTTTTATCGTTATCTCTATTCAATTCCTCGTTTAGATTGATGAAAGTTCTTCGAATGTTGCGTAGATGTAATAGATAAATAACCTTCGAATCAAAACAATCGAAACTCCAATTTCCAAAGCCTATTGTTCTATAAATAAAGATGAGAATGAAAGGATGCCGAGAGAGAGAGAAGAGAAAAGGAGAGGAAAGAAAAAAATAAATAAATAGATACACAGAGAACAAAGTACACAAGCTATACGCAAAACTATACACCTTATTACGTATTTGAATAAAGATAACAAACAGGAAAATACGTCTTTTCTTTTTGCAAAGATTATTTCCATTGACATTACAGTTTAATATATATTACTGATATTGCATCCTCAGTATTGCGCAATTACTACCTAATCCACAATAAATTACGCAGTCTAAATAAATGCTAGATCGATTAAGGAATTAACACTGTTTTGAGACTAGACAGGCCTAATACTTTAACGAGTGTTTTTTGACCTCTACTCTTTATACTGTCTTGAAAAAATAAGGAAGAAAAAACCCTGTTTTTCGAAGAAAATTCATCAACAAATCATTGTTTCTAGACGACCAAACCCTTTTATGCCTATGTTTTTATTCTCTCTTATCATTTTCTGAGAACTGTAGACATAAAAACGATTAAATAGGCTTTCTACTATTTGTCTTTCCCGAGAAAGCAAAACATACGTATTCGACGAGTCTGCTCAACGTTTGTTCTAAAACTTGACGTCACTAGTATATATAAATATTTGTATATATGCCTAGTGATAAGGAATTTGCTGACGTCACTAGGACAAAGTAGGGCATTTGAAAGGGAAATTTTTTAACCTTGGTTAGTGGCTACGGTGTTACAGGTTCGAATAAATTTAGAAGTTAGTGCAGTTCAATAAAAAGGAGACTTGGAATGTTTGAATTTTCGAGAGTGCATATCCATTACTTTCTGACTCATTCATTCAAATTGTTGCGGCTAAGGTGTTCAAATTCTATAGACACAAAAGTAGTACTATATTGATATAGCATGCATGGAATTTTTTCGTTCAGCAGCTGGTTGCTAGGTGGAGCCACGCTCCTGACTAAAAAAATATAATAGATTAAAACTTTCTTTCAATATTAGATACTTTTATCTGAAGAAAAAAGAAAAGAGAGAAAGAAAATACTCTTCCTTCAATTTAGTTTTATTGTCTAAAATTTTTCTATTATTTTCTTAAAATAACTTTATTATCTTCTTTCATTTTTTCCCTCACTTCTCAATCAGTTATTTATAACTAAAGTTTTTTTTTGTTTAGGTGTAATATATTCCACCCTCCCAGTCTAAAGAATTTTTCCAAGGGATGCTCTACTGATCTGGGTAGTAAAATAACACAGTCTACCTCTTTCCAATTTAGAAACTAGTACTTATTCATTTATATGCATTGAAGGAGAAAAATTGAAGATTTACAAGTTCGTTAACTGACTTCTATCTGTGTTAATAACACTTATTGAACACTTCTCCGCAAAGCCGTCCACACATACATACATGTTAGTTGGACTGAATAAACACTCAAAAATTAGTACAAGTAAATTACTCATTAGATAATATAGGTTTAAATATCCATAACAATGGAAAGGTTTTAAATAATTACCAAATTACTATAATTATTGTAAATTATCAATATTTATTCACTAGTTATAACAATAACAATAGTACAAGTTAAAGGAACAAGTATAGAAAGTTTCTATAAATAGATATAACAAGTAATAAAACTTTTATGAAATACAAGAAAGAATTTCACCAATATGAACAGTTTTTGCTTTTTTTCAATGAAAATTAATATGATGCTACGCAATAGGTGTTTTATTCTTTTGAAACTAGTGCAGAATAAATTAACTAGTTACTGGATTAGTTGGGATTATAAAGAGGAAATAAATCAGTTTTTCTTATGGTAATTTTGCAACATTTCAAGCTGTTGAACTGAATATGAATGGATTATTATAATTTATTCATATCAGCATACATACCATTTGGGGATTAGTGGTTAGTAACGACTAAAAGAAACTTGTAGTGTAAATCAGAAACGAAACAAACCGCTTTTCTGGAATTAAAATTTTTGAATGAGATAATTAGAAGAGTATCGAAGAATGGGAGGGGCGGGAGGAATGAATATTAGTGGGTGTGGGAGGTTTTTAGATAAGAAATAGATAGATAAATAAAGTTGCACTTTATTTTCTAATTGATATAAATGTTACATAAAAGTCTATTTTTATTCTTTAGCTAGTAATATAAATGGTATTTAATACATCGAAAGCTATTTAAATCAACCATAATACTCTTACTATACTTTTAAAAGGAAATAGGTAGTTAAGTATAAAGAAGAGGTAATTTGATAAAAATACATTCATATATATATAAAAAATTTTAATTGAACACAATACGAGGAAAACACCTGTTTTAAGTTATTTTAAGGTTAAAATCGTACAATATTTGTTTTCATCATATTATGTACACATAAAAAATGTAGAGGTACTAAAGAACATGGAACTTGTACCAACAATTAAAAAATAAAAAGAAAGATTTAGTCAGATATTTTAGCATTCTGTAAAGAGTTTAAAAAGAATAAAGAGAAAAGGGCGTGGAAAGTGGAAACACCTAAACATATTTATTTATGAATAGGAGTGTAACAGTAACTATTTAAAAGATATTCGCCCTAGCGCATTTTACTTTCTATTATATATGTATATATATATATATATATATTCTATAAATAGGAAACAAAATGTTGTTTTGTAAAGTTTAACTATATTTTCTTCTAACCATGTATTAGTATTTTTATGGAGTAAACAGTGTGTATTTTGATATATGCATATATATATATATATATACATACTAATATATTTAACATTTTCCTTATATAACTGTTGTTGCTATCAACAATCCACTCCTCCCTTTTCTTTCACTCACTCATTGTTTTTTCCTTCCCTTCTACTGTATTTTTTTTTGTTTCTTTTCAAACAATCAACACGCTATTGAATAAAGCTAAAGAGCAATAAACAAACTGTCATTTTGCCCTTTTGTTCATATCGATTAACTTTTCACTGTCGAACAAGACTAAGAAGATAAAAAAATAAAAAAAAAAAGAGCTTCTAGAATTGTACTTAGTACAAAAATTTAACGTACTCTATGCATAATAGATCATTATGACAGTTTTTTTTTGCCATTTATTAATAGCCATGTAGCTATGTAACGATTGAATGTAAAAATCTTGATTAGACAGTCTTGTCTTCTTTTTTCTAAAATATGCGTAGGCGAAGGTTTTTTTGAACGTCCATACAGATGTTTTTCATTCACTTATGGTTCGATTATTTTTTTTTTAATTTATAAAAAAATTCTTTTTCGAGGTCGGATCAAAAAAAAATCTATATAGACATTAAAATACTTTATGTAGGCGTGCAAATGGATTAATTTGTTGTTACTTATGACGTCATGATTATAATGTAACAGCTGTATTGAATAAACTTTTTGCTGCCTTCATAAAAAAAGTATTACAGTAATATATACAATATATAAATAGATATAAAAAAGAAATAACTATAAAATTAAATTATTAAAGGTGTTTAATTTGAATATCTAAAAATAGGTGTTAATTTGAAGTGAAGTTATTACTATTACAAGGACTATGTCCATTATTATTTTATCAAGAGATAAGAAATAAAGATAATAGTTGTTTTTCTGGTTAAAACCGTCTGTTGATTGTTCAGTAGGAATATAAAAGATATGAAATAAAAATTTTCAGCTGTTTTATCAAGATAAATTTCACATGAAAATTGTATTCTTTAATTATTATAGTTTTTTTCGTCGTAATAACCTAATTTTTTCATGCAAAGAGTCTGTTTTCCTTTAAACTACTTTATTTACGACAAATTTAACTAAACAGAAAAGTAAAAATCCACTTGTTGTTGTAAATTGTCTCGTATTTCCTATCCTTATTTACTTTTATGTTTTAATAGGTTATTGAAATTTACTTAATAAAATAGGCAATTTTAAAGAAAATAGCAAAGATTGATGAGCCTCTATCTATAAGAAGATATAGTAAATCATTACGTTTTCTGAGAAAGTAAACAAAGGTGTTGTTGTCCTATTTAATTACTTAAGGATGAGGGGGCAGAGCTTTTTTAAAGAGATTAACGATTGTGTTAAAAAGTACTAGAGACTCTTAATTTATTTAACTCTTGAGCATGACAAAGGTTTCATTACAATTAAAGACAAGTTAAACTAATCAAAGTCCATTAGGTAGAGCCCGCGGTCAATAGCCACGTAGGTGTATCGATAATCCAGCTCTAGTGAAAAAACCGGTGTTTTCCTCTTCACGGTGAAAAAGTATTGCATAGGCTTTTTTGTGTATCTTCTATCCCAAAGTGATATTCTAGCGTGATTAGATAATCCGACTGCTATTGCATTGTCACCATCGGTTTGCAAACTATATACAAAACTATCAAAAGGATCGGAGAATTCCAAGATTGGCTTTGTCCAAGCCGATCTGGTATCCCAAAATCTGACGTATGTATCGTACCCTCCTGTTAGAATTGAATTGTCATCGTAATTTCTTATAGCGAGTATACCAGCTCCTTTTCTGTTATTCGATCCTAAAAAACCTAATAAAATCTCTTTTTCGAGATTCCAAATTGTTAGAGGAGAAAGAGCATAATTAAGATAGGATGTGCCACATACTATATGATCGTCTATGAATGAATTAGAAAGAATTCGATCATTTAAATTAAATTGAACTTTTTTTTCTATGTTTGAACTTTTCCATATTTTTAATACTCCGTCTTCCGATCCAGTGCAGATAGTATCTTTTGCTACTGATATACATAATATATCAGCCGCATGACAATTCTCTTTCCTCCATAGTAGATCAGCTGTAGAAGCATTAAAACAGGCCATACTCTTGTCTCTGCTTACACTATACAATTTTTCATCTTTGCAAACAAATCGGGTAACATCCTCATTATGTCCCCTAAAAATTTGATCTTCTCTCACGCAACCATTCTTAATCTTTTGAAAACCTATGATTTCTGATCCCAAAGACATCCATAATCGATTTCCATTACTTTGCAACCAAGGTAAATGAATTTCTTTTGTCTTCAAAACACTTTTCAATTTGAATTTCCCTTTTTTTATATTCAATTCAATTCTATATTTTTCCTTGGCTACATTTTTTTTTAAAGAAAATCTTTTGTCAATTAGTCATAAAAAGAAAAAAAACTAGTTTAACGAGTTCTACTACTTTTTTCTTGAACAGCTTAGGCCATCTATATTATATACTGTCTTTGAATAATAATGTGTACATTCAAAATTTTTGTTTATTGAGTATTTTAAGAATTATAAGCTTTGTAAAAAGTTCTATATTTACATTCTTTTATTGCGTAATAGCTTTTTTTTATTGTTGTTTATAGTTTATTTTCGAAAGATTAGTGTTACAAACACAGAAATTAATTATAGTTTTAAGGCTGAACAAATCGTCTTAGATTTCTTTATTTTTGTTAGGTGAGTAGAATTTCTCCTATCTTCTTTGTTAGAATATCTAAAAGTGAACATTTCACGCTGTGAAAGGTTTACTTTTAGAATATACAATTGAAAATAAGATAAATAGCTTCTAAAAAAAACTAAAGCTATTCTATACTCGTATTATGCAAGAAAACACATGTTCTTCTTACCATAAAATTTATTACATCTTTATACAAAGTTAATGCTTGGCCTTGGCTTACATAACTTAAGTATTACGCAATACATAAATCACTTTTGTAAGATAAGAAATGTTAAAAATCCTAATAAATTTTCTCGAAGAGTAAAAAAAATGTAGCCAAAGTACAATTTAGTTTACAAACGCTTGTTTCGTTCGAACAGCCCACTATAGTGTGACTGATTCTTTTGCGGTTCCATATACAATTTGAACTAAAAACTTTCCTGAATCTTCTAGATACCATTGATAGACGACACAAGGTTGTACTATCACAATAACTGGCTATATCTAAGAGAATATCGTCAGGTAATTCTCCGAAGGAGAACTTCCTATTTGACACATTAATTTGTTGTTCGTCGTACATAGACATATTACAGAATACTGCGGATTTAATGATAATATTCTAATTTCTCGTTCTACGGCAACGGAGTATTTCGAAATTATCATATTTCTTGATAAATTCACCTTTACGAAAGTTCTTTTCAAATTGCAAAACTAGTCAGACATGTTTTGTAGTTTCGTACACCGCGTGCTTGCCAACCGACTACGAAAATAACAATTTCCCCGCTAAAAATTTAAACAGAAAAAAAATGGAAAGAGATTATAGCGTCAGTCTGAAAAGAATGAAAATGTAAAAATGGAACCCTCTATATAAACCGATTTATTTATATAGACAAAAGCAATTTTTATGTTTTAACTATAATTAAAGTAATGAAAAATTTAACGATTCTTTTATTTTGTATATAATATAAACATGCATATGGCTTTTGTTGACGTCTAGACGTAGACATAAAAAATGGCGCAGCCTTTACTTTTTTTTAACTAAACTGTAAAATTAAATGTGGATTATGTTACTGGTGGGCGTTTTTATTGATATCCTACATAGTCCAACCAGCACTACTTTTGGTTTCCATATCAACAGTCTTAAGTCTCTTTAGAGAATGTTCCATAGAAAGTTGATTCCTTTCTCTATATTTTTTATATTCAGATAAAGAATACAAAAGTAAATCTATAAAATAGAATATTAGAGGGTTATGTTTGTCTATTTTGCTCATTTTCCCATCTATTCATTCAAACTATTAGAAGTAACAATAGAATATAAAGCTAAAATTGTTACCCATTTCATAAAAAGTTAATAGAATCATAATCTACTAATATAGGTCAATAAATTTATATAAAAGACATATATTCCCTTGTTTATCTCGTAACGACAAAACAATCCCCGATGTTTGAAAATAAATTACTCTTCTCTACTCCCTTTCCTTCTTTCAATTTAGAATCGAAGAGAAGAAGTAAATAAGGCATTTTCGATTTCTTTTTGAAAAAAGAAACGCTTACGTCAGCTTTTTGTCGTTTTCAATATCCGGATAAATTACTCCATTCTGACTCTCTATATTTACTTATAATTCGTATTCTACTAAATTGTTCTACTACTGTATATAGTATATTTATAGATATTAAGTGTTTGCAGTATAAAGTAATATTATATATTTATTAATAGTACGCTTTATAAAGGGTTTTTCATTGTATCAGTAAAAGTTTTGTATAACAATTAATATGCAAATTAGATATTGTTTTCAATGCGTCATCGTCATCATCATACTTTTGTATAATTGTTTATTTATATGACCTAAAAAATGTTGTGATAGGATTAAGTTCTTATTCTCAATTCCCACTCTCTCTCTCTCCCTCCCTCCCTGATCAACTAATTAATTACATATTATACGTAAAAACTGTATAAGTCGAATTAAAGAATATTCCAGAATATTTCACCTTTATGGAATAGTTCTTCCTTGAATAATTTTGCATAGTCCGTGTCGTTTTACATTGATTTATTAACTAATATATAAAAAGATTTATTTTTAGATTGTAAAATTACTCTATTTATATTGTAATTAACTATAGTATAATGGAAATAACGATTATCTCTATTGATAAATCGTAATATGTTACGTTTGATTCACATTTCAGAAATAAAAGTTATAGTTGAATAAGTTAGATGGGTTAATTATCCAATAGAAGATCAAAGTAGGTGGGCTAGATAGATAATAAAACTAGTTATACAGAGAAAGAAACAACTATCGTGAAAAGGGAAAAGAAATGAATATTTAATATACTAATATGAATATATAAATATATACTAGTATACATTATTGTAATGCGTAGATGAATAGATGAATTATTAAGTTGTATAATAGAGTAATTAGTTCCTTATCATTTCAAACAATTATTACTGTTTAATTACTTTTTCCCCGAATAAACCTATAACTGTCTATATAAAGTTTTGCTGATTAATGAAAATTTTTAAATAATATAAATGTAATTGAATTTAATAAATAAAATATACTATAAGTAGAAATATTCAATTTGTTAGATAGATTTTACTGATTACCTACATATGTTTACTATTTTTAGATAGAAATTAGATTTTTAGGAAATATGTCATGTGAAAGGAGTTAATTAATAAAGGTTATCTATATTTCTCATCTTTTAACATCCATGTTTTAAAACACTTTTGATGTATGCAACATTTAACCATGTGTTTAAGACTCTTATTAGAATATAGTATGTCATTTTTATTAATATTTATGCTTTAGATCATTAAAACTACATAATTGTTTTTAGAATGAATGTAATAGTAGCTTTTTCTCGTTAAGTACCATTCATAACCCTTTGATGTTTATTACGTAATTATACCATATTCTAGGAATATCATATCAGCTATGCACACATATATATAGAGTACACAGAAGATATAAAATCCTTAAACGTGACGAATTTCTTAAAGAAATCCCTGCTTTCAAACAAAATATCTACTATTTAAGTCATTTAATTGATAAAGGAAGGGGAATAGTCAATAGACATATTAGACAACGACTTTTTTTAATTATCTAGCAATAAGATTTTCTGTCATCCCTTGAGGTTTTTTGTTTCTTTTCTAAATCTGTAGATGTTTTATCTTTGGAAGAAAGAGAGAAAGAAGGAATGAAGTTAACGAGGAGAGAAAAGTGAAAGATAAGGCGGTAGAATAGGATATTTTACAAAGATTACAGTATATACATGTATTATAATAAGTCTCTAAGTGAAAGTCATATGTGTACAATATATTTTTTCAGGTTTATATTGTAGCCAACATCTGTAAGCCCAAGCTGGTATAAGCTTTCACAATAATCAAAAAGAGTAGATTGTATAGATTTTCCAGTTCGTTTATTCAATTAGAAAGACAAGGTATTTCTTCAAATTTCTCAACAATTACATATATTCAACAAATTATGTCTGCTCGTAAATGTGTATGTGTATGTACAAGTGATAATGTGTTCGTAGTGTTGAGAATTGGCAAGAAACATAGAGACTATACAAACAGAACCAAAAAGTTAATTAAGGGCTAAACTGAGGTAACAGCTGTATAAATTACAAATTACGTACTCGAGACAAAGCGTAAATAACATATAAATAAGTGGAAATTTAGATGATTGAAATAGATAATCTAAAACATTTCTTAGAGGACGTCTACAGTTCGAATCTAATCATAAACGAGGTAAACAAGATATTCAAGGATATATGTACATCACACAAAGAGTAATAAATATCTTATCGTTCACACATTTAGTTTATCTTCTTACTCCACTATAAGGATAATTTTGAAAAAGCTTCAAGATTAGCTTCAAAATTGTCATCATTTAAACCTCCCTTCAATTGTGGAGTTTGATACACGTATTTTACGTATTCAGGGCATTTAGAATGGCTTTGCTTTGAAAGTCTGTCCAATTGATTGCTTTCATTGATAAATTCAATTATACTTCTTAACCGATCAAGGTAACTCTTTCCATAAGTTTTCTTCAAGTATTCATGTATAGCTATGGTTACTTGATCTTGGCCCGCTTTTAATTGAGGATACCTTTGTGATGGTTTTAAAACTGTATAGGCCACGATGAGCATAGCTTCTTCTTGAGTAATTTGCAAGTTCATCATTCGCTTATAACTTTCTACTCTAAGATCTTCTCCTGTCTCTGGACTTAACTTTTCAATACATGCAAAATTGAGTTGCATTTGTTTCCCATTCAAGCACATTGTGAGTGTACCTGTCTCCGACACTGAGAGGGACCGGTTTGCAGTATATATTAATACCATGTAATTCAAAGCGGGTACTGTTAGTGCGATAAGCTCTGCTTTCGAAAGATTTTCTGTTCCGGGCAGGCACTGTACAAATGATACTAAATATCTCAAAGCCACTCTTAACAGTTCCTCCGACAGATTGATAAATGTTTTACGATTATCGGGTTCGATACCTGTAACAGAAACAATGTCCATGTAGTCTTGAATACTGAAGAATTCAATTTCATTCATTTGATTTATCTCATCTATCATATTATCCAAATTAGAAATTTCTTCATGCCAATTAATATTTTTTAGCTGTGAAAGACTTATGCGACATTGAGTTAAAACATCTTCAGTGATAGAGAATGATGGTGAATTAGGTAAATTGATTTTTCGACTAATTTCGTCACCATATATTAAACTTTCATTATATCTTTTTCTCTTTTTTGAATAACGACCAATCTTGATCTTATCCCGGGACATACCGGCCATCAGACACTTTTGAAATCGGCAATATTTACAAAGGAACGCATAATCATTTTCAGGTATACAATCTTGTCTTCCAGTCCGACATTTATAATCTTGATGCTTCTTCTCTCCTCGACGAAAAAATACTTTACAACCTTCGCAGGTGTAACTTCCGTAGTGTAGGCTAAAAAAATGTTTATCATGTAAAATATTATAAATGATTTAATAAATTTATATAATAAAATATATATTGGAAAGATAGACGGTGGAAGAGAGAAGAAGAGAGAAAAGGGACAAAGGAGGTCCAAGGATTAGTTGATAAAAGATTGAATGAAAAGCACATTAGAATAGAAATTAAATTTGAATTTTCCAACAGATTTACTTTTATTGCAAAATTTAAAATCTTCGTTATCTTATTCTGTTTGTTTTGTGTTTCTTTAGCTTTTTACAAAATGGCAACAATAATTATTGAATTATATATAAAAAGTTAAAGAGTTATTGAAGAGCATATTTTTGAAGGTCATCTAGAAGATTTTTACTCTCCTCCACTTGACCAATATTATAAAGAAACTTCAATAGAACGCCTGGAAAAACGTAATTCAAGTATTTTTTATTCTGCTCATAAAACTTTTTTACTAGTCCATCAAATTGCTTAAAATAAGCGAGAAAATTAATGATGCTTTGGAGACGTATTACGAAAGAATTGCCATAAGTGCTCTGCATATAACGAGTAAATGCCAAAACTAAACGATTATGTGCAGCCATGGATTCTTTACATTTCTTTTGAGATGATACAAGATTAATGGCAAGGATTAGCATAGTTTCTTCCCAAGTGAGTTGTAAATTAAGGAATCGTTTATGATATTCTATATGGAAATCGGCTATTTCTTGATTGGATATTTGTATCATATGATTTCTGTCCAACCCTAATCGGTAATTTTGAAGGTTGAGGAAAAATTCTTCACCTTGCCATGTATATACCCCTAGAACAGCAAATGTTAAATGTACAATATTGATTGAAGATAGGATATTGAATAAAATTTCGGCCTCTCTCAAATTCATCATTCCTGGTAGTTGTCTAGCAAAGGGGAATACATTTTTTATTGCAACTTTAAAGAAATTCTCAATTAAGATTGAAGAATGCTTTCTCTCATCGGCTTCGACTCCGGTTACTTCTAGAATATCCATGTAATCATGATTAGATAGTCTTGCGTCCTGTGCTTGTAAAGCTAAATTAAAGCCTGAATGAAAGTTTTCGATTTCCGAAGTCCATTGAATATTTCGCATGTGATTAAATGCGATAGAGCATAAAACTAGAAGATCATCAGCGTCTGAGTAAACAGGTAATTTAGGGATATGAAATTTAATTTGTCTTAATTCTGCTAATTGTTTCATATTTTCTAAACGTCTTTCCCTGGAATATGGACCGATTTTAATTGCTCCTTTGGACATTCCGACTGACAAACACTTGGAATATCTACAAAAACGGCACAGGAATGTGTAATCGTTTGCAGGTGTACATCGTTTCTTCCCATTACGACACGTATACTGTTGATGCCTATGTTCACTTCGCCGGAAGAAAACTTTACAAGCTTCGCAGGTATTTGCTCCATAATGATAACTAAAAATACAATGGATCTAAGAGATTTTTATAACTATCGAGTATAGTTTTTTCGCAACTAGGGTAATTTAAGCAGGTAGAATCTCTTATCTTTCATCATCAAACTTATTTCTCAGGCTGAAAATCAACAAAAGCAAACAAACAAAATTTTTTTGTCTTTTCATTTTATTCTTTCTCCTTATTCCTTGCTTTTAATTATAAAAAATCATATAAATAAATATGTCTTTTTCTTTAATAAAAAAAATGAATAAATATCTCAACTAATTAAAAACTTATTAATATTCAGATTATTCATTTTTTTTGCTTGAAATAACGAATAAAAAGAAAGAAAAGTTTGTTTGTATTTTTTACTGAGCTTCAATTATTATGTCTCTCTTTTTAATTTGTCGAGTTATGATCAAATAATCATATAAGTAAAAAAAATGGACGATTTATTAATAAAATTCGTATTCCAAATACGCTTATATAAATCATACTAAAAATTAACAGTCTCTTGACTCGTAATGGATCCCATTAGATTTTTATTAATGGATAAGTTATTCACATAAAAGTTAATTGAGAATTTATCTTAATCGAATATAGACCGTTTCAGAGTAAAGTCCTGGTTTAAATGGATGAGCATTTGTCAATTAAAATCTCAAGAGAATCTCTAAATCATTTAAATTATTCAATCTAAAGACATCAGTTTTTTATTTATTTATAAGAAAGTAGTAGTAATTTTATTTGTTCTTTTTAAAGTTATCTTTATGGTGATGAAATAAAAGTCCTAATTGTTTATATATTATCAACGTATACTATAATTTATTATTGTGTAGACTACAAGAATATTATTTGCTCTTAACTATCTTATACATTGTTTATTGAACTCTTATTTCACTTTGAGAGCTATGGGGTTTTGCTTATCGTACAGCTACAATAAATTAGAGTTAACAACAAATTGCCCATACGTGATTAGCATCTGTAAAAATAAAGAGAACAAGGATAGCAATAAGTTGTCTCTAATAATTTGATAGGGCCTTTATTACTGTAATATTTCAGCTTGAGTGTTGTTTATATGCTTTTATAACCTTTTTCCCCCGCCGGAAAACTCCATTTAAGATAAATAATTGAACGATACACACAGTTTTACACGGAAATTGAAAATTCAATGTTGAATTACAAATGATCCTTTCCGGTTCTATAATCGAATATTCATTAAATTTTTTATTGATATAGACAAATTGAAGAATGCAGAGCTTTTAAAGAAATATATTCTTTGTCAAACGAAGACGCTTTAATTCTATATTCCTTCTAATACATTATTAGCGAAATTAATTACTAGTAATTGTATAATTGATCTTCTCTTGAGACAATTCGAGTGGGAGTAAAAAAAATATGTGCACAAAGAAGGAAGACGTTCAAGGTTATACAAGCGAGTTTTCTTGGAATTTTAGTTCAATGTTAGACTATATTGTTCCATCGGATAATACAATAGTATTATCAATGACTTGCCACGCTGTCTAACTTATCATCCTAAGCCACATGACAGCTCTCATAGTTCTTCAATAACGTTTTTAAGAAGCATTTAACATGTGGGAAAAGACACTCTAAGTAATTTTTGTATTATGATGTTAACAAAACAGTATAGGTGTTTTAATGATTGATATGCAGTATATATATATATATATATATATATATATTTCATTATCTTTACGTGGAAATATCCTTTGGAATAGGCTTCAATTAGTGCTATTAATTATTACATATAACAAATGAATAGCTTACAATAGGAATACCGTAACTCTTTCCCATTTTAGAAACGCAAACGCAGTAGTTTTAATCCTTTTTCCCTTCGCACAATGAGAAAGAAACTTAACGAGATTCTCATTAAAGTTATCAACGTTTTTAAGGAAAGAATAAAGGGAAAGTGAAAACTTTGTTCTCTTACAATTGAACATTCCCATTCCATCAGAGTGTCTACTGTGACAAAGAGCAAGTGCTGAGAAGTAAATATATTTTGTATTGTAGTTTTCAATGAACTTTTTCCTTACTTATCACACAAATGGTGTATCACTATATACTATACAGTATATATTAGTATATAGATATAGCATATATATTGACTTTTCAATAGATAAACTTGCTTTATTCTTTACTCACAGATGAAGCATTCCGATTGAATTCCACCCAATAAACTTTTCACCCCACTTTACAAACAATACCTTATTATCAAATTAAGCCTAGTCACGTCAAAACTATCTGTATAATCCGTCCCTAGTTATACGTATTTTCATTCAATAAAGACTCAATAGCTGCTAATTCGTAGAATATATTAATTATATTTTAGAAATTCATATAATAACAATATAGGTAATCAACGAATTATACGGTTGATTTATCATAAATTCATTAATTAGAATTAAGTCAACTAATTAACTGCTGTTTCAAATTCAAGAGACAGACAGCAAAAGTACATAGAATAAAATGTTGTACGTTAACCACAAAATCTATCTTTCTCCACTTTTAGCTTCGTAAAAGAAGAAAATAATCGAAGAAAATGACATTAATTAAACGAAATAACAAAACTAAATAAATCAAAACAATTTTAACTTTTCAATACTTGCAATATTCTCTTCATAATCACCGAGACGGTACATACTTTTAAATACTGGATTTTTAACCGTTTTACTTAAATATTCTCCATATTTTTGATATTCTTTAACAATAGCTCTCTGAAATTCGGCTGATCTTACAAAGAAAGATAGCAATTGTTGCCATCTTAATATTGACGATTTATTATATTTATTTTCTAAATAGTTGGATAATTCTACAAGTATTTTTTTATAATAATATGCTAATATTGGTGATTTACGACTTTTAAAAAAGTTTAATGAACAAATAAGAACAATTTCTTCTCTTGTGAAATTGATTTCTTCAAAATCTTTTGCAAATTGTTTTAGTTTTTCAAATGTAATAACAGTTGATACACTTTCTATTAATTCAGTATTAACTGTTATGTTAGTATCGCATAAATGTACATTATATTTTTTATCGAACCAATCTTTAAGAATATTTAAATGTAGGAATAAATAAATAAGAGTTACACCAGGTACAAATCTTGTTATCTTTTCTCGTTCGCTTAATTTATCAATTCCAGGTAGATTATTTAAACAATTTGCAAACAATTGTATATAGTGAAAGAAATAGTTTTCAGAAGCTTTAAAAATTTGTGCCCTACAATCTAATTCAACACCTGTTACCTCCCAAACGTTCACAAATTCTTCGAGTGATACAAAGTTATCTTGAGGCATTTCTGCCGCGCTAGCATCAATTTGAATACTGAACGAAGTTACAGAAGATAAAACTAATAACGGAGAAAAGGCATTCATACATATACTTAGAATATCATCCGCTTTTAGGAATGGAGAATATAGACATCCACGATCATTTAATTTATTAGAATTACCTACAATATTCAATTTTACAATTTCATTATGTTTTATTCTAGTATAACGTCCGTATCTAGTACGATATCTGGACATTCCTATCCTAAGGCATTTGTTATATCGACACTTTCTGCAAACAAAGCCGTTAAGACCCGGATAGCAGTTATCTTTTCCGGATTTACAATTTAAATCCTGTATCTTATTCTTGTAACGACTGAAGAACACTTTACAGGCTTCACAAGTATATGCTCCAAAGTGAAAGCTAGAAACAAAGATTAAACGGTATTTAACAATTGTCTCTGTTTTTTTTTTTACTTTCAAATGTGATTGAGTGAGGGAAAAAAGAAAAAAAAAGCATACATTTAGTAGGTTACATAGTAATTTTATTTTTATAGCTTTAATGCTTTGATACTACGAAGATTCTCTTCCATATCACCAACTCTGTACAAGGTTTTTACAATTGGACTTTGGTATACGTAAGAAAAGTATTTCTGATTTTTTCGTAACATTTTATAATGATTCATAGAGAATTCTCTCATATATGCCAAAGTATTTACGACGCTTCTCATTCTTTCCAAATAGCGATGCTGATATGTCATCTGCATATATCTAGTGAAAGCTTTATGTATGCGTTTTTGTGCGTTTATTAATTGCGGATATTTCTTTTCAGGTGATACTAAGCTTAAAGCGAAAAGTAGTAAGATTTCTTCAAGGGTTAAATCTAAACTAACTAGCCTAAAATGGTAGTCCTTTAACGATTCTACATGTTCCTCATCGGATAGAGGAATTAAACCTCGATAGTTCATTTGTAACTTTTTTCCCTCAACGTTAACAACGAAATATTCACCCTCGAATGAATGCATCATTTCCGTTGTTAACGCTAAATGAAGAAGAGACGTACATGACAATAGTCTACACAAAACTTCCGACGAATTCATATCATTTAAACCTGGTAACTGTTTAGCAAAAGGTAAAATGTTTAAAAGTACAACTTCCATAAAGTTTTCGATAACACTAATAAAACTCTTTCTATTATCTACTTCAAATCCAGTAGTTTCCAAAATTTTAGTATAATCCTTTAAAGAGAATAAACCTTGCTCCATCATGTGAATTGCTCTTTCCATTTCTCCGTGTAAATTTTGAATTTCTTTAGTCCATCTAACACTCCTTATATTAAGGAATGTATTACAAGATCTCATTAAAATGTCATCAGCGTCTGTATTGCTAAATAGATAAGGCGTACTTATAACGTTAGAACTATTCTCTCTTATTTTATGATATAATATTTTGTGTTTTCTTCTTCTATCATTTGTATAACGGCCCATTTTTATTTTTTCCTGTGACATACCAATCTTTATACACTTTGCAAATCTGCAATATTTGCAGGTGTAAATAAATGTATTAGTAGGTTTGCATTGGCGTTTTCCATCGCTGCATTTATAATGTTGCTTCTTATCCTTATTACGATGAAAGAAAATCTTGCATGCTTCGCACGTATATGCTCCATAGTGAAAACTATAAGGAAATATATAAACTGTAGTCTATTTTAATTCATCACATCGATCATAATCATTCAAGCTGCCAATTACATCCTAAGATAAAATGCTTCGAACGTGCTTATAAACAGGTAAATAAATGTCCATATATATATACTGTATATATGTATATAAATGGATATTTATAAACGAAATTGAATTTCTAGAAATTCGCTATCCTAAAGTTTCCTGTTCTTGTAAAAAAAAAAAGATAAGTATCCATGGTAATAATAATATTTTCATTGATTTTTCCTGGAATTGAAACAACAGAGAAAGAGAGAGAAGTGTAAAAAAATATACATATAAATGCATATTATTACTTTCGCTTTGAGTTTTGTTTTTGTTATTTTTTAAATTATAATTCGACAGGAACAACAATAAAAAGAGAACAAATAGAATGAATAGAGTCCACATAAAAGTGAATATATTGAGATGATAATACACTGTTATAGTTTATCAATGTAAAAAGTATTATTAGTATAGTTTATTTTTCTTTGATAAAAGTTCAGCAAAGCCTTGGCAATTTTGTTCTATTTCTACCATAGCGTATGATGTTTGTTTTGATTGATCGTTAAACCAAAGAGAAACGAAAAATTTACTTTCGTACAAGTGCATTAAATAATTTTCATCCTTTTTTGCTTTCTTTGTTACGAATAATGTTTCCTTCATTGATCCCATATAGCTTACTATTTTATGTATTCTTTTATGATAATCTTTACCATAGGTAGATTCTAAATATCTCGTAAAACTTAACAACAATCGATTGTAGGCGGATTGAAATTTTGGAAATTTGTTCTTATCCGATAGAAGAGTTATTGTTAGAACGTAGAAAATCTCTTCTAGAGTTAGATTAAGTGGAAATGTACAACCGGTTATTACTTTTAGAAAATGCGATAAAGGTTCCCCGTGAATATCTGTAATATTTTCCCAGCTTAACGGTAGTGACCTATTGTTAACTTTTAAAACAAATGTATCATTTTCCCAATAGCTTTGAGACAAGGCCATTATAGCCATACAAATGACATCGTAATTCTTGACAAGGTTATTTATAAATTCTAATGGTTCTATTTCACTTAAACCGGGTAGTTTCACCAAAAAGCTTATAATTTGGGTGAATACTATTTTTAGAAGCCTCTCGATGAAAGATGACAATGCTTTTCTGTTATCGATAGCCAGGCCAAGCGTTTCAAACACATCCATATACACTTGCCGGTCAAAGAGGCCCGTTTCAGCAACACTTGCCGCTTCGTTAAAGATCATATCGAAATTTTCAATTTTATTTGACCAAATAAGATTTCTTATTTCATAAAAAGTACTCGCACCGAATACGACAAAATCATCCGCGTCTGAATAAGGTAAAAGATGGGGTGTGGCTAATTTTCTCTTTTGCATTTCAGCAACTAATAGCCTATTTTTTAATTTCCTTACGATGGTATATGGTCCGTGCCTTATAGCGTCACGAGACATTCCGACTTTCAAACATTTAACGTATCTACACAGTTTGCAAGGGTAAACACATTTGTCAGATGGAAGACAATTCATTCTACCCGTTCGACAAGTGTATTTCTTATGTTTTTCCCAGCTCCTTCGGAAGAAGACTTTACATGCTTCGCAAGTGTAGACTCCGTAATGCAAGCTGAATAGAAACGTAACAGATTCGATCTTATTAACTGTATCCATAACGGAGAATACTTAAACAAAGCGAAGCGCGACAAAACAAAACCAACATACCACCAAAAAATCTTTGAACGCCAAAAGCGGAACTCACTAAAGCAATATTCCAATCGTATTTGAAGAAATAGATAGAACAGAGGGATTTTAATTAGGAATGCAAACAATTTCATTGTATTATTCTTTCTCTACATAATTATGATAAGTTAATACTATAACAATTTTGTTAGAAAAGAAACAGATTTCTATGTTAGCATAGGAGTATATTCTGTATGCAGCATATATTTTTATAAAGCTCTTTCATTACCCGCTAATTTTGTGGAATGTGAACAGACGTAATATTTCTTAAGTGATCCTCCAGATTACCTAATCCATAAACAGCTTTTACAAGTGGTTTTCTATATACCAAATTGTAATATTTCAGACCGTTCCTGCTCCCTCCTGATCTAATAAATGGACATTGACTATAATGAGACATCAAAGCTATTATAGCCTGAAATTTTCTTATATAATCTCTTCCGTAAGTAGTCGTTAAGTAGCGAGTGAATGCTGACACCATCCGTTTATAATGATAATTTAAAACAGGTATACCCCTTTGGGGTGATAAAAGATTTAGTGCGCATACAAACGAAAACTCTTCATCTGTTAATTTACACTCTTGCAACAGTACCTGACTTCTTCTTTTAAAATCTACTAGCCTTTCAGACATAACTGCTCGCGCTACTTCAATTCCAACAACAACTTTATGCCCATTTAAGTTGATAATCAAAAATTCATTTTCGAGTGCGCATATATTTTCCATACTCAAAACCAAATGTAAAAGACCTCCTGAACTAAGAAAGTCGCGAAAGAAATCCTTCCTTTTAACCTCCATCATACCTGGCAATTGTTTGATAAATGGTAAAAGTTTCAGTAAAACTACTTCCAATAAATCTTCGATCAGTTGTAGCGCAATTCTTCTATCATCTACGTGCTTTCCAGTCCCCTCTAGCACTTGTACAAACGTATCTATACTATGAACTGGACTATAGATGCACTTTTGAATATTATACATAATCTCCTGAAGATTTGGCAGAGTATCAAACCATTTAATTTGTCGTATTGAGTAAATATTATTGGAATTTCTAATTATTAAATCGTCGAGATCTGAATAAGCAGGTAATAACGAAATAGTAACTACATCTGGCGGCTGAAATTGTTTTTTATTCTTTTCTTTAATGATTTTTTGAGCATAACGTCCTCTAACAATTTTTTCTGTTGACATTCCAACTACTAGACATTTCCTAAGTCTACAACTCTTGCACAAAAATGTTGAATTTTCATTAGGTTGGCAAGTATTTTCTCCAATGATACATTTAAAATGATCCTTCTTCCGACAACGTCGAAAAAATAGTTTGCAAGCTTCACAGGTAACGGCTCCGAAGTGAAAGCTATAAAACATACATTAGAGTACTCCTAACTTTTTATTTTACAAATTAAATGTTATTTTCAAGACTATTTTATTATTTGCTATAATCAATCATACGATGATATGCTAAATATATAAATATATTAGTATATATGTCATCCTATAGTATTATAGAAAATTAATAAATTATTAAAAAACAAGACATTTCATTACATTTTCTTTCCTTATCTATCGTTAAAAGAATAAATTGAATAGTCCTTGAATAATATAAGATTTGATAACAGCGAAAAATAAGTGTTAAGGTCATTTGAAAATGTATATATACAGTAGATATACATATACTGTATATTACTATCTATGCATTTTTTATCGTATATCGTGTTAAATAATATTACGAATAAGCTTTTCATATATTTAATGTATTGATGAATATTGTTTTATAAAAGAGAAAGAAAGACTACTTATAGCAGGATAAATGGGTGATTGTCTTCTTAATAAACATAAAACAATTACTTGCCAATGCACATTGATTGTTAAAATTTCCATCTAAAAAAAGTAACCTAGAATTCAATATTCTTTTATAAAATGAATTCGCTATAAGTACAATTGATTTAATATATTTCTTCTACCTAAATAATCACCTAGTATTAAAAATTAGATATTATTAAATTTAATAAGTCTCTGCCTTTTTCATCATCTCTCCTATTTATATTAGTATGTTATCTGTTTCTTATGCAAATTATTAGAGAGTGAAAAATGATTTTTGAGAATATGAATCGAAAAAGATTTCAAGCAAATGTTTAATAGATTTAAGGTAGTAGTCAATAGCAACACCTCATGCCCAAAAAGCTTACAGTAGTGAGTGACCAACGGACATTGAAAAAGTAGTAAATTTAAGGATTTACAATAACAACAGAGTAATATATAACTCAGTGGATGGTCTTTTTTACATTCCTTCTAGATAATTATTTTTCTCGAAAAACATTGATGAATCTATTGACATTGATTTTAGAGCCTGATTAATTTGTTCAACTTCTTCGATTGTTCCCCCATGATATAAGAGCTTTAGAAAACAGTCATTATTGTATATATGATCTATATACTCTTTATTATTGTTTATCCATTTGATTTCATTTAATTTACTTTCACTTGCAAAACTTAAAAAACTAACAATATCGGAAAGTCTTTTCTCGTATTTGTGACCATACTGCCTTTCCAAGTAGCGAGTAAAAGTTAAAGCAATCGTCTTGTAAATTGGTCCAAAGTGTGGAAATTTCGTATTTGGTTTTACAAGACAAAATAGCAATATAATTACTGATTCTTCAAATGTTAGTGCTATATCTTTGTAACGATTAAGAAATTGTACTTCTTGTTCATAAGATTCTTGGTCAGAAAAATCTACATAACTTTCTTTATCCAAAACAAGTTGGGAACCCTCTGGGAATTCTAACACAAACTTATTGTTCATAAGCTTGCAGCGTTCGTTAGGAAAATATAACCAACCAAACTGATCATAGTGACTAAGAATATTTTTCCTGAAGCTATCTTCATCTAATTCAATCATACCAGGTAATGAACGTAACAAAGGAAGTACTGCTAGAAAGTTTTGCTTTGAAATTTCGTCCGATAATTGCATATATTGTTTTCTTCCATCTAATTCAACTCCTGTCACCTGCCAAACATCCATATAGATATCTTTTGATACTGTTCCATTTGCAAGTATATTACTTGCTTCGCCGCAAATTTCTTTATAGCTTGGTGACCATTTTACTGATAACAGTTGAGAGAATGTAACGGTAAATTGATTAAGTAAATCGTCAGAATATGTGTGCCTTGGTAAAAAAGGTATAAAACTTTTCAAACGTTGATAATTAGCTCTCTTCTTCATATTTTCTTCATGTCTAACCTTTGAATAACGTCCAACTTTAATAGCAGATCTCGACATTCCAATTTCAATACATCTCTTATATCTACATGCTTTGCAGGCGAACAAAAAACGAAAATTTGGACTACATAATTTCCGTTCATTTTTACATTTATAACTTTCATGTAATTGTATACTTCGGTAGAAGAAGACTTTACAAGCTTCGCAAGTATCAGCTCCATAGTGATAGCTGTTAAATGATAAGTACTGTTCAGCACCCTACAAGTCTTTATTGATTTAAATTTTTTCAAATTTCTAATTTATTTACAATCATAAAATCCTAAAGATTTTTATATTGCTACGCCCTGTAATTGAGAGAACCGCCCTGTTCTCCTACTAGAAATAATTGATCACCGTTCTGCGAAAAAAATCGCTTTCAGCCAGGTAACCATACTTTTCTATTATTAATATCATTTCTTGAAATTTTATGTGATTATCGGTCAATGTATGCAACAACTACAACTATTACACAATCACTTTTTCAGCTGAACGTAAGAAAGTATACGAATGCTAGCGATAAGAGTTATCTCATAATTTGGTTGTATTTAATACAGAAATAGAAGAGAAAAGTACAGAGAGGAGATAACAGATAAAAAGAAAGCCTATTAAACGTAAAAAGATATTTTTAAGTATTTCTTTTTCTGGAAGGACAATGTAAAGAAAAAAAAACAAGTTTTTTTTTATCAATTTTTGTTCTGGTGTTTTCTACAGATAAGATAATCATTAACCTTTCACCTTCTCTAAACAAGTGCCACGAAAGAGAAAAAATAAGACAAATATAATGAAATCATTCAATAATATGTAGACAACAATAATTACAATATTGAAAAAATCAAGTGGTGAAAATCAGTTAGAAAGCAAAAGAGGTCTTTTTTTTCTGCTCTTGTCTAGTTTCATTCAATCTTATTATGGATACGGTTTTGAACGAATGTAACAATTTATTTATTTAACTTGGTCAATATGCTTTTTTTTTCTCTCTTAAGTTCTATCCATTTATCGAAAAATCTTCAATTCTCTGAACAATCTTTAACTTATACGATTAAAAAAAAAAAGAATTTCGCGTAATATCGATAAATGGTATAGAATGGAAGATATCAAGGTTTTAAAAGGCTAATGGTACATACCCAGAAGAATTTCCTCCGCAAACTTGACAAGGAGGTAGAACAGTCTTCGTTTCGAGAGGCTCAATTTGTCTCACGCTATTCGAATCAGATGAGCTTACAGTAGAGCCTGGAGGTGAATCACTGTCATTGCTATTTGCAATTTGATTAATGAAATCGGTCAAGTCATCATCTATGTAATTCAATTCATCCATTTTCGGTAGATCAACTGTACCAAAGTTTATTTACATTCAATTATTGTCATTCAAAAATTCTACAAAGATCTGTTCAACGAAAAAAAAGGTCTTCAAGGCTTTAACTGGTTTCTATATGCGTCATAGTTTTACCTGTATATCGTGGCGCCGCCTGTCGAATTGTTAACTCTGATAGTTTCGTATAAAGTTGATAAATTCATTATAAAGCACACCTAACGTACATATCTATGAAAGCGATGTTTAAAGAAATCAATAACTACATATAAATGATACATAACCTGTTATACACGTTTTAATTAGGCAATATATAAAGAGAAGGTATAAGAAAAGACTTTGGAAAAATTTTAAGCAAGAGTTCCCCTACCAATGACAACTTTATCATACAATAATTCTTAGATAAAGATAGTCAATTGGGGATATAGTGAGCCTCACCTGTATTTCTTTTCATATATTTACATACGGTTTTGATATGCTGTCTCCGAGTTCTAAGAATAATAACTAAACAATTTCAATAAAATCTTCTGGAATTACTAATAAATAATAGATGAAGAAATTGATTAGTATCTATTCTATTTTATTATTGAGTTCCTAACCAATAATAAGTTATATATAAAATAAAATGCCTTTATACTGTATAATTTCAATTTCTATATAAGACAGCAACTAATGAATATATATATAAATACATATATATATATATATATTAAAGAAAAGATAAGGGAAAATAATAAAGTTTCTGATAACATTTTATCAATTTATAAAAAAATAAAAAAACTAATCGTCCCGAAATAGAACTTAACGAATAAAAATATTCATAGATAAGATGAATACGTACCAATGACGAAGCTATATACTCCCACACATTTCATGCATGCATGAATATGTGCGATATACAGTATATATATATATATATCTAATAAAAATAACCATATAAATTTACCTCCTGCAACGGTTGATAACATAAAAATAAACAAGTAAAAACAGTTGACATAGCAAAAGAGTCATTTAATCTTTTGTACTAGAATTTAATAACAGAAAACTAATATGAACAATAAGTTAAATATTGTCAATTTAAGTTTCTTTTACTTTATATACATTTCCTGTATTTTTTTAATATTACTCTCATAATCACCAATACCATGTGATGCTTTGACTAGAGGATTTGTATAAATAGTATCCAGAAATTGGTTATATTTATACATATATTTTCTTGGAACTGAATTAAGTTGTGTTAAAAAGGCTACTAGATTTATAATTTCTTGCATTCTCTTGGTTGAATCTCTCCCATAGTTCGTGTCCAAATATCTTGAGAAAGCTAGAGTCATGCGATTAGAAGCTGTTTTTAAAATTCCATTGTGACTATTGCATATTGCCAATAAGTGAAGAGAACAAACAAACATAACTTCTTCATGCTTTAAATTAGCTTGAATAATTCTATTGTGACATAATTTTTGCAGTCTTACATTGTCCTTTCCCAATGTGTTTTCTAGGCTATGTAATGGATGACGGGTAGAAAAACCATTATAAGTAACTACAAGGTTGTCATCTTCAAAACCTAATATATTTTGGCTAGTTACAGCAATATGAATTAAAGCTGCAGTCATAAGAAACAGCCTCCAGAAGCTTTCCCCTTGTAGTTCACACATTCCAGGTAATTTACTCACAAATTTGTAATAATCTGTTAAAATTATCTTAAGGAACTGTTCATTGTGTTTTAAATAGACTCTCCTATCATCCAACTCTTTACCAGTAGCATGCCAAACTTCTATAAACTCTTCAAAAGAAATAGTATAGTCATATTCAGATGGGCTTGTTTTCTTTGCGGGGCAAATTACTTCAGACCAATCTAGATTTTTAAATTCACAGAAATTGTTTGAACACATAATTATAAGGTCATCAGCATCCGAATGCGAAGATAATAATTGTATCTTTGATACGGATTTGCTTGAATTATTTAATTTTTCCAATTGTGAAGCTCTAATTTTTGATTGACGACCCATTTGAACTGCTTTTTTTGACATTCCAATATCTAAACAACGTTTTAATCGGCAATATTTACAATTAAATGTAAAATTTACACCTGGACAGCAAGTTTTTCGACCGCTCAGACACTTAAATGTACCCATTTTCTGATTATTTCGAAAATAAAATATTTTGCAGGCTCTACAAGTGTATGCTCCATAATGATATCTAATAAAAAGAAAACATAGTAGTAGATAATCGTATCTTGAATCTTTAAAAATTGTTTATGCAAAGTAAATTACGGCGTTGTTAAGAATGTTTAAATGAACAAGTTTTATTTAAAAAATCGGTAATAGCAAAGAATGTTTTGCATCTTGAATAAAGGTGTTAAAAGATAACATAGTTACATAGTACTATATGCATACCCTGTTGATTTTGCTCCACAAACCTGGCAATTCGGTAAATTTTTGTCATTTTCCGGTTCATCTATTGGGACATCAGCAAAAAATTCATCGGGACTGCGATCATCATCACATATCTTTGTTACAAAGTCCATAAAATCTATATTCAAGTCTTTGAAATTATCTGCAGACATTCTTTCAGGAATATTTGAAGCTATTTTCCAATATATCTTTGACTATTACAATACTATTTAGTATAGCAAAAGGTTAGTGAACCCTAATAAGTTGGATAGGTGGAGCTGCGTTAGTGTAATAGGATAGCAGAAAATATCCGCCAAATTTATTGTTTTTTATTAGAAAATAAAAAGTCAAACTTCATTAATTTATAAATAACGTCTTATATAAAAGTGAATTGAACAGTAATATATCAATTTAAGAATGTCGAGTTCAATCAAATTTAACTTTTAATATTTCCTTACTGATCTTTTTTCAAATTAAATCCTTCTATTTCAAATGTTACGTCATTATTCTTTAGTTAGAGAATACCTCAGAAAAGAATCAATAATTAAAAACTAAATATAGATTTCTATTTTCATAATATATAGTGAGTCATTGACGTTGAGTATACTGTACAGTATTGTACAAAAAGTACATTCCCATTTCGGTTTATTCAGTAATGAAACAACAATTAATAAGATTTATTATGTAGAATATCAGAGATAAGTTCCATTTTTTCATCAATTTCGTTACTTAATCCACCATAAATAATTCTAAACATTGGTGTCTTATATACCCAAGAGAAATAATCTTTATAACATTCTCTCCATTTATTGTATATAAGTCTTTTCTCTGACAAAAAGCTTAAAAAGTTTATGTAATCCGCTAATTTTAAATGATAAGAATCTCCATATATTCTTTGAAGGTATCGTGTAAGTGCCATAACAAATCTATTATACGTCTGAGGTGAATATTTAAAATCTTTTACTGGCATTGAGAGACTCATTGCGAAAATTAATAATAACTCTTCCCTATTTAGGTTCATTTCATCTTTACGGTTTATAGCCTCGATTCTTTTATCGACTAGATTGTTCCCTAGCCATAATTTAAGGGTTTCACGAGAGAGCTTTACGGAACCATTTCCTAGAAAAATTTCTATACCATTTGAATTTCTATAAACTGGTGCTATCAAATTGACCAAACAAAAATCGTATTCGTGATAACATAAGAGTTTTATAAAGTCTTTGTCAGATATCTCTCTCAAACCTGGCAAACCTTTTAACAGAGGTAAATAATTTTGTACGCCAAGTTCAAATATCTCACAGTGTTTTCCTGTAAATTCTGCCCGATCATCCATCTCTATACCTGTTACTTGATGTATATCTATAAAATCATCCATGGAGACGAATGTTTTGTTGGATAATAAATTTAAATATTTTATTTGCTCATCGAATTTATCAATTTTTCTAGTCCAATTACTTTGAAGAATATTATTCAAAATAGAGAAACAACTTGAAATAATATCATCAGCGTCAGAATAAACTGGCAATAGTTCTGCTGAACATTTTGATTTAATATTGGATATTCTTTTTAGTTTCTCTGCATTCGTCTTTTTTGAATGTCTTCCTACTTTTATTCTTGTTTTTGACATTCCTTCACTAATACATTTTTGATATCTGCATAATTGGCAATTGAATGAATAAGATAAGGAAGGAGCGCATTGATTTCTGTCGGTTTTACATTTGTAATTTTGATATTTAGTAATACTTCTTCTAAAGAAAATTTTACAGGCTTCGCAAGTGTAGATTCCGTAGTGTATGCTTCAATTTGAAAAAAAAAATACAATCTTTAAATAGACAGCAATCTTGTGTCAATGAATAATATCTCTATATATATAGTAATAAAAATTTATACATATATATAGTATACTGTATATATATATAGAAAATGAGTTTGAATATGTTGGCCTATAATTGCTCACCCATTCGATGGTCCTTGACAAACTTGACAAGGTAGAAATATATCTTCATTATAACCATTCCGTACTTCTTTTAGTTGTTCAGCCATTTTTATACCTTTAAATTAATTGTAAGTTATGAAAAATAAAAACAGTATATTATAAAATATTACGACCATACATAGGTGTCTCTACGGGAATTTTTATCTTCGTATTTATTTTCTAATCAATAGTTTATCGTTCTCAATCATTACATTTATAGTCTGACTGGAAATCTAATGTCAATATTTAGAATATGCACCACCCACAAGTTCTACATATTTAAATTTAATAAAATTGTGCTTTTTAAGTAATACAATTAGTTTCTTACTGTCAATCTACTAGATACTTTATAATAGCGGTTGAGTAGCTATCATTAAACTCAACTATTAGTATATCTAATGTAGTTAGTTAAAATATATTTTAATTAGATAATAAATTTAGTATCAAAATCAGCTAGACATGCCTTTTAGCAACTATATAGTAGAAGTCTCTTTCAGTACACTGCTTTATCAGCAAATTCTAGTTTATCGATATTTTACTTTGATTATTAACCAACATAAAATAGGTTTATGCAGACAAGCTACCAGTTTTCAGCATAAGGTTACTCACCTTACTTTAGGAGTTAATGACACGTACCTGTGACAACAGATGTCATCTCATTGGAAAAGTATTTTCGTACAAATTTTAATTTGACTATGCTTTTCTTCAAAGTTACGCAATAAATATATTTTCACTTTTCTTAAATTTAGAAATATAGAACAGACTATTCAAATATTGAATAACTATATAGATAGTTATACAGACTGCTATATTTCTTCCTCCGATCCGCCCTCTCTCAATATACTGTACGAGATAAAACTATCTTGACATTTATATTGTAATATACCTTGTAGTCACACATATAATAAAAAAATTGATTGAAAATAAGTCTTATTGTTGCTGATTACGTCTTTTTCTCTTTTTTTGTCAAACAACTTTGTTCTTTCTCTTATAACTATTATTCTTTGAAAGAACACTATAAATGATTTTACCTAAGATCAAACGATAAACCTCGATTAACAAGAATTAGAATAACGTAATATGAAAGAGAAATATTTTCCATCTCTTAAGTCTTACTATGTTTATGGAACATTGAAATTTTACACTTTTAGATTCCGTCTATTTTTGTCAAATTTTTCTTCTTCCATTATAGTTCAAAGTGTTGTTTTTTTTTGTCTTTTTCAAATATAAACCGGTATATTCCTTTATAATGTAAATGCTCAATTAAATTATACTTTAATATATATACTATATATATATCTTTATCTGTTAGAAGGGAATGAACCAAACTGATCTATAGAACGATTGTTTTCACTATAGTCCTATAAGATATTCACCATTAAGAAATAGAAAACAAACGAACAATAAAGTTAGAACAATAAAAATCTCTTTTATAAATCTTCTATGGATTCTTTATGTACTGGGAAAGAACATCCATATTTTTGTCAATTTCGTTGCTAAAGCCAGCACAGAATATTCTTGAAAATGGTGTATCGAATACGTGTTCAAAACACGATCTATTATCCTCTCTCCAACGATTTGATGATACTTTTAGTTCATTAAAGAATGATAGGAAACTAATCAATTCCGATAATCTATAATGATAAGAATCTCCATATGTTTTTTGCAAGTATCTTGTCAAGGCTTGAGAGACCCTATCATATGCTGATGGAAAATATGGATAATATTCATTAGGTGTAACCATATTAATAGAAAATATAAATAAAATCTCTTCATTTGTTAAATTTGCTTTTTCCATTTTTATAAATTTTTTGTGCCTCAAATCGGTCATAGAATTTCCAATCATTCGTTCTAAATTCTCATTACTTAAACAAATACTTTTATTATTTAGAGAGATATGTAAACCATCCCTCTGCCATTTCATACCAAATTCAAGAGAGATTATTAAATGAAAAGCATCTAAATGCGAACAAAGTATATGAAAGAAAACTCTATCATCAAGTTCAATCATTCCTGGTAATGCTTTTAAAAAAGGAAGCCAATATCTTCCTGATATTTCCATTAATTTTCCGTTAAATTTAGAGAATTCTTTTCTATTATCAATATGTAATCCAGTAACTTCGAGTATATTTGTAAAATCGTCTTTCAAGAAGAGGCCAGTCTCTATTATGTATTTCATTCTATCAAAAATTTCATTAAGGTCACTTACTCTTTCTGACCAATTGATATTTCTTAAGTCGTCAAGTAATATCGAAAATTTTGTTGTAATATCATCAGCATCTGTATATTTTAATAATAAAGGTACTACCTCTGAAGAATTTTCGCTTATATATAATTTTCTTAGAGCCTCCCTATTCTTTTGATGAATCTCTCTTGAATATCGTCCAACTTTTATCCTTGTCTTAGACATACCTTCACTTTCGCATTTTTTATATCTACATAATTTACACGAAAATACAAATTTTTCATTCGGAGAACATTGGTTTTTATTCGTTAAGCAAGAGTAGCTTTGATTTTTCTTTACGCTCCTTTTAAAGAATATTTTACAAGCGTCACAAGTATTAGTACCATAGTGAAGGCTATTTGTGTAGTACCAAAGAGAAAAAAAGACATAAGAAAGAAATAAGGTAGTTCGCTATTCAATGAATGAAATTACTTGTTAACAAGTAAATTAAACATACCCTGTTGCGGTAGAACCGCAAATATTACACGGTGGCAAAATCGTTTTCTTCTCTTTGACAACTCTTTTCTTCTTAGGCTTATAAGACGATGCAAAGGTTGCTTTATTTCTAGAGTCACATGGTAACGAGAAATCAAAATCCTTATTATCAATTTCTAGGCTACTTAACAACTCCTTTTCCATTGTAGATATATATATATATATTACAGAATAATTAATAAACTATAGGTGATTCTCCTAGAATTTATATGAGAATATTCTAGGATGGAAAACACACGCTTTCAATAGTCATAATTTTCACTATAGATGTCTCTGTCAATATGTAAGACGCAGTTGATAAACTTATGAACATATAGTGTACATATGAAATGCATACATTAGTTTATTAATATTGTATATTAAATTTATCAAATTTCTAAATTTAACCTTGAATATAGTAGAAAGTTCACAGTACGATAAATATATTAACAAACGTACTCTGTTTAATCAAATTCTTTTCAAATAGTAATAATAGTATAGGGGAAAAGTAAAAATGTTTCTTTAATTATCGTTCTATGTACATTCATTATTGAAGAACAGACGTATTTTTCAATATACTGTATAGTGAGAGTAGATTATTCAAATTTAATATCAATAGTTAGTTTTTCTATTCCGCCGGTAAATTATTGTTAGCTGTGCTCTCATTTAATATTAAAATAAGAAACCAACGGACAACATAAAACAAGATGACTATTTACAACATGAATATTTTTGAATAGAAGTGTTTTAGTTTAATATGAATTGTCAAGCATATTCAAAAATGTATGATAATAATTTTCTGTGCTTGTTGGTCTACCAAGTAGTAGTTCTAATTTTGGTGATTTGTATATCTCCGTTAAATAGAGTAGATTTTGATGTTTATTGCATCCTCTTTTGTATGCTTCTTCTCGAATGACAGCTAAAAAATTGACTAATTGACCTAAACGAATATGATAAGAATCATTATACTTCTGTTTGAGATAACGAGTTAATACTAAAGTCATTTGATTACAGGCTGAAGTAAAATGTTTAAATTCAGTATTTGCCTGGAGAAGATTTACTAAAAACAGTAGTAATTGTTCTTCCTTGGTGAAGCAAGCGGCCTTTCTATACGTATTAGCCAGGGAAGAATCACTCATTACATCATAGCCTACAACTTGTTTTATTTGATCTCTTTTAAGTATTATTCTTTCATCGTTCAGATCCATATGAAGCTCACCAACTCTCCAATTGTAAACACTTGTCATTATAAACAACGGTCGTATTAAGTCTAAATTATCTAATATTAGCTTTACAACTAGTCGGTTGTCTAATTCCCGAAAACCTGGTATTCGTTTAACAAAAGGCATAAATAAACGGAAAAAAGTTTGTTGAATTTCACTAGCAAGGATCATTATATCTTTCCTTCCATCAATTTCTTGACCAGTAATAACAAAAACATTATGATAATCTTCTGTTCCAAAAAATCCATCTTCCACAGCATTCCGTGCCTTTTTAACATTCAGTGAAAAATCTTCCATTTCTTCTGACCATTTAATTGATGAAAACCGATTTGCAAAATCTAAACAGTATATTAAAACCTCATCTGCATAAGTAAATTGCGGAAGAGCATATATGCTATTCGGTGTATTCCTTAATACCAATTCATTCTTTTTGTGCATTTCCTTTGAATATCTTCCAATCTTTATTCTTGTTTTACTCATACCTTCGTCAATACATTTTTGGTATCTACACTTTTTACAATGAAAGGTATGATTATCATCTGCGATGCAGAAATTTCTTCCCGTTTGGCATTTGTAAGATAGATATTTTGTCACACTTCTTCTAAAAAATATTTTACAGGCTTCACAAGTATTAGTCCCGTAATGAAGTCTACAAATATGAATTTAAGTGTAATTATCCGATTTTATTATTAATTAGTAATATTAGATAAACAGGTGAATATATAGTTTGTACAGTATAAATAGAATTTAATAATTACCCTGTAGCAAGATCACCGCAAACTTGACATGGAGGCAGTATTGTCTTCTTGTAATTTACTTTTCTTTTCAATTTCGGTTTAGATTCGTTAGACACTGATAAAATTGACGTTGACATTATTCAAGACAATTCATGCTAAGAGACTAAAATGAATGTTTTGTTGGCAATTATCTATATCGGTCAGGTGTCGCTTCAGTATACTTTTATTTTCGTATCCTTTCAAGTGTTAAGTGCAACGTTAGGCTTATTTTATTTATAGTACAATTTTCTATTAACAATTGTTTATTTACATTTAAATAGAGTGTAAACATGTTGGATGTACAATTTGAATTGAGCATTATTTCTGTATGTCAATAAATTAACAAGGCAAAAAGTTTTTCTCTTTCAAGATTTCAAAACATTCATCGTCATTTTTACTACTAATTCCAAAGAGGAATAGATTATTGAATTGAGATCTACCAAGAGCTCTTAAATACTCCTTATTCTGTTCCATAAATTTTGATATTAATAGTAATTTTTCTTCATATTCTGCAAAATAATTCACTAATTTGCCCAAATGCAGATGATAAGATTCTCCGTAAGTTGTTTCAAGATATCTCGTAAATGATGAAATTAACCTATTATAGGCTAATGAAAGTTGTGGAATATCCTTTCTTGGTTCAAACATTTTTAATAAAGAAACTATTATCAACTCTAAATCTGATATACCCATATTTTTTTTATAGTTTTGTAAATTGTGACCATATTCATATAGATCTTTACCAACTGTTGAATGTACAGATTCCATAGTTATCATGAGCTTTTTATCATTTAAATAGATCGCAAGTCCATTGTCTTCCCATTGGACTACTTTAGAAATTGAGAGTATCGTTCGAATCTTGGCGCAATTGGAACAAATTAATTTTGCGAATGCTCTATCATCCATTCCTGATAGACCTGGTAATGATTTTAAGAAAGGTAACCATTGACGTAATTTAATTTCTTTGACTTTGCTAAATAAATCACACATTATCCTCCTATCATCTATTTCAATACCCAAAACGCACAGAATTGAATGATATTCGTCTTTTGGAAAAAAGCCTGTTTCGATAATTTCATTAACTTGTAGTATTACTTCATCAAAATTTTCTATTTCTTTTGACCATTTAACCTGAGAAATGGATTCTATAAAATTACCAAACTTCGTTAAAGAATCATCAACATCAGAGAATTTAGGAAGATAAATCAATCGTTGTGAAGATAACTGCGATAATTTCTCCAATTCCATTTTATTCTTTGAATGCATCTCTCTAGAATATCTTCCTATTTTGATTCTAGTTCTTGACATTCCTTCATCAATACATTTTTGATATCTACATAATTTACAATTAAAAACGTAATCTTGGTTTGGCTTGCAAACATTTCGACCATTTCTACATTTATACTTAAAATATTGAAGAGTACTCCTTCTGAAGAAGATCTTACAAGCTTCGCAAGTATTCGCTCCATAGTGAAATCTAAAAATAGAATAAATAACAGCTGATTATTATTGATGATCATTAAGAAATATTTCAAATTGATTAGTTTGTACCCCGTAGCAACACTGCCGCATATTTGACATGGAGGTAATATAGTTTTCTTTAGGAGGACCCGTCTCTTTGTTTTTTTTTTGACAGCCTTGGTCGAATCGTCATCACAATATATTTGATCAGCTGGACTATAGTTGGCTATTTTTCCTTTATATTCAAGTGTATTCATTGTATGATCCGTCAATGAGGTCATAGTTTTATTCTAATATATTAAGGTCATCCCTTTTTAAATAGTCGTTCTAGATAAATGGACCACTTTTCAGGTGTCACTGCAATCGCTATCATTTTCGTACGATATACGAGCTTTAAGTGCGAAAAAGAATCTCTTTATCTATAAAATATTCTAAACAAAAAACTATAATATCGTTCCTTCATAATTGCTACATGACAAAGAATATATCGATATTAGTTTGACAAAGGATCTTTAGATACACGTTTTCTCAGCGTTCGAAAGAATAGTATTTAGCTTTATCTCAAAGAGTTTTTTTTAAAGTGTTTATTACTTTGTAGAGATGATAATATGTTACGTATATCTGTACATAATGATATAAATACTATAATTAGTTTCAATATGTTTTTTTATGTACAATGATACAATTCTATAAAGGCATATTGAATAGGTAAGGTTATAACCATATATATTTTATACTGTATATACAGTACGTACTGTATACTGTTTACACAATACATTGTCTCTTCTCTGTTTTATCCATGAATTAAAGTTATTGTAAGAAATTTTTCTCCTTTAAAATTTCGAAACATTCATCGCATTCTTTATCGTTGTTATTACTAAATCCAAAGAGGAAGAGATTATTGAATCTTGTCCTTCCTATACCTTTCAAAAAATCTTTATTCTGTTCCATATGCTTTCTATTTCTTAGTGATATTTCGCTCAACTCTGCAAAAAAATTCACTAATTTACCTAATTGTAAATGATAAGAATTTCCATAGTTTCCTTCAAGGTGTCTTATAAATGTCGAAAGTAATCTATTATAGGCTGATGAAAGTTGTGGAATATCTTTCCTTGGTTCAAACATTTTTAATATAGATATCATAGCTAATTCTATTTTAGAAACGTCCATATTATTTCTATATACTTGTATATTATAGCTAATTTCTCGCATTCTTTCTCCAATAGTTGAATCCATTAATTTATTTTGTAATACAATTTTTTTATCATTTAAATTAATACAAAATCCGATATCTTCCCATTGGAATACTTGATGTACTGAGAAAATTGTGTGAATAAGGGTAATATCTGAACAAATTAACTTGACAAATGTTCTATCATCAATATCTGATATACCGGGTAATGATTTTAAGAAAGGTATCCATTGACGAAGTTTTATACTACTAATTTTACCTGCTAAATCGCACATTACCCTTCTATTATCTATTTCAATACCTAGAGCATTGTAAATTAATTCGTATTCATCTTTTGGAAAAAAGCCTGTTTCGATAATTTCATTAATCTGTTGAATCATTTCATCTAAATTTTCTATTTCTTTTGACCATTTAACCTGAGAAATGGATTCTATAAAATTACCAAACTTCGTTAAAGAATCATCAGCATCAGAGAATTTAGGAAGATAAATCAATTGTTGTGGAGATAACTGCGATAATTTCTCCAATTCCATTTTATTCTTAGAATGCATCTCTCTAGAATATCTTCCTATTTTGATTCTAGTTCTTGACATTCCTTCATCAATACATTTTTGATATCTACATAATTTACAATTAAAAGCGAACTCCTTATTTGGTTGACATAATTTTTGACCGTCTATACAACTGTAAGTTAAATATTGAGTAGTACTCCTTCTGAAGAAGATCTTACAAGCTTCGCAAGTATTCAGCCCATAATGAAACCTAAAAGAATTATTCAATATTATCCTTCTAAATATCTTTGATCCCAATAAATAGGTATTTTAATATTAACCCTGTGGCCTGTTTACAGCACACTTGACACGGGGGTAAGACCGTCTTCTTTTGATGTACCCGTCTACTCCTCTTCCCATTTACTTTCCTTTTTCGAGTATTCATTACGTAAACTAGCTAACTGTCAAAGATATTGTTATAATCCTTTAATTAATATTGAAAATGGTATCAGATTATATCAGCAGATATCGTGACTTCGTTTTAGATATCCTCTCTAAGATATAGCTCTTGTCGAAAAAGTTTATTTTCGTATTTATTTCAAATTAAATATTATAATATATTGTATTGATTTATTTAATTAGAACAGAAAAGTTTAACATCATCATTTAATTCTTCAGTTAAGCCACAAAAAAGAATACGTAAGACAGGAATAGTCATTACTTGCTGAAAGTATTTCTTATTCTTGCTCCTAGCGCGTCTTAAAATATTATTATAATCTGCATATCTTGCTTGAAGATTTACCAATTCTCTTAGTCTCTTATCATAATTATCACCATAGATTGTTTTCAGACATCGTATAAATACTTGTACATAGTTTTTATGAACCTCTTTAAAGTGTGGAAACTTTTCGTTTGGAGAAAAACATGGTAAGACGGCTATGAATAGTATTTCAAAGTAGTTTACATTTATACTTTTACCTCTTATTCTTAAATCATCTTTCAGTTGGACAAACTCATCTCCAAATAATAACTTTAGAGTATCTCTATCTAGATTTACACTTGTCTCATTAAATTTTAAGTTTAAACCAGGATTTGACCATTCATAATTTGAGAAAATTCCTACTAAAAGTTTAAAATTGTCAATATTTTTTGATAGAATATGAATGAAATCCTTCCTATCTAACTCTATAAAGCCAGGTAAAGATTTTAAGAAAGTTAGATTATAGCGTACTATTACGTCAATAAACTTCCATTGTAGTCTTTTGTAAATTGATCTATTATCAATTTCAACACCTGTTATATTGTAGATATCTAGGAAATCTTCCAAGGGAACAAAAGTATTTCTAACTGCTTTGTGTATTGATTCCATTACATTCGAAAAATCCTTTATTTCACTTGACCAATTAATGTTTGTCACTTTGTGGTGAAACACTGATATTCTTTGAAGAAGATCGTCTGCTGCGTAAAATGTTATCATTCTTGGAACTTCTACATCATTTTGTAAAGAAATCGTTTTCTCTTCTCCGTTAGTTTTCATTGGATATCTTCCTATCCTTATACGAGCTCTGGACATACCTTCCCTTAAGCATTTCTCATATCTGCAATACCTACAAATGAAAGTGAAATTTCTAAAAGGACTACATGCTCTTTTTCCTGTTCTGCATTGATAATTTTGGTACTTGGTATCGCTTCTCTTAAAGAATATTTTACAAGCTTCGCACGATAAAACTCCATAATGTATACTGTAAAAAAGAAAATTCTATCTAAATAAACGAAAATAAAAGAAGATAAAAGTTAAGAGAATAAATCAAATACCCAGAAGCCGATCCATTACAAATTTTGCACAATGCTAAATGATATCTTGAAGAGGAGACCAATGTCCTACATTTCATTTTCTTTTCATTTTTATCTTCATAATTTCTATCGTCATCGCATGATAACTCTAAAGTAATTTATTAAAGTTATTTATATCCAAAACACTTTTTTTATTTAATTAACCTGGTTTTACAATTTCCATATTCCTTTCTAGTTTTATTTTGTTCTCAAATTTAATTGTTTTCCACCATCTTTACAAGAAATATTTAGCATGTAGATGTCACTACAGTCAGCACTTATCTTTTTATCAAATTATCAAATTATGTCATATTTTCTCATTTGATACGCAGGTTCAATACTTAAATACAATTAAGTAGATAGTTTGGAACCTAGGCAATTATCTAAAATAAAAAAGAGAAGGGAGATAAAACTGACAACCATTGGGAGCGACGATAAGCTTATAACTTTTTTTAAGTTTATCAGTTTTTTTTATTCTGAGTCAATAATAACAAAAAAAAAAGCAAAAAACCCAGATAATAGAATAATTGGTCAAATCTCTGAACCTAGAATAGAAAGAGAGGAGTCTAAAAATTCTGTATTTAAGGTCCAATATTTCCTTTAGGATAAATTACAGTATATAGATTAAGTAGAAATACGCAAGAGAGGTGATAGAAGGTTTATATGTTTTTCTATATCTGATGTGCATCCACCCCAAAGAATTCTTAGACATGGTGTATCAAATATATAATTCAAGTAACGCTGATTTTGTTTTCTCCACTGGTAACATGAATGTTTTAGTTCGTTTGAAAAAGCCAAAAAATTGACTACTTCTCCCATTCTTATGTGATAATCGTCTCCGTATTTGCTTTGTAGGTATCTTGTAAAAGCTAGAAGTATTCTGTTAAATACTGATGGAAAATTTTCCCCTATGATCCCAGGGCTAACGAGATTTAGAGTAAATACTAAAATTGCTTCTTCATGCGTTAAATTAACCTCTTGCCATCGTCTACCGAACTTATCTTGTATATTCATAATTTCTGACCCATTCAGACTTTTAAAGCTCTCGTTCTTTATCAACACTTTCTGCTTGTCCAACTTGATACCTAACCCGCCAGAACCCCAATTATAAACTTCTGATGTGTACAAAATAAGATACATATCGTAAATATGATCAGATATATGCTTGAAAAACGTTAAATCATCTAATTCAAACATTCCAGGCAAGGACTTTACAAATGGTAACCAATGACGTAAGTTAGCTTCTTTAAGTAATCCATTATAATCTGAAAATTTCCTTCTGTCGTCCATTTCAACACCTGTAACTTGTCGGATATCTTCAAAGTCATCTTTCGGGAAGAAACCTTCATCTAATATTTTATTCATATCACAAACAATTTGATTAAAATTTTCGACTTTTTCTGACCAATTAAAATCTTTCATACAAACTAACAAATTTGAACATTTCACGATTATATCGTCTGCATCAGAGAAGTTCAAGAGAACTGGGATATTTACAGAGAGATTTTGAGAATTTTTCGATAATTCTTTTAATTGGGTATGCTTTTCTCTGGAATATCTTCCTGTTTTTATCCTTGTTCTGGACATTCCGACATTAATACACTTCTGATATCTACACAGTTTACAAGCAAATGAGAAATTACTGCAGGGGTTACACATATTTCTTCCATTTTGACATTTGAAGTTTTGGTATTTGTTAATACCTCTACGGTAGAATACTTTGCAGGCTTCGCACGTAGTAACCCCATAATGAAGTCTGCATGGAAAATAGAATGGAATGTGAACAAACGACAGATTATTGCAATCGTCAAAAATCAATTAACTTATTTTTTCGCTATATTACCCGGTAGCTGGAGCTTCACATATTAGACATTTTAAATTGGTTTTATATTTTCTCATTTTCTTCCTTCTCTTTTTCGGTGGAGATTCGCTGTAAGAATCATAAGATGAGTCATCATCTTCTTTATAGTCAGAAACTATTTCATTAGACAAGTCATCCTCTGATACTCCATTACCCGGTGTACTGAGATGAAGTGAAGTCGAATCACAGCTCATCCTAATTATGGTAAATAATTAACAACTTCGAGTATTTGATAATCAAGCTCTCAAATAAAGATATAACCCACCTTGAGTGTTTATAACAATTAACTATAGATGTCACTCATAATATAACTATTTTCGTATAAAGAATAGTTTCCTATGATTTTAGTTTGAAATTTGGAAATCTTTTAATAATGTCTTTTATTGTTTGGATCAAGATTTTGAATTTTTCCATTAAACTAATATAAAGTGATACTTTTCTCTAATCATAACATATTAAAGAAGAGCTAATTAATAAAACTTTGCAAAACAAAGATAAATAACGGAAAAAATATATGAATAAATGTTATATATAATTATATAGTTATCTATCTTGTATGAAGGACGATTAGAATAATCATAAGTACTAAAATCAAATTAACTCTTTTGACAATCAAAACAATTTTTTATAGTTTGTAGACCTCTTTTATATGTATAATTCATTTTCAATAAATTAAGAAAAACAGAATACATGCCTAAACAGCATAGTGATACCAAAACAAAAAAAGTCAATCATTACTTCACTAACATTATGCAGAATGTACAATTTCATCTATTTTTGAACTTAAAATGAACATCCTACAAGAACATAAAATTTTTTCAAATAGGATAAACTCACTACTTACTTCTAAAAAATAAAAAGAAGACCAGACAAATAAAAAGAAAACAATAATTTCTTTGACATGACGAACATCGTTCTTTTAAAAAAAATACCAAAAGCACCACAAAAAAAAAATGATATATCTTTTTAAGTGCATACATGACACATGTATACAATATTGAATTTAAGTATACAGATGCGTAATATGTACGTATATTCATTTTTTTTGGCAATTCGTTGTTTGATTCAGACTAAAAGTTGATAATAAAAAAAATAATCAAACAGAAAAAAACAAATAGGCTCGGAAAAAAAAACAATTTTTTTGATATATCAGACTTAAGAGTAAAAATATTCCCAAGTCTGATTTTGTAAAAGTAATGTGGATAAAATAGATCAAGATATTCATATTACCTTGTAAATTCTTTGTAATATGTTTTTCTTAGTGCTAAAATTATGATAATAATTTAAATGAAAAATTAGTAAAAGATTAATACATTGTGACGAATTTTTTGATTTCTTAATTCATGCCTTTATCTATTTTGTCCACATCAATACTCAATTGATAATACTCTGGTATAAAAGCTACGCTGATAACTAAATTTAGGGAAAAAGTTCGTTAAAACACAAATTTAATCTTCAAATAGAGGTAATGAGATTCTAATTTATTTTAAATCGATTTTCTCGTTTTTCTTATTCTCCTCTTCATCGTCATCTTTCTCATCGTCTGTCATTACATTTACTAGCGTTCCAACGGCCTTACCAACCTAAAAGCAGTTACTTATTAATGATTGCTAGTCCGAAAAGATCAGTGTAACGATGCAATGTTTTTCGTGCAATAAAACATTAATCTAGATTTATGCAAAGTACATACTTGATTAGCCATTTGTAATAGGCTACTTAAGCTGTCCTTCCTTTGTGTTATTATTGGGGGTGAGAATTGTGGTTCGTCCAATTCACCTTCTGTTTCGGAGCGTCCACTTAAACTTGATCGGTCAAGAGAAGAATCCCGATAACGTATTTCTGTGTAAAGGGAAAAAACATAGATATATTACAGAGTCAATTGATTAAGTGCTTTAAAGCGAAGACCTCTGGGATCAGTATAGGAATATCGACTGGAATTTAAAGTTCTCCTGCTGGGTGTATTTGGTAGAGAAGTTTGACTACAACTTGTTAAAAGTGAACTTCCTCCCGTTCTTAATCTTGGTAAACTTGTCGTTGAGTTTGTTGATTGATTGGAAAACAATTGATGAAGCCTTTTCAACTGAGCCTCTAACTGAGTATTATGTTCTTCTAATATCTGCATTCTAGCTTCTAATCTCCCTTTATGCTGCCTAAGCAGCCTCGCCTCGGTCATTAAATCTGAGCTACCTTCACCTCCTGCATTACTGTGCCCCTCGTCCACCTGACAGTGATTTTCGACCTTTAATGTAAAAAAAATAGCGGACAGACACTAAGTAAAATTTGGATGCTTTATTATTTCAATAATTTTTTTACCTGGGAGCACAAGGACTCATATTCCACTTGCAAACGTTTATTTTCTTCTTCCAAATCTCGTATCATTTCTTCAAACTCTAATCTTTGCTCCGCCTCTACGCTTACCATCATTTGTAAAGGGCTGACTAATTGTTGCTGTTTCTTTCGATCAGTCGATCCGGTTGATTGCAGACTAGCACAATAGGCGGCAATCAATTTGTGCTCTTCGTCCATTTCATTTGGCTTTGAGTTTTCTGTTTTGTCGACGTCCTCCACTTGTGCTAACCTATTTTGTAAATATTCATATATACAATATATATATATATATATATATAATTCCAAGTATGCTATACGGTAAAAATAATAATAATTGTTCTATCAAGGGGAAACGATTCGCATGAATGCCTCAATTACTTATAATAAAAAAACTGAGATAGCCCGTTAAATCAACCTGCTTAATTCTATTTAACACTAATTTATGTGAAAACTCTATAAGTTTTCGTAGAATCAATTAGCCTTATTATTATAGAGAAATATCCTTCTAATGAAAAGCCTCCTCCCTCATCCCCTTAACTTGCTTGTGTTTCTTTTTTTTTACTTTAGTTAATGGTCTTGCTAGCTATTTCTATGGTTATAGTAGCTTGTGTTAAAAGTTTAAACATAAGTTGTCTGACATGAATTTATATTTTTCTCAAGGGGACAACTTTTATGGTTACTCATACATCTAATATATTTTTTATCTTTTACCTATGAGCATAAACTTCCATTCGAGAATGCATATGAGTTGTGGGAGAGGCCGGACCGACCTCGATATTACCACTAGTTGATGGTTGAACTTCAAATGTAGTAGTAGACCAGTGACGCGGCGTTGGTGCCGGGCTGTAAACACGATAAAAAAATTTTCTCTGCTATAAATATAAAATATAAATTTATATATAATTGAATTTGATAAATGAATATGTCGGGTCCCTAATAACAATATTTATTATTTATCATAGCTTTTCTTTGTCACTATTTTCTTTAAACTAATGACTCAGTTTAACAGAAAGAACAAACACCTATTTCATTTTCCAGTTATTAGAGTCCAAAGTTGACGTTAGCTTGGAAGTAAACGAAATCAATTAATAATTAAGAAATCATTAGGGAAAGTAAACGTTCGTTTAAAATTTCGCCTTTAGCCATTAAACTAGTTTATTCGTGCTTCGCCTTCTACAATATTTACGCCCTAGCCTGAGGATTTTTGTATTTCTTTTTATCTACCTTTTTTATTCAGATTAGGCTCATTTACAGAAACTTATAAATTGATATGAAAGTAGAAGAAATGCCCTTTTAACCTTTCAATTTGATCTCCTTCCTTTACAGTCTGAACGGGCAAATATCCCAATCGAGGATGTTTCTTGAAGTATCTCTTAGAACGCAATTTGTTTTTACACATTTGGGTAAAGTCTTTCATGTCTTCTCCTGACGTTGTCTAATTAATTTGTTAGTAGATAAATTATTAATTAAATATAACAGTGTAATTAGGAAAATAAAACAGTACCGTTGTACAATATTCATTCATAGGATGAGATAATTTATGATGTTTAGCAGTTCGCCCGGCAAAGAAACAGTTTTGACACATGTCGAAATTAAAGCACCTTAAACAACGATATCTAAAAATTCACCAAAAAAAATTTTATTAAGAGAGCGTAAAATTATAAATTGACTGTTTCTCCTTACCGAAATCCAATTATTGGATACTGTTTGCAAATGCTACATTTAGCTTGATGTCTTGCCGATTCGGCGGCAGAGAGTCTATGTAACACTGGAAGCCAGACCAACGATTGTGGTTCCATTTTCAACCATTCCAAAAATTCATTAATAGTAACATGGTGACGACCGTTCTGTAATTTTTTGAAACAAGAACGAACGGATGGCTCAATATTGCTTCCACCAAATGCTGCTAACTCTCCCAACGCTCGCGGGATTTGCTATTAAGAAAAACAAGAGGGGTTACTATGATGTTAAATTGCATTAAATTTGACTTTAGTTGATGATAGATCTAAAGAATTTTATTCGATTATTAGCCCTTAGGTTATTCATTGAATTTTAAACAACCTTTGATTTTTTTTTATCACTTAAGGACTATTATTAGGGCAGATTTAGTGCAGTTCCAATTCGTCAATAATTTAGTGAGAACCATTGAAATTTGTGGTCACATATAGAAATTCAATAATGCATAAGGATTTTACGTATTAATACTCAAACCAGATATTCGTTTCAAAATCATAAAAGAAATATTTGATTGTGACTCTCAAAACAAAAGAGGCTGATGAATAATTCGTTTTTGATGGTTTTGGAAAGCGTTACTCTGCTACAATTTGTTTTCTATACGATTGCATAATAACAAATACATACAAAAAAATGTCTATTATTTCAAACAAGAAGAGTATTTCCAGCTAAAAATAACGCCAAAGTTAATGTTTATGTCGATTGAAAAAACAATTCGCATTAATTTGAGAGTCTTCAAAAATAAACAATTTATTAAAAAAAAAAAGCTTATTTTGGTTTTAGCTGATGCCCTAATCGCTTTTGAAAAAGTAAATTTCTAGATAAATTTCCGACACTTTAATTACGATAAAATACGCTGACTAAGCTGTTTATTACGCCTACACCAAAATATATGTTGGAGGATTATTCGGTGCAAAGTTTTTTTTTTCGCAACTCGAGCTGCTCTTAAGCCACTTTCAACAATCGGAAAATTACATATTTATTCTGAACAAACAGACTGATTTGAAATTCATTTATTTTACGCTGTTTAACGAGTCAAAGAGTAGTCGAATAATCTTCTCTGTTAACTCTTTTGAAAGAACTAAAGAGGAAAACAAAGGAGATTGAAGCTATTAAATTATGTAAATTTTTTTCCAACTCTGGTGGCTTTGATTAGCGTGATATTTGTCTGGCTTCATTCAAAAAAAAGAAAATAAGGGGCGAAAGTAAATAAGAAAAAAAACAACACATGGCTACTTTTAACCAGATATCGGCAAAAGTCAGCAATCCATTATATAAGAACGTTTTTTGAAGGAAAATATAAAAAATATATAGAAAAATTTATAGGAATTTGTTTACCTGACAATCATGTAGAAGGAGGGCAAAATGCCGTTCGTCCACCCTCCCTGAAGAATCGGCTACTAGACGAAATATATATCGGTATTTCTCTTCTAAATGAGCTTTACACATGAGCACCAGCAAAACTTTAAAAGACAACGTTCGAACTTGCCCACTCCTCGATCTAGATAATAAAAGAGCGAGACGCTTTCTTATTGTAAATCAAGATAAAGCGATAAAAGTCAATTGTATCTTTTCTTACGGATCGTAAACGTTTAATATCCAATTCAGCACTAATTCAACGCAAAGTGAAACGTTTATCAGTTTTGGATGATCATCGTGTAGTAGATCGAAAAACGCTTGAATAACTTTCGTCATCTTTTCGATATCTAGAACATCTTCACAAAATCCTAATCCATTCTCCTCGAAAGCGGAAACGAGGCTGGCTATATCGACTAGGTACATACATAAATGTTTCTGAATAGCCCGTACTTTCATGGCAAGACGATAAGCGGAAAATCGAACATCGTTCAGTTTGCCTGGTAAATTGAAAAAGAGGAGAAAATTAAAAATTTTTGTATACAAAAGAAACAGTTAAAAAAGATTAATGAGAAAAAAGCCTATTCTTTTTTTATATTTTCTGTTTTTTGTTCCAAAAAGCTATAAAGCGAAATGAAATAGAGGAAAATATCGAGATTTTCTCTTTTTTCATTTTATTATTCCGACAGAGGAAATGTATGCAAAACGATTAAAGTTGTTTAAAAATTGGCTTTACTTTGTAAAATAGTTTGAATATATTAAAGCTATTTGAAATCGGAATAACCCTTTGAAGACAACTAGTTTATGGTCTAGGGACGGCACCGCAAAAGATTCGTTTATACATCAAAAAGAGCGGTACTCTCCTTAAAAAAATTTGTTTAATTTACACACTAAACGTAAAATCAAAGGGCATCGTTGCATCACTGACGCAACAACATAAACTTCCAAGTAAGAATGAAGCGTAATTTGTTCCTTGTAATATACAGAATAAACTGATCTTAGAGATTACATAGATCTTATCATAAAATTTTCATCATTCTATTTTGTACAAGTATGCTTCGCAAATGTTTCGTACGAAATATAACACATGTTCGAAAACTAATCATATTTTTTTTATTATCCCCTTCCTTCTTCCTTACTTCCTTTTCTATTGTCTATAGTTATAAAAAAAACGCAAAGTAAAAATGTTCCATTCGAAAATCGAACGTTCAAAAAAGTTTTCTTTTCTTTGGGTGGAGCGAAAACAATAGGGAATATTTGTATGTTTTATAACAATTATTTATCATCACACTATTTGATAAAGACCAGCCTTTAAAAAAAACCTATTTTTTTCTACTAATTTTAGCTATTTAAAAGACAATTGCTTATACTTGTATACGTTACTAATTGAAAGAGACAATAAACTTATTAATAAACCCCTTAAAATGCTATAAATATTCGATTCCTTTTAACTTTTACATTTCTCTCAATGTTAATTAAACAAAAAAAATTACTATATATAGGACACTACTTATATATCACTATACAATACTATAGAATAGAGAATATTCTTACGATAAAATTTCGCAAATTCGTCTTTTCGAGTTATTTAGATTTGGTAATTTCTTTTGCTTGAAGCAAAGTTTGTAATACAATAAATTTCATTAAACCGTATAGTCGGCTTGCTTAGTAAAAGGGAAATGTACACAAGCGGCGAGTGCTTATTACTTCACTTATTTTGTAAACGCAAACTCTTAATATCGTAGGGTAATTGTGTACGAGAGAGTTGTACACGAAAAGGGATACGTACATAAGGATTTCATTAATTGACTCATCTGTGGGTGATCCCATTGGGTACATTGTTCTCCATGGCTGATAGAAAGAAGAGATTGTATAGAAATTTGTTATTGAAAGTAATCAGATTATTTACTTGATATAATAAGGCACTTGATTTTCGGCCGTGGAACGAATCCATTCAGAATCTAGGCTGGCATCTGAAAAAAAGCACAAAAAGCTAATCCTGATAAGAATAGATAAGGGAGGATGCCATTAAATATCTAGAGAAAGTAAAAAATTAAGAAAATTATACGTACCCTCAATCCCATCGATCCTCATTTTTATTGCATTATACGATTAATTCTCCGACGGTAAAACCGAACAAAACTCGTTTTATAACTGAGGATCATATAATTTGGCTTATGATGTAGATGTAAATAAGGTCAAGGTCAAGGACCAAAGAATTAGTTCCGCAGTCGAGAGTGGAAATTTTACGATTTGACCTAAGCTATTTTACACAAGAAATAAGAAATTAGTAGAAGATGTATTAATATAAAAAGACACTATTTGTAATATTATAATTAGTCGACTGCTGATTGGTTGGTTCTTTGGTCTTTGACCCTTTTCCCGGAAGAATTGTGTTATCGTAAAGATAAGAATATTTTACATAAATATTCATATAATTAGAACACTTTTATCACCCTCCGGAAGCTTTAAATTGTCTTTAAAAGCGAGAACATGACAAAGAAAGTGTTGTTCAACCTAATTCTGTCCGGTTCTTTATAATCGTACACAGTTCGAAAAGCTATGAGGAGGTCGAGAGGAACCTTAAATAGCGCTCCATCGAGTCTTGTAACTTCAACGAAGGAATTGAATCAATCTGCAAGAAATTCACCGTCTTCAATGAATGATTTAAACGTCACTGAAAGTCTGCAGGAGTTAACAGACCTTGTTCAAAAGGTTTGTAAACTGAACAAAATTAAAACCATATTACATAATCATTCATAAAATATATAATATATTTTATCTTAATAGTTTATTATTTCAAATTTTAAAAAAAATGTTTATTGAAAATGCTGAAAAATCAACAGTAAAATAACTTGAACTAAAATTTCACTTTTTCAATTCTGGAGTCATCATTTTTCATATTTTGTGAAGAAAAACTTGAAATTTATGCAAAACTTTAACTTTTACAAGTTTCTCCAAGTGTTTCAAAGTCTTAACACTTGTTTAGAACAATATCTTTTCTACGCCATCTGGCGCTTATCATTCAGTTGACAAACTCAAGAAGACAACGTCTACGAGACTATTGATCTTTTTTCTCTAACGAGCAAGATAATTGCCGTCATAGAGCCCTTCACAGTGGGATATTTACGCTTTTTTAAAAGTTTTTAACTTATAAGTGGTTGGGGCATTTAATCTACTGTATGAGTCGTTTGCCTTCAGGCTTCTTCCTCAATAAATGAATAAAATTTAAAAAAAATCTTTTAAAATACTTAGACTTTCCTTTCTCATAAGCTTATATTGAAAAAAGCGTATGTTGTTTTTTTTACCGCCTAAAGAGTTCCGGCTAAATCATTAAGCATTGTAAGGATGAATGAATAATTCTTTCTCTTCTTATTTTAGGTTGAATCCGAACGGCAGCATAGTGAAAATACGCTGGGTAATATTGAAAAAACGCACGAAAAAATTCAACAAGAGCAGAAAGTGTCTCAGTATTATAAACAAAAACTCAAAGGATTGTATGAAAGTGCCCTGCAGGATGCGTCATCAGAGATTGATGCTCTAAGAAAAGCTTTACATAAAATTAGTGAGATACGAAGCTCAATGAAATCAGAATCGACAGTAGTGAAGCCTCTAATGAGAAGAGGAGTTCTTATGTCTATGCTCTTGAAAGAGGGTACCTACCTCCCACTTTGGGCATCTAAACACGGAGAAACTGCTCCAACACTTTGCGGAGCAATACAAGCTGATCCTTCCTACATCTCGCAATCTTCCGATCATGTAGCAGCAAGGGTAAAGGGTAATGACGGTGAAGAAAATTGGATTTTGGCTCAGGTATAAAAACTAAAATCTTTAATTCTTTGTTGCCATTTTGCTTAAATTAAAGACATACCAGATGTCTCTGGAAGATATTTAGCGCTATTTCTTTAATAGAAATTCATTATTAGAAACTAAATAACCTACGCTATTATTTTTTTAACCGTCTCAAAGGGTGGTGTAATTCGTAGAAGCCTTATTTTCCCACTGACATAGGACTATTAATGTCGCAACTAGTTCTTTTAATCTTTTAGAATCGACGTATCATAAAAACCCTGACTTTATTTTGATATTTTCCTTTTATGAATTACGCAAAAAAACAGTCACTAAATTCTTATTACTTTTGACAATACCCATTTATCCTATGCAATTATTTAGACTGTTTTTTAAATAATTGATGTATCTATATATTATGAAAAGGTATTTCTATTTAGTTGATGGAGATCATCGAAAAGTTTTTGCTAAATTAATCACTGAAATATTTAAGTGAAAAATGAAAAAAAAGTATTATAGGAAGTTTACTTTAAAAGTTCCGCTTTCTTCCTTTTATAGTCATATTTTTCATGATATTAAATAAAGTAAAATAGAGAAATATTATTGTATTAAATTTATTCAATCGTTATAGGAGAAAACGTCTAATGAAATCTAAAAATAATAATATTTATTATTTTTTTTAGGTTGTTTCATTTAACTCGGCAACGGGTAAATACGACATTGATGACGTCGACGCCGAAGAAGGTAAAGAGCGGCATACTCTCGGAAAGAGACGCCTTGTACCTTTACCTAAGTATAAAGCAAGCCCAGATACAGATTCCTATGCTCTTTTCCCAAAAGGAACAACTGTCTATGCTTTATACCCTCAAACAACTTGTTTTTATAAGGGTATAGTCCATGAATTGCCCACATCCAGTAATTTAGATTATTCTATTTTGTTTGAGGACAGTTCATATCCCAGTGGTTACTCTCCCCCTTTAATGGTCAGCCAGAGATACGTTATAGCTTGTAGGCACGAAAAAAAAAAGTAGCTATTTCTAATTTGCATCATTTGCTTTGTGATGCTTATAATCTTGCAGAAGAGACATTCATGCATATTTTAACAATAATAATGTATCTGCAATTTCATTGTGCTTATGTAAATTACATAACTGTACATTTTTTTCATTCATGTATTGGTTTAATTTCTTTAATTTATTTTCAATAAAGTATACATCCTAAATATAATATTTTGTGTTTCTGTTTTGGGGAAATTCAATATACACTAAGTTATGCCTTTCTCCTACATTATACGTTTGTCAATACTGTATATAGAGTATATATTTATAAGAGAAATCAACCTTAGAAATAACGCAGAAGCGTTTACGGTCAAGCAATAAACTCTTTCTTCATTTTCTTCAGTTTATTGATTTGTTATCGTTTCTTTTTAATCAATAAATTTTTTAAGCTGTTTTTAAAAGTGAAATTTTCAAGTACAGGTCATTCTTTTGGGATTTTCCTTTTTCGCTGCTTTATATTAACTTAAAATTGTTTCAAAAAATATTTCTCTTTTATCGATAAAGGCATTTCTATGTGGGGAACATTCAGGAATATATGGGAAATTAAGTTATCGTAATAATTTATACAACATAGTTAAGCGGATATCCAAACAATATATACTAAATACATCTAAACAATTTTCTTTACAATTTCGTTTGATAACGATTCTATGTCGACAATATAAGTAAGATATATATATATATATATATATATTTATAAACACATTATATATATACAGTATATATATATATATATATAATGTTATATTACAATATATAAATATATTATATATAAATAAAATTTTTATATATTTAGAACAAAAGGCCCTAGCGAAGTTTGTAGTTCTTCATAATATTCTACAACATTGATTCGTTTTCTTAGCCTATAAAAAAAAGAATCCAATAAAATAGAAACCAATTACTTTTATTATTATGGTAAAAAAAAATAACCCGTATACGTACAGTTTTATAAAACGCCTTCGACTGCATACTAAGAGCCTCACTTTTATCGACTAAGTCGTCTAATTTTTCTCCTCTCTGCAATACTTTATTGATGGTTTCATGCTGTAAAGAGAAAAAAGAAAATAATGATTGTTTGCAAGTCGAAAAAAATGCTATATTTCTATTTTAAGAGACAGAATTAAGAGAATAAAAGAATTTCTTTTCTATTTCTTAAATCTTATGTAAGAATTTAAAATATGTTTCTTGCACAAGATGGATTATTAAAAATTTATTAAATTACAAGAATTTTCCAGTTAAATAGTAATTTTAAACGAGAATAAGTTTACGACCGTCATGTTCGTTATATGAGAAAATAATTACATTCAAGGCTTTGGAAAAATCATGAGTAAATGATTTTTCTTTGTCTCAAATAGGCTTATAAACTACTTTATGCTAAAAAATATTATTATTATATGCTCTCTTTAAAGAGAAAATAATTAATTATATGCTGCATGCTAATCCTATCTTTTGCTTTTTTATAAAAGACTTATAAAGTAATATACTGAAAATATTCTAAAACATTTACCAATATGATCTTTGTTTCGTCTAGATCAGTTTGTAATTTTATCATTCCATCAGCTTCTTTAGGATTCTATAAAATTAAAGAAGGGAAAAAGCAACTTTATCATTGTTAAGCTTTCTAAAATAAATTGTTTCAGTTACCTGATATTTTGTTAAAAATTGCTCTAATTCTGGAAATGTAAGAGAGTGGTCCCCAGCACTAGTCCATGCTGATGGTGGATATTTAATTGAGAAATCGTCTAATACTTTATTCATCATAGTAAATGCGACTCTTTTCGGATATTCAAAATCAGATATCAAAACAGCCGTTAAGTTATCCATTCTAATATAGCAGTGGCACATGTAGTCTAGAGAAAAATGATTCAAAGTTAATCAATCAATTTAAAAGACAGATTTGAAACAATAAAAAAAAGAATATGAATATCAAAAAATATAAAAAAAGACAAACAAACATCTCAGAATATTTGTAAACTATCACGTACTTTTCTATTTAAGTAAGAGATGAAAATAATTATCTAAATCGATATTTTTTTGTTGTTGTACGTGGACGCAAACAACGCTAAGCCTTACTAATGATGCAAAATATATAACAAAGAGGTGTAAAAGACCATGAGTAACTCTCACTAGACGCTAATACTAAACATAATTTTGTTGAATTAATTAGCTTTCCAAATAATGAGTCCATTTTGGAAAGAAATTTTGGTTTCTACATATTCTACGAATTAAAAAATCAATGCGAAATACATTGAACAAAATATATAAAATATCTTGTTATTAATTACCACTGATTACGTGTTGAGATTTACGTACCCTCGTGTTTTACACATGATCTGTCTCCCATATTTGACCGTTCAGCGATTAGCCTACTGGTAAATTGCATAAACTCTTGAAAGCTGCTTCTTTGGAAAAAACTGAATGTTGTTAAATCTTGATAAGATGACAAGATAACTGCTTTGTCCTCATTATTTCTGTACAGAACTGCTAAACTGAACAACTTCATTCTTTATTATCAATATTCCTTTGCTTGTAATGTAAATCGTAGAAGTAGTAGAATCTGTCGAAATTAAAGCACGATAAAAGCCGTGAATTAACTTCGATGTAAATATTTATTACATTTATTTTAGATCTTACTAACCAGAATAAAAATCTGTCTCTTATTCGGCTTGATTGCTTTGAAACCAGGAGGTTTTCGTCGTGAAATCTGGACAAATCAGCAGTGAATCATCAAAAACGGAAGCGCCACAAAAAGCCTGACACCAGTTCCACTGCAAGTCAAGAGACCAGATTATTATCATGGCGCGAAAGTTTAAGTGTTTAAAAGTCTTTCCTGTTCAAAACTAACTTCAAAGAATATTCCTACTGCTTTTGAGGCGGTTACGATTGGTTTGCGATGAATTGACACGCGCACGCGTTAATATGTATTTCTTTAAACATATAATAAGTGTCTTATCTTGAAAAACAACACCTGCTCGAAAAATTCCTTTCGACGGGGTTGAACTACACCTGTCCACAGCACCTGTTCCCTTTTAACGCTTTTTCTCCCAATCAAACTTTTATTGGTCTATTGTTTAACCAAATTTTTACAATCGTTTATCTATTAAAATCTTCCTTCCAAGTCTTCCAAAAACAATAATTGTCACGTTTTAGAACGATGTCAAATAAAATTGAACGTAGAGCAAATTGAGATAAGATTCTTCGGTTTAAGTTAAGTTTTGCGCGCGGCAGAGAGAGAGAGCGCGTGAAGGGCGCCCCGAATCTTTGAACACTTGGCATTCAACACTGCGACCGCGATGCCGATAGACGACTACGAAATTTTGGAATCAATCGGCTCCGGGTCTTACGGCGAATGCCGAAAGATAAGGAGAAGAAGAGATGGAAGACTTTTAGTATGGAAAGAGATGGAATATGGTGCTATGACGGAAACAGAGAAACAGATGCTCGTCTCAGAAGTGAATCTTCTCAGAGAATTGCGACATAGGCATATCGTTCGTTACCACGATAGATTGATTGATAGACAAAGATATGTTCTTTATATAATAATGGAATTCTGCGAAGGCGGTGATCTATCAGCAATAATCGGTCAACACAAAAGAGAGCATCGTGCGATAGACGAGTCGTTCGTGTGGAAGATGTGCGTACAATTGGCTTCCGCTTTACAGGTAATTTTTCTTCTTTTACCCCGTCGTTATTTATTATAGTTGAATAAGAAAGGGCGTCATTATAAGAAAAAGTGAACGGAACCTTAGCGGGAGTAAAATTTTAGGGTCTTGAACGTTTCCGAAATATTACACTTATACCTATTAATTCTATGTTACAAAATATCGTTCTAGCGTCTAAATTTACTTGTTTCTTTTATACCAAAGTGGATTAAAAGAAAATAGAGGCTTAAAATGTTCCACTATTTTTTTTAACTTGAACAGATCATGTTCCATTACATATATTTATATATTTAGGTTCAAATTTCATTTTTTCCCAACCCACTCCTAACTCTTCTTTTATAAAGAAGATAAAAGTATATTCATATGTCAAGGGTCATATTGATATAGACTTTTGATGGATTGAATCAAAGAAAACTAGCCGTAATTTTTTATATTCATACCTTTTTAAATTCTTATTTTCACATTACTCACACTGTGAAAGTTTACTTTGGTACTTATAGTAAAAAATTCCTACATTCTTGTTGTATTTGTTTGCTTTCTAGGGTAATTTTCAGGTCAAACGTATTCTGTTAGTGTAAACTATTTTCGACGGTTGAATAGAACCGATATTTGTACAACTGTCTTGGGGATGAAAAAGACGTACTTAGGAAAAGTCTAATAAAAGACCTATACATTTAAAACGTTAAGCCTATTTAAAGTTATTCTAGCGTTCCATCGTGAGCCTACCTTAACAGCATAGGCCTATTCAATAGAAAGTAGCACGAACATTTTTTCGGAACATGAAAAAAATGAAAAGTGGTCTTACGCGAATAAATTAGTGTGAACAATAGGACAGAATAGGTTTGATAATTATAAAGTAGAAGAAATTACTAAGGTGTCACGAATCGCAATTTATCACTCTCCCATAACGACTTTTTAAACTATCCAACGGTGAAAATGAACCGTTCCCTGATTCCATTTAAAGGGGAGACATTTAACAAAGATGTACGACCTGCATGCCTCCATAAATTACCCTTTATTATAAGGGTCATTCTATTTAAACTTGAGACACGCGAGCAGTTAAAAAAAACGTATTTTCATCTTTATAACAGAGGAAATAGGATTTTGTTTCGATTTCTTTTTGTTGCACGGATTAAGAGTTTCTTTTTAAGGGTGTGAAAATTTAATTAAATGTACCTACGGGGCTAAACTCTGTGTAAGCCATTGAAAATATCCCGCTGCCAAGGGGCTAATAAATTCGGCGCCGCTTTTTATTGTAATAAAATGAAAGCGTCTCTAACGCGCTTTGCACGTCAAATATTTTACTTCGTCGGCGTTCTTTTTGAGTTGAAGTAACGGATATGGGTAGGTGTATTAAGTGCATTCAGAAAAAAAAGCACATAAATCATAAGTGGGCTATAAGGGTAGGTTAACAGACCGTTATTAATAACTGTAAATTATAATGGTGGAAGACCTTTAACCTTTTATTATTGCCGGCAGGTCTGTCACACGCGGTCAAAGAACGGACGAGGAGCAGTTTTACATAGAGATCTTAAGCCTGCTAATATCTTCTTAGATTCTAATCGAAATGCAAAATTGGGTGATTTTGGCCTAGCAAGGGTATTAAATCCTGACAATGCTTTCGCACGGACATTTGTTGGAACTCCTTATTACATGAGCCCGGAACAGGTGAACTATTTGACCTATAATGAAAAATCGGACATCTGGTCTTTAGGTTGCCTTCTGTACGAACTTTGCGCCTTAAGGCCTCCGTTTATAGCGACAAATCAGAAGGAACTGGCCGTAAAAATATCCAAAGGTGTTTTCCAACGTATTCCCCAGCAATATTCAGAAGAATTAAATGACTTGATTAAACTACTTTTACAAGTTGATGAATTCCGTCGACCAAGTATTGACCAAGTTCTCGACCACCCCGTAGTACAAAGGAGGGGGGCCGAATATTTGCAAGTACTGCAGAGATCGTCTTCGCCAGCTGACAGGACTATCTTAAGAGACGATTCTCAGCGTGAGATGGAAGAGGCGCTAAGGCTTAGAGAGGAAAGTATTAAAGAGAAGGAGCAACTGCTGAGAGCCCGAGACGAGTACGTCCGGCTCAGAGAAGCGAAAATTGCCGAGAAAGAAAAGGAGCTTGAAAGTAAGATACTTTACTTTACTTCTTAGTTGTTATACGATACTCTAGAATGCAGATTCTCTTGTTAGAGTATCCATGTAGTAGCACCATTCTAGTAAGCTAATCCCTTCTTAAATTTTTTCTATAGAACGAGAAGCTGCTCTCGTACTCCGCGAAAAACTAATTGAGGAACGCCTGCAGAGATACGAACGTCCGATAGAAAGGAAACGCGTTTCGTTTAGCGTTCGAGATAAAGAAAATGATCCACCTATGCCAAAGCAACGTCAAACCTCCTTCAGATTACCAGTCCAAGTCCCTAAAGGAATAGAATTCGACTTGAAAACGCGGCTGAGAAACGCCCGCCTCAAAGCAGACGAACTCCGGCAATTGGAGACGGAAGCCAGACAAAAAGCCCAAAATACATTTGGCATTCGATAATGTGTCAATTTCCTACATTCCATTTCCTCCAGTTTGTGCAGAGAGAGAAAAATTACCCAAAAGATATCGTATTTGGGTAAACTTTTCTCATTATCTTCAATCGACACTGTATGTAATATTTCTTTCAAAATTTACTTTCTCCTTCATCCGTCCTGAAAGACAGTCCGGCAATAGTAGCAGGTGTTTTCGAATGTTGGGGTTAAAAAGAATCGGTTATTTCGGCAGGTGCAAAGGCTTTAGTCGTTTTGAACTGAGACAGATGGTGCGTCTACTTTCGAACAGTTCCAAGCCTATTGTATAACGATTTTTGTCCAAGTTCACTATCTAATTTTGCTATTGTAAAATTCAAATGTACTTGTATTATTATTGATGTTTGAAAATTTGGCCTTGAAGAATTTCCTTATTGAACTGTATATGATTCTCTTTTTTTATTACTTTGTACAGAATACGCCAATGTTATTGAATAAATATTCTTTTATCATAAAAACAATCTCTTTAATAAGTAAATTTATCTAGTGTATTATTATACATATGGAAGTATATATAAAGAATTAAATATTAAGCATGAAAGCTACAAGATGCATATTCACTATTTAGAAGGGGGTTGTATTGGCCTGAGGGTAATTGTTAATAGGGAACAAATTTGAGGTATCTAAGCAAATACCGATATATACCGAATTTAGGTTCGTTATGTAACTCTGATTGTCCTCATAAGAGGGAGGGATGTTCTTGTATTGTTACAAGACTTTTAAAAGTCGTTTGGCATGCGACAATTACTATATATAGAAGATAGCATCTGTCAACCGTCCCTGTTCTAGATAAAAGCGTGAATACACTTTGAACATTGCTTAAAAACTGGAAAAAATGTTAAGTCCATTGACAAGAGCATGTAAGGCAGGATTACATTAATTATCGGTGAGAAGCGTAAAATCATACTATTGTTTATTACGTTAATAATTGAACGGCGTTATGTAATAGTTTATAAGGGGCATAAAGCATGTGATGAAGCGGCGAAAAGCCGACGTTACGCAATCATGTCGAAGGCGTCTCATGTCTCGGTACTTGAAAGATGCCCGCTTGTTCCGGTGCACTCCTATTAAAAAATGCACACAATTTCCGAATATTTCCGGTCTCATTTGTCAACTGGCTAGTATAAATCTCATTTGTAACGGTTAGGGTATTCTATAAGGGTATTTTAGAACAGTTTTAAGTTTTCATTAAATGAAGTAGGCCGATTTAAGGCCAGACACGTGCTCTTAAGACACTTCTATTATTAGAGATGAGTGCCAGAAATTACGAAATTGAAACTGGGCCACACAGATGGCGCTGAATCATTATTTTCGTATTATTTTTTAGAGAATGACTTATTTACCTGTAGAAACATTATTTTTTTTACGAAAGTTTTTCTTATATTTTAATTTGGATTATTAGCCAGGTTTACGAAAGTATTGTAAACAAATATGGCGTCTACATTGATTCTTACGCGAAAACGTGTTTACTATTTACTTCGTCACATGACTATTATAGATTAATAACAACAATGATATTCGGTGACAACGTTGATGAAGTTGCGCAAATAGCGGAAGTTTTTCAAGTTCAACTGAGCAAAAATAGTGAAAAATGCACAACTTTCCCAGCAGAAGAACTGGTTGAAGAATGGGAATTACCGACTCATTTCAACCAATCTTATAATTTTGGTGATATATATCCAAGTCATAATGAGCAAGCTCAATGGAGGATAAAAGAAAGGGTATGTGAATATTTAGGTCATTTTCTCGGTCATAATATTACTGTTCTTCCAGATGAAAACAAACGGTGTCGCTCTTGTATTATGCCTAAATATAGGTGTTGATCCTCCCGATGTTATGAAGACATCACCTTGCGCGAGAACTGAATGCTGGATAGGTAATATCCTGCTCTATTTCATAATTTCACTAATTCACTATCTCAAGAGTTCAATGGCCGTTATATAAAATTTACTCTTTAACTATAATTTCCAGATCCGCAAACCATGGCTCCCCAAAAAGCTTTAGAATTAATAGGTCAAACACTGCAAAAGCATTATGAAAGGTGGCAACCTAGAGCTAGATACAAGCAAGTTTTGGATCCTACTGTTGAAGAAGTTAAAAAATTATGTGCATCCCTAAGAAGAAACGCAAAAGTTTGTATATCTTTTTTCAACCTTTTATTCTAATTAACGGAAAATAAAAGTTAAAATATTTTTATACAAAAATACGCTTAACATTTGAGACATAATTAATTTTTTTATATTAAAGTAATTTCATAATCCAAGCTCACGACTGTATTAATTAAAAAAAAACGATTTTGTAGGAAAATACTCCAATAATAAGAGTAATCGTATTAAAAATATCTTTGTTTTCCGGTAATCAGATTGACGATATATAATCTTTTTTCGTATAATTAGGATACATTGTTTAGCATGGTGTGTAATCTTACCCAATTACTAAAACAGGAAGTTGATTAGCTAGCATTTCATAAAAATGTGTAAATTAACTTTGATCAAATGCTCAAGTGGAGATGTAATTAACTTCTTTTGTTTAGGAGGAAAGGGTATTATTTCACTACAATGGTCATGGCGTTCCAAAACCAACCAGCAATGGAGAAATCTGGGTATTTAATAAGGTTTGTTTTTTATTGATTATAAAAAGCACATTTTACTGAATATTTATTCATGAATAATATATATACATTATACACTATACATCTATAAATTTATAGATACAAATATTCATATGCTTATTAAATTCATTGAATATTTTGCAGAATTATACCCAGTATATACCTTTATCGTTATATGATTTACATTCCTGGATGGGTACACCTTCAATTTACGTATTTGATTGTAATTGTGCTGGGATTATTATGAAATATTTTGATCAACATTTAGGATCTTCAAGTTCAGATGTAAGTCAATTATGTTATCATTACTATTATTATCAATAAACTTGTAACATATCAATTGTTAATAAATCAATATAAATTATATTGCATTTATTACTATTCTAACGTAAAAGTGGGCCTATTAATTTTTTGGCAACATTTCGTAATCGTTATCCTTTTTATTAGATATTAATCAGTTTTATTATTCATTTTTTTATTAAATTATTCGATTATTTTATATCATTTTATAATAAAATGTTAATTTATTAATATTTTTATGCAATACAGAGTAACAAATTAGATGTTAGTGAAAAAGCAGCTGTTAGGCTGGCAGCTTGTGGAGAAAATCAAATGCTGCCGATGTCACCGGATTTACCAGCTGATTTATTTACATCATGCTTAACTACACCAATTAAAGTTGCCCTCAAATGGTTCATTCTTCTTTATCTAAATTTATTTGATGTTTCGTTGAAAAGATGTTAATTTTTAACAGGTTTGTGAAGCAGAATGCGCAGAAATTCAATCCCGCAATAAACGAAGATTTAATAGATAAGTATGCATCTAATTATATATCTCGTTGGAAGATTTTATCAAACGAGTCTCTTTTTCAGAATACCTGGTCATTTAACTGATCGTAAATCAATGTTGGGCGAACTCAACTGGGTATTCACGGCTATTACTGATACAATTGCTTGGAATTGTTTACCAACTGGTAGTTTTTCATTTTTTAATTCTTTTGATAACAAATCTAAATTGCTTTAGTTGAAATATATGTTATTTGAAAATTTGATATATTTGACCTACAAACCAGTGAACCTTTTATAAACTAAAAATTGCTACTTGTCTTATAACTAGAATTTTTTTAAACATATCTTATTTTAGTTTATTTCTATTTTAGAATTATTTCAAAGGCTATTCCGGCAAGATTTAATGTTGGCAAGTCTATTCCGTAATTTCTTACTTGCTGAACGAATTATGAAAGCATATAACTGCGAACCCATGAGTGTGCCTGTTTTACCTCCTATGCATATGCATCCTTTCTGGCAAGCTTGGGATACAACATTGGATCTCTGCTTTTCTAAATTACCACATATTCTCGATTCTCGTGAACCAAATGCTGCATCACAAAATAAAGTTTCTTTTTTTAACGAGCAATCACAAGCTTTCATGGTAAGTTGCGCTCGGAGATATTTGTCGATATTCCATATTTTACTCTTAATAAATTTATTTATAAAGAGAGATACATCATTTTCTTTATTCTTGTAGATGTGGTTAAAATTTGGCCCAATCAATAAAAATCCTCCTGATCAATTACCCATTGTACTTCAAGTGTTATTAAGTCAAGGTCAGCGCATTCGAGCTCTCGATTTACTGGCGCAATTTATGGATCTTGGGAGAGAAAGCGTTTTATGTGTTAGTATTTTTTTTTATAAAAAACAACTTTCCAGTTTTATTGGTTTTTTTCTCAATTTAACAATATTCATTGCTTTCTTATAAATTTTAACCAGGCTCTTCGTGTTGGTATTTTTCCTTATGTATTAAAGCTACTACAAAGTTCCGTACCCGAAATTCGACCATTTCTTGTTGTTATCTGGGCAAAAATAATTGCCGTTGATCAATCAGTTCAAGCTGAACTAACTAGGGATGATAATCATAATTTTTTCCTATCATTTTTGTCTGATTCTACTGTACATGTATGTATTAATTAATTAGTGGTTTTATAATATCTACGATTGAATTTCCTTATTTTTTTTTTAGCCAAGACATAGGACAATGGCTGCATTCATCATTTCTAAAATTGTGAATAGTTATAAAGTAGCTCAAGATGCTGCTTATAAAAGTTCAGTTATTGATGACTGTTTAACTGAACTTGAACACGAAGATCCTAAACTTAGGCAATGGGTTTGCTTCTGTCTTGCAAAAATATGGGACGGTCACAATGATGCAAGGTGGAGAGGAGTGAGAGATTCTGCTCACGAAAAAATTGGTTCTCTTCTCAAAGACAAATGCTCTGAGGTTAGAGCAGCAGGTAATTTAATTTTATATGGATAACAACTGAATGTATATGATTTCCAATCTCGTTGATAGCTGTGTATGCCCTTGGGACATTTGTTTTACCATCTGGTAGCGGGGATCATGCCGCCAAAGTAAATCAGAATATTGCTATGAAACTAATAAAGTCAGCCAACGATTGCTCAACACTTGTCAGAAAGGAGGTTACCTGCTCCCTTTCTAATATCGTACTGCAATGTGAAAATCAAATTGTTAGTGCCTGTAAGAGCCAAATGATTGAAGAAAGAACATTAGGCTCAAAAAGACAATTAAAAAGCACTGGTAAGTAATTATCTAATACCTTAATAGAATTATCAATAACACTATCTATTTTCTGAGGTAGAAAATGATCTATTTCAATATATTTTTCTCATATATATTGTTTATTATTAATGTTCGCTTGTCACATTCTCTCTATTTATCGTTGAACCTTTCAGAAACTAGAACATTAGTTCAATCAAGACGGTCTAGCGGTAAATTGGATTCTTTTTAGGAAAAAAATTTTGTCTTTAGTTTCAGTTCTAAAACACAGAATATTTAAATGCATGATAATATATAAACAATGCATTTGTTGACTTGTTTTCTCCTCTTTCTGTCTAAGTAGTGACGTCTAACATTAAGATTTAAAACTTAATTATTGTTATCAATAGCAAGCAAAAGCTTTCAAAATGTTTGCATTTGCTAAAAATTGAATTTTAGAAGGAGTTTACGTCAGTGTTTTTATAGAATAGAAATAGTCTTTAAAAGAATATTCAGATTTAGAACTTTATGTTGTGTTCCTTAGTCATCGAATCTACTTCAATGGTCAAGGCATTAACATCACCTCTATCTCCCTCACCTCGACCCACAAGACCAAATAACTTCACCTCACCATTGCCGACGCGAAAGCTGTGTATGTTCCAGAGAAATCTATTTTTCATTTTTGTTACTACGCAAACCAAAATTCCTACTCCCTTACTCCGACTTTTTCTTAATTATTTTAGGGTTAAGGTTTTAAAAGATGGTTGTGGTTACTATGAATTAGCTTCATTTTTTTTTTGTCCTATTGGTCGATTATTTTAACACCTGGCTATTACACTTTCAATGTTGCTTTTAGTTGGTTTTTTGAATTCTCTTTAATTTATAATTCTTTTAAAATTTATTATTTAAATCTTGAATTCTTAAAAAAAACTTGTTATAATCTCTTCTTTTCTATTTACTTAGCATTTAATGTGCTGTCACCTGTGGAGACAACGCAAAGCGACTTAAGAAGAGTCGCTTCCTCTACTTCTATATCTTCCAGCGCCATAAATGATGTATATGTTTCCATTTGGAAAACTTTAAAACTTCTAGAAGCTGATCCGTTTAACGAAGTTGAAGTTATTGCCAAGACAGTTGTTAAATATGTAGAAAGTAAAGTTGACATGAGTTCTTTATTGGTAATACCATAATAAGTATTTAAATGGCTTCCAATTTAAATAATTTTCCTTGCAGAGTTTTACTTTACCTAGAAGTATAAGTAAAGGTTCATCTTCTCCAAATTTCTCCTCAGCTCCTAGTAGTCCTTCAAATAAACCGCCATCTGGTATGCTTCATGTTCCCAGTGAAAGTAATATTCAAGGCACGATATCAGAAGAAAATCATAAAAATCGACCATCAACACTTCGATCGGTAATTTTTTTATAAACTTCATAATAATCTATATAGATGTAAAAAAATATCCATGTTTCACAGGTTTCAAGTCACTCCAAAACGTCTCAAAGTTTAATGGCCGATAAAGAAAATCGTCTAATTAAGACCAAATATTTTGAATGGGCGTCAGAGAAATTTGCTCTAACGTTAAATCGAACCCCAACAGACTCAGATCCCGATAGTGATATATCTATGCAGACTACATACAGAAAGAGCTTGGCTCATAAAGTTCGTTCAGATTGCCGGTGGCAGAAATTTCCTGACTGTGAGCAAGCAATTTTATTTTTAAACAGTTAATTGTATTTTTAGTCATTGATTTCCAGCATCTATGTTCATTTTTCACTGTTTTTTTTGTTTTAGCGTATCATCTTGAACAAACAACATATAGGAATCTAAAATGTCCAACTGTTCTTAACTTCCATCCTTTTGAACCATATTTTGTCTGTGGTGACGATGATGGATTTAGGTAAAGTGAAAAACATTTTTTCTTATTTAAATTTGAGAATAGTTGCATACACCAATATATAAAATTTCTTTCTATTGATAATTTAGCATCTATAATTGGGAAACATCGACAAGATTTGCTCAATTTAGTAACCAGAGACCAAGAGGAAGAATTAGTGCCTTACAATTTGTAAATTGTTGTTATCGACCAATGATTATGGTTGGAAGCAGTAAGTACAAGTTAAATATAAATTAGTTGAGAGATAGATACAACTAACTCTCGTCCCTGTTTTTCTTCTAGATGATGGATGTATAAAATTATGGAGAAATTATATGTTAGACGATCCCTCAATTAAGTTAGTTACCGCATGGAACGCTCTACCTGAACTCTTTGATCAAAGAAGACACTACAGTGTGTTTTTTAAACTTATTACTTAGCATTTTTAATTTGATACTCAATGACAAAAATAATTGCTTACAAATATTCTAGGAGCTGGTCTGCAGATAAAATGGGAGCCTCATAGATCGAAAGTAATTTGCGGTGCAGATTCTAGTAGGATTGTAAGAATATTTGATGTCAACATTGAAAAGATGTGTCAGGAATTTTCAACTCAATCCGAATCCGCTCTAACTAGCATAGAAAGTGATGCATGTAATAGAAATTTAATATTTTGTGCGTATGAAGATGGTGTTATAAATATATTTGACAGACGAGAGAAGCCTGCATCCTGGTAAGTATATTTTAATACTTAATAATATAATAAAACTTAATAACTCTTATGATATTTATAGCAAAGTCAACACTTATAGAGAACATAAAGGAAGAATTGTTGGTATAAAGTTACAGCATAGAGAAAAGAGTCATATAGTAACAGCAGATCAAATGGGCATTGTAAGTATACATTCTGGATGGAAATTTTTAGTTAATCAATCATTGTATTGTCAAAATTTGGTTTTCTAATCTTTCAATACCTGCAAGTCAGCCAGATTTTTAAAAATATTCATTTTATTTATTTTTGATAAAATTTTTCACAGATTAAAAATAATCTATAAATATAAGATAATGACCTTGTTGACATTTTTAGTATTAATAATTTACCTTCCTAAAATCCGGATATTTTTGTTTTCAATATAAATGTTTATATCATGACCCCTATCTGTCATTGAAACTATTTTGAAAATATTTTCAGCATAGGTTTAGGATGTTATTGTAAGAAATATACTAAATATTTCTCTCTATTTTTCAGGTTAAAGTTTGGGATCAGAGACTTAAAACAGCGCAAACAACATTTAAAACTGTTGACTCTGTTACTTCCTTTGATGTTCATCGTCTCGTTGACATGATTGTTGTGGGTTCTTCACAACAAATTATTCATATTACAAAACATAATGGCGAAACTCTAAAAGTCATAAAAAATAATAATGAAGGTTTTCTTAGTCAAAAAATATCTGCACCCCATTGTTTGGCTTTCCATCCAAACTATGTAAGCTATATACATTCAAAGTTATCTGTTTGTGACGTCTCTTTATAATCAAAACTAAACTTTATTACTTTTTCAGATGAAATTTGCGGCTGGAAGTCGAATGGACAATTTTGTCAACGTCTACACTATTAAATGATAGACGAATAACTGACAGTTTCCTTGTTTAAAAGACTCATTTATAATAATTTGTTGAAATTTGTTTATTCTTTTATTTAAGTGACAATTTTCCTGATAATTATTTTTTTTTGCCTTTTTGAGTTGAATAGCAGCATTTATATACCGTTGAATAATTTCTCACTCGCTCTCTCTTCCTTTCTCTTTCTCTCTCTTCAATTGAAAATGATTCAACCATGCCAAATTTTAGAATCTGCAATCATAGGTCAATTTTTATTTAATATTTCTCCAATGGTTAAATTCTTAACATTCTATTTTCTTTCTCTCTCTCTCTCTCTCTCACTCTTTATTGATTTGCGATGATTCGTTATACTTTCTCTTTTATTATTTCAAATCAAATACTTTTTAATATTTTCAATCGAATGAGAGTCACATCTATAACTTTTTTCGTAAGTAGTACAAACTTTGAGGAAGTAATCTCTTTCAATCTTTCTATCTTCTATACTAATTTATTCCATTTTTTTTACTGTAGCATATATGTATTTACAGTATATATGCATGCAGTATTGCATGTTCTCTGTATTTGGGGCAAAATAATTTATTCAACCGATTAAAAATAGTTCAAGTTGCAGCTGCTGTTAAATTGTTGATAATAAAATCCACGAAATTTAAATAGCGTCATTTTAATTATGATTAGTAAGAATTTAAGTTTACAGAAATTAAAATGTTTATTATTGATATGTGACTCCATCTATCGGAATTTTCATATTCAATGGTTACTTTTCAAAATTATTATTATTTAATAAAAAAACAAGAGCTTTTGCATATAATTGTTTTTGAATATGAAATATTCATTTAAATAATACATAGGAAGACTTTTTAAATTTTAAAAAATAATATTGCTTTTTCGTACTGTACCTTAATTCGGTCAGAAATGTCACCCAGTTCACACTTGAATTCATATCATATTCTGAAAAATGTCTCACAATGATATTACATAATGTTTTTATTATCCACTTAAAACATTTATAACATATTTTCTAAATGACAATTGGTTGTTACGTCCTACTTCTGAGTAGGTTGCATTTGAATAGATCATAGTCTAGAGTAGCCTTTGATCAAAAAGTTGAAAATCCAAGTACTTTTTGTAACTCGTTATCAAGAGAAAAGTTCATATAAATTAATTTATCAGATGATTGCAATTTAGAAAATATTTTTATTTCAATCAATGAGCAATTTGTGAAAATTGATTAATTTTATTGATTGCACTTTGATCACCATGGTTCAATTCTTGTTTGTTTCAATAAACAAATAGGTTATCTGTATAAAATAATTGAGAAAATGAACAACAAAAGGATAAATTCAGCAACATCAAGAGGAAAACCACCAGGACCAAGTCCAAGGAAGAGTTGTTAATATAATTTTTCTTAATACTACCTACAAAATGAATTAATAGAGATAAAGAATAGATGAAAATAAGATATATATATATATATATGCTAAAAGAATTGGTTCAGTTTATTAATCAAGTTGAAAGAGTAGGATTTTAAGAGAAAAATAATAAATAAAAAGCATTAACTTTAAATGTTAACAGTAAATCTTTGAAGTGAAAACTTTTAAAGATAATTTACCTATCACACAGGTACTTTTAAGATAAAATTATTTTCCCAATCTGATTTAAGTTACTTGTTTATAACAAATTTTAAACAAATTTATATAGAATAATAACAATAATAAGGTTGTTTAGTATTGTTTTCTTAATTCATTAATTATTTAAGAGATATATGTATTCTCTGTTAAAAGTATTACTTTTCTTTAATTAGAGTTTTACAATCAAACCAATTATTGCTATGCACAAACTTCACATAAAAAAATATTTGATGAAAGCACTGGGGTAGTTTAGAGACATTCCTTATCCCTTTTCTTACCTACAAAGGTATGGTATGCACTTAATAAAAATCTCTCTCTTCATCTATGAATATCATATTTTCGTATAATCTTCAGATGTACGACCTTCGCTGTCGACCAGGTCATCTATTTCTTCAAATTCTAGTACTTCTAGGCTTGGGAGTTCTCTATCTAAACGACCATCTAGTAGAGTTTCTACCCCTACGAAACCTAATGCCAGTACTTCGCCGTTAAGGAGAAGAATATCTTCTTCGTCAAGCATTGCCCCTGACCGGTTGAAAACACCTTCTCAGTCGAGGCGTTCCTCAAATATGTCTGCTGGATCTGCTGAAGAGGATAAAATTTCCTTGAAATTAAATACGCTTGAGAAAATAGAACAAGAGGAAATAACGATTGAAATAAACGAACAATCGGCAACAGACATGAAAGTTCCGTCCGTTGTTTCTGATAATAAACAAACACAACACAATCAACCGGAGAGCGAAAGTGACGAAGAGACGGATAGGAAAGCTCCAGATCAATTAAAACTGGAGGTGAAAAGTTCAAATTTGCGGAACGTTGTTCAAAACTATTCAGTCAATAAAACACGTTTAAACAGCGTTCCGGCTGTTACAGACCGTATTCTAAATTTAATATATTTTCTATTACAGTTTCTATCAAGTTTAATGGAAAATGATTATGATAATGCTCTAAAACTTTGTAAAATGAGTAAGCGTAAATAGGTCTTTCATTAACAAAGCTAATCAATAATCTTTGTTTTAGTCCTTATCTATGAAAAAAAAAATCCCGAAGCTTTACAATTTCAAAAGTTGATAACGGAAAAAAAGAGACTCGGTTCGGTTCTTACCTTTTACAATTCCCCACCCAAAAAGAAATAATTTGTAACGTTAAATGCCCAGAAGCCGAAATGGCTAATGACAATAGTTCGTCCGAAGAGGAAGACACTGACGACAGCGATGACGAAGAGGATGATAGTGAGAGTGATGACGAAGGTAACAAAGACGATAACAAGCCAAATTCTAACATGAAGAATAATGCTGCGGAAAATAAAGTTTCAAACCAAAAAAATGATGGAGATGAAGAAGATAAAATTAAAACAGATAAACAAAATAAAGGAAGCGAAGAAAATGAAAGCAATAAAGAAGAAGAGGAAGAGGAAGAACATGAAGAAGACGAAGAAGATGAAGAAGACGAAGAAGAAGATGCAGATGATGATGATAAAGAAGACAAAGAAGAAAAAACTGAAGGTGACCTAAAGAGTCAAAATACTGTAGAAAGTAGCAGAACAAATTCAGAATTGAGCGAAGAGTAAGTATATTTTGGCTTGTTTTTTCCTTTTTGTAAACTTAAAGGTAAAATAATGAGAATATATATGAAATAAAAAACATAAAAAGTCAAGAAGAAGAAGACGAAGAAGAAGAAGAAGAAGAAGAAGAGGAATTATCTGACGAACAGGACGATAGTGAAGACGATGGGGAAGAAACGGAAGAAGACAAGAAAGACAATAGAACCAAGATCAAAGTTAATAATATTGACCAAGATATAAATTAATAATAACAAGAGAAGGAATATAAGAAAAAAATAACCTTTGTAAGCCATCACAACCAACAGCATGAGAGTGATTCATTTAGATATTGTGATGTGTACTTAAAAAGAAAACCTACACAGCATGCGGAAATGTTGCATTCAAACTATATATTGTATTTTTTTTTTTTGTATATAAAAACTGTATAAAGTTCATTTTTTTTTAAAAATAGACTTTATTTTATATATGAAAAAATAAACGTAAATATGAAAGTATGTTAATTTATTCAAAAATAATTTATTTTTTATTTTTTCTTTTCAGCCAATCATATTTGGTGGAAAATTTTCAAAACAAATCGACCTAAGATGTTCATTGACCGAAAAACTTTGCTCCTTCCAAGCTAATTACCTTTGAACTGTTGTGATGTTTTTTATGTTAGTCTGTAAAAATTATATTATGAAATCAAGTCACTAACCTCTCTTTTTTCATTTTCTGATAATATTAAGCTTATGAATATTAATTAGCTTTACCAAAGAATGAAAATATAAAATAATAAAACGTATATACGGGTAGTATTAACTTGATAAAAACTATATAAATTACTTCCGGACAATTGTGTTCTATATGTTTATGTAGTTTTTATGGTGGTGGAAGTATTTTTCATGAATGTATGATCAGAAGGCAGGGGAGTTGAGAATATATAGTAAGCAACATAGTATATAAAGAGGATAAAATTGTTTTGAAAGAGTTCAAAGTATCTTTTCACACATGTACAACAATTACCTATTAAGACGGTGACTGAAAGATTATGAATAATGTCACACGTGTGCAATTCCTAAAAGTGTTTTTCTCATACTGAAAACAATACTTTTTTGGTTAATAGTGAAATTTTAAATAGACAATTAATGAATATAACGTAGTTATAGGAATATAGTAAATATATATATATATAGAATGTTATTAACTGGATAAATTCCTTAGCAATTACAAATAAACAAGGATCAAAAATTATTTTTTTGGACTTATGACAATAAACTTAAGCATTTATTAATAGAAAAATCTATTGGTACCGTTCAAATAAATATTCTAAAGCTATAAAGTAATAAGGCTATATGCGTAATTACAACAAAGTTTTCTTTTAATAAATAGTCCTATAATAATCTTTTAAAGTGTTGAATTTATTTCCCTTTACTTATCAAATAAATAAATATATATATATATATATATATATATATATTAGTATATATATATATAGTTTGTACATTAATTGATCCCTGATGATTGTGTGTTGCATGAACATTTATACGGTTTAAGGTCGAAATACAAAGGTCATTTTTATAGTAAATAGCACGTGTAGACTATTTCGTTATATTCAAGTTTTTACTTATATTTATATATTAACATTAAATATATATTGTTCATATACGATAATAAAAAAAAACACTTATTTCATCATAGTGATTCGTCTTATCTATATAACTAATGGCTTATATTTAGGTCAATTTTGTCTAGACATCATTTACCTGATTTATTTTTTTTTGTATTATCAATAGTACTTTCTTCCTTTTGGCTTTTAAAGCTTTCTGCAGAATTTTGAACTTTCTCTCAAAACACTATTCTAAGCATATCAGGAAATTTCCTATATATTTACGCTATATATTCATATAGGTCTATATATTAACCAAAGAACGAATACCCTCGATCGTCCTACAATAAAACCGATGAGTAAAAAGTGTTGACTGATAATATGTATAAAATCCTTAGAGTTTGTTATCATATCTTATCAATTATCAATTACATTTTACCAAGATACTTTTTTGTAGGGGCGTTTTTTTTTCTTCAATATTTGAACGTTCAAAAGTCAGAAATATAGGTAAAAAAAATTGAACAAAGTATGTTTTGTGAAATTTCAAAGTATAACTTAAGTATCTTTTAGAAGTCAATAATTCATTCTTTCTCTAACCCTTTCTAAATATAACCTTCCCTGTTCCTTTCAATAGCAAAAGTCTTTGTATAATTAAAGAAATTGTTCAGAGACGCATTTTTAAAGCCTATCGTATATCCTATTTACAAGTATATATAATTTTTTACTTATTGCGTAATAATTCGTGTTACCTGATAATTAATTTTATATAAAATCGATAGCGGCATCTTTGGATAAAAAAGCCTCCAGGTTGAATAAAACTTTACGACCATTTTTGTTTAGAGAGTGGAAAACCAAGTACTTTTCCATTACATTTTTAAGTTCTTCTCATTGGTTGATCTCATGCATATTAAGTAGCATGAATAAATACTAATACTTTATGTATAGTTGTATTAAACTCTCGATGACCTCCCCCATGCTTATACCCACTGCAGAAATAACAGGAAAACGTGCTTCTATGCACGTGACACTTAAATTCAGCCTAGTTTAAAATTCTTATGCAAGATTGAATCGTCTATTGCTATTTTGGCCTTTATTATCAAAGATACGAGTTATTAATATAACTATTATAATTTAAATTTAGATTAGTCAATACGGATTTACTAATCTAATTTAATTCTTATTGGCCTCGAACTTTGTTGATAGACGAAAAATGAAGCGGTCAGACACGTGCGATAGTAAGAGGAAATATGTAGGACTACATCAGTCTGGTCTCTAGGCCTAAATTTAAGCATTTACTCATAATATAGAATTTTCGCGCCAAAACTACAAATAATGCGTAAAATTTGAATTTGAAAAGTCTTTGTTAACACATATTTCGAAAGACTTTCTTTGGGAAAAGCCGATAAAAGCTAGAAATTCTTCGATTTGTGATGAATTGGACAAGCTTCTATTATATTTGTAACATATTTACAACTTTTCTGGGGCTGAGAAAGTGAAAGTTCCTGTTTACCGTATTAAACCACAAGTGCGCATGCCCCAAAATAGCCAATCATGCATCTTCCCGCTGAGCACGTGCGCGTTTGTTGTGAAATGCGTGACCTCATCTGCATATTCATAAGGAAATTTCCAACCACCGGTATAAATGCCGTGAATCTGACGAAATATCACTAATTCTACAGTGAACACCGTTTCAAATGTGTCAAGAATCATTTAAACTACAAACTGGTACTACAACCTGTCTAGTAATGGACAAAATGAAGGAAGATCGACAAGTAAACAAAACGAATGCTGGAAAAGGCATTGCATTGCTTTTATTCTGTGTAGCCTATGCAATAGTCATGTTTGCGTTAGCTGCATTTGCCCAGACAATTTTGGCTTTTCTCAGATACAGGATGACTTACAGTATGTATTGTTCTTTTATTCTTTCTATAATATCTTTATACATGGGATAAGTTGTACTAGATTTCGAGTACCCTAACGCCCCCTGTTGAACTCATTTTAACCCAAAGCTTCAGTTTCGCAGAATCAATTTATCTTTCCTACTTTTTTATTGTTATATTTCTTTGCTTATTTTTATTCAAAAGCGTTTAAAATTATGCAATAACCAACCGTATTTTGCATAATTTAAGAAATTAATATTCTATTAATAAGATACGAAAATAAAAGTTTATTTTTTTTTAACTTTTTTACCCCCACCATTTTTTCATTTATTCCATTAATTCTCTTATTTAAATGAAATGGAAACAAACAAAAAAAATCCTTCTTTTTTTCAGTAAAAACAGATTTTGGCTATCAAAACTTAGCAAGATCTTTAATAGAAAAGTTAAAAAAGAAAGAAATTTTACATAGAAAAGCTGGACTATAAAAAATAAAACAACAATACTTACAAAAAAAAAGAACTTAATTAATGAATTTTGTGAATAATGAAATTATTATATAGAATATTCCTATATACTACAAAAATCACAAATCTTCATTCATCTCTATTACAATTCCAATTCAAAAGTGTGTTAAAATTATCTACCTTGTATATGAATCTTTTAATTGAGAATCTCAACTACTTATGTTCAATTTTGGAGGAAAAATCGAAATCTTATTATATAATATTATTCTAATGTATGAAATTTTTATTACAAAGAGTGGAGGGAGCATGATAATCACGTGATATTTTTTTCATTAACAGAAAACGCAGACGACGTCACGTGGTCAGAAAAAAAGAATGAAACTCCGAAAATTAAGCGTACTGAATTTAGTGTGAAGCAAGGCTGATTTCTCAAACAAACCCTCCTATTCCTACAAAACGTTATTAAAACAACCATCGTCAAGTTAAACGAAAAAAAAAAACCCAACAAAAACAAAACAAGTCTTGTATTATAAAAATCATTGTTATATAATATTTATCACTATTTGTTATTAATATTTTTATTCAAACAACACACAAATGTATTTGAACATTATGCAACTAATGAAGAAACTTGGCATTAAAAAAAAAGAAATTTTTCTAAGAAAAAACAAGAAGTTTATACTTCATATTATGGGCCTATGAGGAGGATCTTTTTTTCCTCCATTTTTTATGTACTTGTATGTGTAAACATGCTAAAAAAACTATGCTTGAACAGTTGCCGTTTTTTTTTCCGGTGAAAATAGTTTGCAAGAAAATAGATGTTAAAAAAAATTATTCAAGTGAGAAAATACTGTTTTGATGTTTTAGTTAAAAAAAAGAAACATATACATGAGAATAAAATGAGTTATTAAAGATTTTATACTTGAAATATATAGTATTTTTCGTTATTGTATCTAGATGAATTTATAGTTGGTTTTTGAATATGTAAGTATTATTCATTGAATAAGGTTATGGTTCTACCATAACTTTTTGACCTTAGCTTATGGAAATGATATTTAATTTAAATTTCCTTAGGAATCAATCAAACTTTCGTACGAATTTTAGGATAGACATAAATCTTGATGGGCCGGTCGAAGGTTGAACTTTTTGTTTTTTGCTTTGTTTACGACAATAGACGAAATATATTTTATCAGTTTTATCTATAAATAGAATTGTAACCCTGCCTTAATCAGTTATACGATCTTCTCCAATATCTTTCATTCTTAACCAATAGAAGAAGAAGAGAAAGTCGGGAGAAGACGTTAGAATTCCTTCTATATTTTAAGAATATATTATTTTTGTCCATGTAATCATTGAAATCTAATCAATTAAAATCTTTGTTTTTCCAGATTAATACGAAATAAGCATTATCAGTGTCCAGTAAGTGAACCATTAGAGTGAACCTAATCTAATCAACGATGTTACGTATTCATACTTTACATTATCTTTATTAATTATTTGTCAATTTCAAGGACATTATTAAGGTATTCTAAACTAGCAGCAATAGAAAAAGTGCTATTGGCGTAGGTGTCTACACAATTAGGACGCATGTTCGAACACGCTCCAACCCTTAAAAAGTATATACTATTTATAAATTTATATACAGTATAGTAAGAGTGTCTCAGAGCATTATATTTATATACTGTATATCGAACAAAAAAGAAATACTATAGTCTTATTTCAGGTTTTTTAAGATTATTTATATATATATATATACTGTATATATACCAGATTCCGGCATTAAAGATTTACTTTACTTTAGCACAATATAAAAGACAAGAACCTTGGGGATAAACAAGAAAACAATTTAATAATTGACCTTTCTACTGAAGTTGATAAGATAATCATATGTGAAAAAGACTATTTCGTTGAAAATAATCACTTGAAATTTACCGACTGTTTTGAAATTACGTATAAAAATAATCATTATTTGAAATAAGAAACTATTCCTTATTTAATGTTAAATACAGTCCTTTAAGTATTGCGTGACTAGGGTGTTCAGTCGTATGTAAATCGGCTTCGAATACTAGACCATCTCCTAATCTATTGCTTCTATAGGATGTTACCTATATAGGATGGGTTCAAGTAGTTACTCATAAGACATATAGGATTTTTTTGCACTTACGTAGACAGGTGTTTTAATTGTATTTTGTAGTTTAAGCCTATGAATTTCTATAGGTACGATCTTGAGTATTGGCAAAGGGGTAAAAAATTCTCTTGGATCGATCCTTTTTAGTGTATTTCTTTCGATATCCCAACCGGCCCCAACAAGATATAGACCGGTCACATATCCACCGCAGAAGGCACTTTTAGATCCCCATATTTCGCTCGACCTTTCAACTCTTAAATGCTCTTCTAATCTTTCAGTCGATTTAAAATCCGTAACAATTGTGTAGAACGTCGATTTATCTAAAGACCATCCATTATACCGACTGCACGATTGTATAAGAGATAAGAGATAAGACTTTGGCGAGTGTAGACCAGACAGCCAGATAGCTTGAATTTCCTCCTCAACCCATTTTAGATATTGCACAGAGCGCAACTTTAAATGAATTATCCAATCCGCTAGCGACTTTCTTGTTTCTGGAGCAAGGCGTTTCCAAGAATTTGGTATTTGATCGTTGATCAATGAGCTACTAACTTCGTCTAGCTCTTCATTCATTCCATCTTCACCTAAATCATTTTCAAATTATAGAATGAAAAAGTAACGCACGTTTCAAGATAAATTACACTGTATAGACTAATTAAACGATATACTTTCAAACCTTTTATTGCTCTTTTAAGTTCACTTAAAGTCCTAAATATCTTTTCTCTAAGTAAATTAAATCTTTCTAACTCTTGGAATAAAACTACAGCTATAGGCTTTAAAGTTTTGTCCAAATTTCCTTTTAATTTCAATGTACCGAATAAATTGGGTAATTGATTGAGTATTTCATCAACTATCCGCTCTAGACGATCTTCTACTGATAAATCATACTCTTTATTATCTATGGTGGGCCGTAATTCGGCCAAATTCCTCCACAAGTCTCTAGTTGCGTCAGTATAATAACCAATTTCAGCCATCAAACTCAGACCATACACTTCCGGGCTATTAGTCAAAGGTAGAGATTCTATATAATCAACATACATTTGTTTATGAGCTCTTTGACCTTTGGATGGTTCTGGTATTTTGTAACAAATAGAAGAATCCTTATAGAAATAGAATGATTGTATTTTCTCAAAGATAAAATCTCCCATATATTCATCCATATAAGTTGCTATTATTCTTCTATCATACGAGTCTGTCACCCTTCCACCATACGTTATTTGCCCAATTAAAAACTTTAAACTATTCCATGGTATTTCTAATCTAGGATGTTTCAATAATTTATTCAAGTATATTGATAAGATATTTGATGCAACTAAAAAGTCAGATTCATTGAATTCGTATGGAACATTCCAGCCAATTTTTCCATATTTCCTTCTTTCTTGTACAACACCGTGAAAAAATGCTAGAACAAACAATAAAGGATGAAATGCTGAATTGGAGCATGACGTTGTTAAATTTGTTGTTATTCTTGAATAAGTATGACGTAAATTCAATTTTAAGCCATAAGGTGCTTCAGTTACAACTTTAAGAGACCGACGCAGGATGCTAAGTGGAAAGTTATTCACTGGAGCTGTTGTAAGCCATAATCTAAAGTGAGGATGGGGGTTTGTAACTTTCTGTAAATACTTTTCCAGTTCGTCTAAGCAGCCAAGCAAAAGATGACAATTCTGAAGTAACAGCCACTGTCCCCTAGAAATAGCAATTTCTAAAAGAGAAAGAGCGGTACATTCCTGCCCTTGGCCCAAAGAGAGTGCCTTTAATCGATTTTTACCAATATATTTAATTGATTCGGCTAATTGTTCTAATTTAGATATTGGCGTTGCTCCTGGATTAAGAATAAATACTACTGGAGAATTTGGGTTTGATCTTTCCAAAATATTCTCTAAATTTACGATCGGTGATGTAACAAATTTTTCGCCCATTATCTTAACAACATAATTCGTTACAGCGGCGTAAACTCTATCAACGCGAAAGCATCTTAACAATAAAAGTTGTTGAAATAGAGATAATCCTTTGTCAAATGGCGTTGGAAATTTCAACTTTTCAGTCATCTTACTTTTGTACCACTGTGAAAAAGAAGAATTTAAGATATATTAATAAATATTATCCTTAAGAATATACCTTGTTCCATGTTATTTCATTATCTGTAATATTTTCCAATAAAGTTTCAAAAAGATTAGGGAATTTTTTTGAAAGATAACAGCAATCTTTCCAACATTGATACGGAACCCACTTAAAAGGAGGATTGTTCTCTTCGTCATTTGTCTTTTCAAATTCTGTATTACCTCTAATAAAGAATTCAATTTCATCATCAGTTACTCTGCCAGCATCAGCTTCTAATTTAGCAGCAATTTGAAAAGAGAACAATATTTTATGCTTTTCAAATATTCCTATACAAGCGTCTAAATAGACGTTATAAGTTAAAGTTTCTTTAATATTTTCAATTCTGTTAGAAAAAACAAGGAAAAGAAAAAAAAATATGATTTTATACACCATCTACCAATAAGCATAGAGTAGATATACCTCTTTTTTAGATTCATATCAGGCATACTCTTTCTAAGTGAATAATCAAATACTTCTAGATAGAAATTAAGAGAATACTGATACATAGGATTAACAAGTGATAATTCATCCAAGATAAAGAAAAGAATAGCACCGCGTTTAGCGGCTGGACGATAAGCGTCTCTAAGTTGATCAATTTCAATAGTATTTTTACTAGCTAACTTTAATTTGTCAGATATTTCATTTGCCTTTAGCTTAGTGTTTTCTAATGTTGATAACAGTTCGCTATTATCTAACATATTACCAGTTGAGTTTGATAATTCTCTTAATAAAGAATTTTCAAAATCTTTTAAATATCTTTTATTTTCACTTGTTTCTCTAATTAATCTCTTCTTTTGATCTTCTAATTCATTTTTTTCAAATTGTACAATAACACTTAATAATTGATCTTCTAATCCTTTTGTAGTTACGGTATAATTAATAACAACTGCGTTTGAATAGAAGCATGGTCTAAATTTAGGATTTGATAGATTGGTATTTAAATATAGTCTAAAATTTGGATCCATTTCGATTTCTTTATCACCGAATAACAATAATTTCCTATTAAAATCATTATTTCTGCCGTTTTCTAAGAGATTATTAATGATTGGATCAATGTTTTCGTCTAAGTTTTTCACAAGGAATGGATAACCGTATTTTAAAGCTAATTCTAATTGTTTTAGAAAATCTGTATCGTTCGACGAGCATATCTTTAAATTATTCTTCTTTTCTCTTTTTATTATCCAATGATAGGCTTGTTGTTGTGGATCAATACATAATGAAAATTTCGATGATTTTGTAGCTAATATACCATTTTCTATTGATAGCTCATCGGATGGTAGTCCTTCAGAAATCCAATGACTAACTTCAACATCGTTAGTTAAAAAATTTTGAACAGTAAAGTCTATAATTAGAAAATTATTAATTAATTATTCAAAAAGTTAATATCGACAATTAAAATAATTAACCTTTACTATACAGTATCCCATTTTTAGTTAGATCATTTATCCATATATCCTTCATTAACTTTTGCCTAAATTCAGGATTAAACGGTGAAGAATACGAAAGGAAAGCTGCCGACAATAGACAATCGCCAATTAATTTATCTCTTTGATCTTGTAAATGATTATATTCGATAGTCCAACGTTCATTTTCTGATCCTAAACCTTGGAATAATTTTTTAGCAGCCTTTAATCTTCTTTCCATAATTGCTGCTTCTTTTTGTAATTTCATCTTTTCAAGATTAGCATCTTCAAACATTTTCTTTAATTTCTCATTTTCTTGTTCAAGAAAATTCAAATCTAAATTTAATCTATAAAAGATTCTAATTACTTAATCAAATTTAAAAAGGAAAATGAATAGGAAACCTGTCTAAATCTTTTTTCATATTTTTAAAGTTTTTTTCCAACTTTTCAACTCTATCCCTCTTTGGTCTAATTTCTCTGTAAACTTCGCAATAATCTACTACAGCTAGAACAAACTGCAAAAGGCCATAACCAGCTCTTGATTTTTCTTTCATATTTTCCAAATTCATTTCAGGATCTTTGAGTATCAATTTGACGTTATGTAATTGTTTATTTGTTATATTATCTACATTTATATCTTTAAGATTCTTAAGAAAATTAGCTTCAGACATCATAGTTTTTGCCGATCTCCAAGAAACCTCTTTGATCCCATTCAAAACAACAATACTTTCACAAACTCTCTGAATAATATAGACTGGTTTGGCAAATGATCTTATCTCTCTTACATCATCTTTTCGCAAATTACTTAGAGCTAATCTTGCTTCTTCTAAAGCTGGAAGAGCCGAAGCTAAAGCTAATTCAGCTTCTTTTTTCTCTACTTCTAGTTTTGAACTTTGCACATCAAGTTCATTGGCTTTTATACTTGTTAATTTTTTTTTATCTTCAACTACGGTACTCTTTTCCGATAGTTTCGACAATAAAGAATCGCACTTTTTCGTTTTCTTTCTCAATGTACTCTTTTGCCATTCTAATTGTTTGTTCATACCCTTTATTTGATTGCTAGCTTCAACTAATTTCATCATTCCATCGGATAACCTCTTAGATTGTTTAAAATTTAATAAACACTTCTCTTGCAGAAGATTAGTAAAGGTTTTTATAAAGTCTAGATAATGTTTTTGTGTAACGAAATTGATTTTTTTAAATTTGTTAAAGTATTCTTTACATATATTTAAAGACGATTCATGAACGATTACCATGTGATTTATAGTCTTTTTTTGAATATCATTGATTGAATCTTTTAATAATTTCGCTACATGATCATCAGATAAATCCACATACGACTTTGCAATGGATACTAGAGCTTCCTTCGGCCAATTGAGATACCAATCCATTGACATATTGTTAATTAAGGCAGGAAAATTTCTACATCTATTTCGGAGAGAATCTCCAGCTGGTGACATACATAAAATTGTATGAAGATTACTAGCTGATTTCCTACTAAAATATGTCCAAATTAGTTCATAATTCGAAGGCCATCCAGCTGATATGGCTTCATCCCTTATTTGATTAATAATAGCATCTTTTTCATCCTCTTCAAATAGAATTTGTAGATTTCCAGTTGATAATATACAATTTATGATTTCTAGAAAACCCTCCTCCAAAATGTGGTTATCAGTTAGGAAGAGCGCTATCTTTTTATTCTCCAAACCTAATCTTTTATACAACACTTTTAAATCTTCACGAAAATTCGCCTCGTTATAACCTCTCTTTAAGCTTATTTCGAATAAATCGCAATGGCTAATATAACAAGCAATTTTCGCTATAGTCCTTCTACCGGAACCTTAAAGAGAATGATATAATTAATATTAAGAATACAACAATTCTAATAAACCTTCAAAACCAATTAATAGTGCATTTCCTTCGTCTAAACTAAGAATTCTATGTAATCTTGTTAGATGTTCGATAGCGTAATCAAATAGTACAAATTTTTCATCGTTTAACTGGTAAAAATCAATAAGAATATCGTTTAAAATATCTAAGACATTGCCGTAATTGCCAGAATCTTGATAGAATTTATTATTTGCGTAATAACCAAACAGAATTGGATCGGAGAGAACATCTTGAAGATCATTCGAAAAATTTTCATCTAATGAAGCTTCAATACAATTATTAACATATTCAATGTCTTCTGTAGTTATTAGTCGATCGTTAAATGTTCTTTTACATTCGTTTCTCCAAAGACGCAGAAACTGAGGCAAAGTTTTAAAATAGTTTGCTGAAGATGATAATATTCCACTATATAATCTACTAATATCTCTTAGGCTAAAGATATAATGAAATTTTGTTGGTGTTGGTAGTAATGACGCAAGAATATTCCTAAATTTTAAATTAAAACAATTACCAGTTAACGTATTTTCTAATTATTAATATTGTTATAATTACTTATATAAATTAATTGACATGGTTGTAATTTTAGAGGAAGAATTTTGAATATCTTTTGAAAATCCTTCAAGATGACCATTCAAAATTGATGAATAAATATGAAAGAGAGACGAATCGGATGGTAAAGTCATATTTATCACTGAGAATCTTGATAAAAATCTTGAATTTATTTCATTTCTTCCTCCACCACTTTTTCCTAAGAATGAAATGAGAGAGAGCTGTTGAATTTATAATGCCTTTTTAACTTTTAAATTACCCTACCCATAGCGGCTATAAAGTCGATATCTTTAAGGTGTATCCAGTGAGAGTCATTACCTCTTCCATAATAGCCCTCTTCGTCGAACAATAACCTCAAGAAGGCAATAGGTTCTTGAGTACCGTAATTATCTACAAGAGGTATATTCATATCATCAATAAATACTACTAAACTTTTGCCTAAAGTTGGTCCTAATGTATTTTTAGTTCTTTTCTCTGTATTTGCTTCTAAATTTTTTTGAATTTCGTATGATGTTGTACTACTGGAAAAGTTCATAGTCAAAGGCGTCTAATTTTGAAATATATATATATAATTTTATTAATCACAAAGTAGGTTAGTGAGATAAGAAATAAAATAAAAGAAACATTACGTATCGTTCATTGTCAAGCGATCTCAGAAAATCTGAAATTGTTGCTGTTTTACAACTACCAGTTTCTCCAACAAATAATAAACGGCGATTAGTTCTTAAATGAATATTTAAAAGCCAATCTGCTCTTTCTGTATCAATCGTTGGCACTAATATTTCTTTGAATTTTTTACCAGGTAACCATGAAAATTTTTTAACTTTATTAATCCACGGAATCCATAATCGACTACTATAATCGAAATAATAATCGTATAGAGTCTTTTCAGCTTTTGGTATGTAACCTACAAATAATCATTTCTTTTTTTGTTGTATAATGACCAATAGTTACTTTAAAACACTATACAAACCAGGGATTACTTCAATGGGATTGTCATTTGGGGGTAGATGTGTTAAATGTTTAACGTAATAGTCAAATTTTACTTGATCGTCTTTCATAACGGTGGCACCGAATGACCAATAAATAGCTTGTAAAAAGATGGCTTCTATAACCATCTCATTTTTTTCTTTAACTTTTAAAAGTGATGAGAGAAGGTAACATAGTTGATCCATCATATTTACGTTGTCTGTTTTGACTATTGTATTAGGCCTATCACCCATCCTTTCATCTCGCTTTACATCGAAAATGTACGAAATAAGGGGATCTATATATTTATTATATAAATGTTTTAGAATTTCCTTTTGCTCATCAACGGGTCTTTTATCTAGCCAACTCTGCCAGTAAGGTTTATACCCTAATTGATCAGGCTCTACAAAAACCATTCCACACCGTGATACAGTTGCAGGAGAAGCGTATTGCAAGTCACCAACTTCAAATATTAGACTGCACTCTTCTACTAATTTAATTCTTTCTCCATTGGCTAAAGTCAATAATCTATTATCATCCATAACGGAATTCATATTTTCTATCCAAATGGCATCAACATCACCATCGAATATTATCCAATTTCTATTAACATCTGTACAAGGTTTATTAGCTTCCCTAAATAACGTTGATAAAAGACCGTCAGTCCACTGGCGACTGCTAGGATCTAAAATTCCATACAGTTCTATAACAGGTCTATCTTTTGGATTAATCGTACTCAATTTGGTCCTTAATCCTAATCTAGAAAAAAAGAGAGAAAAAACACCAAAATTTCAATTATAATTATCACTTCTCTTTGATAATTAATAGTAATTAAATAATTAGAACAAATGTTTGATCTAATACTTTGAATAGGCTCTTGATAAAGTTTTAATTATAACTGATTTTCCACCGTTGGTTGGTCCAACGATCATTGTTGAATGTCTAATAGAAATCATTTGATGAAATTGTTTAATTTTATCAATTTGATTTGCAACTATTTGAAGATTTTGTTCAATTAATGATTCAGTAATTGCTTTATCAAGTTGGTCATCTTTGAATGATGGACTTTCCAAACCGGGAAATAAATCTGATAATAGACCATTGAACAATTCAATATCTTGATTAATTAATTTTGGTAAGTTTATATCACGAAGAGATTTCATTAATACTAATTCTTCTGTTAGTCTATTCTGATATTTTCTCTTTAATTTTCCAGCACTTAAAAGTGCAACTTTAATAGATCTTAATCCAAAGTCGTAATGATGCTGTTTGGATAGCTGTTCACGTGACATATCATAAAGAACAACTAATTTCCAAGCCAATTGTTTGGCTTTATGAAATCCTTGTGAAAACAATAGAATTTGACAGATTTGCTGAATATCAGGTTGCATAACAACAACGGGACGGAAAAGTGCTTTCAAAGATTCTGGCAATTCTGTCCTACCACTATAACATGGATTCATTGTTACGAAAATTCCCATGTTCTTTCTAAGCATAATCTCATAACCTTCAAACTATATTCATAGATTTTTATGATAATTAATATTGTATAATACGAAATTATGAACATATAACTTACAAAAAACTGCTTTAAATTCATAATTGATGCTTGCCTAATTACAGTTAATTGAGTTGAAATGACAGATAGTACTGAGATATTAATTCTATTAAATTCATCAAAACAACCCCAACATCCGCATTGACATAACCCTGATAAGAGTTTTCCTATTGATTTAAAATCTAAACCTTCACTACAGTTAGTCACTATACATAATAGACCTAGTGCTCTAGCTAAATCTTTAACAGTTTCAGTCTTACCAGTACCAGCTGGACCGAATGGAGCTTAAAAAATTTAAAACTTTTAAGATTTGTACGGCTCAGTTATGGAAATACTTTACCTCCTCCTAGGTGCATTGATAAAGCCTGAGTAAAGGTTAGATAGATTCGATCGGTTAGAGGAGTAATAACTAAACGGCCTGCCAATCCAAAATATTCATAACCGTATTGAAATGATCCAGTACACTGATTAACTATTAAATTATCCGTATTCTTATCCCAATAGAATCTTAATTGACTTTCCCATTCAAATTCATCTCCACTCACTATATTATCCCTTATCAAAGAATTTACTATATCCCTTGAATGAATATCAACGATAATAAGACAATTTAGCTTTTTTCTGTTATTTTCCGGTATGGATTCAAGAATTCTTTGAACTAGATCATTAATTTCAGTCTCTAATTTATTTAGATAAGATTTCATAGCATTTTTATTTGATTGTAATTTAGTAAAAGTATCTTCGATTTCCCAAGTTCTCCATACTTGAGATGCGGCTAAACATATAGCACCTTGGTATTCGTTTATCCAATCAATTCTTACCTTACTACAGCAATAATTAAATATAGCTAATTTTATTAATTTATGGTTTGTAGTCTTCATTTCCTCAATCAAATCATTCATCCAATCTTCTATAGGTCTCTGACTACTAATTGAATTGTTTAATATCAACTCTTCTTCATCGCCGGATAGCATAGACTTTACAAAACTTTGATCAAAAGATAAAGAGGAGACATTATCAAAAACTTTTGAAACATGTTCCAAAATTGAATTTGGTTGAACTCCACCCAAAATAGATAATAATTCATTATCGGATAAGAAATAAAATCTTGGAAAAGTTTGCCTCTTAATATCTAAATAATCATTTAAATATCTTTGGCAAGTATCAAAAGCCTTATCTAAATTAACGAGGATATCCATTCTACCAGGTAATAAGCAAGAATTCTTAGCATTTGAATCTTTTCTAGTAGTTTTCATTATTTCGTGGAAAATATTGGAATGTTTATCAAATTTTGAAGCTTCATTGGGTATTTGTCGGCGAATATCTTTCGTACAGAATATAGCTTCAAGATGAAGCCATTTTTTTTGAACAACCAGCCAAATCTATTAAAAAAAAATACTATTAAAATAATAAAACTCCATAATAAAATAGATATTTCTACATCGAGAACTTCGGAAATTTGCATAAGAACTTTCTCTAATTCGTTTATACTTCGTAGAAAAGGTCTAACGAATTTCGAAGATGATATACTTTGAAGATTTATCGATTGTTCTTCTAAAAGATTGATAGTATCTTCAATTGAATTAAATATATAATATTTATCTCCTTTTTTCGATCTTTTATATTCGATAATATTTAATTTTAAATTATTTAATAATTCTTCAATAGATTTAATACTTTTTTCAATATTTTGTTCTCTAATTGCCCCATTTACTAAATCGTATATTTCACTTTTGATATTATGAATATTCATATCAAAGATATTTTTTAAACAGAAACAATCTGGTGAAATGTTAAAATTTTCACCAGTTTTCTCCATTAAAATTAACCAATGCCTTTCTCTTATAGTTTCATTCTTTAATTCTTTAAATAATGGTATTAATTCTTTATAATCATCTAATAACTTTAATAATTTTCTACTAGGATTTAATTGTTTAATATTTTCTGATAATTGTTTAAACTTTTTTATAATATTGAATAAATTGTCCGAAAATGATTGTAAATTTAAATCAATCCATAGAATTTTTGACCAAATTTCGTCGAGTCTTTTTAATTCAATATATAAATGAAATATTTTTAATAAATTTCCAATTTTTTTCTCTAAATTTATTAAAATTTGAAAATTTGATATTTTTAAATCAAATAATTTCTCTTCCTTTACAATTTCTAATTTTCTCTTTTCTAAATCATCAAATTCCTTCTTATAAATATTCAATAGATTAAGGCCTAATTTGTATTTTGAATATGATTATAAAAATGGATATAATAATGTAATAGAGTGAATATTGAAAAGAAAACCTTCGTCTAGATTGTATTGAATAGAATTTGGTCCTTTTCTATCGAATTTTATTGTAAAGCTATGAACTTCTACCAAGAATTTTCTCGTTCTTTCTCTCGTTATTTTACGAAATTTATATTTAACAGTAATCATTTTTCTATTTATCCCTTTTGAATGTTCTAATAATTCTTCCCAACTCTTGTCTAATTGATTGATTAGATAATCTTCTAACGGCGTCAACTAAAGAAATTATTATAATCGTTTAGATAAGATTAAATAATAATAAACAACCTCTACTTGAATTAATTGATAAGATTTTAGCATTCTATATTTTTCTTGCGTTATCTTGATGATTGCTAATTGATCGGAGAATGATGATTGGATATTAGAGATTATATTTAAGATAAACATAACTTTTTCTGTGCTTATAGGTTTTTCTTCTAGATGTATATATTTAATCTAAATCAATAATTCTATACAAATGATATGTTAACGAAATCAATTCATTCTCTTTACTTACACATATCATTTCATAGATATTTTTCATTTCATCTTTAGCTTGTTGATAGAGGGCATTACTATATAACTTTAACCATAGTCGACAGTGGTGAATAACAGAGTTTGTTAACGGAGTTATCAATAATCGAATACAGCCAATATCTCTTTGTTTTGGTAAAATACATAAGTCGTTTATCATTGATTGATAGGATAATAATTTTTCATCAAATTGAACAAATCGTGGACATTTTGATATCCAAAGCTCAAATACTGTTTCTTTATCAGTTCTCCAAAGTGTACGCCATTTGCGCCACCTACGGATATACTCTTGAATGTCTATAAGATAATTGCGAATAACGCAGTGTATAAGATTTGCTAATTCATTAATGTTATTATCATTAATTATATCGTCATAATAGCTGAATATGAACTCCTCTTCAACATTTTCAAGCTTTTGGGGTGGGCATTCCAAGCAACTTCCGTGCTGCCACCTACATTTTAAATCATTATCTGATTACATTTAAACAAAAAAAATATCACCTTATGTAGCCTCTAGTACCATCCAAAATTGATATAACGAACTGTCTAACCTCTTTATAAAGTTCGGCCGCGGTTGGACTTAAAACCACATCAGATCCAGTTAATATTGCTCTTAAACTAAACTTTGGCTCTTTTAAAGCGATGATTAATCGTTTTAAATTTTGACAAATATTGTTCCTAACTGCTCTATAAAGCTTTCTTTCCAATATTCTATAATATTCTTTCATTTCCGGTCGACGTCCCGTATTAGTTCGAAAGATGACGCTTTCTAATTTGATTAATTGTTGACTAATAGACAAATATTTTCTATTAAGAATTTCGTATTGATCGTCTAATTGTTTCTTTACAAATAAGAAATAATTTCTACTAGTAAGATCATTAGGATCACCAAAATATAAATTAGGACAGAGTTTAACAGTTTCAAGAATGTTTACTTTTGTCGAAATATTGTCAACAATTTTTAGAACTTGCTGACCTATTGATTCGAATTGTTCAATTGCCTAGAAAACGGAGATGTCTGATAAGAATCTATCTAAAGTTTTAATTAAAATCCCTTAATAGACCTTTCTGCAAGATAAAATAAACTCCTCAACTCCCAATGAACACCAATTAAGTCGTTTCAAACCTGGTTTAAATACGTTTCTTAATTGATTGATATGGTTCGCTAATAAAAGTTTTTCATCATCGTCTAATCGATCTGTTATCTCTTTTAGACGATCTATTACAGATTTCATGGCATCTACTTTCTTAAGATAATGAGTTTCCTTTAAAAGATACAAGAGAAAATCAATTGATAAGCTAAATACGACTATTTTATATAGAATTAATAACCTGTAGAGCTAAACTTCTAAGTAATTCTGGTATTTTAAAACCCATTAATTCTAATTGTTTAATTTCAACAATTAACTCCTTCAGGGCAGGGTCAAATTCAACGTTAAAATTAACTTCAAAAGTAGCTTCTAAAAACGTATTTAACACTCTTATTAAAATATATATCTATCAAAGAGTAAATCATCATTTACTGATATCATCATCTTGTATATAAATGGTATGCTTTGGAGAAGATAAGATACTCTGTCGCATTAAGTTTATTATAATATTTTCAGAGTTATCTTTCCATTGTTCATAAATCTCATCTTCAAAAGATTTTAATTGCTTTGCAACTGTTAGATACTTTTGTTTCATCTATATTTAAATATAATATATAATAAATGAAAATATTAAAATCATCATTTCTTACTAATTTTAATAAATCCGAATTTGATAAATTATCCATTGATAAAAACTTTAACATAGTTCTCTTTATCTTACGAAAGAGTAATCTTTCCCAAAATATAATTCCAGATGTATTAGTCATATCCTTAATCTTTGGAGGTGTATTTTTCTTCCTATGGAATATCTTTTCAATTTCATCAATCTCTTTACCATATTGAATAATTATGTCAGTCATTTTCTCTTTCATTTTTTCATTTATACTTCTTCTTGATCTAATACATTCAAATTTTATTAAAAGATCAAAAGCAGCTTCGGCTGATCTCAAATTTTTAAATGAATAATCAACCAAACTTTTGGTATCAATTTCAATAGCATCAACCTCAAAATGGAACCAATTTTTTAGCTGTTTCCATTTATTCTTATATTTCGAATCAAAGAAATTAAAATCCAACTAAAACAATCAGAATTGAGAATAATTACAAAATTAAACGTCTTTTCTTGTATATATTGTAAATTAAATAGTATAATACCTCTTGTAATGGTTGAATTAGCCTTTTAACCTTATTTAAACCATTATCTATTCCTTTAGTATTTCCTGTAAGAGCTTTAAGCTCTGGTCCAAATATATTATTAAACTCTTGAATAGTTTGGGCGAAATCGAATAAATCTTGGCAAATTCTCGACATATAGTCTGTCTTCTCGAACAACTTTTTTCTGTCAAATTCCCATCTTGATTCTCTATTCGACTCTTCAATTAACGCTCTAACTTCAAAATACGATTCTTTCCATGTAGTAAAGATATCTCTTGCTTGACTTGTCTTATTGAGAATAGTTTCAACTGGTTCGCTATTAATATTATGAATTTTTATTAATTAAATTATAATTATCATTATGTAGGCTAATTAAAATTTAACTTGAAAAGGGTTTTATAGTTAATAGATATTTCAACCCTTTCTATCAATTGCCATGCTATTTTCTCGAGGAGAGGTATCATTCTCTTTTCTTGATTATAATGTCTAGAAATAATCCATATCATTCTCAAAGTGTTCAACATCGAAGGTATCGTATAGGAAATAATGTAGAAATTTGAATGGGCTAAATTCTTAAAATGCCTATCTAGAGTAGACAAAAAGCGGACATTGTCCTTAGCTTCCGTATAAAATTTCGATAATTCCTCCTTTATAGTGCCAATAGTTTTATCTTTATAGTTGAGAATAGTTAATATATTTTTAACGTCTTGAACGTTTAATTGTTCATGAAGATTGTTTAAAGCGGAATATCTTTCTCGCCAGTATTCAATTTCAGCCATAGGGGATGGATTACTAGCGGTTTTTGGCATATCGTCAAGAGCCTTTTGTAACAACATTTTCCATTGTCTACCTAAATCAACAATTTTTTTCAAAAGTTCGCGATTTTCAAGATTCTCTTCAAGATTTTCGGATAGGAAAAGATTTTGAGGAATTTTGAAAAGAACTTCCGACTCTAGTTGACTAACTGTCCTCGAAATAGTATCAAGAAATCTCGAGACAAGTAAAGGTAAGTCGTCATATTCGTTATCTTGTTCAGAATGATCGGAATGTGATAAATTTTCACTCTTAAATGAGTAAAATTTCCTAGAAGCTCTTTTCATTTTCATTAAAGGATCATAAATCTATATTTTAGACAAGAAATTACTTTATTTTAGTAGATCATAATTAAATGATTAATAACTTGTTCAATAACATCGTATAGCGTATGAATAGGAGCTCTGTTAAGGATTCCAAATTGAATATTATTCAACATTTCAATATTCATTTTAAAACTATCCTCAAATCTTCTGATATCTTTTTGACTATTTTTAAGAAGATAAAAGATGATCTTTTCAGGAAATTCACATTTATTATCATTGTGATAGAGTTGAATATAGGTATTAGTAAAAATCCTAAATTCTTTCATCTTTTATTTCGTTTATTATTATTAGATAAGAGAGAGAAATGAAAGCAACAAACAAAATAATGTTAACCTCCTTTACAATAGTCTTGAAGTCGGATTGGTCAAGGCTGGCTTGGCTTCTAGATATCTTATCTTTTACTTTAGACTCTATTATATAGGTTTATTAATCATTATTGTTTGTCTTTTAAGGATTAAAAAAAAACAAAAATTTACTCCTTAAGGATGTTTCCGAATTATTTGTTCTTGTTGAAGATGACTCGTCAACTTTAGATAAATCCATTTCTACTAGTTCGTAATCTATTGTATGATAAAAGAAATTATAATAAGATGAAGTGAGACGGAGAAAGGGATAGGGAAAGATAGATAGAAAGGAGGTGAAGTAATCCTACTATATTCTACAGAAACTTCCTCTTCTTCATCTATAACATCTTTATAAAAGAATAAACTTTGCAAATTTTCTATCGAACTATTCAAAAATGACATAAGAATATTTTCATTCTTTCCATCATTCCTATTTAGAAATTCTGCAAAGATTTCACCATTATTATCTTTAATGTCGAGACTTTGATATATTCTATCTTTAATCCATGTAATACGTTCGTCATTAAATCTTTGAAAGATAGATGCACGACGATAAATTCGTTCCTGAGGAAAAAAGATTAGTGCGTATAAATCCTTTAATGTATTAAAAATATAATATAAATAATAATAATTTACAGATTTAAGACAAATTCTATTCTTAGGATAATCTTCTTCCATAACAAAAAGCTAATTATAATTTTTTGTTTACTCAAATAGACAAAAGTAGAAAATAAATAGATTTTGAACATTTTTAAATAGTTTTATAAAGTATAAATGACAGTATTTCTTAGAAATTCTTTATTTTAACAATTAAATAAATAGGTTAATAAGAAAAAATATTATCTATTTAAAAAAATAAACCAATTAACTTCCTCCTTTCTTCAAATTTTATTAATTTAAATACTATTCCAATTAAATATTATATTTACCTTTTCACCTATTTATGAGTAAATATATAAGTTTATTAATAATATAATTATTGTAGTTTCTATCAAAATGAATATTAATCTAACTAATTTGCATAATTTATTACTTTATATCTATTACGTAACTACCATTTTTTTTCACTTTACTTTGTAGTTTTCTTTTATTTTTCTCAAATGTAAATACTTCGGGTTTTAAATGTAAAAAAAAAAGAAAAAAAACAAAGAGAAAAAGATAGGAAAACAAGATTCTATTAGCTAATAGGCCTAAATAGAAAACTAAAACTTTATAAATTTAACATCTGTCAGAATTGGAGATTATTCTAACTGTAGCCGTTATGTTTCGTAAGAATAAAAGGTTAATTATGGTCTGTAGTCGTCTGCATATATTATCCGTATGTCTATTGATGTAAGAGTTGAAATAACATAAATACTATATACTAATATAGAGTATATAGTACATCATATTAGCATATATATTATTTAAATTATTATATCCATTTTGTTATTACTTTCCCCTTTTTTTCTTTATATTTTCACAGATATTCTTAGTAAATACATATTTCTACAATAATATATAATACATCTAACTCTACGATTTGTATTTATTTACTTGGTAGAGAGAGCTACAAAGAGTAAATTTCTTCCTTTATGGTCGTTTGGATAATACGAAATAAAAGAAATATGGATAATAAATATAATGAAAACTGCTTATTAAACGTTATGAATGATGGATTATTAAAAATTGAAAATGATAGAAGGGATACTATTGAATCGCTGGAATATAATTTAAGTAGTTTAATAGTAAAATTATACGAAGATAAGAATAAATTACGTCAACAAATTGACGAATATTACAAGAGTAAGACGATTAAACTAAGGGAATTCGTCAGCTATTTCGAAGAAATTAAAACGAAAGGAGGAAAAGAAATTATATATAAAGTACTTGACGAAATCATGAATTTATTAGAGACTACGATGGTATTTTCTCTAAAGGACACAACATTTGAATTTGGTAGTCTAGTTTATTCTTCTCGTACTAGTGACATGATTAGCGTAAAGAGAAAAGTTTACGCTCTTACTTGTTCAATGGATTCTATATTTTATCTTACTCGAAAGAAATACTTTAAAAATTATAAATTTAAAATAAAAGAATATAATCTAAAAACTGGTAGTCACGTTGAGAGATCTATGTGGAGGATGGAAAGATATGTTGAATATTCCTTATGTTCAAGTAAGAATATCTACTTAATGGAGCATGGCTATACTGACTTGAAAATAATTCAAAGCTCTATAACTAGTAAACAAATACCTATGATATTTGGAAACAGAACAAATGGTACTTGCGTATACAATCGGATGACGTCATTTAAAGATGGTATGTATGTTATATTAGTTATAATATCATTCACCCATTGATATAATAGATAATATATAATCCATTTGTAATATGATTAAAACATGTTCTTCTTTTCTTTCCTCTTTTTCAGGTATTTTAGTGTATTTTGTTAGGAATATCAGGAAAAAAGAAGTTCTAAAGGTATCCGATCCTTTTGGAGTAATTTGGAGAACCGAAATACCAATTATTATCGATGATAAGTGGAATTTAAAGGCCACCGATAAGCATCTCTTCCTATTCGATTCTTTAGGCTCAATTATGATAATGGATTTAATTTCAGGATCCTTATTCAAAACCATTCATTCTACTAACTCGAGCCCTGCGCACGATTATCGTTTCATTGATTACTTGCCATTAACTAGGCAATTTTACTGTCTATTAATTAACGATAATTTCGTTACTGTAGTAGGTGAAATTGACCGAGACAGCGAAGAGAAAAGTATACCTATTTTGCATTACGGAAGCTTATCACGTGACCATCGCGTAGTAGATTATATACCTTTGACAGTTGGTATCAAATTGTTTACTTTAAATGAGAATTCAAAAATTATTAGCTTTCGTACTATTTTCACAAAGAATCATCGTTAAACTTGAGCGCTTTGTCCAATAAATTGTTCCAGAGTATAACTTCAACGTACAAAAGCAACATACTAGACTTGCTGTATATATTTAGATCAAGTACTTATGTAAATAAATTACAATAGGCCGAAGTATCTTGTAGTAAAAAGTTAAACACTATTATTACAAGGAAAAACAAAAGGAAAGGATATAAATCTATAAAAAGACTTACTATAGATGTAAAGAACTGTATATACTAAACAAGAACCGGAAAAGACCAAAGTTCATTTCATTTTATTTGATGCAGTGTTTTTACTTAAATGTAAAATCATCTTAATTTTGTGTTATTTTAATAAACTATTTGTTTATTTATTTCTATTAAAGTTAAATATAAACAAAAAGTAGTTAGTTTTGATAGTTTGTTAAAAGTTCAATGAACTTTTAAGATCTTCAACTTTATATAATATCTCTGCTTTTTCAAAAAACGACTCCCTAGTATTACGTCATCAAGTATAAATGTATACTGTGTATAAATTATATATATTAACATATGTAACTTTTACACAGTACTCTACATTAACTTTTCAATACTGAAACTTTCTAATTAGTAAACACTACTCATTAAAACTGGTAGTATTTAACTTTTCCTTACCCCATTACTTCCACTCACACAACAACTATCTATACAGCATAGCTTTGCCTCTATCTCTAGAAATTCCTTCTTTTTATCTAAATAATAAGCTAAGAAAAAGTTAGTGAAAGACTTTTTCTTGTTTTTTACTTTTTTTTATACATAGATAGATAAATATTGTTTTAAGAGGAAGGAAAGGGATAATTGGAGAGGTATGAATCCTTCTTGCAAATTTTGCAATGCTTTTTGGTGGGAGAAGAAATTGTATTGTCTTCCTTGCGCAGTTATACATATATATTGCGAAGAATGTCTATATAAAATCAGTTTTCAAAGGGAATTAAGAGCTGGAGATAAATTTCATTGTCCAACCTGTTCAGTTGAACATCGATGGCCAATTGAAGGCGTTAGAGGATTTAGTCGAATACCTTATGATAATATGAATAAAATGCATACTAGTAAGATTTTAATTAATTAATTAATTAATTTTTATTAAAATTTCAACAACACAGAAACAGATCGCGAATCAATAAGTTCGTCCGATTCAGTTTTTATGGAAAATACGGAATTAAATGGAAATGGAACTGTTGAATTAGCTGAAGAAAATTATCCTGAAAATATTATAACTAGAGCTTTAAAACAAGTAGAGATAAATTGTAAAGAAGTTAGTAATCAAGTTCTAAAAGAGGTTAATTTAATTTTAAACGCCTTGAATGCTGAACATCAACTACTTCAAAAAGAGATTAATAACTATCGTTCATACACTGAATACGAATTGAAAAGGTTAGCGTTAGAAGGTGGAGAATTCGATGTATTGAAAACGTTCAACGATGATGTTTACAAGAAATTTATTGATCGCAAATTATCTAATAGAGTATTAAAGATTCTTGGTAAAAATATGTATTTTAAATCTGCAAAAGGAGACGTAAAGATTGGTGAAGTATTAGAAAATACAATAAATGGTAAAGAATTAAGGGAGGAGAGCGAAATTCAAGCGTTAACTACAACTCCGTCAAGCGTTATTTATCTTACGGAAAAACACGAAAGAAATTACATTTACAAGATTGTCGAATATTCATTTAATAAAAATCTTATGAGATGTCATCTTATGTGGAAGACAGCACATAAGAATGGTTATAAATTGGCCGTCGGTAAGAATATTTATGTAATGGATGATAGAACTGGTAGTATCTATCTAATCGATAAAGATGCTGTTGAATGCTCCGATCCAGGATTTTTTGCGTCACCATCAAAATCGACGATATCTGTAAGATGTAGCTATTTTACATCGTATCCCGGAGGTGGTGTTATAACGTATACAGGATACAATTACGAGGCTAAAATATCCAAATTATCCGATCCATTCGAAGAGGTTTGGACAATTGAATTGGCTCTTACAAATGGTATTGTCAACGATATGAAAACATGCGCAAATTTCGTTTATATTTTAACATCTAATAGTAAAATCTGTATATTAGATTTAGAAACTGGTAATCTTTTATGGAGAATCAATTGGATGGGTATGTCGGTACCTGTATACGGTTTTGAAGATTTAAGATTTACGCCCAGTAATAGAACCGTATCTTGCCTTTTAATGGGTGAAAATATAACTGTTTTAATAGATCAATTAAAAAATAAAACAAATTCATGGACATTTATGGTCTACGGTAACAATTGCGAAAGTTATAAGATAATTGATTACGTCAAAATGGAAATTGGAGTTAAATTATGCCTTTTGGGTAATGATTACAAAACTTTAAGATTTCATACTGCTTGTATTCCACATTTGTAATTATTAATATAGCTATATTTATAGTTGTTTTTGTTTTTTCTCTTTTTTTTTTCAATGTTCTTTTCTCATTCTCTTCTTCTTCTGTTCTTCTTTTATCTTTTCTTTTTCTCCGTTTTATAAAAATTTTATCATTTCTTTTTATTTGTTTAGATAAATTTAATTAACAAAAATAAAATTTTTGAAATATTATAAATTAAAAACTTTTCATTAATTTACTACTCAATTACGTCACTAATTCGCCTTTTAATTGTATATTATATATATACAGTTTATCTATTTAAAGAAAGGAAAAAGGTTGATTAATGTAGGTTAATTATAGCTATTAAGCAAAAAATACAGCTCTTGTTGAGTATAATCACAGAAAATAGTATAAAAAACAAACAAGTACAGATAAAAAATTCCACGAATACGCTTTATTAAGTCAAAAGTCTTGGAATCGTTCACTCTGATGGGAATTTGAATACTGTTAACATAGGTAAAAAATCTTGTTACCCTTATAGATATAAATATATAAAAAAGAAACATTTATATTTTAATAGATCCTATTAAAATGGCGAATTCGAAGCAAAACTCTCAATTAGTAATGATAAATTTATATTGTAAAAGATGTTCGAATGAATTTCACGTTCCATCTGCGAAAGTTGGAGACAAAACTTTATGCCAATCGTGTTATATGGACAATATTTGTATAGATAATGATGATATTCTTAGTAAGCTATTGTAGATAATAATTAGAATATTTAAATTAATTTTCTCTCTATCTCTATCTATCTATCTATCTATCTGTCTGTCTATCTATCCATATTATTTATAGATAATCATGAGATGTCCGAGGATAAACTACAAGCCGAAGGAGTATTGGATCTCATGTTCGCCAAGTCGCTATGGCATGTTAACAACAATAAAAAAACTACTTTAAGCAAATTGGAAAGTGAAATTTCAATGCTTCAAGCTTTCATAATAAGAGATCATGAAGAACTTAAAAATCAAATAGAAAATTACTATACTCAGAAAAAGAATGATTTAAAGAATAAATTAAAATTGGCTAAGAAGGAACTATTTTCAACAAATCATCAACTTCCTATTGAAATGTATAGACAAGAATTTTTTCTAGAACCGTTTAATGATATAGTTGACTGTCATATTGATTTTGAACCAAATTCAACTATTAAACACTTTATATTAGGCGATATATTGGAGATTACGAATCATAAGAATAATTTGAAATTCGATTATAAGATTGAATCATTAATTTGTACGAATAATAGCATTATTCTCTTATCAAGAAGACACAAAACTAATAATTATAAATATATACTTGAGGAATATGTTATAAATAGAAATATATTAATATTTCATTCATTTTGGATAACTGGATGTAAAACTTCGTATGATATAGCGGCAAATTTAAAGAATATTTATATTTTAGAAAAAGAAACTGGCAATTTATTTGTGGTACAATTAAAAAAGTTCACTGACCCTGAACAACCTAAATTATTTGCCGCTGTATCGTTAATGTATAGCGAAACTTCCTTTCCCGTTTGTTGCATCATTCCGTTTCACAGAGGTTAGTTTATGTACTTTACTGTTTAACTTTTACTTACAATCTATTCAATCCAGGAATAATTATGCATAGAGGAAATGGAAGAATAACTAAAATTTTCGATCCTTTCAAGGAAGATTGGACTATTGACCTTAAATCTAAATATTTACATGCAGAAAATATGATGACGACCCAAAATTTTTTATTCGTCCTAAATTCAAATGATCTATGGGTTTTCTACCTTGATAGCGGAGCCGTCTATAGAAGAATTGAATATAATGAATCAAATATTATGCTATCTTTTGAAAGACTTCGCTACATCATACCAATGTATTCGATATCTTGTATGATACTATCAACATATTCAGTGATCTTTATTGAAATTAACAATAAAGGAGAGCCGGAAATACTCAGATATGAAAGAAGGGATGGACATTGGACTGTGAGAGATTTTGTCTTTTCTCCATTTGGAGCTAAACTCTGTCTTTTGGACGATAGTGGCAAAAATATTAAATTATTACCAATTTGTCTGGCTAAATTCTAGAAGAAAAAAGATTTAAACTTTCTCCGAAAAAGGTTCATCGGAGAAATTTCTCTTCTTTTTTCTTTCTCTTATATTTCAGGAACCTATTTATTTATATAATACGCAAATTACATTCTTTAAAGGACAAAAAAATACAATATATCAACGTTCCCCTTCCTTAGCTATTTAATATAATTTTCTACTTTCGTTTTCAAAATTATATATTTTATAGGCCTATTTTAATGATAGAATTATTATAGTGAACTATAAGATTACTCTAAATTAATATTATTATATATTAATGATTTCTTCAGTTTGGAGAACCTTTTTTTTAAAGGTATCACCCAGATGATACCAATTATACGATAATATGAAATAATATCTTTGTTTCAACGCCATCTATCGTTTTTTCGAATTCTTCGTAAAAATCCTTAGAAAACAATAGCTATATTACTTTTTATACGCCAAACAAAAGACAGTACACTTGTCGTTTTAAATAGAAGAAAGTTAGCCGAGTTAGCCGCCAGACGAACCGTAAAGTTAGATAAAGCTTTACATTTAGAGCAAATAGAAATGATAGATTGTTTTACAATCACTTGATAAGTATTTATTTCGAAGAAAATAGCGAAAAGAGAAGGACAGAATAAACGCAACATGTTCAACTATTGTCCACCAAGTCAGAATGGCACTATTCCATCTTTCTACTGCAAACAATCAGTTCGTTTGAATGACTTAGAATATGTATTTTGCTGCTCGAATAATTTAACGGGACCGTATTACTGCTGTAGAGATTCTTCAAAATACTATTCAAGTCACCTACCCTCCTCAGCAATTCTACTCCTCATTCAATATTGGCCAATTCTATTGATAATTGCTTTGATATTATTCCTAATCTCTATCACGCTATTCGGTAAGAGAACTATAAAATGGAAATATAATGGTCCTTAGTTAAAATTAACTAATATTAATCTTTTTAAATTGAATGTCATTGTATAAGTAACAAACGTTAATTCGCAATACTTTGGTTGAATTATGTATTACATAGCATATAAGTCATATACGAAATTATGATTGATTGAATTCGAAATCTTTAAAGTAAAATGCTCTGCAGTCGTGGGGAACGTTAAGTCCGGTAAAAGCTTCTAGAATACAATCTTCTTCGGAAAAACTTCGAAGATCCGTTGATAAAACGTGTTCGACAAATCGCCTCAATGGTATAACGTGACTATAACGGGTATCGAAATTCGTTAAGAAATCTTCAACGATATGATGAAGTCTATCTGGCAATGGTAATTTTAAACTTCCTCGTCGTTTCGTCCTAATCATCTCTGACTCTAATGATTTTTGTTTGTATTACATTAATTATAGCTTTAATTTATTGCACGTAGTAGAATGGCTTATGTAATATATCACTCACTTGTTGGTAAATTCTTATAATAGTACAGCAACGGGTGGAGAAAATTGCTCAGATGAGCCTCTTCCGGTGAACCAACAGATCGATTATACTTGAACGGATCCTTTAATTCAAGTGTTAAAAATAAGGAAGATAGGAAGTAATGATAATTAAATAATAGCTCACATTTTCGGCACTTGAAAATCCATCCCCATACTCAAAAACCACTACAATAATGGACGTAACCTTTCGACCTGTCCTAATTTCAAATTCATCAAGAGAGGCTAGGGGATATTCTTCATACACTTCAAACGTTTCCTCTTTTCTGTAAAACAACTTTTCATTATTTTTATTCAATCATTTCTAACAGTAAACTTTTCAAAACCGGTAGATGGCAGTTATATTCAAGTGATTATATGTCTTTTCCCGAATAATAGTTTAAAAAGAAAGAAAAGTCCACTACCGGATTGGCATTTTACGCTATTTAAATACTTACTCGTTGATAACTATGACATCTCCAAGCACCTGAAACATTTGGTAAGGTGCAGAAGCTTCATTTACTCTTTTAATGATCCAAGGTACAAGCTGATTAAATGGTTCTGCAGGTTGATGAGGCCAGACAACACCATGATTCTTCCACTCCAATAACCTGTGTAAGGCTCTAGTAGTATACCTATAACCGTGAATAAAACCTCCAGCCGATTTTTTGAAATCTAATGAATGCGTTAATACACCTGAAAAGATAAAGTGATTAAAGGAATAGACAAGACATAAGATTACGTTGTTTTTTTCATTTCACAGTGTAAAACAAACGCTTAAAAATAAGAATCCCTGCTTTTTTTCTTTTTTTCATCGACGATATTAGTACAAAACATAATCATTTATTTTTTAGATGATATAGGTAATCATGCATTCAGTACATTATACATTAACAAATATCGATTACTTGGATGATTATTTGATTAACATGCAGTTGAGAGATGGCAAAGATTACAGCAAAGTATATTGTTTTTTCCTCCATTTTCATTCTAAAGCTTACATATTTTTCACATAAGGATTTAGCATATCTTTAACCGCTAGAAAATAGTCTAACAACTTATACTTTCAAATTAGTTCCATGCGAGGAATACTACCTACAGTTTGCCGCATTATTCTATACTCGCCTAATTGACTTCTTTGCATATAAAAATGTTTCGAATTTCCTAGTTTTACTCCTAGCCTTTAATTGAATTCGCTTAATGACTAAGACATTTTAATGTTGAGATTGATTCTACTTTGACACCCTAAGCCTTAAACAAATCACCAGAGGTTAGTTATTTAGTATGAAGTATACGCCTATCTATTGTCTAGATTTTTTCGCGTTTAAACTCTTGTAAACCAATGAACACAGATGTGATAAAATGTTACATAACAAATATAAAGCTACATCTTGGTAACCTCTTTTTTATTACATAATAAGGACAAACCTGCAAAGTAAATATTCGAATTATCCACTGCTTCGTACATATCATTAATCTTTGGAAATTTTTGCAACTTTTGGTCTCTATGTTTCTTTAAATTTAATCCTACCCATGGCGTTTCATCCCATATCCAACCAAGGCAGGATATTATGACATCATACGGATCTCTTAGAGCAAAATTATCTTCCTTGACGCTAAACTTTAATAAGGGATCTTCTAACATGAAACGTCCGTCGTCTCTCTTAAAAATTGCTAAGTCTTGAACGTCAACTTCAAATATACCGTCTAAGGATTTCAATTGATAATTATCTAATAAGTTGTTATTAATGGCCCTTAAATCTCCAACATAATGCGTTGACCAGGATAGTTTCACTCTACTCCTACTTCCCATATGTACAACATTTGTATAAGGGAATAAAGAAGTAGCAACTTCATTTGCAGTATTTCCTTTACCAAGTATTAGGACATTTTTTCCCTCATAATAGTGTGGATCTAAGATCATATCATCATAGAACGTTAGATATTCGCTACCATTGAAAGGGATTTTCAGAGGTTTGAATATACCAGTTGCAATAATTAAATATCTGAGATAGAAAGTAAACGAAACGATCCTTTATTAGTTAATACTTTAATTAGTTAATAAGATTTAAAATGGAAATGATTTCCTATATCTTTGTAAACGATTATTATAGATATATACGTAATATTTCGAATAAACTAACGATAACTTACTTGCAAAGGAATGTTACTTCTTTTTCATCAGTTAGTTCAATGGTACCATTGTCAATCTTTCGAGATGATATAATATTTGTATTAAAGCGAGTGTTTAGCCCTAATTTCTTTTCAAAATCAATTAAATATCGTAGATAATCGTCCTTATGAGGGAAGAAATCTATAGAAAAATTAATAGATTTTAACATAATATATATAATATTAAAATAAATGTTTACCTTTGCTATACTCTTTGAAAACTAACGTTTCATCGTTACTAATCAAAGAATTCCAATCGTGTCGAAGATTAAACTCTTTATTAGTTTTACTAGTGAATCTTTTGTTGATAGAAATTAAAGTATTATGCCTTGGGAATGTTTTAAAGAAAGTTCCTAATTAGATAAAATTGAAGGAGATGTTATTCTATAATCAAGTTTTACTAAATTTCATATGTATATATTCCTACCGGGTGAGCTTCCTCTTTCTAAAATCACGTAGTCTCTTTTTTTGTCCTCTAGGAAAGAGCCCATCTGAAGTCCTGAAGGTCCAGCTCCAACTATTATATAGTCATAATACTCGCACGAAACCAAATGAATAAAATTCAATAGAATGATAAATAGACCAGAAATTGTGACCTTCAACATATTCAGTATTCCTTAAACTTTTGAGAGTTGTTCTATAGAAATTTATGCTTATCACTACATCTTGTCTCATAATAAAGTTAATTATAAATAGCATAGTTATTCTATATTACATTCATTAGACATTAAGAACTATATTAATAGGTGGATATAATTCCAATAATTAGTAGTCTCACCCTTATTACTATAGAACTATTATCTACATGTAATTACAATTAAACACTATACTTGTTTCTAATTCATGATAAATATTAATAATATACGGTTTTTATCATCAAAAAATACCTCAGAGTCGAGCTTCTTTCACAACTACACCAAGTAATTTACTTTCGAATAGTTCAACCAATTCCAAATAGTTCCTTCTTTTTAAATGTCAGAGACAAGTGAGAGAGATCATTCGTAAACGAAATTTGCTTGATAGATAGGCCAAAATAAAGCAGCAGATTGCCTAGTATAAAATTTGTATTAAATCTTCAAGGTCTGTATGAATTGTTAGGCTATAATTAAACAACGAATTCACTAACCAGATTCTCTAGAGGGAATTAAGATCAAACAATAAGTGAAAATAGCATTTTATGCTATTACTAATTTATTTAAACAATTAATGAAATTACGGTAGTGAACAAAAACAAAAGAGAGACCGTAAGTCTTTATCTTGTTATATGCTCCATGCACTGCGTGCATTTATATACGTCTTTATATATAGAAGAAATTTAATACCTTGGTTACTCTAATAGTAGTTGATGGAAGAATTTAAAACTTGACAAATATTTCGAGCTGCCATCTACAGTAAAAACTAAAAAGCGGATGTGTCGCCTCCTTTCAGTCTTTAGTCACTGAAACAGTCCTAATCCCATTCTCTAAAGATTTATGTTATCATTGGAAAATCCGCGCTCAACTTTTTTAGTTTCTTTGAATGAATTGGTTTGAATATTCAATTTTTCGGCTGGATAAAGGTTGTTCACGTCACGTAATATGTGAAGATACTCGGTAAGATATTACGATTAGAACAAAACGTGAATAAACGTGCTTTCTGATTCGGATAGGCTTGGAGACTTTTATATTATTACTAAAGCGCTATTCAAAATGTATTAACCCTCTATTAAATGACCTCTTTCAATATATTGTATGTATATATCATTATATTTTTTTGGTGTTATTTTTGATTTATCAGAATTATATATAACTGTAAATGATGGAAAATATTTTCATGCCACTTAACATTGAAGTCAGTGTTCATTTTATTACAATATTTATTCATTTTTCTTCTCGTATTGATGGTTTTTTTCATGTTTACATCGGTACTTTTTGACAATCTTCTTCCTTGCTGTCATCTTCATACAATATATGTTTTTTCTTTTTTAATCTATCCATATTGGCATTTGGGTAACGACTCTGATACGTTAAAGCAGCTTTGTGTAATTTCTCTACAAAATCAGGAACTCCTGTAATGGAAATGGGAATAAAATTAAAAACAAATTTCAAATTTTCTTAATGTATTTTAAAGAATAATCTGCCCTTCTAGTCGGGCAACACTGTTAAAAGTTAATTTGACATTTGACATTTTATAAGGATGTTAAATTTACCTTTACTAGCCATCCATCTGTAGGCTGCGCTTGGAAAATTGCCCTTAGGATCGTCGTAATAGGTTAGAATATAATCAAATCCATTCTAAAAAAGAAAATTACAGCTTAGTTCACTTCGTATTTTTAATTTTATAAAAAATAAACGTCTTACGTCATCAAAGTTTGTGTGCGGTTTGATACACATTTCGGAACGATATGTCGAAACTCGAACATATTCATCGGTAATTGGTTTCTTAGGATGGTCCGTGGCTCGAGACACCATTATCATCAATTTTCTATGTGGATCAACAACGGATTTCCGAATATAGAGATAATCCCGCCGATACATCGGATAAGGGAAATGCGTTACCCAATGAACGACTTCAGATCCGTCATCATTTCTATCGACCACATCTAAATCAACAACAAGCTTATCCCATTCTTTCCTATAACCTAAATCGGCTTGAACACTGAAGAATGCTCTTGCTGATACATCGAAGAAGGATCCAAAGACTGTAAAATTATCACAAATTATCCTCTTAAGCCACACTTAAAAAAAATCATCTTTTTTTCATGATAAAGTATTAAGATTTTATCTTTTCTTTTCAAGCTTTTCTTTGATGATAAAAAAAATTCAGACGCATACATTAAACTTTTTTTATAGCCAAAGGGTAATATTCAATTACCATTAAAAACAGATAAAGCTAGGTGGAAAATTAAAGGATTTTTATTATTGTTTCTATTCTTAAATTGGTCAAGAGAATTTTATCGTTAATATTATTAATAGTAAACAATTATCAGCTATAAATAGCTACAATATATAGACTGTTTTGATGAACAGTACTTTTTGTTCTGTACTTGATATTTTACTTACCTGAAATATTAATAATATATGTTATATTTACGATAAGTTTTATAGTGTTTTTTTTTTAATACTCAAAAATAAAAGCTCTTTTAAATCGTATATTAGTACCTTTGTATTCGTATAAATATGAATTTTCTAATGGTCTTCGATAAACAAGTAGATTTTTAGCTGTTATAATCGTTTCCCATTTTTCATTGGTAAATTCGTTCAAGGTCATTTCTTTATTAGACTCTGCGTTATCTTGCATTTTGTTAAAAATAGCTATTTCACCCGCACAGCTTTCAATTTCATCATCGTTAATTTTTTGTTCATCCCAGTTGAATAGTACAGAAGCTCCAAGAGCAGCAAATAACCTTGGTACTCTTCTTGACTTATAGAAACTAGAGGCACACAGTTGGAAGAAATTTTTGAAGTGACTTGAGTTATAACCCAGATTATAATATAAATTGACCATTTGAAAAGTTCTCCTAATTCTTTGTGCTGCTATAAAATTACACTGTATAGCAAATAGTTGTGTTAAAATTTTCAAACGATCATTAAGTCGAACGGCGAATCTTTTTATTTTGTTCTCTGTTGAATAACATCGTAAGATTGTTCTGTGACTTTTATTGGAGGATAGAGCGAGAATACGTTTAAATAATTCTCTAGACTTTGTCACTGACGCTTGTAGAGACATATTTTGCTTGATTTAATAGTAGTTTTATCGTCACCACGTTTTATACAGCGGTAGCCATGATACTTTGCGTTCAAGATTATTCGGTCATACAGATGGCGTGAGTGTTTTTAACCGATCACTAATGATAACATTTCGGTTTACCGGTTAAATTTTCTGTATATTGATGAATAATTGTACAAATCGAAAAAATACTCCTTTTATGGTATGTTTGAAAAAGGCAATTACGCAAGAGTGTATACCTATATTAAGTATTATAAATTTTCTTTTTAAAGGCTGATGCTGTTTCAGTAAATTCATTTAAAAATTATACTGCGACTTCAACGAATTACTTCTAAATTATATTGGCTAATAAAGATACAAAGAGATTAGAAGTCAGCATGGGAACTGGAATGTCAAAAATTCTCGAAGGTCTCTACGTTGGCAATGTAAGAGATTCGAATAGTAGAGAACAATTACAAAAGAATGGAATAACTCATGTAATTTCAATACACGACCTAGTTAATCAAAAAAAGTTCTCTCATATAAAATATCTTAATCTGGTTGCGAGAGATAACGAAGCTCAGGATTTGATGCATTTTTTCAATGAAACGAACGAATTTATACACGAAGCCAGAGCATCTAATGGTAAAGTTTTAGTTCATTGTATAATGGGAGTATCTCGTAGTGTGTCGTTATGCGTTGCCTACTGTATGTCAGTAACAAATCTTGGTTGGAGAGACTGCTTAAATGCTATCAGACAAGCCAGAAAAATAGCTCAACCGAATTATGGATTTCAAAAGCAATTGGCTATTTTTCAGGCGGAAAGATTACAAGAGGTTCGTATTTCGTAGTTAAATTAACAAATAAACATCTCTAATCTGATTTTTTTTTATAATTGTAATTTCATTTTAATAGGCAAGATCGAAATTAAAGGAAAATTATCCTAATTTCTCGCCCAACGACGAAGATACTCTACAGAAACTGCTGGAAGCCCACCATAAATGGGTCTTAACTGGGGAGGAAGATAAAAATTATCCCCTAGAGCATGACGCATATAAAGAACAACTAAAAAGCGATGGGAAAAACGAAATAGATAAAAGATGACGCTCCTTAAAAAGCTAAACAACTGTATAACAATAGTTGAACGTGTTTATCTCTGTGCTGGTAGGAGGGTTGAGATTGAGAGAATTAATTAAATTTCAAAATAGCATGAAGTAATGATTAACAAACAATCAGTAAATTATTGATCATCTTGCTAATAAAAAACCAGCGATATAAGTTATAAATTCGTGTTTATCTAGATTTCTTTTGTTTTGTTTTTTTATATAGTACAGTATCTTTATGAATCAGTTGCTCTAGCTTGCAAGATCGATCAATTTCAAGAGTTTATATGCCGGTTTTCATTCTCTTTGCTTATCACTGCTAGTCATAGTTGTCCTTTCTTTGTATGACAATAATTTCTTTAACCTGTAAAAAAAAATCCTATCATGCAGTTTATATACGACTTTATAGTAATACACATACTTGAAACTTTTCACTTCTAAATGACGTTTATACTGTTTTTAGTATAAAAGTTAACGCTAAGCTAAAAGTTAGTTTTGCAATAAAGCATTCCATTGATGCCAGCAGAATCAAGGTTTTTTTTTAAAGGGCCTTAAGGATTACTGGTTTTATTTGAGATTTATTACACCAAGATCAAAAAGGATGTGCTATCTGACAGCATTTTTAAAAAGATTAGCTTACTAAATATGATATTATTTATGTTGTCATCGTTATTAACAATATTTAAAAGTTTTTTACTTGCAAACCCTTTAAGTGTAGTAAAAGACTACTTTTAATCCACCTAGTTTATCATTTTAGTATAAGCTAATTAACAATTTTCTCCCATGCATATAACTAATAATGATAGATGACAATAAACCTTAAGGCGTCAGAGATTTTTATATAGGCCTAAGAAAGTAGACAAAGATATATAATATCTTCAGTACCGGTTAAAATTGCATATTTTTTTTGTGTCTAAAATCCCTTAATAGTCTTAAGCAAAAGCCTACTACGCTTCAATATTAATTCACAAATAGAGAGACTATTATACAACAAGCGCCACCTGTACTATTTTTTAAAAATTATTTCATCACCTCACCGCCATCTAGACAGCTGGCTGCCTCAGAAGTTTTAAAACAGTGATTTAGTGATATAGTTGCCGTAAAACAAATTAAAATTTGATACTAAATGAATATCTAATATCTATAATTTTGGATTTTTTTCAAATTATAACATATTATTGCAAAGTTGATAAATAAACACGCTTCGTCGTGATTGGTCGCGTGCGAGAATTTCTTGGGCGATCAGCATACGATTTTCTACATACCCTGAGCCATTTTCGACACAAAAATCAAGGTAAAAAAGCATTCTTTCTAACAAATATTAATGGCTAGTGATAAATTAATGATCAGTAAGACAGTGTATTTAAAAATATATTGGAAATATTGCGAATTAAGAGTGATTTTTATATAGTTTTATTCTTGGCACGTGTCCAAGAATGTTGTATTCTTTCTACAATTCCGTCGCACATTTTGACTGTATTTTACCAAATTACTAGGTAGAAAACACATCATTAAGATTCGCAAAGGTTACATTTTATATGCTTGGAAAGGGTGATATTTGAAAGAGGTATCAGTAAAGATATTAACGGCTTTATGATTAATGCTTCAAGAATATTGCGTACAGTTTGAGTTTCATTTTTTTTTTGATTCTCTGTTCCTTAGCGAATAGATTATTTGTATGCAATTATTGAACTTTGTTAAGGAAGTAGAGTTAAATAAGTAGGTAGTACCACTATAACGCCTTCTACTTCTAAGAATGTTAAGTGAACTTTACTATATAAAGTAATATCAAATATTGATCCCGGTCCAAATAATCCTATTGAGCTTAAACTTGTGAAACTTTAAATATTCTATCTTTTAAAGTTTTCCAATTCCTTTTAATCCTATGGCTTATTTTCTCTGGTATATTTTTTGCTTTCAGCTATTGATCATATTCGATTATTTTTACAGAAGAGATAAAACAAAGCGAAAGGGAATATCACTGAACATCATCTATCATTAGACGCCCACCACTGCAGAACATGATTATCAGTACTATTCGAATTTGATAAACGGGTTATTGGTAAATATACGAAAAGCGGAAGAATTGGATGGGAAAAAGCGTCAAAGGGAATAATGAACGTGACGCCGTTTCCTGTTACGACGAGCGTCTCTTTCATTCCGCCGGCTGCCGTAGCGTCGATTACTGAGCGTCTCCAGTATCAATCTTTGGACGACCGTAGGAGTCCCTGCTTGAGTGTTGTTACACCAAGGCCAATGACGCCATCCTGCTTGGAGATTGTTAACAGTAAGATTTTTTTTAGAACGTAAATTGTAGCTGAGATTGCTCTTTATGTCAAATTCCCCTGATTATATTGCATTACCCGAATTTATTTTGACTTCAAACGACACAAAAATCATGCAACACGTATTGTTTTGAGTATTCTCTTGAAAGAGGTAAACTAACTTTGATCTAAGCCTAAAGTATTTTTAGTTTACTTGGTCTATTTCATAGTCAGTTACTTTTACAAAAATAAGAGGAAAATGATCGAAATTGTATATTTAGGGAAAAAAAAATCAATATTTCTATTTTTAGAAAACAGATTGTTTTATTGAATTATTATATAATCGATTTGATTAAGCCTCTCAATGTTCAAAAAATATCCGATTCATTTTGGATTCATTTGACCTACTTTCTCAGGTGACTTCTAAGATTGATGTTTAAGTTTGAAGAAGGAATTTTCCTATGTTACATAAAGTTATATAACTGCACATTTCTTTGTATTTATACCCATCTGTTCCATAAACATTTCTCTTAATTAAACATTCAGTTAAACAGCCTCTAGAAAAAATAATCGTTGAAGGTGCCAAACCCAAGTAATACAATACTTTCAAGTATCGGTTCTCACCTCCAATTGAATTAAAAAAGAGGTCATTTAATCTTATATCGGTAAATTTACTCAGGTAAGCGCACTTACTACTGATTGACTCAGTTTTGTTGAATTAATTGATAAATGGAGTCATCTGATAAAATTCAGTTAATTAACTTCTGTCGTACAAATCATATCTCATTTAGATTTGAATTGGAAACTAGATGATTTTTCAAAGCTAAACAGCTTTGTGCATATATTTATAAGTGTTATTATACTGGATATATCTTTTTATTCTAAGAGTTAAACTACAGATCTTGAAAAATTTCCGTTTTATTATGACAAACTTGATTGATTATTATCGTTATAAATGAGAGGATAATCGTTCATTAAAAATTCTTTAATTTTGATCTAATCCGTATAACCTTAAGAGTAAAGTCATTATAATTTCACCATCTTATATCATAATTAGTAAGCATCAAAAACCTATGATTGTATTAAATTACCTAGAAATGCTGTAACATCAAACGGAACTAAATCGGATCGACTCATGCAAATCGTCTGATTTACATTGTTGGTAAATGCAGTTAATGTTGAAAGGGTGAAATCCCCTTGCTAATATCAAATTACTGAAAAAGTGTTTGCTCTTGCGAAAGAGTTGAATACATCAATCGAATTGAATCGAATAGTTCATTATGAATCAAACATTTTTTATTTTATTATAGTTATGCAAACCGCAGTTTTTTTACATGTATTCTATTTTTTTCTAAAAGGAACTATCAACTATTTATGCATTGAGTGCACTTGGCGCTTGTTATTCCCATCTGTTTACGAGACCTATTTTTAGGTATTTATAAGCCTACACGTAGGACTTTACTCGCTGAATTTCACTTTTCTTTCATATTACATATAACATTGAAACAATTTCACCTTAGCTTCCAAGAAAGATCAAACCAGACATAGCAATATCAAAAAGAAATTATTTAATTAATCAATTCTAGTTCAATGCTTACGAGCTAAAGCACGCTTTTTCTTTTATTAGCTTCTATTTTGTTTACTTGCTTTCGCGTAGCATTCTTTGGCTAGATATCTTATTTTCAATTGCTTCCGACTGCAAAGATAAATTGCAGTCGAAAGTAATAGAAAATAGTAGGTATCCCAAAAAAATCCAATGAATAAAATTCCTTTTTATTTACTGTGAAGGTGATAACCTCCAATTTTTGGAATAGAAAACAATTTACTACATTTTCTAGTCAGTAACTAACTAAAATAAGATACTTATTATGATTAGTAGCTTAACTTGATAAATTTTAATGAAGTCATTACGGCTTTTTTCAGAAAGTGATTCTGATTTTACAGTCGGATGAACTACACTATTCATAAAGTAATGTTTTTTTTCAGAAAAGCTTTATCGATTCATCTAGGGCACGTTATTTGCTTTCCTACTCTTTTTAGATAATAATTACTCTATTATTATGAGCGGATTGTAAGACGTCAAATCGTCCAGTAAAAGTCTCACTTGTATACTCTGTTGAGATCATGAAAAAGCCATACAATAATATTTATTGTTCTATTTATAGAAAAATATGCTGATCATAAACTCCCTTTAATCGATCGACTTCTTTGTAGACGAAAGAGAAGTCGTATACGATGTTTGCACTATCTAAGGGGGGTCAAAACATCATGTCGTGCACGTATTGATTAATTCTAAATATCCACTCTTATCGAAATTTTGTATTATTATATATATATTCTGCGCTAAATTATTTAATTGTTTAATTATTTTTATGATGAACTAAACTTGAAGGCTCTACTTATGGTTTCATTTGCTTATTTTTATTTTTATAAAAACGCTAGATTTAACGCATTGTATCGATATTTTACACAAAGACATCTTCATATATGTAAGTGAAACAAGTGTAAGTCATGCATTAAATTAATTCATTAAAGAATTCCCTTGTTAACATTGTGGTTATTCGGTATCATGATAGTGTAAAAGAGTTTTTTTTAAAAGTTACTATTGCATTTGGATAGTATCATGGGATTTAATATTATTCCATCATGAGAAAAATATAATCTTAGAATATAGATTTGCATTGGGTGTAATGCCGCTATTAAATGGCTACCCGAGCCTTGGAAATTACCCGTTAGTTGGTTTCTAAATGCGTAATGTGAGCATGCGATAATCTCTAAATGTTGATTGGAGTTGATAACTTTTAGGTAAAGTCGACTTGAATATAGAATACTGTGGAATAGAAATAAGCTTACAGTCAGAGAGCCTTGAATGTAAATGGTAACAAATTTAATCAGTATGCCCCAAATATCTGGAAAACTGAGCTGCAGATTAACTTGTAGATTGCCAAACAATGTATATCTATTGCTGATATTTGTTTTCTAAGAATTATTTGATATTCTTTAATGTGAATAGTCGGAAGATTACTATGATCAATCGAACATCTGTTCGTTATTTATGCCCGTTAGATTTGTTTGTTAAACGGTTCTACTTTTTATGTTGTTATAAAACATTAGTTGATTATGTTTCTTCCGCAATTTAATTGATAATTTTTTTACAGAGCAACCAGCTGAAGCGTCAATAGCTGACGTATCTCCGCCGGCCCCACCCTGCAAGCGTCACTGCCGTTCGCTGTCTGTTCCAGTCGAGTCATCCCAGCCCTTATATCCAGCGTCTCGTTACAAATATTCTCTAAACTTGCCCAGGTCATCCGTTTGGCACGTGCCGTCGCGCAGGAGACGTCGTCATTCGGGAAATTTGCATTCTCCACCAAGAATTTACTTGACTCCTCGGCCAGCTAGTGCTCAAGAAACCGTACGGGAAGAGGAAGATCAGAATAATAGTTCGGTATCGAACAGCAATTCGATGCCGACTTTGATCTCGGGCAGGTAAAATAAATTTGAATAGGGTTTTTTTCTTTTATATATGTAGGCTAGAGTTCGTATTTCCGCTACGCTTAAGAGCTTGGCGCGCGCTCTTTAAAAGGGAGAGAGAGATAAGCACTCCAAAATAGATTAGACGAGTCGCGGACTGCTTGTCTGTGATATGAATAGAAAATATTTTCGCCTTTTCACAAGACTGTTTAATTTGGGTGGCGCTATCTTACGATCATGGCTGTGCAAAGAAATGTGTATGATTGTACTTTGTATAAAACCCTCGTATTATTAATACCGGAAGTGTGGAGTAATAGATAATATTTCTTGAAAAGAAATAATAACTTTCCTTGACTTTCTTTCCGCAATCTATTATAGTTTTTACTACTTCATTAAGTATTTATTATGTGTCATCCAGCAGAGTGTTATCCTTTATTGGAATTTACCTATTCATAGGGGTTATTGATGTTTGTTATTTAAATCAGAAAATTTCGCTCCAATACAAGATGAGTCGTGGATCGAACAACTGCAAAACAGGAGCATTATCTCGCATATAATTTATCTTTGATGCTTTCTGTATGCATCACTAAGCCTCACCCATGCGACAAAAGTTTTTGATTTGAAATATCTAGAATTTAGTATTTCAACGTGCTCTCCATAAATTATTCGCTTGAGTTGTTTATGGTGTAATCAATTTATTTCATTTAAAAGGAGGTGAACTTCCTGTTAAACTTATAATGAGGAGAAAATGTAAACTAGAAAGATTAGCTCATTAAAAGTAAAGAACCCTAGCCAATCTCTTCTCTTAAGTATCATTAAAAAAACCCGATACATCTTTCTTAAAATTTCTATAATATAAAGCTGTTTTACCTCTAGCAGTTATTCAGTCATAAAAACAAATATCCTTGAATAAATAAAAATAAAAAGACACACAAGATTATATTTACAGACCTAGTACCAGTATCAAATGTAACTGAAACAAATTGTGATGAAGCAGTCTCATTAATTTGATGACAAGAAAATTACATTATCGTCATTTGCATGTATGTTGATGGTATGACGGGCTAAAATTTGTTTGAGGAATTTCGTGACTAGTTGTTAGTTTCAGTGACCCAGTGGTGACTTTCTTGCTAATTCCAGTACAAATAATTTTGTACATATCACAGAAGAAAGATAAAAGATATATCAAGAGATATATTTTGATGAATTGATGGAAAATAAACTAAAACCTGAAAGAGTGACAATCCTTCTAAACAATGCTCATAAACGCGTAAATGTTAGTTTGGTGTACATGTCTGAGTGTGTGGGTGTATTTATGTACATGCAAGCGAGTATCTTAAAGGTTTTTATAGATATTAGTATATATAATTTACTACTCATGGAAATCTGTTCTTTGGTAATATCGTCGATCAAATTTTTTTTGCGGAAATGGCCCATTTCTCGTAAAACCAATTACATAGGATTTTATACCACTACTAAATGTACAGTTAACTGAAAAGTGAATAGTGTGGTATAACAGAAGAGTCTCGTGAGAAAACTTTAAGCACTTAGTTTCGAAAAATTTTGCCGTATTCTTATCTAAATCGCGTCTAGAATGATAAGTTTTTTAAACAAATTGTTGACTGTCTGGTTACAATAACCCACTAACGTTGTCGACCTATTTTTGCGATTGATAACAGGAAAAAGGTCAAGAAGCATCGAAGCCGGCCGTCGCTCGATTTCGTAAAGGTCTCAGAGGTGAGTAGGAAAATTTATTACGGAATAGTCATAAGTCAGTTACCCAATACTGCATTGCGGAATATTTTTGTATTAAGGGGGAGGGATATATATACTAGAAGCTGTCCGTTATTTTAAGCAAAAATATTGCAATAGGGTGACATATCCTGACCTCAAACCTTCTTATTTTCATGCGATTTCCTGATTATCGTATCTAAGGACAAATTAGTATGTAATTTTTCAATTAGTTGTACGGAGATCATCTGAATAGCTAATCAGGAATTGAATTTTAATTCATTCGACGCAAATCGAATTACTATTTAGTCAAGAAAGTTGTTAAAATTGTCAGTGCCTGGCGATTAGGAAGAGTGATAGTAGGCGATAGGAGAATATAGAATTACGATGCATGGGTAACACTCTGACGGCTTATTGGCTAACCGGAAAGATTAGGGTAATCTGGCGGAGACGTGTGAAACTAAAGTAAAAAGCCATTTCTTTTCACCCTTTCAGTCAGCCTACTCCAAATGCGCATTAGTGCCCAACTTAGAACAAATTGCTGCCTCTCCATTACAAACTTGTTCGTCTCAAACACTCACGGATTCGGCCTACAGTCTCGTCTCTTCCGCCTCTGCTACTGAATTTGACGAAGAAGCCAGTTCTAGCCGGCGAAGTGACGATGATTTAGCATTATTTGATATGGATCCTGTCTCGGATCTAGATTTAGAGCAAATTGAAAACGACTGATTTAATTTAAACTGGCTCATTTCATCATTTTTTTTGCTTATTGTGCTCTGTAGATCTAAGTTTTATGGACAAATTTTTTCCGCGAGGCCCATTTTCAACTACAAAATATTTTACATCTTCTGCGGATCAGAGACAATTAAAATTTATCGTGTCATACGCACAGACATAATTATTTCTGAATAAGTTATAATTAGTCTACATATGGTTTTTAGCTATGATCTATAGTTCTATAGGTTATTATTTAAGACATCATGCACTCTATTATTGCTTCAGCACCATTAAAAATGGTCAAACGTTGTTAGCTAAAGTTAAAGCCGAAAAAAATTATTTTTATGGCCTCGAATTGTAGAACCTTAGTATATGCCTACCTATCTGTATGTCAATTAAACCTCGTGCAAGAATGATGAATGATATAATCACAAAGGAATGGACACTTGATCTGTTCAAAAGAAAATTGATACACTTACAACACAACATATATAGATATATTTATGTACAATGTAGGAATAATTGTGGTTCAAAAGGGCCGTTCTTTGTTTTCTTTTTCTTTTCTTAATTTTGTCTTTTTTTCTTTTGCATTTATACACGTTGGTACGATGAAGTAAATGGGTTGTGGGAAACATGTGCGTTTGGTGCCAAATGTTTGTAAAAGTCATTAAATGATATTTGTGTTCGTATGTAGTGTGAAAGTTTTTGTAATGTGTACGAAGACTTAAAAGAGATCATGCCTATGTATAATGTGCATATTTTATATATGTGTTTATGTATATGTATATTTACATGGCACATATATAGAATTATATATACATAAAAATAAATACATATATACAAATGTTTGTATATATGTATACTTACTTATGAATTGATATGTGAATATACACATGTACTTTTTATATTAAAATTTTAATGACTTAGTTGGATACAGCTTTTTTAAATCAATGTTTTTTCTTGAAGTCATAGCAAAATGAAACGCATAATTACGGTCAGTAACCTATTACAAATAATTATTTATGAAAGAGAAATTCTAGGAAAGTGCACTTTCAACTAAATCCGTATGGGATCATTTATGATACTTGTTTAGTTTATATTTTAAACGAAAAATTAGACTACGTTTGGGGTGTTTTTAAAAGCAACAGTAAACTTTACTATAAACACAAACATACGACTGTCAGATTATTTAGAGTTTAATCAGCCCACTTCATCTGGCTTCATATTAAATCCCATATTAAACTTTGCATATATTTTACATAAAGCTTTGACGATGAGAAAATAGCGACCATTGCATGGCAATTCTCGCCATAATTTAAAAGTGAAAGTTATTTAATACTAATCAGCCAGAACTCTCAAAGACGCAATAAAAAAATAATACGTTTTACTGTTTATATCAGATAGTAGAAAGCAGCTGTATAAATAAAATCAGCTTCTATAACCCTGAATGAAAAGTACTTTAATTAGATTTTTTATAGTGACCTATAGTACAGTATCGCGCTACTCTTCACTAATCTATCGTATTGTATGAAAAATTAATAATATTTAATTAAGAATATATAAAGGTTTAAAAGTATATAATAACATTGATCAAAAAAATCTTAATTGTCTCCATCTATTCTAAATATCTTCAAGTTATTGATTGAAAGTTGTTTTTTATTGATTTTTGATAATATACAAAAATATTAAAAATTTAGAATATATTCTGAATAAATATTTTGAACAGTGAAGATTTAATACGAAGCTATGAAAAAACACCCTATGTTAAAAATCCAACTTCAAATATACTCTGTATGATTTGGCTCGTATTTATAAGACGAATTGACTTTACTTTTCAGACTGTTAATTTGTTGAGAATATTGGTAAGAATCCCTAATTCTACTTTCCATATAGAAAGTCTTTATTAGGGACATTCTCTATTTTATATCTCCAATACAACAAAGTAAACTATTGAGTAGAATTTTATATAATATCACGAAAGGAAGTATGCTATTCGATGGTGAAAAATAATTTTAGAAGATTTATGCTAATAAATTTAGAGTCCCTACTTTCATACAAGAAAATACTTCAAGTATTAAATTTTCTGTATGATGAACAATATTTGCCTAACAAATTATAAAAGATGATTTTTCTTTTATAAGTGCCTAAGCAATTTTTAAGAGCACGTTAGGAATCTTATTGTAAATAAATTTGTCGCGTTTATCCATTTCGATTTGTTTATTGTTAAAGGGAAAAGTGAACATGCTGGATCAGGTGTACGCTGGAGATTAAACATATGCGTACAAGAATATACTATATATATATACTAATATATATATATAGACAAATACGGAAGAAAGAAGATAAAAGACACATCTTATTAAGAGTAACGTCTTTGAAAGAGAAGAGTTATTGTGTCATCTAACCAAAATCATTCTTCTTTATCTTTCTGTTTCTCTCAAAGGAGGAAAAAGGCAACTTTTAATTACGCTCAGAATTACTAACTTAATACGAGTCTTTACTTTTCAGCAACATTTTCTGTTATGCTATTGTTTCAATGTAATAAAGAACTGCTTTCGCTAACCTCACATCATTATATTACTATTGTATTTAGGCAAATCATGCTTTAAAAATATCCCACCCTTCCTCATACTCCCATAGGAAATGCTAAACAAGAGATTTTATCCGAATGGACGCTTAAATACTGTACGTAATACAAAAATAATATATAGCCCTAACCCAAATCTTCATATATTGCATATAAACTATAGACTTACAATAAAATTAAGAAAAGGAGAAGGAAAAGGGCATTAAAGGGGAAAAGGACAAAAAAAAAATAAATTAAGCAATTAGAATTAAAAAGAATGATTTGTTCCCCGTGCAATTCAAATTGTCCATAAGGAATGCGCATTTCCTAAAAGAAATTGACTAGAATAATTACAACCTCCTTAAATTAATCTTTTAGTATTCTTTATTTTTCCCCAAGAGAATGTAAATAGATGATATTTAATTGGAATAGACAATGAGAAAAAAATCCTTAATATGTCTCCTATTCAATGGTTTTAATTAAAACATTCTTTTTAGAACCCATTATCTTAAAATTGTTATAAACACTTTACAATTGTGAGTATGTTTATTTGTTTAAAGTAAAATTATGGAGGATATTTCATGGGTTTGATAACTAGAATTGAAATGCTTATAAGTTTAATATTTTTTCTTCACTTCCAGTTCTTATTTATCATAAACAGTGTCTTTTTGTCCAATTCGGGTCCAATTAAAGGGTTTAACTGCATCAGATAAGTACATAGCCAGCTGTAAATTGAATAGAGTATTATATATGCAACCCAGTCATTGGTATTTTTTTATACTATCGTCTTTTTTACATATGATTTACTAAAATTATGTCATAAGTTTCAGCTCGATTAGCACGTATAAAATAAAATATTTGTATTTAATATATACTCACAATAAATAACAACAAGCAGCCGTGCTAACAAGCATAGTCTGTATGAGGCTGAAAAAAAGACTATGTTAATGAGGTCATAATCACATGACATTTTTAGGATATTTGTATTTCTTGTATTATTTTCAATTCCTTTGTAATTAAACTTTACTTACCCTCTATGAGTGCCTTTCGGAATGAACCAAGGGGCTACACCTCCTACCAAAGCCCAAAAAATAGTTACAATTGGCATAACTACTTCTGCCCCCATATTTTGTTTTATTACTGAATATTTCGTTATTCCTTTAACAAAACTGGTAAAGTGTAACCTTCAACTTGATCACATGACCTAACAAAACGTATCCTAGCAACTGGCACCGAAAGTGTGATTGTATACAATTTTTATATTATTTTGTTAAAGCAGCTGGGATTATGTTATTTTAAAGTAATAGAGTAAAATGGATAGTATAGGAACATTTCAAATTCGGTAAGTTACAAGTTTTGATGTTAATGATTGAGATATTAATTACTGAAAATGGCTATCAATACAGTTGGAGTCAGGGATACGAAGGTGGTAACATACAGTATATCAATAAGGACACGATTGTTATAAAATGTGGAAATAATTTAAAGTTTATAAGGAATAATTCTGGCGAAACATCTGAGGACATTTACTCTTGTCCAGGAGGTGGAATAGGAACTTTTGCAGTTCACAGCCTCAATAAAGTTTTTGCTGTTTCGAAATCATCTATTAAACCATCAATTCTGATAGTGAATTATCCAGATTTGCAACAAAAGCATGAATTAAAAAATGGAGCCGCCTTAGAGTATCAATGCATGCAATTCTCATCCTCCAGTTTCCTTGTATCAATTTCTGGAGTACCCGACTTTCAAATGGTTCTTTGGTAATTGAATTAATTTTATATATTATCTCTAAAATATTCACTTTAATTATAATCTATGTTCTTTAAAGGAATTATCAAAAAAGTGAAAAACTATCATCCGTCGACTTTGGAACATCTAGACCAACTAATTTATCGTTTGATCCTACAAATTGGAGACGAATGGTTACAACAACTGAAAAGAATATTAAAATGTGGACTGTTGAGCAATGTGATTCTGTTTATAGGATATTCGAAAGGTATTGAATTTACATATCTTCATGTATTAAAACTAATACGCTCTCCTTATATAATTTTCTTTTACATAGAAAATATATGCTTCCTGGAGTTGATGGCTCTCTCCCTCAAGAACATACTGATATATCAAAACAGATATCTAGACCAGACACATCCGCTAGTTATGCGGCTTATAACCCAGTTATACAAATGACAAGACGTACTTTAGCAGGCTTAATTGATGATGAAGATGACGACGATTTTGAGTTATACATGGACGAGGTTGGAAGGGTTTTACCTATTTCACACGTTTGGACTCCTAAAGGAGATATTCTGATTGGGTGTGAAGGAGGTCAATTATTAGAAATTAATACAGAAGATGAAAGCTTAAGATTTCTCTATTACCCGGATTATTATAGAGAGTTTGATGATGAAGTAGAAGATCCAGAAATTGTTGCAATTCAAAAAGAAACATCACAGTCTTCGGAAAATATTGAAAGAGAGCAAACGAAAGTAACAATAGCTGAAGGATCAGATCCTATGGGTCTAAGGGACTCGTTCAAGTCTCTAATTCTTCATAAAAACGGTTTATTCGCCGGCGGTAAAGATGGTGTACTGCGACAATTTGAATATGAAAAGAGATTCAAACTCCTTAAATCTCAACCGGTCGGAAAAAGCATTAGCAGCTTGTCATTTAATACGAAATATGATAAACTAATAGTTGGAAGTGATGAAGGATATATAGGATTATATCAGTTCAGTTCGGACCTAAATATTAGCGAAAGGTCAGAGACTATAATAGACCTTTCGTATGGACAATTTGTAGCTGTTGACGTTCTGTACGATAACGAAACAAACACGGATATTTGTATTGTAAGTTCCATAACCATCTAATAATCACTCTCTAATCAATTCTCCTATTCTATCAGACTGCAAGAGAAAATGGCGATATACAATCGTGGGATAGTCTGTCTTCATCTCTGTTATGCACGCTTAGTTTGGGCTTGCATATATCAGTTGTATCATCTAGTCCTCTATCATCCTTTGCAGCTGTTGGAACAACTTCCGGTCATGTTTATTTTATAGATGCTACAAATCCCAAGTCGTTAAGAGTTGTTCATTGTACAAGATTACATGATGGAGGAATAAGACAATTGACGTTGGTTATCCTATTAACATGTTATGCTCTTTCATCATTAATTTCATAAAATTTATTCATAGGTTTGATAATACTGGAGATTTATTACTTTCCGGATCAGATGACGGATTTGTTTATGTTGTTAATGCAAGACCATCAAAATATTTTGAAACTATCGGATTTATAGGTTAACGAAAGGGAAAAATGACAATTTTAGCATTTCATTCTTATTTTTATTACAGAATATCCTGGTAATGTCGTTGCACTATCGGCGTTGAAACTACAGAACGATAGCATTAAAGTTGCTGTCACTGTCTCGGATAATTCAACAGGTGGAGCTACGCGTATTTGTCATTTTGTATTACCAAATAACATTCGAAATAGTGAGTATAAGGAAATTCTACATAGAGAAAATTATTAACTTGAGGATAATACTTTTAATAAATTAAATAATAGAACCAGAAGAGTATTACCAAGACCTAAGATGCCAATTTGATAGTAACAAGATCAGCCTTTTGAAATTCAATTTTAATCCTCCTATCTATGGATTAGCTTTAGTAGATCCAAATACAATTTTCGGTATTGATCAAGCGACAAAAAAACTAATGAAAATGAAATTACCGGATGAACCGCCAAAGAAGGAGAGGAGTAAAGATTCATATTTGCAGGCAGTGGAAACTTATGCCTGTCACGGTACAACGGGTGGCAGTTTGAAATTAAGTAGTCACAACAAGTGGCTATTAAGCTGTGCTCCGGATGGCAGAATAATTGTTAGGAGTATTGGGGCTCCAGAAAGAATGATTGATCTCCAAGCTCATGACCTTTTCACTGGAGGATCGAAATCTGCTGTGTTTTCCAGTGATGGTCATTATCTATTTAGTACAGGAAGGGATGGAGTTCTAAATTGTTTTACTTGGAGGTTAGAATTTGAATAAAAAACTATTGGCTTTTATATATGACAAGTTTTTTTATTTTTTTCACAGAGTCATCGAAGGAGGAGAAGGAAGACTAGAGTCTTCGTCTGAAGAGTTAAAACGTAGACAAGGCTCTTTAGCTGGACAAAGGAATAAGGAAAATTCAATTTTGTCAAATATACCACAATACGAAGAAAAATTTTCAAGGACAACTCCCCCTCCTTCAACAGCTGAGCAACTTGCTATTGAAGAGGAAGAGAAACTTAAACAAATTACGGAAGCTATTGAAAAGGATCAAATATTTGAAACTCCAACCCCTAAACCCGCTGCAGATGCTACTTGGCTAGATAGGAAAAAGTTGGAAGCTGTCAGAGTGGAGAATAAACAGTTTGAAGATTTAAAGAAAGATCTTCGGTGTGAGATACGAGATATCCGAAGAAAGGTTTAACCTTTTGCTTCTTCAAATATGTTTCGTGACCGCTTTATGAGTTTCTTATCTTTTTATAGTTGCAAGGTATGATGAAAGAAAATGAAAATGTTCCTGATATAGAGCAGTTAAACAGACACGAATTCGACCTTGACGTAGAAGAACAGGAACGCTTACGCTTGGAAGGAGACGCCGAGGTTCTTAAAGTAAGTGCCTAATAGACTTAATCCCCCAGTAGCTGTTAATTGGATTTTACCCATTAGATTCGTCGAGAAAAGGAGCTAGAAAATTTAGCTAAAATGTATTTAGCAGATATCATTAAGAAAGAATGTTGGGATGATATGAAAGTAAAAGGTCGCGGAATTACATCATTCCACCTGCCTTTGGAAGTATATAATTATCCTCTTCGAGAGAGAACGGTTCGTTATCCTTATTAAATGCATTACGAAAATGTAAATTTTTTGCCCTTTCTCTTCTCAAAAGGAACAAGAATTAAATGAGCTAAGAATTGTTCAAGAGCAAAGAAGAATTGAAATTGCCGAATATAAGGTTTGTCATCACTTTTGTTTTGTTTTGCTTCGCTTTCAATATAGAAAAATCACGAAAATTATCAAATAAACAAACAAACCAAAATCAAATCACTTATTATATAAATAGGAAAGAAAGCTACACGCTGAACACAAGCAAAGCTTAGCGTCTATAAATCCCGTAAGTATATTCTATTTATGAACTTTAATTAATTAATTAATTAAATAGTTAATTAAGCTAAATTACCTTTTTTTTTAAAAAAAATTTTTCTTTTTTTTGAAGTTATAAATTTTTGCTTAATCTTTGTTTTTATGCCAAAAAAAAACAATTAACTATGCTACAGTCGCTTAGTAATATGATGAAAGCCAAGTTTAATTTGTATAATGAAGAAGATGTTGATGTTCAAGTTTGTCGTTTGTTCTTTAACTAACTAATATTAATGTTGTAGGTCTAAATCTTTTTATCTTAATGTTAATGATAGCACTCTATCTCTCACAATGACATTAGTTTTCCTATTAAAAATTGCAATGTTTCTGCTATATTTTTTTTTTGGAACCAAACTCCTTAACCAAACAATTATTATATCATTTTTTGTTTCTTTTCCCTTTTTTTTTTAAAAAAAAACTCTATTGAAGAATTTTTTTTCATTATTTATTTGGTATTTGGATACATATTTTTATTGAGATTGTATCTATACACTATTTTCAGTATTTCTCATCCTATGATATCTTTAACGAACTTTTATTTATTCTTACTGTTTTATATCCATGTTAGCAACAAGATGAGGAAGGTGGAGAGGACGAGGAGGAAATTGGTGATAAAATGGCTATTACAGGTTCCTCCGGAGCCGAATATGGAGGAGCTAGCGAATACTTCTATTCACAATTTGACTTACATAATAGAGAGCAGAAGATGAATCAAATTGTCCTTCTCAAGGATGCCATCTATCGTATAAAACAGACTTTCAATAAAGAATTTGATGAAATTTATACTAAGAAAGAAACAGAAATCAGTAAAATTAATGAAAAGAATAAGAGAATTAAGAAAATATTGAGCGATTTAGATTTACATGAAGAAATCTTTTGTCCCTCATTTGGTCCCATAGAGAAGCCTGAACTGCTTTTGACTGTTCATGACGACGAAATCAAAGTAGAAAAGTATCTTACACCCGAACAGAGAAAGAAAATGGAGCAGGATAGAAAACTAGAAGAAGAGAGGAGAGCAAGAGAAAGAGCGGATAATTGGAGAGAAAGAGGTCTTGATCAGATGATGAATGGAGTTCTTGAAATAAGGAAGGAAGACGAATTAAAGAAGGACGTACCAAGACCAGCTTTCATGGATAAAAAATCCGAAGACGACTGGTCGGATGATGAGAAGAGAATAGCAGAAGAGTATAAGCAAAAAGTTATAGCGCTTAACGAAGAAAGAGAGAAATTTCGAAAGGTATATCTCAACGAAAATTACTTAATATATACAATATAAAGCAATTAGTATTATAATTCTATTGTTATCATAACATATTAGCAATTAGATATGGAATTAAAGAAACTACAGGCCGCCACTCTAGAAAATTCTCAGGCGTTTGACGAAACTTTGCAAAATCTCTTTCAGAGAAAAATCAAAACGGAGATGGCTGTTTATCAAGAGGAATTAAAAATTCAAAGATTACGCTTATCAATGTTAGTTGAAGAAGAATTAAAGCATAGAGAAAAAGAATTATTAGAATTGCTCATGATAAAGAAAGCTATGCAAACTGAAACTATCGTAGCTGTACAAGAATCCAAGAAGAATGTTGAGGCATTTAAAGAAACGTTAGAAAATTTAACCGCGGAATCTCAATTATTAGATAAGGGTTTCAAAAGAGAGTTTAATGATTGTACTGCTCTTCATCTTGACTTGCTATCAAAACTCTTTAGAAGAAGACCAAAGTAAATGTCTATTCCATTAGTTTTGTATCATTTTCTATTCTAATGTAACAACTTTACTATTTTAAAGAGGTCTAAAGGCTGTAAGAACTTCCGATACACCTATTTTCGACGTGAAAAGTGGAAATCCTTATAGTGGTAGGCCTCCTTCAGCTAGAGATACTGATGACATCGAGATCCAAGTTGCCCAGGCTATGATGGAATTAGATAAAATGTCAAATGCACCAGAAGGTGTGGAGAAGCCCCTTTGGGATAGATTCTGCAGATATAGAAGGTCGAAATATGGCAGTGAACTAATAGTAATGAACTACTTCGCATAAAATGATTACTTACGTTAAAATACTTATACGCTTTATGTCTATTTTTAGATCAAAAAGAAATCTGAAATCTTAGCCGAAATGAATAAATTTTTACAAAAAAGACAAAAAGAAGAGGACGAAACAAGGGAAGAGATCGATAGCATTACTAGTGCTTTAAATACACTTAGAGAGGAACGTATGAGATTCTCATGTAATCTCGAAGTACAAATAGTCATGAAGCAAGGTCAAGTTGAAGTTGATCCTGGAAATTTTATACATAATTTTAAAGATTCTATATTAGTCCACCGTTCAGTTATCGAAGATTTGAATTTCAAAATACAGGTAAGAAAAGACCTGTTATAATTAAATGTTTGAATTTTAAACCTTAATTACATCCTTACTAACAGACACTTGGAGAAAGTAAAATTTCGAGCATGGTGGAAAGTAAAGATTTTCGTAAAGGGATTGCTCAATTACAATGGTAAGTTAATGAAAAAAGAATATCAGTATAATCAAATTAACGCTCTTTCATCTTCAATTAGGGAACATAAAAGGATGCTTATGCAGACAGAAGATTTAAAGAATAAAATGAAAGATATTCAAAACCTGAAAGTTACAAGAGAAGTTCAAACGGTAAAAAAATACTTTTCATTTCGATGTTTATTTGACCTATTTGTTTTAATTTAAAGTTTCTACACTGTGCTGATTACGACGCTAAGAAACAACAAGAAATAGCAATATTGGAGGAGACTATTAATAAGTGTAAGAAGGTAGGTGGCAGTAACCTTTCTTGTTAAATGATAAATATCAATCTTTGGTATAAAATAACCATAAAGGAGCACGAGAGACATTCTGAGGAGAAAAAGAAGATACTTAAGGAATTAAGGAAGGCTGCTATAAATAAACGGCAGGAAAATCAAAATATGATTATTGATCTTGAAGAAATGAATGTGGGATTGAATGAAAGGCGTAACATTCACGAAGTAAATGGTATGTAGAGTCATCAACATTCCTTTAATATTATTTAAGAAAATTTCAAGTCATACCATTTACAAAAGAGTAAAGGCTTTTCCATTTTTCTCATTGCAATCTTCCTATTCACAGCTGACAAGACCGTTGCGGCTGGAGCTCAAAAGAGATACAAGGCTATCGTTCAGAGACGAAAATTAGTCGATCTGGCAAAGGCCCAAGCCCAAGAAGTTGCCCTCCTACGCGCGGAAGTTGAAAGGTTAAGAATGAAAACCTTTCCAGCTCTCGTACAAGTTGAACATTAAAAATTATTATTATTATTATATGTATACTTTTATCGTTTTTTCATAAAAACATAAAGAATGTCCGTCCACTTCTTCAAATTTAATTAACAATACATCCTATTCCTATTTAATAAAATTGTCCCTATTTATAATTTCATTATAATATATAGGATTTTAATAGAACCTATTAAAAAATATAAATAACTTTAAAGAATGTGCAGAATGTATAAAGATTCCTTTTGTCTATTTAGGTGTCCTTTTTTTTTTCGCGTAGTTATAGTAAATAGAGTACAAGTTTAAATGATATATAGCATTTCCTATATTATATAGGAAATTTCACTTACAAAAAGCATAAAAAGCAATAAAATAATGAATGCAGAATATGAAATATGTTCTTGTCTGAAATTTTATATAGAGTAGTAATACCACTATTGAAGTAATATGAAAACGAAGCAAAACAGCCAATGAACGTTTAGTATCCGGGCGCATTAGAAGCTTGTCCCATTGTCATTACTCATAGAACTTTTAGTGGGTCTCGTCACTCAACTAAGTTATTTCGAACAGGTAAATACTTTAAGCAATTATTATTAACTATTTTTAATTTCTGATGTATAATGTTTATTATAAAATATAGAAATCATGAAGTTTTTAATATTCGCTATTATTCTGACTGTGTCGGTTGAATGTAACAAGGACGAAATAAACAAAATTTTTGAACAAGCACCAAGTAAATTTGAATTAAAAACGTTATATAATAAACTAGGTAAATTGTTATTCTTTCAGAGGAATGTAAGGACGGTGCCACTTTGCAGACTGTATCAGCGTGCGTCGGAGATATCCAGACTTTGAAAAATTGCTCGGATCAAAAGCCTAGTGAGGCCTTATGCAAGTAAGTTTATAGAGATTTAGCTACTTTTATCCCATAGTAAATATATATTTTCTTATAGACTTGTTAATAATCTATGGGATTGTATGAGAAACGGCATCAAGCAATCTAAAATTGGTCATTTATGTGCACCAAAGATAAGCGCATTCGCCAAGACGATTGCTACCGGAGTTCGTGAGTAGTTCAATATTTTGTCATTTAAATTGTTTAGGTATAAATAATTTCTATGCGTTATTCATATTATTACAACATTTATAGAACCTAATTGTACCTTGGATAACGGTTACAAGAAAGAATGCTCTCAACTAAATATAACATTGGAAGATATCTATGTATGGGTATCGGGAGAATGTATAGATAAGAAAAAGAATACAACGTGCTACGATGTTACCATGCCTGTTGAAAATCGTCAACCTGTACCTTCATGCGGAGTAAAGGAAACTATGAAAGTAGAAACATGCAACGACCCTTCTGGAGCTGGTCGTCTAATTCAATCACTTGAATTAGGCATAATATTGGTTTTCATATTAAAACTACTAATTTAGTTAGTGAAAGATAATCAATTTATGAGTTATTACGTATTATTTTGTATTCTTTTCCATTTCAAATAAACAATGCTTATGAATGTTAAAGATTTTTAACATGAAGGCCACTGTTGATTGAATATAGTTCGTTAATTTTTTTTATAGTAGCTTTGAAATATATTTTTTAATAAGTGTCTTATATATGAATATTTTTACACTTTATGGAACATTTCCTGCACCTGCAGCCTGCTGCAGTTGCGCCATCTGTTCGGCTGTTAAATTTTTTAATTTCTTGATGCGCTTAAAATTGCCTGATTTATAGTCCATTTGAAAATAGCTTTCAACACCCATGAGTTTAGTTATACCATCTGGTTGTTTAACCATTTCAGTTCCCTCCGACAACATTATGTTAATCACTGATTGATTGGAGTCCTTTAATGGATTATCTTTAGTGGAGAAAGAGAAATGTTTAAAACACATGATAATTACTTGGAAAAAGAATAAAATTTTATCATATCTACCTCTACAGCCGGCCATAAATCCAATGATTAAAGCTTTTTCCGCCCTAGAAACTTTATTGGCATTCTTAAACATTTCCTGAGCTTCTTGCATTTGAACTTTTGTCAATGATAAAGGTTTCTTTTGTTGCGTTTGTTGCTGTTGAGCTTGACCTTGATTTGGCTGGCTAACGCTCTGAATTCTAGCTGTGATGACTTGACCACCAGTATTGATTTTTGTAGTTTGCAATTGGCTACTGGCTTGTCGAAATTGAACAAACTTTATCTTCTCAGCTGGAAGTGTTGTAGCTGTGGAGGCTGGTATAATTTTAACTGTAGCCGCTTGAGAGTTTTGCAGGTTTCTTTGAATTTGTTGCTCAAGACTAGTTGCACCTGTAGCTATAGGAGAAAAAAAGAAATTCATATTACAATATGTGTTTGAATTAGTTACATATAGAATTTCGAAAGAGTAACAAAAGTTTTAAATTCTTTTCTTAAAGTAAGTTGCGTAATGCAGACATAAATTGGAAAATACTTACTAGAAGTGGTAGGTTTTTGGAGGCCAACAGCATAGGGGGCAGTTTTGTTGGCAGTCACAGGACTTGAAACAGTAACAACTTGCTAAAAGGGAAAAAGTGAATGTAACATTTTTGACAGAAAAGTATATAACTTACAGCAACGGGTGCAGATGGCGTTGCTGGAGACATGAGCCCAGCAGCGTAATCTGGGGTAGCCTGTTTCTCTGCTTGATCCCTCGATTCTTTTTCTTTTTTAGCCTGTTCGGCGGCTTCTTGCTCTTTATATCAAGACACAATTAATAAAAAAACACAAAGCAGAAAGTTAGCTATCTTACCTGCCATACGTCTTCTTCTTTTCGCTTCTTTAGGAGCAAGTGGCATCTCATTCATATCAAGTAACTAAAAAAAAAGATGAAATATAAAATGAATTATTTATAATCCTTTTTCTTTTTTTGAGAATTTTGAACATGTAAGCAAAAATTAGTAAAATTATTATTGCCTAAATCTTTCATTTTGTTTTGCAAGATTCTTAAAGTAAATAACCTTGGTCCCTCCTTCTTTCTTTAAGGTAGGCGCTCTGCCAGCCAGTGGATTGCCAAACCCTCGCCCTGTTAAAGAAGGCGACTTAAATCCACTACTGAAAGGCTTAGAACTTGGTAGTCCTCTCATAGGTTCTGAAAAATAATTATATATTGAGTTTAAATTTATTTTAATCAAAACTGTAATAATAAATTACTTGTATCATCCATTTTCTTTGCATTATTTCGCATTTTAATCGGTAAAGTAATACCGGACGGATTTCGCTTAAGATTATTGGCAGCCTCAATTGCTTTGGATAAAAAATTACTTTGCAATTAAAACAATAAATTAATACTATATTTTATATGCCCACATTTCTGAAGTAGTTCCGAGCGAAGAGATTCAGACTTTGGTTTTTTTCGTGTATCAAAGTGTCGGACAAGGGATTGTGGTTGGCAATTAAGAGCCTGCATGGCACTTCGACTCAAATATTCACATTCCAATGGTAAAGTGACGGATTTTTTTGAATTTGCTGTTTTATATTTATATAGCCATTATATATTCATTCAAGACAAATAGTATAATATGCTAACCAATTTTTTTCAAATCAGCAAGAATTTCATTAAAAAAATGTGTTGAATCGTCTTGTTCTATGTTGGTGTTGATCATTCCAGACGATGGATAGTTCTTTATTATATCTGCAACCATGGAAACCCATTGGTCTGTATCATTTCGTCCAGCATCAACAATCATTTCAATTTCCATTCGCATCTAAATAAATAAAAAAATTAGTAAAAACCAAAAAGCATGTATGATAGATTCTAATAGTTTTATAAATAAATAAAAGTATTACTATTTTTGAGTTAAGATTAGAGTTATACTTTTTAAATGCAAAATTCATTGCAAAAAGCATATCACCTGAATTAATTATGATATTTAAGAAGTTTTCGTTTATTATTTAGGAAATTAGAATACACGAAAATAAAGCACTCTGAAAACACTGTACCTCTTCCAAGTTTCGCCGGCGGAGATGCAAAAATGATAGAAGGAGTTTTACTTTTACGTGAGGCTGTAAAGTGTGAAAACATTGCTGAATATTAATCAATCGTTCTTGATTTAGCTGAGAGCAGATGGAACTTCCAGACCACAGGTCATCAGTGGAACCGAGTTTATTATGCAGCCAGAGCGAAGCATCACTATCTCTGGACGCCATTTTAACTATTTACTATGGTTCGTATTCTGAACCGACGAAATGGCGAAAATTTTTATTTATGATCAGGTACCACACTTGCGCTTATAAATTGATTTAAGTTAAGTAAAATAATCAAATAATTATAATATCTGCTATAAGCAGTTTTGGGAGTTATTTTTAAAACCAAAGTCTCGACAAATGAGATTCAAGATGAGATTTGGCACGTGACCGGAAGTGGCCAATCAACAAAGGCGTTCGTTAACTTCTCCTGCCAAAATTCGCATTATTTCTTTCAACATAACTCAAATTTGTATTATAAAAAAGCTGTTTTACGGAGTAGAAATTGCTTTTGAATTTTACATAAAGGAAGTATTGCAAGAGGATCTTCCTGTCTTTTGCCAAAAAAATGTGGAAGATGTCGTCGGGTAATCAATCGTTAAAGATTGCTTCTTCACAACAAATTGATAAAATAAAGAATCTTCTAACTGGACTTGGTAAACCTACGAAACGAGGTAAAATTATTAACATTTTGTGTAACTGGATCCGCTGCAATAACAGCGCAACGGCTAGCAATGCATTGTAAGCTACTTCATTCAAAAACAGTTTTACGTCATGTAAAGTTTTGGGAATAATCATTTAGCTTGCTTTTAAATGATACTTATGTGATATCTATAAATGCAAACTGTACACGAACATTCAATAACAAAGTTGTACGTAGGCCAACATAGCCATTTAAAATCGAATGTAGTATCAGGTGTTGGACAGTGAAAAAAAAAACAATTTCATGAATAGCAACGATACTGTAAATATTTTCATGGGAATAAGTCTTGGTTCATTTTTCACTATGAGAATTCGTACTTTTTGTTTTTGTTAGACTAACAAATTAAAAAAAAAATACAATAAGGTTCAATAGCATAAACTTGTAAAATTATTTGGAGTAAATGTTTAAATTGGGAGCTATTTTACAAAAAATGGACCAATCAAAGATATTTTGAACAATGTTCTAATTATAGAGAGAGATAGGTTAAATTTTTTTCAAATATAGTTGTAAGAAGAGAGCGAATATTTTGCTTTTATTTTTTTAATTGCAATAATAAACAAACTCGTGTTGCAACCAGAAATAATTTTGCAATCCTTGTTTTATCTTTGTAGATTTAGCTTGTATTCTATTTTTATTAATATATTGTAAAATAAAAAAGGAGACTTGTATTTATTTTCTCTTTCTTTATAGTAAAAACATTGATTAATTTGTTAAAATAACTTTTATTTAGGAATAAGAAAATGCCCAAGTTGTGGGACATTCAATGGGACTCGAGGAATTTCGTGTAAAAATAAAGCTTGCAATGCTGTATTTAAAGAGAAAAATTTTAAAAAGGAGAGAAGCGCTGACGCTGTTAAGCTGATATCAGGATCAGGAGCTCAAATATATTCTGTCAGATTAAGAGATAAAGGTCAGGACAGTCGGGGTTTTGTTGAACTACCCATTATCCATGACAACGAGGGTCAAACTTTGAACAGGGAAGATGTTGCTATAGACGAAAGAGTTATTATGGAGGCTGCAAGATGTTATGTGGAAAATTGTCCAAGATCAATGGGCATTACAAATGGTATATCCTGCGTTCATATCAATGCTGCAATAAACTGTAAATTATTTGCGGAATCATTAACTTTTAAAAACAACATTTTGGAATCCCTTCCCGCTGACGAAGAAGTTAAACGTTTAATATTTAGTATGGCCACTGAATTACCTGGTCCTATTGCACAGAGAGTGACCAAAAATACTATGGTTGTCAAGTGCATGGCAACAGAAAAGCATCCTTTGGGTATTTTGCATGTCACTTTTCCTGATTTAAATAAGAAAGACTCTAGATATTTGTGTGGCTGTAAAGATAAAAAAGTACCAAACGATGATAAACGATGTATACATGTCCTCTCTTGTGTATGTTGTTTTATTAGTGATGAAAAATTGAATTTGGAGTTTGAAAATTGTATCAAACGTAAGTAACTTTCTTCTTTCTACAAAAAAAAATAGTATTATTCACGTTTACTATTTTCAGATGTGTTATCTAGTCCGGAAGCCTGTATAGTAGTCTATACAAATGAGGTTGAGAAGGAGCATCAAGTAACTTTATCAGAAGAGACAATGAATGCAACCGAAATGATTGACGATGTTTCTATCAACGAACAAACAGATGACAGTAAAACATATATGATTATCGACGATCAAGTAATTGGAGTGGCGGAAATTAATCAACTAGAAGAAGAACCTGTTGAAAAGAAAATGAAAACGATATCCGTGGAACAAGATCTTATTCAGCACATCACTAGCTCTGAGAGAGTTGGAGAACTAAGCAGTGGTGAAAAATCAGATGATTCGGACATTAATAGAGTCCTTGTCGAAGAAGATGACGTTGCAGAATTCCAAAATCCGTCTTTATCTTCTCCAATGTCAAATGTTATACCTGTTCGACCAAAACCGGTTCAGTTGAAAATGCCGCGGAATGCTCCTCCAAGAACATTAACTCTTCAAACATCGAGTTTACATACAGCCTCAGTTCTATATGAACAAAATTTAAGCTATTATGTAAATAAACAAAGTAAGTCAAAATAGAAATGACAGCAAAATCACTTTACGGTAGCGCAATCTAGTAGCTTTTTTTGTATTATCCTTGAAAAAATTGTTCTAAATAATTAGAAACGATTGGATATTATGTAGAAAATATATTTAAAATAATTTTACTTTTAGTTCTTAATTAATCATTATTTTTAATATTTCAACTATATAAATCAGTTAATTTATTATTTATTTCTTTGCAGTTTTGCCCCCAAATAGTTCAAATCTTCAAGAAGATGACCTACACATTTCTTTTCTTACTTGGCTCAGCGGCGTGACAGAGAGAATAAACAGCACTATGCACTATCAATTCTCAGGTAAGCAGTTATGAATAAAGATAACTCTTTGCTACATAATATATATTTTTTCATAAGCCCCATTGTTATAGACAGTCATTGTAAAAAGATTATTTCAATACCATTGTTAGCACATCAGTCGAGAATTACTTGGAAAATCATTAAGTTTTATCTCGGAAAAACTATTCATTTTTTGAGATTTACTTTCCTTTTAATAGTCTTATCTTTTTGTAATTGAAGCGTTTCACAGAATACTTTAGTATATATATACAGTATATATATAGTAAATGTGCAATATATATAATGTATATTTAGTATCAAAATACGTGTAATTTGTGAATATGTAATCTAATTGAGTTTACGAGAGTTTTTTTCTTAAAAATAGAACTCTAATTGTAGCATTTTATGCAAATTTACTTGGTCTCTATTCTATGTCAGATATTAGCTACTTATTAACAATGATAAAAAAAAGTATGGTTACATCTATGGTTACATGTGTTATATCGCCGAAGCAAGCTTGTTATCTGCAATTTTAATGGATTGACTAGAATATATACTTAATAGTTACATTATAATGGATGTATAATTCCATAATTGCCTTTCTTTTGTTAAAAGGTTTCTTGGATGATAATTGAAACAAAATTCCTTTTAGAAGGACTTCTCTTAAAATTTCTGTATTTGAAACCTGCATTCACGTGTTTTCCTTTCAATTAAATTAGAGCTGGTTACACAAAGAAACTATTTCACACAATATGTATTATATATAAAGTCTTATTATTAGTTTTACTTAGTCAAAAATAGCTTCAAAATACTTTATCTAATTAGTTAACTTTGTATTTTTTAAATTTTCAGTAAATTAATTACTTCTATCATTCCTTATTGAAATAGGAAAACCGGATCCTATAGTCGTCCAAGTTCCTCACGTCTTCTTCGAAGCCTTTCAACAAAGAATTTCAATAGGCAAGAAGAAGCGTTTACCAAACACAACGTGTATAGATAGCCGAAAGGAGTCGCCGCCAATTGGAAACTTTACTCGATTTACTTGGCATTTGCATAATATTCTGCACGTCAAGTGTATATTTGATACACCGCAAGTTAGTAATGTATCCTTTAATTCTCTTTTACCCTAATTATTTTCCCTTCTTTCTCTACCGGATACCGAGCTTGTTACTAGATGAAGGAGAACGCATTATGTTTCTCTCGAGACCAATTTATCAATTTCCATACATGAAAAACTTGTAGACTCATGTTTATTATTCGAGAGCAGATTTGACTTTAAGCGGAAGAAAATATTACGTCTAGGGAATTACAGTTTTTTCATGATTAAATTATAACGGTTATTTAACCATTGCACATAATACTTACTATGCATTCGTAGAATTCGTCTATATTTTTATTTAAAGATCAACAGAGTTTTAGAGTTTAAAGGCTTTTTTCTAATTTTCCGCCTCCTTTTGCAGGTATTACTCGACATTTCTCGTTGCTATGTTGAAAAAGATGGCAATTTCACCTACCTAAACGAATCTCAAAGAAATCTTGAGCAATCTTCGAAGTCTAAGCAAACAAAAACTGTAGAATTAAAAACATACTTGAAAGTTGGATTCACAGAGGCTGACCAGAAAGACTCTACACCGTTTATAATTGAATGGATGCCCGATCTCTGGCCAAAATGCAAGATAGGTGAAATGAGATTAATCTTTGAATTTGGTCATATGAGAAATGGTGTGATTGAACGTCCGACCAATAGAAGAAGTACGAAAATTGGGATTAGGAATTGAAATAATTTTTTATTTTCAAAAATAATTCAAGAGATTTGACTGAAACTTCAATTAAATAAACTGGTTTTATCATTGTTTGTTTGATGACTTATGTTGATAATAAACTCAAATTAACAGCATATAGAAACAAAGTATATATTTTATATATACATATGCATATATATTTATTTTGTAGTTTACAGCATAAATGTTCGCATTATTTTAATTTTTTTATATTCTCTTAGCATATTCAATTATTAGTTTTAAAATTAATGAAGAAATTATTAATGCCTTTTTCGTTTGATATAGAGTATAAAAAGGTATTACAGATGTTTAAACAATTTTACCCTCTGAAGCTGTGATTGCAAATGGAGAGAGAGAGAGAGGCAATCTATGAGAGATCTTGTGAAGAAGCTAGTTGATGAAAGGTGATAAAAGAAAAACTGTTTATGATATTATGCTAAACTCTATGGTTCGGGGGGATGTTAAATATATAGAAGCTATCATAAGCTAATTATTCTTATATATGGTCCTTATACTATGATATATATGAGAGATTTCATCATGCTAAATTAGAGGAAATTGTCATTTATTTAAATGATGAAAAATATCTCTTTTGATTAATAGGGAATTATTTAAAGTTCTTTAATCTTAGCTTTTGGTAAGAATTATTGTGGTATACTTATCAGTCTAAATATTGTATGGCATTTACACTAGTTGGAACAGTAAAGGAGGAAAGAAGGCTAAAAAAGGGGTGATAGTAGGGGTTGCAGAGTCTGACGTTAATTGAGTTGGCTTCTTTCATGTTTGCTTCTTTCATTTAATGAAACAACTACAATAGTTTGTTTTAGGACCTATTGCAACTTTCAAAGTACTCGCGCTCTTTACTCCTAAACGACATCTAACTAAACAGATAATTATATTGCCTTAGCTAGTGCCGTTAATGGGAAATATTACGCATACTCCTACGCAGTAAAAATAGAATATTGTCGGTAATTTAATATAAAGAAAAGGGTCTACTTATGTTGTTTTTTAATACACACTGCAATTATTTCTATTGTAACCGAATATTCATATTGACATCTAATTTGCATAATTCATTGATTAAGGCGACTAATCATTAATCATTAAATGCTTTGATTGAATTTACTTATTTGCTAACATTTTTTCTTTTACATCTTTTATTTATTTTATCTTCCACGACATTTCTGTTTCAAGGAAAAGGGTGCTGAGGGATATCTTGAAGACAACATCTATCAGAAAAAGGGGTAACATTTGACAAGATTTCTAGAAAATGAAATTTTGAGGAGGAACAAACATCCCTAAAATTTTATTCTTTTATTAAAAGTTAATAATCGTTTCGAAATTTTTGATATTCATTTAGCTTCTTCTCTGCGAATTCCAGAGCCGTTCGCCTAGATGATAGTAAGGATGAGTAATCGAAATTGTTACAGTACGTCGAATTGCATTCGAAATGGCAAAAGACCATATTAGGACTAGTTGAATGGCATTGTGATCCATATTCCTTCGAGCAACCTCGCCGTAGGAAACTTAAACCTAAAAAAGATGCAAAAAGAAAGAAATATAAATGCCATAATAATAATAATAATAATAACATGAACAATAAGAATAAAAAACTATTGCATCATGAAAAGACAAACAATCTCTTTATCCATTTTAATTACTTATTCAAAAGTTGAAGGAACCTTTTTTTGAATATTCTAACTTTTAATTACTGACAAAGCTATATGACTTCATCTATATGAATTGAGTCTGGTTTAGTTATTTTCTTATCGTATTCCAGAGACAATTACCAGTAAAGGATGGCTAGGGAAAAGGCGAAGAAAAATAGAAATATGGATTATATTTAGATATGACTAATGGCTTATAATCATTAAAACTACACAAGTGTATCTTCTTGTTGAAGTCGGTGTTAAATAAAAAAAAATATAAAAGAACATTCAGCTTCAATATCACATGACACTGTAATATGTAGTATCTCTGCTCACAAAGCATTCTGCTCTCGTACATGTCTTGTTATACTTTGCTTTTATATTAAATCTAAACACAAATTCTTGATTCTTTATCTCACAAATCTATCAGATATAGCGAATACATTAATCCAGATTAAATTTCTTTCGAGTCTTTGGATCTTGTTTTGCCGTTCTCTCCCTGGTTCTCTTTTTTCTCTAACATACTATTTTCTTATTTACATTTCATCTATGATTTCGTTATATTTTTAGAAATTCTATTTTAACTAAATAAAACATTCCATTCGTCTTTTCATCCAAGTTTATTTAATTATTTGACTTTCATTAACCAAGTAGACTATTACTCTATCAAGAAATTTACTCACGTTACAATAAAAATATGCCTTTACTCGGCAAAGGAATATCAGACTTACAAAAAGAGAAATTCAGGAAGAGAAAAGAAAGAAAAAGTTACAGTTACTTTTATTATCGAAATTGAAAGTTAGAAGATCTTCCTAGTATTAAACTCAACTATCTTCTTTTCTTTATTATTAGTTAAAATGTTATTGAACGTTTTTTAACTATTAAATATGATGATAAAGATTTCAAAAGATAGATTTTTACTTCATTTCTATCTTTTACCTATAAGAAGTAATTTTCGTACGAAATACCTTAACGTTAATTGTTAGATTCCGTGTGTAATTGTTGTAATAAGAAAAAAGATTCTTTTTTATCTAATTCCTCAACACTACATTGTCATTATAAGATGTATAACATTCATGTCACGAACAAAATAATCCCAATTAAGAAGTTCAATATCCAATTTATTTTCATTTATCATCACCTTCAACATAATTGTTTAATTAATTAATTATTCAATTACCTATTATATAAATAGAGTCAAATAATAGATTTGTATTAATTTGATGTGCTTTCATTATGTAATGCTTTATTGCTTTGAGTGATTTCAAAAAAAACGAAATTATATGCGTTACATAATTATTAACCGAATGATATTTGTCATGAAAAGAAAAAAAGAGGAAGATCAATATTTTAGTATTTTCTTCCTATTATTTCTCTTTTTTTAAATGATATAAGTAATATTAATACTCTAATTATTAGACTATTGACTATTTAAAATATAGAATTACATGTAAAATCGTCCATTATAATTTAATTGATATATCTTTGAAAATATATTAAGTTGTATAAGTGCGCTATATTTTTACATTTTATGATTCTTAATGAGTTCATTTCTATCATTTGCGTTCTCTATAAAAGATGAGAAAAAAGAGTAGCTCATACACAAAAGTTTCCAATGTTAGATAGGTAGAAACAGAAAGAAAGAGAGAGACAGAGACTGACGAACAGACAGATAGAATATAAAAAGAGAGATACACACACAGAAAGAGAGAATTATATGAAAGAACGAGTAAAAACAGTACTACGATAAGTACATATCCCCCCTTTTTTTCTGCATAATAATGATACTCCTACTCTTTTTTTTCCCCTTCTTTTGTCCCAATGCTTTTTAAGTTTAAGGATAAAATTTTATATATTCTATAAATAGACTCATTTTCTTTTTACATATCATATCTCTGTGCATTATTTATCATGTATATTCATTTCTTTTCACGTTCACTTACTCTCTTGCTCATTCACCCGTTCATTCATTCAACCATTCATTTCATCTTCTATGTGTTCACACGTTTTCTTTATTCATTCCCATTTGGACTATTTATATATATTGAGATATATATATATATATATATTTATGAGAGTTTTAAATTATCTATGCTCGATTAATTAGTTCTCACTGTATAAGCCTAAAAAATTTCGTGTTTTCATCAGAGTCTAATCATTATTTCTATAATTTAAACGAGAAATTAGTATCTTTTTTTAGGTATTGTGAAATGGAGGAAGAAAGTGGTTGTTATAAGTTTCTTCTGTACACTACCATCAAAATTATATTAACGCCTGTTCTAATCACATGACTCTTCTCTTTTTCATCTAGAATAAAAGACTGACACTTCTTAATGTTTGTCTTCAACAGTCAACAGTCTGTAGATTAATTGCTAGGTTGTTAGCACCTTTTTTCTATCTTAGAAGGGACTTTTTTTGGAAAGATAATGAAAACGGAAGAAGAGTAAAGAAGAGAGGAAGAGGAAGAAAAATAATCAAGTGCCTAGAGATTTGTGTAAAACATTCCGTGGAAACTTTTCACGATCTCAAATGATATATTTCAAAAGAGTCATTTGTTCAAATAAATTAAATTAGCTAATAAAAAAACAAGAATTATTAGGAACGTTAAATTCATTTCTTTTCAAAAACAGACATGTTCCTGGAGGTTAAAGATTCAATAAAATTCTCAATGGAGAGTGCATGCTATTAAAATATATAGATGAATATATATATATATATATATATATATATTCTTGGTATAAAAAAAAACCTATTACAAAGTTATCAGATAAAAGATGTCTCCTTTTACTATTTTATAAAGAGAATTTTCTCTTCTATAAAAGTGCCAGACGGACGTATATTTCTTTAAAATATTAATCGACAAAGGGAGCATCTAGTTTAAAAACTAATTTCCTCTTTATATCTTTCATCTGTCAAAAATAGGAAGAGAAATTTTCCCTAACCTAACTGACCATGTTATTTTAAATTTCTTCGTCCTTTTTTTGCCACTCTCACTCTCTCTCTGTCTCTCTATTTTAGCATCACTCAAGAGCTCTCTTCCTCGCAGCAAATTACCTTTAGTATTTTAATTTAGTTTAATGATTTGTAAACGCAGTGATAAGCTATTAAGTGAAAATCATTTAAAGTATCTGAAGGTAAGAGATGGAACGAAGAGACATTAAATCTCAATTTGTATATCAACTGTTGGCAGTTTAATTAACATGGAGAAGAAAAAAAATTGTCCAGTAATTTTTAAAAGGATGAACAAGGATGAAGAAGTAAAAAAAAAGCTAGAAGAAAGAAGAAATCTTTCTTCTCTTGAATAAAGATATAGAGAGATGAGTTTGATCTTTTTTAGACGTAACCCATGACTGCCTCCTTTGATGAGAAAAATTTTCGTTATTGGTATAAAGCTAATTGTTCATATTAAAGAATAGTTTCAGGTAGAATGCAAAATCCAATTACAAGTTTTAGACTATTTTTAGAAACTTGATAGATCTGCTTCAAATGAAGGACACACACAGTGAGAGAGAGAGAGAGAGATAAGAGATTTAACACTGCTATATAAAAAAAACAGTGTGCTAGTGGTCATTTTAGCTTTTTTTTTTCAATTCCTTATTTACAAAGAATATGCTCTTAAGAGGAAAATGTACCTGTATCCTTAAGAAACCCGATAAATGTTGTACATGCTGATTTACAAACTTTGATTCTTGCTGCCCCTCTTACGCATCCTTCGGTATCCTCGCAGTGGAAACACCAGATAGCGTCAACTGTTGAAATTATAGGCCTATTCATTTGATAAGGAATTCCTCTTTGCTAAAAAAAAATTAAATTAATATCCGAATAAAAACCTTTGTCCGTGCAACATCCGACAATTGTCAGAAAGCAGGTGAAGAGAACATGAATTCTCATAGCGCTTTAAGCGTCGAATGTGGAGCGTCGTAGGCGGCGTTTTTGTGACGTCGATCTCTAGCAGTATCAAACTCATAAAAACTGCAATGAATTACAAAAACGTCAATACAAATATATTAAAAATATAGTCTTTATAAACGAATGAATATAAATATTATCAAGTAAGGTAGAAGTAGGAAACTTGATGAAGTCTGAAGAGAGGCTGAACATCACAGAACACAAATAGAACTAATGACTAGGACGGTTTTCTAGAATGCAAAAAATTATCTTTTCGTAAATATATCTTTGATTAGAATAACGAGAATCCTTTATCTATTAACTGCTTAGCTTTTTCCCCAATTTCTAAATCTTCTTTATCAATCACGATTGCTCATTTTTCAGGGAATTTCAGATAATCTAAGGATTTTATTTTATAGGTAAAATGCTAAATACAACATTTGTATTTATCTACATAGACTATACAAAACAAATATTTAGAAGTCTTCTTATCTACCAATAAATTAGAAGAGAATTTCTAGAACCAACAAACAAATCAACAATTATCTACTACTTTTTGTTAGACGAAGAGGAAAGCGTAGGTAGGGCAGTTATTGTATTCTCCTCTGCTTTTTTAACAATTACCATGGAGTATTTACTTCTTGTTTTCCAATCTTTATTTATCAACTGAACAGTAAGTTAAAGGAATAATTAATAAGGGACATCTAAGTATCATTTGCTACTTTCTAATTGACTTTTTATTTAATACTTAAAATAAACAAGCTCAACTTAATCAGGTTCTGAAAGTATCATTATCTTTTAAAACGACCAAAATCTAATAAACACGATCACCCGCAAACTTCAATAATACCTGTAATTAAATGTACTAATCCAAAGGATTGATTGAAACTCCAATTAGAGTGAAATATGCAACAATATACCAACCAAAAGGATATTAAAACAGTCATACAAATCGTAAACTGCTCTCTTTTCCTTTTTTTCTCTCCATAAGTCTCCTAAAAACAAAGAGTTGTGGAATATCATTTTTTATACATTTCTAACTTTGCCCATGTAATTAAAGAGAAAAAATGTAATATATCATACATATTGGATATATATACACATACGTCCCATTCGATATTGTGACGTCATCGCATATTGTCGTAAATAAGGATGAAGATTTCTTCTTATACGCTTTGATAATAAGGAATTGATGCTTGAAACCGTTTGGATAAGGGAAGGATGTTTTATCTTTATAGGCTTTATAGGGTCATTAGATATTAATTAACGCCCAGTTGGATTACATATAGGTCAAGACTAAGTACTGCGTTGACCAAGACGAACTTAAAACATCACTAATCAAGCTAGCTGTTTACAAATAAATTCATAAATACCGTCTATATGTCACAAAAACGTCATCTGGAACTTTGACCTTTGTAAATGAATAGTCAATTACTGTCTAATATGGTAAAACTAAGTTCTTATCATTAAGCCGACTTTCTTATTATTTTAATGATAAATAAGACACTCTTAAGTATTAATCAGTTCACTCTTCTTCCTCCTTGTCTTTCCTTTTTGTTTTTTCTATAAAGTTCTATAAAATTGGCCATTAAGTTCTTAAAAATTGTTATAGATGAAAGATCGGTTCTTATAATTAAAACAATCTATTTATATATTCCACTTGTAAGATGTATTTTTTATTAAGACGCACGAGAAACTAAGAATTCTATTAATGTTGAAAAGATGAGCGAAAAGTGCCAAAAGCCATACAAAAATATTACACAAAATGCGCCTAAGACAATTTTTTCTGTCCCTCGATATTACAAAAGGCCTACTAAAACATATGTTCCATTAATCTCCTAATTACAGAACTTTTTGGCAGCCCTAGCTCATCTTTTCTTGCTATTTTTAGTTTGATTGAAATTTATTTATCATTACATATTTTGGCTAATTCCTTTTGTTTTTTTCTCTTTACCCGAAGTTACATGTTTTAAATATTTATAATTGTTCTTGTGAGCCTAATTTACTTCAGTATTCTTTAACCTCTCAATTTTTGACTTCTCACCCTCTAGAGAATCAATAAACTATTGTAGATAAATCTAATCAGTATTTATAATATCCTTTAAACTCCGTTCTAACGTGGTTGGGGATGTAGCTCAGCGGTAGAGCGTTCGCTTCGCATGTGAAAGGCCCCGGGTTCAATCCCCGGCATCTCCAGTTTTTTTTTTTTTTTTAATTTAAAAAATGATAAATACTGTCTAAAAGTCCTAATTTACTTATGTTTCTAAACGACATATAAAACTGGAATAAATTTCTTCTTGACGATACTCAATGTCTTGGCGTTTTTTTCGCTTTTTTTAATCCTGCCTAAGAGAAAATGTATTTTCCTTTTGTTAAACAAACCTAAAAATATCATATATATATAGATTTCCAAATTCAAAGAAACGAAATAAAAAACAATTCAGCAGTTAGCTTTGTAAGCCAACCTACTACTTCTTTCCTTTTTCCTGTTGATAATACTTTTCTTATACAACCTTTTGTCGCTTAACATCAATAGGATTATATAAAGTTTTTATCCACGATTAGGATATCTAAGTATAAACGTATCAAGATACAAGGTCTTTGAATTTCCCGTGTAAACCGATAGCGAAAGATTAAATATAACAATAAAGTTGGCTTGTGTTTTCCTTTGTCCCCCTCCCCCATCTTAGGTGAACTTTCTTTCAGTAGTCTTCAGCCAGATATTAACCAGCCAGAAGAGAGGGTTGGCTATTATTTGTTTCCCTAAAAATATTCTGTTTAGATTATCTTTGTTTAAAGAAGATTTTACAAAATATAATGAATAACTATTCATAAAAAACGTAACAGCAAAAAGTTTCATTTTTGTGTAGTCCCCAGATCGGAATATCTTAATCCGTCAGATGGCACTCGAATAAGAAGCTGTCGTCATCTAAAATTTCTTTTTCCAATTTAATATCCATAGTAATGATTAGCGTAACCTGGTTTCTTCTCAGTTGTTATTATATTTTTATATTTTCGCTTATATTTTAAACTTCTAACGTATGTGTCCCTTCCAGGAAATGCAGTTACTCCGTCGAAAAACGTGTCAGTTTCTGGATCGAAGCGTTTATACTCATACATTATGGATAAATTCTTTGGTAGGTCTAGCTGCTTCATATCTTCTAGTGCTGATGTTCTTTTAACTTCTCTTCCAAAATACTCAACGCAATCCGCAACAGTTTTCATTTCAGTAAGAATTGATGCTGGAACATCATGATCAAATTCTTCGATAAATCTCGATACGAGTTTATATTTTATATAAGCATCCTCCAAAGAGACGCTTTTATAGTCGGCTTTTTGGCAAGTTTTTTTCGTTATATCTGCAATCCGTTCCTCGTAATTTGAAGGCGGCTTATAAGCTCGTTTAGTTGTTAATCCTCCTTTTTCTCTTAAAGTATTTAAACGTTCTTTTATTGTTTGACCGTCATGTCCCGGTATTAATTTTCGTTTTGTTGCATCGAAATCATCTAACATTTTTTCAGCATCTTCTTTAGTTGTTTTTGACTTTCCAAATAATTTTCTAGTACAAATTATGTTTAAACATATTGTATTTTGTGTAGGATATGCATATTTAAAAAAAGCACGACTGCACAAGGCGGCTGCCATTTTAAAGCGGAAGTAGTATAATGTTATTGCGTTCGTACAAAAAAAATATTTTGCTACACAAAAGAACAATTGCAATTTGACTTTTTTATTCGTCTTACAAATACACTTGGTAATAAATTATGTATTACGAGAAGGCGCAGTTCAAAATGGTTCTTTCCTGGATCGTGTGATATTTCTCTGATCAAAGGCTAATATAAGCATTTCCATTGTGCAGAATATAAGAACAATAACGGTAAGTTCTAAATATTAGTGTAAATCGATTCTATGCATGTCTAATAAAATTTTTCCCTTAATGCCTAACATTTCTGCGATAGAATCATGCCTTGACTTTTAGCCGATTGTAATTTCCTTGAAGCGATGACGTGTTTTAAAATTTTTTTTTACGTTCTGCAGCAAACAACTGATATATTTGAATTAAACATCAGATTTAATACTTCGATCCGTATAAGGAAAAGGCATTTTTGTAGAATTTCCTAGGCCTATTTAATGCTAAGCTTTCCAGATGGCGCTGTTATTCGCTCTGATCTAAATTAAATTTTGATTACTATACTTTTCTTGCTAAGAAAAGAAGTCCATTTAAATAATTTTGTAATAAAACGCTAAATACCTTTAATCTATTTAAATAGAATACCATTAAAAATTATAGCTATGATTAAAGCGTTCATCTTATTATATTCATTCCCTTCTTGTTTTGATAGAATCACTTACGTTATAAATTCTATTTAGAGAATTTTATTTGATCAAAGTTCACCTTATAAAAAGAATATTGTTACTTTATTAAGACAGAGTTTACATGTTTGTTTTGTAAATACGATTCAATTTTATAAAACGATAGCATATATATATATATATATAATTTATATTAGTATATTAATATATATACTGTATATAGAATAACGTATGTGATGCTTCCATATGTGACAGGACGATAAATAATGATACCCTTAGCTTTTTAATCAACATAATATAGATCTCTTATACTTTTTCGTTACTGATTTTATTCATTAGCTTCTTGAATTATTTATAGTAAAAATAATAAAGATTTCCTCCCAAACATTTATTATCTTACCATCATCCTCCCTATGCTTTTATTAATTTTATTATTATTACCTAATTGTTCACTTATTCTCTCTTTCTCTCTCTTGCTTTACAGTTAAAAACGAATATCAATTTAAATTATGGCAGATAATATTGTGTCATCAGTTTTGAATGGTGTATCATATTTCTTCGATGCGTTAACATACATTCCATACAAAATTAGTAGTGGTTCACAAGTTTCCGAACGCTTACGACGCTCTGAGGAAATTCGGGTGAGTAAATAAAACTTATTTACTTAACAAGATAAGCCTATTTATTACTACTTATTATTAATTTATATGTCATTAATAAACCAATTAATTTACATATATTAGCTAAAATACTATAATTTATTGCACATTATACATTTTTATTGTTATATATTGTATTTTATTTGCTTAATAGGCTAAGCAATTAGATCCTAGTGAACCTCTTTCTCCTTGGCGTCATATAAACAACTTGGACAGCTTATGCGAATCTCCTTTTCCTGATTGCTATACAATTTGTGATTTATTCAATCGGTCTCTTAAACTTAACACGAATAGACCATGCTTTGGTACAAGACCAGTTTTGTCTCTAAGCGAAGAAAAGCAACCTGATGGAAAAGTCTTTCAGAAGATGATTTTAGGCGATTATGAATGGCAAACCTATCAGGAAGTCGATGTCAGAATTGATAATGTTGGGAGGGGATTAACAAAACTGAATCAGCAGCCCAAATCTAGGATTTTAATATTCGCGGAGACTAGAGCCGACTGGGCAGTTTGTATGCACGCCTGTTTTAGGTATAATTTTCCTATTGTTACGTTATACGCTACTCTGGGAGAAGAAGCTATAATTCATGGAATAACTGAAAGTGAAGTTACTCATGTTATCACATCTGCTGAATTATTGCCAAAATTTAAGGTAAGTTCTATCTGTTTCTATCTATTTTTAATTCTCAATTTATTTTCGTTCTTTTCCATTCTCCTTTCTCCCCTCTACTCAACAATCTAGTCATTAATGTCCAGGATACCAAAAGTCACCAATATTATTTATATGGACGGTAATAAGCCACTTAAGGGTTTTACATTACCTGGTAACGTAAAAATTACACCATTAAGTGAAGTTGAAAGTATTGGCTCTTCACCTATTCAAAATTTCAACAAAAGCGAACCAAAACCCCACGATATTGCTGTAATTATGTATACAAGCGGCTCTACTGGTGTACCGAAAGGAGTTTTGATATCACACTATAATATATTATGCGCAGTTGCTGGACTATCTGAAAGAATTTTCCACCTTGGGTATGTTTTTCTTATTATGATATTCTATGCATTTTCTACTACACAGATCATTACATTTATCAATTTCTTTTATCAATTGAAAAATTAGATTAAGTTGAAAGTTTTCCAAAGAATTAATTCATTAGTTTTCTTTCTTTTATTTTCAACATTCTTCTCATTGGAGATAATCCAAAGGAAAAAATGTATAAATATAAAAGCTAAAATTAAAGAAAGAAACCTTCTACTTTTCAAAACAAAAACAAAATAAAATAAAAATAATGACAAACGATAAAAAGAAATTTTTCATTCAATTATTTGTTTAAGCGAGGAGCTAAAGAATAATAGAAGGGTTAAAAGGTGAGGTTGCTTCAAAGCCCAATTTCATTAAATTCACTTGTATATTATAGGCCGATGCTTCATTGTGTATAAATACCTGTTGCATCATGTTAAAGTATAAGTAGGCTAAATTGGAAAGACTGAGAAGTAATTGATACCATGTTTATCAAAAATTGGTGGAAATGGGTTGAAAAACAAACAATCAATTATATAGTGACAAAAGGAAAAAGGAGCCATCCCAATATTACTACCTCTTTGGCTAAATTGTTTTCTTTCGGGTCTTGTTAGAATACAAAGTATAGAAAAAAAATTCATTAGATTTCCGCTGTCTTTTTCTCTCTCTCTTTCTCTTCGTCTCGTTCTCGGTCTCTCTATGTCTATCATTCTGTCAAGCAAAGCTGTTCGTATGCTCGCATGTGAAAGAAATAAAGTTGCTATTGACAAGAAGAAAAAAACCAAATACTAGAAAAAACCCTCTTTTAAGCTTAAAGAATGCGTTTTCGCTTATCCAAACTTGGCCAGAATAACATAAATATATTGATTATCATATTTGTATAATCTCTTATTACAAAACGTCTATTTTAATTGAAAACAGTGAAGAAGACGTCTACATTGCCTATCTTCCTCTTGCTCATATTTTGGAACTAACCTGTGAAATATCACTGATTGCTTATGGAGCATCTCTGGGTTTTGGATCACCATTAACCTTGACTGACAAGTCACCTAAAATAAAATCGGGTTCAAAAGGTGATTTGGCAGCACTTCGCCCAACATTGATGGCTGGTGTACCCCTTGTGCTAGACCGCCTGTTTAAGTTGGTTTGGGAAAATGTAAATGGCGGTGGTTTCGCTAAAAGGGTTCTATTCAAGTTTCTCCTCTCATACAAGAGGCGCCATTATAGCAGCGGTTCAAAGACTCCGCTTTGCGACGCTCTAATATTTAAAAAATTGAATTCTATATTGGGTGGTCGTCTAAGAATGATTGCTTCTGGAGGAGCTCCTCTTTCAGCGGAAACCCAAAATTTCATAACTCTTGCCTTCTGCTTTCCTTTGGGTCAAGGATACGGTTTAACTGAAACTTGCGGAGCAGCTAGTCTCTGTGAACTATCTAGAGATTTATCTGCCGGCCATGTGGGTCCAGCACTTAGGAGCTGTGAATTACGATTAAGAGATTGGACGGAAGGTGGTTACACAGTTCTAGACAAACCTTTTCCTCGAGGAGAAGTGCTAGTCGGAGGAGGAAATGTTGCTCTCGGCTATTTTAAGAATGAGGAAAAAACCGCTGAAGATTTCATTACCCTAAACGGCATTAGATACTTTTGTACAGGAGATATTGGCGAAATTGATGGTCACGGAAGATTAAGAATTATAGATAGGAAGAAAGATCTTGTTAAATTGCAAGCCGGAGAATATATCTCTTTGGGAAAGGTAGAAACCTTGCTTAAGTTATCGCCTGTTATTGATAACATATGCGTATACGCTGACTCTTATAAAGATTTTGCTGGTAATTCTTTACTTAATCCCCTAACTGTAAAGTCTTGCGACTAATTATTCTTTATTATTTCCTAGTTGCTCTTATCGTACCAAATCATAAAGCCTTGGAGAATTTGGGTCAAAAATTGAATAAAACATTCAATAATTATACTGATCTAATCAATGACGATGACGTTTTGAAAAGCGTCAGGGATGAAATTGGAAAACAAGCTAAATCTTGTAAGTAGATTGTTTATCATCCGTTTTTAGACGCCTTTAAATAAACTAATCATCTGTTTTTGTCTTTTTCAAATTAGCCAAGCTATTACGTACGGAAACTCCTCAGCGGATTACCTTAGTCAAAGAAGTTTGGTTACCAGAAACTGGATTGGTTACGGCAGCAATGAAGTTAAAGAGAAGAGAAATAGAAAAATTCTATAGTGCCGATTTAGAAAGGATGTATAACGAATAGGTCACTTTTTCCTCATCACAACTAGTCTTCTTAGAATATAGTCAATTACTAGAAACTTTTTAATCGCAAAAAAACAAAGCTCTTATCTATCTCAATAAATTAGTCTCTTCTTTTCTTTTTATATATCTATACAGTATATGTTTGTTATAAATGTTAATGAAGTATCACAGAATTTTCCTTTCCCTTTTTAATTTTTTTTTTTAAAAAAAAAGGAAGGCAAATAAAAATTCAACTATTTTTTTTCTGTTTTATTACCTTTGTGTTTTCTTTTGCCTTTTTTTTTAAAAAAAAAAATACTATAATTATTATTACAAATGAAACTTTATATAAGCATTCTTATTTTAATAAAACTTGTGAATAAAATATAATGATTCATTAACTATTTATTATAATTAAATTTAACCATATAATGATAATTAGACACCAAAGAGAAAATAAATTTGTATTACAAAACAAATACGAAAACAAAAAAAATAATAAGTAATACTAATAAGTTACATTTGTACACCAATTCTTGTAATAAGGTGGTATTACAATATTAAATATACAGTATATTTAAAGATTGTACTTGTATGTTTTATTTTTAAAACACATGTATTGTACATGAAAAGCAAATGTATATAAATCAGTATGCTTTTAAGACAAATAGAACGAAAATTGACCTTCATTTATAGCCACCGTTACTTTTTCGCGCATAATATCAATAGTTGAATAGTTAGGTAATTTTAGGTAATTAGCACACGTCATAACAGAGGGAAGATACTTATCGGGGCTTTCGTAAACGACCTTCTCCACAAATGTGAGCGGTGGAGAAAGTGATCTGAAACCTCCGAATGGTAATCTTGGACTACCTGTTACGAACTGAAGGAAAGCTCTTTGTTGTACAAGATCAAAAGTTGTCAAAATTTCTATAAGATTTTGAACAGCTGGTGAATTATGTGTATAACCATGGTCCGCTTTGGTGCATTCATTCAACATCTTAGAACTCCAGGGAGCGTATTGATCACCGCAAAACAGAGATTCTAATTCATTCGGATAAAATAATCTTAAATTTGACACTGGTAATATTATGTTTAAATTGTGCCTTAATGCATTCATTTGTCTACTGACTCCTCTTCTCAGCGTCCAATCAACAACGAGGTTCAAATATTCAGATATGTTTGAAGAATCTAATATTATATGTTGACCATTGGGCTTGAGTTCAATATTCTCATAACCTGGGAGTGTAAAATCAACTTCCAATTTCCGGAGGTCTTTTGGATCCATATTTTTTAATTTTGAACAACTATCAGCTAAATCAGGATCGAGATATTTTAAATCTTCAAAAGTCAACTCATTCTCCATTCCCAATAGCCATTTATAAAATACAGAGGAGAATGGCAAATCTATTATTTTATGGTCGGCCAAAGATTTACCAAGAAACTTTCCGATAAATTCGAAGAGATCATCAGGTTCGTCATCCTCTCCTATAGGAGATGGAAATAGGCTTTGACTAGGCCGCCAAATAGATTCAATCTTCCGTAAATCATTACTAACTAAAGAGAAAAACTCAAGAGTAGGACCAAGCCCAGTTCCCACCTCTTCCTGGAATTCGATGTCCAGTGAAATGGAAGAATTGGAATTTTCAATGATGATCTTTTTCGCTTCGTCTAAAATTCTGTTACGATCAACAATTTGCTTGACCTTAGAGGAACGCTGAGATTTCGTTTCAAAAGATAACAAATAGAACAAAGATTTTCGGAGATCAAAGGGTAAAACAAAGGGGAACGACGATGAAATCTTTAATAGCCATGACGGCAGTTGTTCACTATCTGACAAAACATAACGAACTGAGGAAGTTAATTTGGAAGAGAGGAACAAATAATTCGGAACAATTCCTGTTTTGCAGACGTGTGTCCATATAGAGTAAAGAACAATAGGTATCTTGTCAGCTTTCACAATTACGTCTATAGACTTTCTATAGCGGATCTAATTAAGTAAAAAAAATAAACAGAGTTTTAGAAACATTAACGTGCAATTAGTTAAAAATAATTTCTAAGAAGCGCCCCCTAGCCAGACGAAATTGTTTGATATTTTATTCAAAAGGTTCTAATTAACTTTTCGGAGTTGAATCGTAGGAAAACGGACTTGGATTTTTTCAGAATGTCCAATAGATAATATAAATATTATTAATTATTCAAATAAAATCATCTAACAATAAGGTTAAAACTATTCTGTCTCTTTTTTTATATTTAACAGCACACATCTTAATTTCTCCTATTAATTCCCTCTCATTTACTATTTTACTCAATTTATTTATTTATTTATCTATCTATCTATCTGTCTGTCTGTTTGTCTGTTTGTCTGTCTATGTTCTTCATTTAGAAAAAAACTGATCCAATTAAAAAGTGCACTATTCTCGTTATAGAAAATTCTTTTTATAAGGTAATTATATTATATTTTTAGTAAAGTTACCTGGTGAGTCTTTGTGAAGATTTCGTCCTGGGGTAGAGCATCAAATAATGTTAAATGAGTTGGAAGGACACGATCATCGTGTAAGAATTCGATAGTCGGTCGTTCGAATAAGGCAATAGGCTTGGCAGTTACATGATTCGAAGTATTCCTGAAGATAAACCTTTCCAAAGAACGAGCAGTCGCTGAACACTCAACAGTCACTTTTCCTTTAAAAGATTCTGTATCTTTATCGATAGGAATCAACTCAATTCTTATGTTCTGACGTGAAAGAGATCGAATTTCATCAGACTTTGAACGTTCTATGACCAATTTACGATAAAAGCATTCATTGAGACTAGAAATTAAAGAGGAGAGTTTGTCAAAATTAAAGATTCTTAAGAAAATCGATAACCCGTTATCAGTAGTTGGTGAACAAAAGAAATCTGCCAATTTTTCGATAAGATCACTTTTTTCTATCTCAAACGGTGTAGCATCGTTCTTGTGTATCATATCTGAAATCTCTTCTAAATTCCACCTTTCCACCGCTCTGCATAGATTATTTAAAACGAGATTTTGAGGGGGATTATAAAAGAATCCTGTAACAATCGAATTAGTTTGCTTAGCAATCCAATCGTTCATTTTTGAGTCTTGATCCTCTATATCCATTTCCACTGGTTCTTCTCTAGGCGTTTTATTCTTGTGCCAACGGCTAGGGTAGAGTGTTGACAGAAACTTTTTCTTCTTTTCATTAATTGGAACCTTTGGTTTATTATTTGGCTTTGGATGTCTAATAGGGGTTCGCCGTAAACTTGATAAGCAAAATAGAACTCCTTCCCTAACAAGTTCTTCTTTGAAATCGGTTGCTGCTTTATCAAGCAGACATTGGCAAATCTATAAATTGCATATTACTTTATTTTGATAAATCTTTCAACAATAACATTTGTTTTTGTATACAGTATACTATATATATATACAGTATATATAGAAAGAGACCGAACGAAACTTACCTGAATAGCTTCTATATTGCATTTAACTGATTTTCTTGCCAACATGATTGACAACCGTCTACATATTCCAGTACCTTTGACAACTTCGGATAATAATTGTGCCGAAGCGTAAAAGACCATTTTAAGCATCAGCTCGGAGCATTTCTCCTCTAGTCTTCTACAGAAAGTCGTAACAGATAAAAGATAAATGCAGGGAAATAATGTCCTTATAAAATCAGAGTATAGACTGTCATTTTCATATATTAAATCAGCTTTAAATCTCTTTGCTGTCGATTCCTCTTCCTTGTTGCGTTTTGGACTAACTGAAGAATTTCTTATAGGTCTTTTTGTACCGCTTTCGTCATTTGTTTGGATTTTCCTGACTAGGTCGATTGTATATGATTTGCCATAGATCGTGACTGTTAAAACTTCTTCGCCAACTCCGCTTCCGGCGTTAATACAGTCGTTCTCTTTTTTTGAATAGGGTCTCCAGCTTCCATCGTCATCTTGCCAATGCCACGACCAAAAGTTAGCATCAGAAGAAAGACATTCGTTTATAGCGAATAAGCCTTGTCGAGGAACTTCCGGTAAAAGTTTGTCAATAAGTGACAACACGAGAAGAATTTGCTGGGGCGATCTTTGGCGGTTCTTGGAGGTTAATTGTTGCTTTATGGTTTTATGTATGTCATGACGTAGGAGTTTTACTGCCAATTGTGTGCTGATTGAGGTTAAAATCGAGAAGGTTTTAAAAACGTCCTCGAAGACCATTTGAGATTCGTTCGTTAATGCCAATTGAAAATTCAATAGGAAACTGTCCGTCGCAATTTCGTTTAACAATTTTTCGTCATTTTTGACGTTCTGGACTAGATGGGTAAAACATTCCACAGAATATTCAACGCATTTAGGATCGTGTTCCGGGTTTAACCTAAACAAATTTAGTGCGGGAAGGGCACAGAGCGGTGAGAGGGGGAAAGAAAAAAAACAGAAATGTATTACAGGCCTAAATCATTAATAATATCCCTCGCCCGTTCCCTATTTTGTTTTGTTTAAAATATTCTCTCACCTGGCTGAGAGTAATGGTAGAGATGAGCTTACTGTATTCCATTGAGCTGAGTAAACATTAGAGCAACAATTGGAGACGATCTTCATGATCCTTCTCTGAGTGTGCAGGGGGAAGAAGTCAATGTAATTTAAGACATCTATAGTACCGTAATCGACCAACTTTCGACCATATTTCACAGATAGATCGTCTAGGGTTTTGATTATCTGTTCGGCAACGTCAGCGCAATTAACTGTATAAAGCTTTTCCAGTAGCATAGGAACAGCTTCGACCACACTAGACGAAGAAGAAGGTAATGCCTCTAGACTATACGAAAGGATTCGGCAAGCATGATTAATTATTTCGAAGTTGGTTTGATTGGATTTTAAAAACTCGATAAGTCGGACTATGATCTTTCGGACGGTGATGGTCGATAGGTTCTCTTCGTTCCCCATAGCTATCATCTGTACAAAAAAAAATGAGTCATCGATTTTTTTTCTCTTTCTCTTCCCTACTTCTACTGCGTTACACAACAAGGGCGTAATATAGTATTTTAACTATAATACGATTTTTTTCACCCGTGATCTTTGTAATACCTATAGTTTCTATTTATAAATTATGTTGCACAAGTGAATACAATATAAACAAAAAAAAAATAACAACACAATTTCATGTTTAGGCAAAAAAAAAAATAGATAAAATACAAAGTAGGACTGAGAATATATATATTTTCAAAAAAATATAGGCCTACTGAAGGTCAATAAGAACAGAACAAAGAGAGAAGAAAGATATATCAGTTAGACCTTTACCAAGAAACATGCTTACTGCCTCTTCTACTTTGCAGGTGCAGTTAACATAAGACAGGAAAACTTATTATTGAAATAAATAACAGCTTGTAAAAATGCACGAAATATACAATATATCGCTTAAAAAGAAAAAAAAACCGTCAGCTGATAGAGAAATTATTGAACATCTAAATATCCAAGTATTTTTTTAAATGCCGTGTTTTTTAACTAAAAAATCTAGTGTTTTACTGTTAGATTTCAAGTTTTAAAAACAAAATAGAACACTTAGAAAAAAAAGGTTTTTATTGATAACAGAAAACGATACATCTCTCCCGGACTAAGCTAGATAAAGACTTGTTTATTTATTCTAACAAAGACGTGGAATACTATTTTATATAAGAATCTAACGCACTTTATTCCTTTCTTTTGTAAATTACATTTTATAGGTAAAATAGCGAATGGAAAATTTTTTTCTCCAATATGCTGATGATATAAAAATAAGGGCATGTAAAAACATGATGGTCTTCGCTTTACTCATTAGTGATTATTACGCAACACCTCGTCAGTCATTAGATTACTAATCAATTACATATATTATACACGTGCAAAATAAGGAATTAGCTCTAAAATATTATAGATTTCGCAATACCTGACATATTTGCATTAAGCTGCACATTTGTTTACTCTCGTCTTCTTCTGATAATTCAGACAACAAAGAGTCCAAATCGCTCTCCTCTAGACGGGAGCACGCCATTTTGAAAAATTTCTTAACGAATCAGGTAGTAAAATCAATCTTCTAATTTTTTCCAGTCTTTTAAAACCGTGTCGATTGTCGCACAAAGAAATATTGAGTTCTACGTCGACCAACTGTTAGAAAGAAAACAATAGCCTGCGCATGCGTATTAGCAATTCCACGTGATTAGAATTCAGTCATGTGATTTATTTTGTTACCAAATATGGCGATTGTAAACAAGCGAAAATTTTTATTCTGCTGTTGACATTTTTGTTAAATCTTATGTAGAATAAATTTTCGAAATATATTACAAGTATAACACGATTAATCACTTAAATTCTCCACAAATTCAGTCCATTAATGCCCTCTGGTATTAAACATTAATAGAATATATTTTCCGCCGAAAGCAAGATACATTGTTGCATTTGATCAACGTCCCTTATCTTTTACCTTGAACTACGGTCCATCATTTAAAACTAGAATATACATGCGTATTTAACTCCTATATATTAAAAAATTTCAACTACTAACACACTTGTTAAGTATATTTTTCCAAGAAAAGATATTTTGACCCTTCCGCGAACGTTTATATCTACTTTGTACTTTTAGGAAGGGGTTGTTTACCGATATGTCAGTTACTACGCAATGTTTTTTTTCATGTGCGCTCATACTACCATAAGTGTACATGAACGTTTAAGCCTACTATTGTATAGGACCCAAATATGGAAACTATAATCGTTTGACCTCAGTGGCTGACTGCCAAATCAATTGCGAAATAAACGCATAGGGTAATTCTTTTCATATGGGCAATGTGGACATAATCGTTAAATCGATAATTAAAAAAATAGACGCTAGATTATATTAATAAGTAGTAATACACAGAATAACAAATAATAATTGATATTATATATAAAAAAGCCTTTAAATAGCATTTTTATGTGAAAAATGGGGGGAGAAATTCTTTTTAAGTAAAATTTGAGAATTTTTTCAGATTTAACAAACATGAAACAATGATAATAGCTTTTTTGAAAAACACACATAATTATATACAGAATTTGAAAGAAAATCGATTGAATGGGTCATTTTTAAAGCTAGGGCATTCTAAACTGAACTGCAACATCTGCCATATTTTTATTTGAAGTCCCCTATAAAAATTAGCATGAGTCCACATGTTTACGATTCAAATGCCTATCGTAATAATAAAATATAGGACTATTGAGTATATATTGGACTAAGATACTTATTGTAAAGGTTAATTGGGGAAGTATATTTCTCACTAAACAAAAAAGAGTTACTGTAATATCTCTATTGTCTTGTGTTCTTTACTTAATTTGTTCTCTATTCAAAAGAACGTTCTTCCATATTGAAAGAATGAGAAGGTTGAAAAGAAAGTTTTAATAAATTCAAAAAACAGCAAAATCAATTGATTTGTTCTAAAATTATTGCAACATGCAATTCATCTTTTAAAAAATAATAGAAATAATAGCTTTAATAAAATTGGTTAGCGAAACTAGACGCTGAAATAATAGCGCCAAAAAATAACACCGAGTTCTATTATTTAACGACATAATAGACGGGTTCCCATTCCCCACCTATAACATTATCCAATCATAATCGAGAGAATACGTACCGGTTGTTTCAAATTTGAACGGTCGGGCGCCATTTTAGTAGTATTCGATTCATTTTGGTCCTTGTGACATGGAATTTGACATAGTAAATTCCGTGGAGGATGCATATAATCCGAATAATAATTTATACATACGTGTGCTGCACAAGCGAATCGAACAAGCTAACTTGCCTGTTGACAGTCAAAGATTTAGGAAAACCGCCGAAGAAGATATCGAAGGCTTCTTGAATTCGATTCATGTGCCTTTTTTTGTGTTGAAAAACTGGAAAGAGACAATTAATGTCAATGTCGTTAAAAACTGTTTCAAAGGACTAGTCTCTTTTCTCAATTTGTTTAGCAACGAACTGAAAGAACATAGTAGAAACGGGTCAAGACTAGGTGATAACGAAGAACAATTAAAACTCCAGAGAAGTGCCTTTAAAATGGCTGTTTACTTACTTTGTGAATTTGGTGTAAGGTTAGAGAAAATGAGTATGAAAGCTGAAAAAGAGGCAACAGCAATGCAAACGGGACGAAAGAAAAGAAAACAGTCATTAGGTATTATATTTATCGTGATATTGTATTGTTAAGAATTTCAAAATTCTTTAGCGCGCTTTCTGACAATGTCATTTCGCTTATACTTTTCAGCAGACACAGACCCCTTAGCTGGTCACTGGAAGGTGGAAAAAAAAGAAAGTATTGTAGCAGTCCTAAGGCTTTTCAAACAAGATGTGGACTCTCTTTGGAATCCTCCAGGAGCTTCGAGAGACGTACTGAATTGTGTTCTCACTTATGCGTATCTTCTATTAGACAGTCCAATGATTTTGTATGATAATTTACTGTTGGAACAAATATTAACCATATTAGCCATTTTCATCAAAAGGTATAGCCATGAACATGCCTTCTGTCAGCAAATCTTAAACAAAATGCTTAATGTCGGTATGGAGGAGAACGATATTAAATCACTTGGAAGGGGTGTGGCAGGAATAATTGAAAAGAATAGATTTAAACCCCTACTAAAATCATTCCTTCTTCAGTTTGCATCTCCTGAAAATGATAATGATAGATCTGCAAAAGGGCTGGCTTTTCTTCTGTCTGCTTTTGGAGAAAAACTATTCTATTATATGCCTGAACTATCTGACGAATTATTCAACATTTTAGAAATAGATAACCATTTGTTAAGGTCAGCAGCCCTATCTGTTATTGGAGATACTTTAATTGGAGTTTTTAATCATGAGAATCGTCGAAAACTTGAATTGGGCAACGTTGCTGAAGAAGAAAGTAAAATATTGGATTTTTTCTTGAAGCAGCCTGATCCGTTAAAAGTCTATCTTGATAATCAAGACGACTTCTCTACTGCTCTTTTCGAACATATCCATGACTTACACAGTGCTGTAAGAGCAAGGGTTTTAGGCATTTGGGAAGTGATCTACGAAAAAAATAGCGTCAGTGTCGACTTTATAGTGAAACTCGTCGAACGAGTAGCTCTCAGATTATATGATAAAGCAGCATATGTCAGAAAGTCTGCCTTTAATTTTCTTTGCAGTGTTATTAGGGATCATCCATTTTCTGATGATATTCTAAAGCGTCCTCAAAGCGAGATTTTACAAGAATCTGAGCAGAAGAGAATAGAAGTGGAAGAGAAACTTAAAAGTTTTCAGGAAAATGAAAGTGAAGCTGAAGTGGACAATGATGTGGCTCAAAAGAAAAAAAATTTGAATGAGGCTTTGCATTTTATTGATTCTGAAATTAAATTTGTTAAGGCTATAACTCAAGTCTTCCCAAAGGCCCTTTCACAGCTGAAAGCGAAACAGTCAACGGATCGAAGTGTTGCTATCAAATTTTTTGCTCTGTGTAATTCTCTAGGTGTAATTGAAGCAGAGAACGGAGTTAAAGAAATTTTACCTTTGATTTGGAGTGAGGAAGAAACGGTTAGGAAGGTGGTTATCGATGCGTTCAAAGGTCTTTTTTGGGGAGAAGACGATTGTCCTGATAATCGAAAACAATCTATTGACTTTGTTGCTAAAGTTAGTAAATTAGTAGAAAATGCGTCTTACGAAGAATTTGATGCTATATCTGATATTATCGGTAAGATGAATATAGAAAGTAAACTTCTATGTTTTTGCTTTAACTTATTCACTTTCAGGCTGTGTAAATCTATCACCTGCCATTATGAATTCTATAAGACAAATTTTGTGGGAAAGATTTACAAGAAAACTACAACCAACTAGTGAAGAGGAAAGCAGATGCGCTTTGCAATTGTTAACGATGATTGCTAAATGTGAAAGAGCAATATTTACAGATAACAACGTAGATGTTCTAATTACAGAAGGTTAGTTACATTATAATCTTCATATTTTTTTTATTAACATTATTAACATTTTTTCAGGAATAGAAAAACGTGGAAGAGGAGACTTTACATTAGCTAAGCTAACGTTTGATTGTCTTCTCCAAATGATTCCTCCTGGGGTTGAGGGTCGGTCTAAGAAAGATCAAGCAATCACATCTAAGAATAAAGGAAAGATATCCAAAGCAAAATTATCTCAGGAAAAGCGCAGATACAGTAATGAGGATCCATTAATAAGGAGCATATGCAATTTAATAGTAGATGGATTTACCGATAAAAGCCAAAAAAAGTTCTCTTACATTTATATGGTTGAATCGGCGTTGAAATTCTTGATGGAATTTGCTGACAATTGCATTATAATATACGACACAATACTTCAACAGCTTATGGAGCTATTAAAAAAGAACATATCAACTGAAGCCGCACCTGGGTCTGAACAAGAAATGGAGCTAGACGATTTGTTAAGCGACGATAATGAAAGGTGTTCTTTCCTGCCAGTGTATTTGGTCACGAGGTTTATTTTTATTATTGGTCACATGGGTCTTCAATGTTATGTTTATTTGAAAACTGATGTTCTTGTAGAACTTCAAAACCGTAAGAAAAATAAGAAATTGTCAATTAGTCCAAATTTTACTCCTCAAGTTAATGCGGGAGGTCTTTCTTTTCTCGACTCTATGAATGATAGTCAGAATTTAGAAACTGAAGACGAAACTGAACGTATTGATAGGGTTTGCGATGAGGAGCTGGTTACTAGCAACCTGCTGGGAAAATTCAGCCAGTTTATTATCGATATCTGCAGGGATTCTTTACGGAGAGATGTCAAAAGCAAAGATTTACAAGTAGCTGCTGCTGGCGCACTTTGTAAATATATGATAGTATCAAAGAGATATTGCGAAGATAATTTACAGTTGGTTTTCTCGTTAATTAGAAATTCGCCTCTGGCTGATGTTAGATTAATATGCATTGTATCTGTTGGAGATATGATGTTTAATCACATCTCAGAAGTGAATGAATGGAATGCTAAGCTATATGATCAATTGAGTGACAAAGATCCACGCATAAGAAAGGCTACTTTAGCCGTATTATGCCGTTGCTTCGAGTATGGTATCATAAAAATAAAAGGCAACCATTTGGGACAGGTCGCGCTTTGTTTGGTTGATAAGGAGAGAAGAATAGTTGACGAAGCAAGAAATTTGTTTAAAATCTATGCGAAACGACAAGAGATTATTTATAATGCTATTCAGAACGTTGTCACTTACCTTGTCAGTTCTACTAGTGAATCCCGATGCGATGAGGACGATTTCAAGAAGATAATCGACTACTTAATACAATTTCTGACTAAAGTTAGCGAACACGAGAGTTTTGGTGAGAAGTTATGCGCTAAAATGAAAACGGCTGTAGACGAAAGGCAATGGCGTCAACTGGCCTATTGCTTCACTAAAATAATGCCTACCCCTAAAGTTGTCAATACGCTAAATAGAAAAATTGCTGACATTGCCGACAAACTTTCCGAGCCATTTGTTCGTGAGTCACTTAGAAGTTTGATTTCAACTGCCAAAAAGATGAACAAGGGCAACGAACCTGAAATAGCTGAATTAGAAGATAAAATTCGTCGCGTATTAACTGGAGAGACGTTTAATGCAGACCTAGAAGATGAATCTCCGATGAAACCTAGGAAAACTCCTGACAAACGACTAGTTGGTAGAGGCCGAGGAAAGGGAAGAAAACCTCTTGCGAAAAAATCTCAATCTAACTGGGCTTATGAGATGAGTAGTGAGAGTGATTAGTTGTTAACAATCGGTTTTGTACATAGACTTTATAAAAAAAACATGTGTATATTTTTTATATCTCATGAGTTGAAAAATACATTATATATTACAAACTTGTTTCTTAAAAGATTTCTTTATTAATATCTTATGAATATTAGAAGCGAGACTTTTACGTATCTGATTAAGCTAAGAATACATATTGGCTATTTTTCATAAATTATAGTCTGTTGACTTTTTGAAGAATAATGGAAAAAGAGACGCCATCTCTCCTAGAATCCATCACTGTAAACAAAGTCGTCGTTGTTTGTATATACTGTACATTTAATAATTTGAGCACGATATAAGGCTTTAGACTTTTCCTATCGTTTTTGCTATTTAGACTCTGATAAATGTCAATGATTGAAGGGAGTTTTTGTTAATATGCTTAACATAATGAATAGGATATTTATCTTTGTTCTAATATTTCTAATATATCCCAGCCGGTTTTGCCAGTTTGCCAGTAAATTAAAAAATTGTACCCTTAATACTTGGATGTTGGCAAAAAAAAGGATTTTTTCAAATTTTTCCAAACGTCAACCCATCACAAATAAAACGCATTCGTCATTCGTCTTGCTTATGCGCTTCCCAAGAGACCAATTGACTTAACCTCATTAAAGTTTCTAATAGATATTTTTCATTTAATCTTGTTAATTCTTTAAAAACAAAATGGATGCTACTAAGAGTAATAAATGAATGATAATGTTCACTGTTGTTGAACTAAAATTGAAAAGATATTGTATGAAATATTTATGATACTAATAAATAAATAACGTTAATATCTTTCGTTTTTTTATTAAATATTTCTTCAATAGTTTCTTTAAAGGAATAAATAAATAAACTTTTACTAATTAAATAAATTTCATTGTTTTGAACAAGAAACAATTTATTAAAAAATATTATTCATTTTGCAGGAAATTCTCAGCCTCAATTCATCATTTTCATTTTTTATATATAGATTAAAACACAACAATCTCTAAATTTCAATTATGAAAGAAGTTTTTTGCATAGCCTAAATTTCGGATTCTTCCAATAATATACCTAATTTCCTATCGGTTCTGGAAAAGAAGAAGAGAGTGAATAAAAATATCTATACTTGATAAACTAATAGCAAAAGGTAATGCTACTTACGATGACAGTTTTATACTTTTCATAATACGAAATGCTAGATTAGCAAGTTTGTGCTTGTGAAGGCACGATATAAAAGATTCTATTTGGTGACATCGCCTAAGTAGGATTTGAAGAAGAACATCAGCCTTCTCTTTCGGTTTTTGCTTTAGCTAGATAAAAACAAAATGGAATAAAAAGATCAGAGAGAGGACTCTATAAACTATTGTGAAATAATTACCTGAATCTCTTCTTTATGATATACGTTTAAGACATGTAAGAGAATCAAATCCTGAATTAATTCTTGACTAGGATTAAGTAAACAAGTAATCTCGTAAAAAACTTTACGTAGTCCGGATCTTTTCTCGTATAAATTCTGAATATAACTTTCAGTTCTGAATTGGATAGTGAAAAGTGCAAACATAGAAGGGAACATAAAGAGAATGTACGGATTACAAATGAAATATTCAATGCATACTCGACACTTTCTTCTTTACTTTCACAATGATTATTCAGCAGAATAGTTGAAATATGATGTTGATAATCGACGTTAAAACAATCAATAAATCCACTCAAATCACTACTTTCTTTTTTCATTATTTTATACAATTCAATTGCTCGATAGAAAAGCTAATTGGAATGAATAAATTATGTAAATATATTAATAGGCCTATAATTGTATATATCGAATGAAATAGAGTGTAATATAGGTTAATATAGCAAAGTTTCTATTCTTACTTACCCCTCTAGTAAGTATATATTCAACATCTTCTCTAGATACGAGTCCTTTATGTAAAATGTTATTTAAAAGGAATCTATTAACGTCCAGATGGTAGAATAGATTTTTTGAGTTTTTTATTATAGTTCTCTTATTCTTAATAACAAGTAATTCATAATTTTCCGGAAGATAGAAATTTGTCGCTGAACTGGAAACAGAAAAATTGATTTACTATATTTGATATTTTATAGTTAATAAGCCCTACTTGAAAGTATCGTTCTGAACCTGAGATAAAGACTGGGCAAATGATTCATTTTCCACTTTTATACATCTAATAAATTCTTCCAGCTTATGGCATCGTCGTAGTAGAATTGCATAAAGGCTGTCAACTTTGGATTTGTATAATTGATTGTCTTGAATCTGGGTTAAATTAATGAAGAATTAATGTCTAAAATTATTAATTTTATTCTAATAAGAACTTTTATAGTTTTGTAATGATCCCTGTTAATAACGTTAGCTATCATTAAACAGTTGAGAAACTTTTCAGTCACCTTGACCTGTGAAAGAAAAGCAGTTTGCGTCTTCTGTAGAGCGTTACGATTGTGTTCTACATAGGTGAAATCTTCGTGATTAACTCTAAAAGGGAAAATAAAAGAAAAAAGACGCAGATAAGAAATAAACAATGCAATTAAAATATAAATAAACACCTTCTTGTTCTTGGTGTAGATATAGAGATGATATATTGTACAATATGTCCTTGTTCATCGTCTTTCAAACAGTGCATAAATTCGTTCAATCGTTCAGGGACAGTGAGAATAATTTGAACAAGACTATTAGCTCGATCGAACAACGACTAAAATATGAAATAAAGAACGTCTAGATATATTGATTATCGTCTTACAATACAATTAGTAAAGTGTTTTTACTATATGTACAATATATAATAGATATAAAGTATTCATTGAACTATAAATACAAACTTTTTCCTTATTGATTAGATAACGGGCTTGCACACTATTCAATACTGATTCGGATACTAGACTATTAACAAGTTTTCCATTTACGTCCAAATACTTTGACATGAATAAAGCAGCCCTTTGTAGAGCTTCCTTACGGATACTCTTCTCAAATTCAGACACATCACTCTCACAAGTCTTTCGCCTAATTAATCCAAGCATATTCGAATTAAAACATTGATTTTTTATCTTGTTTTTTTTTTATTAAAACAAAAAGAAACGAAAATAGAAAAAATGACAAAAATCTACAAACTAGGCTGAAAAGTAAGAAAAAAGATATATTTTATCTAAAGAATAAAGAGGAAATATTCCCTATATTTTTTAAAATTATTTAAAAAAACAAACAAACAAACAAAGGGAAAAAAAATCAAAAAACTATTCAAGTATTGTTTGTTGTCATTGTTGTTTTTGCTCTCTTTGTTCTTTATATGTACAGTATAAAAATTAACGTACTTGAATATTATCTTTCTACTATAAAAGGATTGTAAAAATTCCAAAATCTTATCGGTTTTTTGTGTGTGCTAATTCAATGAATGAATATGCATATACTGTATTATATATATATATATAGTATAGTTATGCAAATAATAAATATCAATCATCAATCGTTTTCTTTTACTATTTAACAAAATGCAGGTTTTTATTTTCTTATCCTATATACTTCTGCAATATAGGCCTTAAATAACACTTATGTAGTTTTTTTTTCTTTCTATTATTATCAAGCTTTTTGATAAATAATAATAAATTATGCACTTAAACTATTATTGTTTTTATCTTTAATAGAACGACGCACGATTAAAATATTTCTCCTTTCTTTCTTTCTCTCATTTTTTTTTTAAAAAAAAAGTTAAGAAGAAATTTAGCATATTTTTTTCTTTTTGAAACTATTCAACAAAATTTTAGTGTTGAAAACGATTTTTTTTCTATATAGGCCTACCGAGTACTTTTCCATTACTTCATCTATCTATCTATCTGTACCTCTTCGTTTTGGCTACATACTGAAGATTTAGAGGTGAAGGTCGTCTTATACAGTTTTCAAAATACACTTAAAAAATGCCCATTTTCAATCACTAAGTAATGGTTATGCATATAGAAAAACAATTAATTAGTAGATATAAACTTAAATTATATAATTATGTATATTAATTAATATACAAACTTTTGAGCAGTTCCACATTTATTAAAGCAATTCCATGAGCAAACACAACCAAAAGGCATATCAAAACTAAGAAAAATAGCACTAAATATCCAATTTTTTCTTTACGAGCATCGACGATATAATCATATTTAATTAATCAACGTCTATATTCGGTTGAACCCAAAATATCACAAACTACTAGAAGAAAATTTAGTAGAAGTTGATCAGCTTGGTTTTGTTCTAAATATGCTGCATGTTTTGTAGAGTATCGATCGATTGGCCCTGTTGGACGGTGTCGAAGTACAATAGGCACTAAAAGTGTAATCTCTGCCTAGCTTCACTTGTCCTTAAAATCAATTGTATTATTAAACTTTTGTTTTATATTATTTTATTAAAAATATTTGTAGAGTAGTATATATTTTCTCTTTATTCTCCTCTCTACCTCTCTCTCTCTCTCTCTCTCTCTTCCTGTATCTTTGATACATACAAAAGAGGTATTTAAAAAAAAAACAATAAATAATTTTCTCTTCTCTTTTTATTATTATTTTCTTATATTTCTATGCAAAAAATAAACATCTTTTTTATGACTTTTTTCACTCTTCTTTCTTTTTTATCTTCTAACTTTTAAATAAATAAACTAAAATGTTTCTTCTCTCTTTTCTTCCTTTCTTCTTCTCTTCCTCTTCCTCCTCCTCCTCCTTTATACACTTCTCTCTCACTTCCTTTAAGCTCTTTAAGCATCTCTGAAATTGTTAAAAATAGAAAAAACTAAATATTCATAAACTTTATCAGATGTTTCTTAATTTTTTATTGATTCCTACTTACGATACTTCTAGATGACCATCTTGTACCAATTGTTGGACTTTTTCCCAATCTGGAATTCTTGATGGCGGCCTATGATCATCCTTACCACCCCAAGTATGACTTTTCTTTAATATAGCAGGTCTTCTTCTTACGTTATCGTTTATATCCCTATGACTTTTACCTAGTATTGGCGAATTTACACCATCCGTCTTTGATCTACAGTCCATATGTGGGAAGAGATCGTTACTCGAGTAATCTCTCATACAATAAGTTAATTCGTCGTTTTTATCCTTTTTACCATCCCACATTTCTCTGTACGTTTGTTTGGTCCTTTGTATCTCTTCGAACCAAGGATCTTGGGTTTGGAAAACGTATATAGCTGTTATAATGTTCATCTCATTTTTATAAGCTATCACAAATTCGTTATTTTCGTTCTGTTGAATGTGTATAGCGTCTAATCTCATAGGAGGTTTGTATATTTTCAAATTGACTCTATCCTCAAACTTTCTTCCTTTTCTACATATGATTATAAAGTCAGTAAAAAGGCAAAGGATCACGTCGTGATGCCTGCTGGACTCTTTCATACGCACGACACCTTCGCGTATGAATCTTCTTAGCCAATCTTCAGGGCAACCGGCCATAGAGGACGTAAAAGAAATCTTAAGGCTTTTCTTTAAATTTTCACTTAAATTTGGTATTTGATCAATAAAGTCGTAGCCGTCTATTCTGTTTTCGAACTCGCTAAGAATCTCTAATCTCTCTCTCATTCGAAGTTCCTCTTCAACTCCCTTTAAAAAGTTTTTAATTCTTTCTAGACATGCTTTGAGACTCTCGCTTTCTTTAGTAGACTTGAGAAGACGTTCTAAAAAGAGGGTATGCCTCGTTAAGTGATGCATAGGAGCAGTTAGGTAGGAAGATAGTTCGTGCTTCCCAAGACCCCAAAGAATTTCGTTAACCCAAGTATAGAACTTGCTAAAATCCGAATTATTCCTTATGGCATTTTTAATATAATCTTTTAACTTATCAACAGTCATATGATAAACATGTTCCTCTTGAAATAAATCACTTATTTCATCTCCCAAAGCACTCATCTTTTTAATATTATACAAGTTTTTAAAATTGTCTACCTGCATTAAATTTCCCTCTTTAATACTCTCGATAAAAGGCAATATTACGTTGTTCCACCTACTACAACATTGAAAGTACATTTCTTTGAGGTTCGATACAATTAATTTCATATCCAAATCGGTAAAGAAACCTCTTTGAATTAGATCATAAAAAGGTGAAACGTAGACATCAACAAGCATCTTTAATTTCTTTAGATAAGACGACTCAAAATGTATAGTTTCCCATATTATATTTTGCTTCTTTTTCTCATTATCGCTTAATTTCTTATGATCAATATAAACTGTCCAAGATTCGGGTAGTTCCAAACTATTTAATTCGCATTCCGTAGCACTAACGTACAAGTGAGATGGTAAAGGCGGCAAATGTGCTCTATACGATTCAAGAATATCTTGAATTTGACAATTATCCTCTAGATTGACTGTTAAAAGGAATAAATAAAAAAACGAATGATTGTTATTAATTAATAATTAATATCTCATTTACTCAATTAGTATATAAAATTAATGCAAATAATGTATTTATATGGAGGACGGATAAGAGGAAAAGAGGAGGGGAATAAATAGGACACAGATAAGATAAGGGAATAGGGTATCAAATTGAAGAGTTATATAATATAAAAGTATAAATAAGAGGTATTAAAGAATTTCTTTATATAAAAGTCCATCTCTTCATAATTTGCTAGTATATACGAATATTAATCATCTCTTTATTGGGTTTACACTTACTCTTGCCATCTTTCAAAGCCTTTTGAAATCCTTTGCAAATAGAAGTGAAGATAGAAAAGGGGGAAAAACGGAGAAGAAAAGACAATTATTAATCATTTAATAGATAATAAATAAGTAGATAAAAAAAAAACAAAATAGAAAAACATAAAGAATTTAACTTTAAAAGAATGCAAATAATTATACCTTTTTTGTGTTTGAATGGTAATTTTATGGTTTAGATTGGTGTAGTTTTGTTTTTTAAAAAAAAAAATAATAAAAAAACTAGACTTACCAGTTGCAATAACAGTAAGATTTGCTAGATGGCGAACCGGACTATCTAGACTTAGAGGACTGTTAGAGTTTTCAATACGAACTTCAACTTTTGAAAAGTCAATACTAGCAATTCCCGGTTTCTTTGATACTTCGAACAAAGCATCTCGAAGAGTTTTTTTTGGTTTTATATCTATCAAGAAGAATCGCGGCTCTTCGTAAAAGTCAATCCTTATTGTAAAAGTTCCCTGTAATGGAAAAAGCTGTTAACCCTCTTTTCTTTTGTGTACCTTCTAAGCATTACGTAATCAGTATTGAATATGTACATGCATATATCAATAGAGTAATAGATGGATGGCTAGATAGATAGATAGATAGACAGATAAATAGATAAATAGATAAAAGGAAGAGTAAGGATAAAACAAGAATTTTTCCTTATCTTCTAAACCCATTTTGATAATCAAATAAAAAGATAAAAGGAATAACCTTACAATAAAATCAGAGTTATCTAAAAAAATATTATTTCTCTCCACTTTAAATAAAGACATTTCAATAAAAATCCCATTTCTGTCATTAATGAAAATAAATATACTGTAACATTGTAAAAAAAAAATAAATATTGAGTGATAGGCCTACTATTGAAGGCTTTTGTGACTCCATTCTGTTTAATGTGTATTTATGTGTGCTGTGTGCGGGTGTGTATATACTAATATAAAAGTGTATATATATATTATTAGTATACATGAATGTATTTACGTTTATGTAAACGTATAAAGACCCAAATATATATAGTGAAGGGGCAGATACGTATAAAGAACTGGGAAGAATAAAGGGGAGGGGGTAGTAGTAATAGTAATGTTATTATTCATGATAGATTGTTATTATTATTAATTGCAAAAATGATTTAGCCCCTAAAATGTCACAAAAGCTTCCTTTGAAATAAAGTTTAGCAATCGTTAGATGACTAAGCAGCTTATTTTAGTATTTAAAAAGGAAATTAAAACTATCCGAATCGATTAAAAATGAAATGGTAAAAAGTATAACCTTTAGTTGGTCAAGATTCGAAGACCATTTTCTAACTTTATGCCTAATCGGTTTGAAAATTAGACCGAAATCGACGCTGTCAAGACCATCAGCCACCACAATCTAAGCAAAACATTCAAGAAGACATTCAAAACATGCAACGTAAGCAAAAAAAATAGATAAATACATAAGTAGAACTGTTTCTTTCCTCTTTTTTTATATATATCTTTATATAATTTACTCACGTTTCTACCATCTTCTGGTGAAAGATAATTCCTCGTTACACAATCGGAATGCGAACGATTGACATTAGTCAATTTCAAGTGATAATGCTGTTTCTTATCTTCGTTATTATGATGTCTCGAGAAGCAAGAAGAGCAAAAATAGGGTGAATTTCCACATTCAATATTTCGGCAGATAGTAATAGCCTTTTGGCTGCAATGACTGCAGGTTTTCATTTCTGTTGTTGCTAATAAATGCGACATTGTTTTTTTTTTTTGTTTGTTTTTTGGGTTTTTTAATGGTTTTTTATTATCCAACCTAATAAAAAAAACAAATAAAAAGATATATTAATGTTATATCCTACCGATATTAAGAGGAATTGGAAAGTAAAAAGTCATGTTTTCTCGTTCGTTGTGTTCTCTTCCAGAAAATATACAGTATAAGTATTTATATCTTAACTGCTTGCATTCAGATCCTTTAATGCATAGCCAGTATATTTATATATTATTTTTTTCTCGAAACTATATAGTACCATAGATAAACTTCATGTATATTTATGTGTATGTGTAAGTTATTCACTATTTTTAGAGGTAATCAACAAGATTGGCCTCCGAATAATTCACGCCTATCATTACATGCAGTATTGGTGAATCACGTGATTGATTACACATTAAATTATACAAAAAGAACTTACCAATTTTAAGTAAATTGTAGCCTTTAGGAAAGAAATCTCTATCCTATGCTTCCTTTACCCTTTTCTCTCTTTCTTGCTCTCTCTCTCACACTCCTCTCTCTCTCTCTCTCTCTCTCTCTCTCTCTCTCTCTCTCTCTCGCTCGCTCGCTCTCTCTCTCTCTCTCTCGTTCTCTCCCTGTTTCCTACTCTAAACCACTCTCCTATTCAATACGAATTTGTATTGAATATAGCATTGTACTCTAATTGTTCAAATCTTTCAAAATAGCTAAATGTTAAATTCTTGAAAGCTGCTTTTCTTCTCGTCTTTTCTAATTTATCCCCTCTCTCTCTCGTTATCACTGCGTGTAACGAATTGTTGAAATTAAATAGCTCATTGTTCTTCTTTGACCTTAACAAAAAAAATATAAAAAAACACAGAAAGAATAGGCAAGGCAGCCAAATTTTTTCTTTAATTTGGTATTTTATCTTTGCAAAAGATTTCTTATGATTTTCATTACTATCTTTATTACTTTTTATTAATATTCATATTACTCTTGCATAAATTATCATAATTTATGCAAAGATATTTTAGTTCAAATTATCAATTTAAAAATGAAGTATTGGTAAAGAGAATCTTGTTTTTTGATAATTATGAAAGAATTTCTGATTATTCATTAACATAAGAACATAAAGTATAACCAAAATAATTGACCTATTTACGCAGACTATACTTGTTTTATATCTCATCAGATACTTTTCATTACGAAATAAAAAAAAAGAGAAAATTTTCCACTTTTAATAACTTTGATAAAGAAATTAATCCCTCCAGTTTTTGTCTCGTCATGGTTAAATGAGTTTTTATTAGGCCTATCCAATTCATAAAACAATCTAAGTATAGAGAAAAGAAGAAAAAAAGACCTTTACATCTCCTAGTTGATTTAAAGAGATAATATTTAAATCTTTTTTTAATTTTATTAATTATTAATATTCATGAGTTTATTTGAATAAATTAAGTAAAAATAGAAAGTTTATGGTTGTTGTGTGTATTATTAGGATTTTTATAGTTAAAAAACAATACATTGAATTAAATACGTCATTTCGTATGATTGTTTTATTAAATGTTAAATAATCAAAAAGGGAGTAAACAATGCGGACGACTGTCTCTTCGATGGTTTATAGAGGTGGGTGATGATGATGATTATAATAGTATTTTACTTGATGATTTGAATAGATTAGAGCATTCCGGGTCTCGCATACATTGGTAGATGGTAATGGTTATACGTTAAAAATGATAATAGACGTGTATCGACTGCTTTCTTGGTCCCATTTTTATCCATTTCATTTAATAGAGATCTCCTCTGTTTTGGTCCTAGTGCATCCTCCTCTTCGCTTATCAACATACGTACTCTTTCCTCTACAGATTCAATATCTATTTTTGGTCTATTCGATAATAATTCCCTAATTTCGTCTCTTAGGTCTGTAAATCTATCATGGTATATTGAAACTGCCCAAGTTTCTTTGAAATATTCATATAAATCTGGTATTAATTTTTCATCAAATCTCGAAACCAAATTGTTCAAAAGACGTTCGTGTAAACCGTACAAACAACTCAACATTGTTGTGGAAAGTGGAGATTTTGATAGACACGTAATTGTTTCAATCGTACCGTATTGATTGATATGCAAACTACAATAGTTTTCCGTCAATTCACCAGTCGTCAAGACTCTTCCCTGAAATATAAAATAAATTCATTAATCCAATAGATTATATTTAATAAACACAGTATTATTAGTTTATCTCTTACGTAATTCTTTTGAGATTGCGCAACTTCTATTGGACATTCAATACCAGGTTTTCTCATTCTTAAATAATACACATATCCGGGGAAGATAGCACTCTCCATTCTTGGTTGTTTATACATTGGAACAAGCTTTAAGACATCTTGGGCTGGTTCGCTATCAGGATCCAATGTGGGGTCAAAAAGCGTAAGGAAAGAGTGAGCCAGTTGAGTACCAACTTCCTTTGAGTTAAATTCAGCGTGCGTTAAATCGTCAGCTTGGAATGCTCTTTGGTATTTTGTCACGGGACCGGCAGCTCTAATGGTACAGTCGTTTGTGTGAAATTCTCCGTCAATTACCAAACGGCCATCGTATACAAGGCAAGCATCGTTTAATGAACGGAAAGCTTCGTAGTCCACATCTTTTCGATGGAATGAAAAGAATACACCAGCTTCCAATTCAAGTGGCTTTCTATTGGAAGTAAAAGACACTTTTTGAATTTCTTCTATTTCATCAACTGTATCGTTCCAAAGTGCAAGTATATAATCTCTATGAACAGTCACCCCTTGAGCGGATAAATTGAAAAATACTGCATTTTCGACCTGTGGATTATTAAAGCACATGGAAGAGGTTCCGTCCTTCGGAGGAATTACAAGATGTATACGATTTCCATCTACACCTAATTCCATCATCGACCTAATACAGGTAAGAGAATCAAGAGAATATCCGTAAATGACAGCATTGCTTCGGGTACCAACAAAGAAATTATCTAGCCAATAGAGAGCAACGGCAGATTCGTAATAATCGTTGACTGTGAAAAGATTTCTTGGAATTATTCCATCCCATCTTCTATCTTTATCAAACTGAGCTTCCTCGCTTGTTGCCAAACTCTCAACATGAGCTCCATTTGGCGCTGGAACCTGATACTGGGTTCCAGTTCCAACAACCATATGATCATAAGGAACAGCGAATTGTCCGTTTACCCAAACTAACTTCTTCCTTCTATCAATTTTCGTCATTTTACCATAGACAATGTTACACCAACTTCTCAAAGACATTCTGCAGTGATCATCCGTACTATAACAACCAGAAGATGAAAGGAAACTATCCCTTAGCTGCTCTGATGAAAGTTCGCCGGGTAATCCATGAGGGCTTATTACGGTTATGTTATTAAATTTCAAATGAGGGCAGAATAGGAGAGTTTCCAAGAATGATATTGAAGTATCAGAAGCGCCAATAACAACGATTCTAGCGTTTATTGTAACTTTTGGTTCAAGCATCAATTTACGATTTAAATGTAAAAGACCAAAAGGTTCTTTGGCCTCTAAAATTCTTTCAGAAGGCGCATTCTTACCCAAAATGTCCAAATTGTATTCTATCTGCCTCCTACCACGAACAGGCACAAAATCAGACATTATTCCAACAAGGGAGAACGAATTGAGCTTCTCCTCATCGCAAAATGGAGGATAAATGTAGTAATAGCTACTTGTTACGTTAAATAGTCTCATTACCTGGAATTTAAAGAGGATTATCTTAGGATTAGTAATTGTTTTTCTTTATATATCTAACCTCTTTTAAGATATGCTTGGATAAATGTTTAAAAGCTGGATTACATGCAAAATGATGAATTCGAACATGCTCTCTCCTAGCGTGTTGGTTGAAGTAGATAAAATCTTCAATATTATAATGAGATCGAATATATTCGATATTCTCCTCATTCCTTATTATAGCTAAAGCTATAACTGAATCGTTAATTGTAGCGATGTATGCTCCTAATTTAGTTCCATCGGCATCTCTATGAGCATCAACGTATTGTTTAACATCTTTCATCATAGAATTTTGTAAAGCCAAATTGTCTACCAATTTCTGAATTTTCGGTATATCAGTAGCTATGCAATGGCTGACTTTAAGATTGCTAAAACAAAATTAACTAGTTAATAACAATAGTAATAATAAGGATAATGGAATAGATTAATAGATAATCTTACTTTAGTAATCCCGATCTACTAAATATATAAAGTTCTTGAGGAAGTATACTGCCCGATCTTGGAATAGCTCTCTGTAGAAGAAAACAGGAAAACACTATATAAAATACCAAAAATAAATGGAATAATAATAGCAAAATTAGTTTAAAATATCCATAAATCAATTATTATAGTGATCTTGATCCAAAAAAACATACAAAGAAACATAGAAGAATTATCTAGTTAAGAAATTTTCCAGTAAAACTTTTTTTTTTAAAAAAAAAATTTAATGATAAGAATGCAAAAAAAAAAAAAGTAACCAGAAAATTTCTACTGCAAATAAGTGAATAATGAAAAAAAAACTGGTAATTCTTTTTCTTATTCCTTTTTAAGACAACGTATTTCACAATAAGAAAATAATAACATAACATGCCCCAATTTTTACTAATATTAAAATAAACACCATTAAGCATCTCCGTAATTAATAAATACAGTATTTATATGAAAATATAGGTTTTTTTTGCTGTTTTTGTTTTTTTTTAATTGTTTACTAATAGAAAAACATTATTTAGAGATTTTAGCATGCAAAAATGAATAGAAAACCTTCCAAGCTCCTTCAATACTACCAAGAAGTCTTTTGTTAAAAATGGCGAAAGTAGGCACAAGACGCTGTTTAGTTGTTTGTAGATGAAGGATATGATTTTATGTTAATTTTTTTGATTTAATTTTGTTAATACAAGTAATTAGTATTCATAACGATTTGTTTCATTAGTAATAGAATTAGAATTTGTTAATATTTAAATGAGGAATATGCTTATTAATTAACATTTAAACTTACCGAACAGAGCTGTAACATCGGAAATTCTGGTACCATATGAGGTACCGTTATTATGCAGAATTCCTTATTTGGATAGAATTCGAATACTTTGTACATGAAATCACCAGATCTCATTTCGTATCTTTCATCTATGCAGAATAGTTGAATGCAGACGGCTAAATTTTCTCCGTAGTACGTTGGAAGAAATCTCTTCCTTAGGTTAGCTTCGAGTGATGCTGGTTTAGGTGTTTTTGGAACGTGAACTGGTTCCGCCTTTGGAGGATAATAAAATTTCAAACTTTTTTGTTCAATTCCACTGTTGTGTATATATCTCTTTCTTACCTTAATTGATTGACGATCGCTAGCCTCAGACCTAGCGGATTCTAGATCATTTTGAACTTCTTCTTCTTCTCCAAAAAGATCATCGGTGGTTTTTCTTCGTATTTTAATTTCTTCATCCGTTACTTCGTCCTTTTTACCAAAAACTTTAGAATTCTTTGAACTAGTGGTAGACAATCTTCTAATTTCCTCTGGTTCTGGTTCCGGTTGGGGAGTTGCTGTCTTTTCTGCTGTTTCTTCAAGAATGTCTTTGTCTGTACGTTTACAAAATCCGTAATATGGTCCTAATTCGAAACATTCGTTCAGAAGTTTTACATTTACATCCTCGCTAACGCTTAAAAATCCAACGGCTGTTCCTTCAACTTCGGCAACAAGACATTTCATCTTATCATCTTGGGCTTCTATAAGTTCGGCTAGGAAAAAATCACCGTAAGTGTGCTTTAAGACTTCCGTTTGCCGGTTAAAAATTGGAGTTAGATCATCGTGATCCTCCACCCTAGCTTTGCGAATATGTAACACTGGCACATGTTGATGACGATAACAAATAAAGAGTGCACAATTATCTGGACCTTTGTTAAGACCGTCTCTTAATTTAACTTCTTCGAAAATCTCAGATAGAGAAGCATCTGGAAATACTCCGATAGGAACACACAAAAGACAATAATGAATGGATGGAACAGCATTAAACATTGTTCTGATAATTTCCTCAGCACAACCATGAGAATAGTCTCCTTTTGAGACGAAAAAATGTAAATAAACCGTATTTAGAGCGGTGCATTTTTCTAATTCATAGTATTTCCATAACCAAGATTCCCAACCATTTACAGTAACTTCCTCTAAATTTGGGTAATCATAAAAACTGGCATGTCCTAAAACCTCTTCTTTATCATTGCATAAAGTTACTGCTAGGGATGCTTTCTCTCTGAAATTAATAGGGAATATATCAATTTAACAACAATCTATCACATTGTTTACTTTTGATAAACCTATAGTTACAGAGAATCTTTATTGTAATTTTTCCTACAAATTCAATATTATAGATAGTCAAGGAGTAATAATTAGGTGAAAATATAGTATCATTTACATAAACTCACATTAAATTCACAACATTTACTCTGCCAAACAACGATTCTGTGTTTGGTTGAACCAATTTTAAGATTGCAGGAGCGTCAAGAGACTCTGTTCTTCTAGCGTTTATAATTTCCGGCATATCACACGATTTTGGCCGCTTCGAAGGCGATCGTGGCATTGGTGATGTATTTGTGTTTTGTCTTTCCATCTTTTCTATTTTTATAATTAAAATTCTAAAAGGCGGCAGCGGTTACCCTTAGCAACTTCCTACCATAGTGGGAAACGCGTTACATTCCTCTTATAAACAATGCTTTTTAGACCGACACAGGGAACCTTACTACGTAAGACTACCAGTTGTTTTTTTTTTATAGTTCAAAATACTTTTCAGTTACATTTGAAAAGTAAAAAAAGCAATTATTTTCAAGTGCAAAGTTTACAAGTTCTTTAATTGTAAAGAAATTAAACTGAATTGCTGAAATTTGTGTATTTCTCTTCTTTCCACTTTATTTACAATGAAATTTTTATTCATAAAAAAAATACCATTTCCTTTATTTCGATATTAGTCATGCAAAGTTAAAAGCTGGAATTTATTACTGCTTAATAAATCTGTAGAAATATGGCAATCGTTATCTTGTTTTTCGGTGTTTTCGGAACTTGCCTCACTTTCCTCTTCTTCCAAGCTTTTATTCTCGTTCGTTTGTCCTTTACTTCTTTTTTTAGATTTTTTCTTATTTTTAGATGAATAGTCTATTAATTCAACTCCGGATGATAGAATAATTGTTTTCAAGTAGTGAAATTTCTGATATAGTTGAGAGTCGACAATGAGAAGGTGTTCTATAGCTGATATTGGACCGGCACGTCTAGTTAAATCCAAGAATAGATTATATAAAAATGTACCCGAAAGAAACTTTGAAGGTTCTATGAATTGAATTGGTCTGTCTAACAAATCGTTTAACCATGATGAGACGAAATAAACACTTTGTAACTGAGCAAATGAATGAACAATTTCTGCATGAAAAGTATTAGCTGCGGAAAATTTTGGAGTTTCCTCATATTTCTTCAGTCTTTCGTAAGAAATATTATATGTTTCTAAATCAAATGAAATATAGTAATATCTGATAAGACAAACAAGCACAGTGTAAACATGTAGCTCCGTTACTTTTGGGTTACTATTTCTAATCCAATATATAATAGCATATAAGACAGCCAGTAAATTAACGTCTACCATTGACTCATCAAATTTACTAGTTAATATATTCAAAAAGATTTCCTTTCTTTCTCCAATTGACATTTTGTCAATTTTTTCAAGATTAGCATAGTTAACATCTTCTTTTTCAATAAAATATTTTTTTTGATTTTTTCCCGCTCTATTATATTCTTCAATACAATAATCTTTCTTTTTCTTTCTCTTCTCAGAATCTTCAAGTTGTAACAGTATACTATATACAATTTTCCTCAGTTCAAAAGAAACATTATGGGCACTCTCTTCATTAAAATTTTCAATTTGAATAGGTAGAAAGATTCGATGAGAAATAAGAGCATTTACAACATTTACATCACAACTGTTACCCATTAAACGGTCTATAAGCCAATCTGTTATATATGTAAAATACATTGTTAATATATCTATTTTATTTAAATCATGAGAAAGAAAATATATGAATTCAAATACCTGGTATTTTCGTTCCTAAGTATGAATTTACCTCGCAACAATTACAGAATTGCTTTAAATCTTCCTGAAGATTTAATGTTGTACTACAATTAACTGTTGTATCTGTATAACGATCAATACATTTACGTAACTTCTCTCGAAGAACATCTTTATCAGCCCTAAAAGGTTCCAAAATTCTTTTAAAAGCTTCATCGAAATTACCTATTTCATTTAGCCATGTAAATATTCCAATAGTTTTACCGTGTAGCCTTTTATTAAAGGGAACATCATTATTTCTAGGAAGTCTATATGTTCTAAATATTGTCTCCAAGTCACTATAAGTTATATAGTCATTTTCATGCATTGTTCCACCAAGAGCTAATAGCTTAGCGTCTAAGTTCGGGAAGAATTTAATTAAGCTATCACTTTCGTACATACAGGCAGATAAATATTTATAGCTATTCTTTTGCTTAGATACATTTATATCTAAATAATCGAGAATAAGAAAACCTTTTTTCAACTTGTAAACATAAAAATCGCTATCATTTGATAATACTGGACAATCAAGAAAGTTCGCCAATTTAGCAATATCGTCGTCCGCTTCAAATCTACTAGCTAAATTAAGAATACCATTTCTTTTAAGACTTTCTTTGAATTCTTGAACCATAAGTAGAGGAATTGCTTCTTGGAAAGGCTCTTTTCCTTTGCTGAAAGTTCTAGCACAGCAAATCTTTAGTTTTTCTTCGTGACGCCTTACACACGTTCTTAATTTAGAATCGTCATTGTTATAACATCCATCCATTAGAATTATAGGTGTAACTTTACACTCTTTTAGGGCAGCAAAAAACATTTCGATAGCCTCTTTATAGTCACAATAATCTCCTCCATATTTAGTACTAACGCCATAGCGCCGATATATAAAGTACATTAGATTATTTCCATCAATTATTATTGTAGTATCATGCAGATGAACTTGTTTTAAAAACAAATCACTATTATTATCAATGAAAAAAGTAAAACCTTTAATTCCCATTTTATCGCTCAAACTTATATCTATCTTTTGGTTGGTTAGAATTTAAGAAATTAAGAAATTCATTTAGATTCCACGTCGTAAATTAATAAAATTCTTTTTATTGTTTTCTCCGAGTTTACTGTAAAAACAATGGAGGGAAAGTGTGTCTTAGTTAACAAAACTTGAAATTCATCAGCACGAGTTAAATGTTCTGAAAAAAAGATAAACTGGTATACTTCCGGTTCGATCAGTTGTAAGAAGTTCTTTCGTCAACAAAATAAGAAAGCTAGTTCTTAAATAATAGTAGTCGTTTGCTTAAGTTCTTTCATTTTTGGTAGATAACTAACGAGAAATTTTTTTATATTATACTCATTTAGTATTCAGCTATAATGGAATATCGCTCAAGATGTAAAAAATTTAAGTAGATGAGTTTATTTTTGAACAAAAACTGTCTAATTAATAGAGGAACAAAAATTTTGTTTGTACAGGTCAAGATGAATTCGGAGATTGAGTAATAAAATGTCATAATTATTCTTGACTCTGTTTATGACTTTTATCCAAAGCTCTCTCCTTCAATTTACTAAAATTTTCTGGTATTTTAAAGAGTTCTTCCTATAAAGTAAAATATAAATATATATACAACTTTTTAACGAGTTTTTCAATAATTATAGACTTATACTTTTGAAACTTTCATCACTATTCCTTCAGGCAATTGTCTTTGAATATATTCTAGAAGAGTGTCAGCAGTTGAACCGGTTATATGTTTAAACTATAAATAAGACAATTAATCACTTATAGATAATAAGTAATTTTAAGAAATATATAATTAGCCTAATAAAACAAACCTCAAAGTTCTTGAAAAAAGTTCTAGTTTCATATTGAGCTCGGTGTTTTTTGTGAACATGGGCAGATTTTAAAACCGTCCACCTTTCAAACACTTTTGGAGGCGATTCTCTAAATTAATGAAAGTTATATTAATATCTAAAGTCTAAAGGTTATCACCCCGATTACTAATAATCAGTAGAAATAAACAACTTACACAGATACTAGATTCAAATTTAATTCTTCCGCTGTTAATCTTATAAATTTTTCGTAACTTTCTAACACTGCTGGCTCATTTCCTTTGCATTCTACTAATAACCGCTGATACAATGCATCCAATTCGTCCGAGTCTTCAACGACTTCCTCAGTTTTTGAAATTTGCGTATTTGTAGCAAAAAACGAACTAGTCTGAAAGATTTTCAATTAAAATTTACAATTGATAGAAGGATTTAAGTGATAAAACAACCTGTCGTTTAAGAATATTTGATAATCGAAGAAGAAATGTGGGTTTGCTTATGGACGCCGCCATCTTTAATTTTCGTATTTTCTAGAAAGAGTCGTAACAAAATATCAATTTAGTTTATCTTCTTCTTGAAACTACTTTATAATTTTTTATTATTAAATACTATAATTTTTACTATGTACGAAGAAAGAGTTGCCATAGCGACTATAGAGTTTGGTAAATATCTAGCTTGAGGAGAAATGGCTGCGGTAAAGTTCTAAAATTCTCTTTTTTGTATTTGTATAGCTAAGATCTCTTAAGATATATTATTGACTTTGAATTTGCTTTAACGTATAACATATTGCTTGACTGCATTAAAGTTTCTTTTTCCCCAATTAAGGGTAAATCATCATCGATAAGAGACGCTTTGAATGCTTGGGTAAGTTAAAGGATACATTAAAGGATGTTAAGAAGAAATGTTAAAGTTCATTGAACAATTATTTCAACATTAGGAAAAAAATCATGACTTCAAAAAAGCATCGGAAGCCGAAGAAATCGGGTTAATAGGACAAATCCCACCAATCGAAAGGATGGATGCTTCTCTCTCTACTTTAACAAATTGCGTGTAAGTACAAAAAGATTTTCTAGAATATTAAAATGATTTTTAAAGCTAATTAAAGCTTATTAAACAATATTCAAATTTTCCAGAAAGCTATCCCTATCAACAAATAGCATTGAAAAAATTGCAAACTTAAACGGATTAAGTAAATAGATATAAAATTACTCAATTACTTAAAAACCATAATTAATAATCGTTATTTTAATTAATTTCTAGAACATCTAAAAATTCTCTCGCTTGCAAGAAACAACATAAAAAATTTAACTGGATTGGTTAGTTATTAAATTATAATGATAGATGAAAGAGCTAAATCATAAATATCATTTCAATATAGGAAGCTGTTGGAGATACTCTGGAGCAATTGTGGATATCATACAACCTTATTGAAAAATTAAAAGGTGTCAACGTTCTGAAGAAGTTGAAAGTTTTGTACCTGTCCAATAACTCTGTAAAAGACTGGAATGAATTTGGAAAACTGGTATATATATATATATATACATAAATATTTATAAATATGCATTTATATATATATATATATATTTGTATTTGTATTTTCTTATTAGACCGATCTGCAAAACCTTCAAGAGCTGTTGATGGTTAATAACCCTTTGGAAGAGAAACACTCAGCAGAGGGTGATTGGAGAGACCTTGTTGCAAACAAATTACCAAGATTGAAAAAATTAGATGGTGTACCGGTAATTAGACCAGATGAACCAGAAGATTAGACACATTTCTAAAATACCCTTAAAGTTGTATGTATTCTATAAAATAAATTAAAAAATATTCCTTTTTTAAATAAAATAATGAACTATGACGGTAATAATTTTCACTTTTATCGTTTTCTTCTTTCAATCATCCTCAGTAATTGATAAAGCTTTAATATCTTGTAAGTTCTGCTCAATTTGTTGTAAATAGGTTTTCGATGTCTTGGAATTATTGTTGGTATTGAAACAGCTGGCAACTTCCTTATACTTGTCTTTGGCTAGTTGAGAATAGTCCGCCTGATATTTTATATATGGAAATAAACAACATTTAATAAATTCGATCCTTAAGTCATAAAAGAGAGGCAATTCTGTCAATAGCTTGTTATTCTCTTCTTCATACTCTTTCTTAGCTTTATCCAAAAGTTTCTCATTCTTTATTTATAATAAAATTATATATACAGTATTATTACTGATACGTTCAGTATATATCAACTCGTAACTTACGTTTCTAAGTTTGACCAAATTACTCCCTGTTCTCTCTCTTTGCTGATACTTTTGTACTTTATTAAAGTGTTTAGTATATTCCTGCAAAGAAAATTACGAAAATGATTCAGTTTTAAGAATAAATGAACAGAAATAGGCAATAATAATTAAAAAAAACGCTCACGGATAGTAATTGGTTCCTTTTCTGTACTGAGCTGATGGCGAAAGGAATCATTGCGCTGAATCTAAAGAATATGAATAATATAAAGGAAAATTCATATTTAATAATAAAAAGTAACTTTTTCAAAGGGTCCATTAAATCCCTATTCAGATGATTAGTCTGTTCAGGAGCTGTCAAAAAAGATACTTGATATTGCCAAGTTTCAAAGAGACTTTTTAACTCTTCTATATCTTTACTGTTATTTGTTAACTCTTTTAACATCCTTATTTCTAGTTTTGCTTGTTCTAAAATAAATAGTATTGATTTATAATCTAGTTAAAAAAACGAGTAGAGCTAATAACAACCGTTAGCCTGTTCATCTGTTATCTTCATATCCTTACATAGTTTATGACAAGATTCTTGTAAGCTTTAGTTTCAGGAAGAAAAAGTTGATCAATCAATAGTGTTGGTAGAGAAAAACCAATTCAGTGAAGTTTAAAAATATTACCTTTCAAGCCGACGTACTAGCTTGCCAAAATCGTTTTCCTCCTACAAAGAAAAACGTACTGTTAAAGCTGTCATCCTTATCAGTACCAATATAGATATTAGATATACTGTTACCGTCTTAGTTATAGCATTACTTCTAGGTATCGTAATATGCTTATGGAAGATATTCCTGTTTTATTTAGATCACTTATATTAAATATTCCAGTAAACAGGAGTTTTAAACTAATTCTAACGTAAAATTTTTACCAATTCATAACAAATCGTTGATTGTTTGGATTCTTAAGATAACGTATTTACGTCAAATAAACTATTTAAATAGTAGATATGTCTGCTAGGAAATCGATCAGGTAGTCTGACTAATTTTGGGCGGTAACTTTGAAAATCGTAGGCAAGTTGCTCTTTGAAGTCTCGTTTGAAATATACAAGAATTAGGCTAATAAAATTTAATGACATTTTTTTTTACAAATTGGTAATAAAAGTAGGAAAGAGCGGTGTTTGCTATAGCATATCAACTATAGGCTGAAGAAATTAAACAGAAATTTTTCTCTTAAGTAGTCTACATAAGTTATACACATAATGTTTTATTTCAAGGACATTCGAAGTTAGAAAAGTTAGTCATCGTCTGAGAAACTGAGATCAAGTTCTTCGGGATTTTTATCGGGATCGTCATTCGTATTTGTCTCGGTTGACTGCTTGAAAACTCTTTTCCTTCCTTTTATTTCTGATATTGGATCCCTTATTCCTACCATATCGCAGAATAGGTCCGTTTGTGGGTTATAATATACTGTGGGATAATTGCTTTGATAAAAGTTTCCGTTAGGATTTTCGCAAGGTGGAGCTGTCATTTCAAAGTTTTCTGGTATAAAAAAGTTTCCACCAAAGTCATCTTCCACTGCTCTTTTCTGCGCCTCAGTTGCTTCGAAATCAGAGGCTTCATCTGAATTCCTTCCAGGCATGTAATTTACAGATCTTTGAATGCTTAATAAATGGTCAGTGTTCCGTAATATTGTTATCCATTCCCTATCAAGCTGTAATCTAAAATCGTCCGAATCATTTTCTACATCCATAATCTGTAGAAATCTTCTTCTCGGTAGACACTGCAACAGTTAAAGAAATTGATAATACAACGCAAAATGTTACTTTTGAAGAAACAAACCTTATCAAGAGCTAAAAAGTTTGTTATTGATTTATCTTCATGTTCTATTACAGCAGAGAATTTTGTATGTAAATGGGCAGAAAACCAATATTTTGGTTTTAAATATCTAAGTAGTTCCATAGCAGGAGGTGAGCCCAAAGTTCCTTGATGAACTTCGTCAGCGAAATGAGGCTTATGTCGAAGTAAACTATGCCATGGGCCGTGATCAGCAACGCCAGCTGGCCAATCATGCGTTATGAATATATCTATTTCTTTCGGCTTCAGTTGATTCATTCTAAAGAATTGCAATTGTCTATAATGATAGACTGATCTAAGCGAGCTTTGGTTATAAGGCACGGATTCGTGTAATCCGTGAAAAAAGTCGTTTGGTTTAAATATACCAGATATTCCGCCAATTCGGAGATTTCCAACTTTCAAAACGTTAGCCTGACCTAGATGTGTAAAGGAAGCATAGAGTAAATTTAACTAGAACATTGTGTATTATTATTTTACCCATAAAATAAATGTTCGGAGCAACCCATCCGCCGTAAGGAAGCTCTTGCATATAATTAGAAGCTTCGTGATTTCCTCCAACGAATATTGTTAGAATTGGAGCTTTTTTTTCTCCATTGTAGTACCTAAATCGAGTTTTAAATGTTTAAATATATTAGAATTATTTATATTAATCGATTCTTACTTGTAGAATGTTTTTAATTCCTTATATTTGTTTGGAACGGCCATACAATGCAGATCACTCCAGTTACGTACGGCTTGAAAGTCGCCACATATTATAAGAAGATCAACCTGAGTAAGAGTTCAATATATAGATATACAACTACTACTACTGTATATACGATTAGCTTAATAATTTAAGATGTAGTTCACAAGTTAATTGTTTTAAAATTATACATATATCTGAATTTATCATAAAGGATTATACCTTAATATTATCGTGTTTTTCAATTTCTTCTATACATTCGTAGATTTGATCTAAATCTCCGTGACAGCATCCTTCGACCGCTATTTTCATTATTTCTTCTCGAGGGCGATAATGCGATTTAATAAAAAAATGTCGATAATTCCTTAACTTTTCGATAAGGGGGGGTTAGAGTCTCTTATGTGTATTTTGTTTGTAACAATTATTTATAGATTACATTAATTTTAAAAAACTCGAACAATTCGCATTCGCTATTTCTCAAATTCAAGCGAACAGCTTAAATATCTGACAAAACCTGGTACCAGTCTGTGTGTTACTCTAATTTGTACCTTCGTTTAAATAGTGAATATTATCACTAAAATCGTTTATAAGCTTCTTAAACGTATTGGGACTATGGATTCAGCCGAAATAGAATTTTTTGCAGAAAATGAAGAAGTAACTATAGTTCCTAACTTTTCAAAAGACAAATTATTCTTAATAAGGGTATGTGAACGATAATGAAATAACGCGGGAAATCCTTGAATTTCTATTGAGACCTTAATATTCCACTTTAGGGTGACGTTGGCCCTTTTAATGCATCGATGCCTGTTACAGTACCGGTTTGGTTGGCGGTAAGTTTAAGACAACAGCAAAGATGTCGAATTATTCCACCACCCTGGATGGATGTTGGTAAGTTATGTTCTTCAATAGCAAACTATAATATTAAAAAAAATGCAACTACCAGAAAAGCTGACTGAAAAGAAAGAGGAGGAAACATCAACTGATATATTTACTCAAATGCCTTGCGAATATTATATGGAAGTTGCTCAGTTATTATTAAACTGGTAAGAAAAAGTATTACAAAAGTTCATTTAAACATCAATATTTAAAATTTTCCATTTTCAAGTGCATCAGACGATATTCCATACGCTCACAAGATAAGAACTCTTATTAAAGACATTTGGGATGCTAGAATGTCTAAATTACGAAGTTCTATACAAACATTTTTAACAAGTGACGCTACACACGCTAAGGTTGAACGCATTACAATATAGCATTACATTCTATTATTATTTACAAAAGATTCTATATTTTTACAGTTGAATCACCTGACAAGATTAGAAATTAATACAATGAGACCGATTTTAATTGGAGCATTAAATCAAACTCATTCTCTTCGTAGCAATTTAATAAATTCCAGCTTAGTATCAAGTTCATTGAATGATACTCTTAATTAAAAATATTCAGTGGCCTATATACATAGGGTTAGTTGAGACAAATTAGCATATTAAATCATTATATTATCTATTCTCTCAATATAGAAAGCTATCGACTTATACATCAACAATTAATTGAGCTGAATTTGAGATTTTATTCTAAATTTGGAGTTATTGAATATCTTCTTATTCTTATTCAACTATGCTGAATGCATTTATAGAGTTTTACGTTAGAAAATAAAATAAAATGAAGATAAATTGATGATTTACAGTCTTCAAAGATCTGAAGCGATAGAGAGTAATAATTTATTTAAATTGATTGAAATCTTAAAATAAATAAAGCAACATAAAGAATATGTGAAATGAAGAGAAGAACATTTTGAATTCCCTAATGACCTTATAACTATATATATATCTACTGTACATATGTATATATATATATATATATATACAGTATATAGACCGTAAAATTTAATCAATTCTTTTTATACATTTAGGGGAAATTGGACGGAACTAGATAAAGGCTAAAAATAAATAATAAAATACCAGAATTTATATTTAAAGTCAATTTTTATCAAATAATAATTATTTCTTGCCAATCTTACTTCTTTTCGTTTATTTCTTAGAATAAACTATACATAATATTCTATTCATCTAATGAAAGCATTTTCCTTCGTTTTACGTGATATTTTATGGTAAATTTTCCCAGCAAATGAAAGTCTTTACCGATTTCTATTTATAGCGATAGCATCTTCTTCCAGTGACATTTACTATTTAGCTTATATTTGCTTCAAGGCTTGCACTATACTAATTTCAATACAACTGCATGCTTTTCTCTTCATTTTTTCTTTACCATTACTGAAACGTGTGTAACTGTGCCAGAAGATGCAAAAACGTTCTTTTCCTCTTGTTTAATAATATACGCTTTACGCGTTGTTTGTCATTTAAAAACCGTTACGACGCGGTTGGCCGTTACGACTTATTTATTCAAAATTTTTTATATTGTTTCCATGGTAATTTTATGTACATTTTAAAAACCATTATATATTGAAATATTCTAGAATATTTGAGTGTGTTTTCTCGTAAACTGTATATTTATATTTAAATAAGTTATGAATGAACTATAACTCTTTGGAACAGACTTGTCTCTATCACGTGATTTTAAACAGACTGGTATCCTGTTCGAATTTCATTATTCAATACAAAAATAATATGAGGATGATGACGCACAACTAAATTCCATTTGTAAAGGTATCGAACAGAAGTAGGTATAAACATTACTTAATTGCATAATGTTAACTGCAATATTACTATCTTAATTTTTTACGGATAAATCAATTTTATAATTTTAAGTATATAGCCGTTCAAAGTCTTAGAAAGTTTCTGAAATGAACAGAACTTGTTCCTTTTTAAAATGATTAGCGGTAAACTTGATTAGGCTTGTTTCATTCGGTGATTATTACAGTGAATTCACTAAAAAATTGTTAAAGCAGATTATTTGAAGAAAACTAACTAATCGAAGAGTAAAATGCCGGCTCGGTTAGATGTAAGTTATCAATAATTATTTATTAAATTTGTGTGCATTAAATAGATTTTGCATTATTGAAATTTCAGGCCGAAAGTCAATATCAAAAGGATTTTAAATGGCAACCAGACTTCCTTAAATTTGCGCCAAAATATCTCAACGAAGAGGATATGAACTATGCTGGAGTATCTTCGGCCAAACTAGGTTTGTTTTATATAATAGATGGTGTAAACAAAGTAGACAAACAATTTATAGTTCTTCTGACAATTTAAAGGAAATAAAATTCCTTCGATAATTTCTCTGTTTTATTCTTTATAGCAAACACTTTTGAGCCTCCAATACAACGTAAAAAGAGAACTGTCTTTGAGAAAGCTGATGATGATGAGTACATGCTATTAGGAGATCAAGCAAAATTCGGGCAGAGTATTGTTTATAGAACAAGAAGATCGGTTTCCTGTTCTCGTGAAAGAAGCCTACCCAAGGAACCTATTGAAGAGAAAAAAGAGAAAAAAGACGAAGAAATTCAAGTAAAACCCGCTCCAGTAGTAATTGTTGACACTGGCGCAAAAAAATCAGAGACTAAGCCTACAAAAGATAAAGAAATATTTGCCGATCGCCTTGTTGAGAAACTCCATGAAGTAGATGAAAACAGAAAAAAAGAGAAGAGTAAAGAAAAGACTGTTAGCCATGTTAGAGAAAGTAGAAACGATAAACGCAATAAAGAGAATATTAAGATCTTAAAGAAGGCTAAAGAGAATAAAAGAGTAAGACCAATCAAGAAAGATAAATTAGTTAAGGAAGTTGTCGCATCAGTTGAGGAAAAGAGGCCGGTAGAGATTGAAAAACCGGCAGAAAAAGATTACATTTTAAAATACAAAGCTGGAATAGCCCCCACAAGACCGAAATTTAAAAGATTATCTGAATATCAACGACAATTTAATTGGAAAACAGCACTACACGCATCTCCTATTCTCCAAGCGGAGCAGGTAGAAGCTTTAATTTTACAAGCCTATTGTAGTAGTATTAATATTTTCCCAAAAGGTTGTTTTTAACTCGGATGCCAGCCTACATCCTCCGAAATTAAAGGAAAGGGTAGAGAGTGAATATTGCAAGCAGTATAACGAGTCTGCTGAAGTAGCAAAAGAAGAGACCAAGTTAAGAAGATCAAAGAGTGAATGTAAAATTAAAATTTGATTGTATATTCTTAATTATAATTTGATTGATCTCTAATTTCTCCAGCAATGATAGCTGCTCCAGGATCAAAGCCATCTATTACAGTAGACAATAAACGACTGATTAAGGAATCAGCCAATCCGTTGACTCCTTTCTTTCCTACGAAATCTGCAACGTGAGTTATTTTACGATGTTAACTTTTAAGGATGATTTTCTATTTCATTCTATCAGTTTCTATCGATCCGAATATGATCAACAATATAAACCTCCTCAAGTCTACGACTATGAGGACGGTTGCTGGAAAAGGTCTGCTCCAAAGACTTCTGAGATTAGTTCCTCTTGGTATCAAGAAGTTATCGAACTTCGCAAATTGGCAACTGCGTATAAGAATCGCGGCTACGGAATTGGTGCCAAGACTAGAAGCCCTCCATACGAAGAATATGATATTTCCTCCATTTCCGATGTTGAAGCAACGACTATTGAGAATTCTAGTAATATCAAAAGCTCTGATAACAACGACGCTAGAAAAGAAGCTTGGACCTGGAAAAAGTTTACACCAAACTCGGAAGAGTCAAATAGTTCGCAACCGCCAACACCTGCTCCTTCTGCTGAGGAGAGTGACGAGGAAGGTCGAGTTCCCACTCCTGTTCTCAAGTCGAGCGTCGTAGAAAGGCGGCATCATTTGGATCGCACTACACCGGCGGTAGGTGGAGCTTTGCTTGTTGCAAAGAGTAAAGGATCGGAGAAAGTTGCCTGCGAAGATAAGGCCATTTATGTAGACATGCCCGAACCGAATGAAGAAAGAGTAGTTCCAAAGTCCTGGGAAGATAAATGGAGTCAAGTTCCTAGAAAGATTGATAAGCATACGTCTTTATCGACTAGATCGTTGGCATCTAGCTATTCAATTGCCTCAGCTTGTTTGGAAAGAGCTAAGCAAAGGGAAAACTTTTGGAAAAATTAAGACAAAAAGACGTTGAGAGATGTATTTTTTATTATTATTATAATCCGTATAAGAATAATGATTTTTTTTTCTTCGTGGTCGACATATAGTTTCAAATAAATTAACTAGAATTCTTAAAAAGTTGTCCGGAAACGTTTCCTTTCCTAGTCCTAGGAAATTAATTAATGCTAATAACGCATTATAGTATTTAGCGCAGGGAAACGGAAATTCTTTAATGTTTAAAGTTTTTGTTTTGTTGATCCAATTTAAGGTAATTTATTATGAGGGAAAGAGGAAATTAGAATGAAAAAAAAGACAGTTAAGGAGCTTTTCTAATCAACTTTATGCGGTTTAATAATCACTTTTCCAATATTCTTGCGCTCGTTCATCTGCGCCATTGCGTCTCCAATCTGTATAGTAGGGAATAATTAAATCGAGTATTAATAAATATTTACTATAAATAATATAGTTTACGATGTTTAAATAATTTAAATATCAACCTTATCGAATGACCAAACAGAATCAATTCTAGGTTTGATTTTTCCTTCCTTATACAGAGCAATCAAATCGAGAACAGCTGATGTTACAAGCTCTTTCTCGTGAGTTAAATGCCCTAGATGATATCCTGCTACACATTTATTTTGTCTCATCAAACCTAATGGATTAACATTCTTTGTCTTCCACCAAGTAGCAGCAACACTGAATAAGCTTCTTGTTTTTCCAGTTACCATATTTGCTGCTCCTAATTGAGAAATTAATTCGCATTAATATTCATGTAAATTAAGAGGAGTAAAGTCTTTATAAATAATAAAGAAATGGTTAATTAACATAATATACAATCAAGAAACATGGGCCAAATTTTATCATATGTTTGTGGCAGGAGAAAAAATAACCGCATTATTTCAGCCTAACAAACTGTCCTAGACACTGTATTTTCTTATCGATTTGGGTCTGATTACTATTTTCTATTTAAGATATGGATAACGTAAACTTTATCATTATACAGCACATATTTAACCTTCTTTCCTTACATACTGCGTATTATTGTAATTTATGAACAATAAATCGCCTGAGAACGGATTTTAGAAAGACTGTTGTCATGCTTACCTTGTTTCAAATTCCCTCAATTTTAGTTCCATTTTACTAAATACTAGTTCTAGAATTCTTGCTTTCGACTGCAATAATTAGACGAAAAGAAAATAGTACTTAGCGAATATTAAAAGGGAAAAAAACTGTGATCGAATTGATCGAACCGTCTCTTTTTATCCCTAATATAATACTCTCCTACCCTTCTTTCTCTCTCTCTCTCTCTATATATATATATTAGTATATATATATATGTATATATCTATTGTATATCTGTATGTCTGACTACCTATCTGTCTATCTGTCTGTATATCCCTGATAATGACTACAGCTTAACATTTTTGATATCTTATATTGGTTTTCATCCAGCCTACGTCTAATATAAAAAGGATGAAATTGTCGTTTTAAACCCTTTTAGAATCTCATTTTTTAGGATATTTTTTTCTAAAGTTTTAGTACTTTTGGTATGTGTTGTGAGTAATAATCAAAAAATTTGTTTACCAAAGTGAACGATCGTTCCAAGCGGTTTTAGTAGATCGAAACCTTTATTAGAATCATCTCCAGAAAGCGGGTCAAGAACAATATCAACACCTGAAAAGAAATAGAACAGCTATAAAAAAGATTAGTAATTTAATATACAGTATATATATATATAAAAACAATCAATTTTCTTAGATTAGAGTGTATTTTTTATCTAATTGTTCAATCGGAAAGAAGCTGCGGAAAATTTATCAAAATAAGATGCTAACCCTTTGGCGAAATAGCTCTAATTTCCTGTACGTAATCCTTAGTCCTGTAATCAATCGGATAGTCGACGCCCATTTCCTTTATAATGTCGTGCTTGCCGGCAGATGCTGTACCGTAGACTGTCACGTTTTCAACGGTCTTACATAGTTGAGTGGCAGCAATACCCACTCCACCGGCTGCCATATGAATTAGAACAGACTTATTCTTTCGCAAGCTACCCATGTCGAAAAGCATATGATAAGCTGTGATATAATTAACGGGAATCGCAGCGGCCTCTTCCATTGTCATTTCATCGGGTATAACAAAGCATTGATCTGCATCAACAATAGCATATTCGGTCCATAAACCGAAGGCTTTTAAACAGAGAACTCTGTCTCCCTTTCGAAGCGACTTTACCTCGCTACCTAAAGAACTGATGATTCCTGCTCCTTCTAGACCCAACACACCGGGTAGTTTCGGTGCATTATCATACAGGCCTTGTCTGCACATCAGCTCAGCAAAGTTAATGCCTGATGCCTGAATATTGACCTCGACTTCATTTGGTCCTGGATCCTTTCTCGGCAAATCTTGTACTTCTAATTTTTCATATCCACCAAATCCGGTTAAGACGACAGTTTTAGTTGTTTCTGGCATTGTTTCTGATATTTTATAACAATCTACAGAAGTACTTTTCCTATCTACTCTCCAAACCGGTTCAATTCTAATAGACAAATGACGGTTTCTGGCCGACTAGTGGCGCTAGCTGGAAATGATACAAATCAATATATAGGCTTAAAAAAGCAAAGTATAGGCTGATAAAAAATGGGCTTTCATAAACAACACAAAAGAACTTTGTATTAAAGCGAATTTTTTTTATTCATTTTCCAAGAAATACTTTTACTCTTTCATAAGTTTATTGTATATTTTTTCTCTTTATTTTTATATTTCGCTTTCAATATGAACTTGTCATCTCTTCATCTATCTATCTATCTATCTATCTATCTGTCTCTCTTTGGACATCCTTAAAACGGAAGGAGAGTGAACAAAAATAGATAGATATTGCATAGTGCTAGATTATGATAAAGTCAACGTGATGTTGCAGTTTTAGTTATAACATCATATACAATCAGTCTTATTATTGGTGCATAGTCTAAAATTATTCAAAGAGATATAAAATGATATTTATTGCCTAAAGCAGATAGTAGAATAAGTAAAAATAGTATAAATTGCCAGTACTTTGTTATTATTCTTATGATCTTTTGAATAAATGTATAAGCCGGTGTGTTGTCTATTACCTTCAAGCTCATCAGCTCTCGCATAAAAAGATTAATTTTCCTGGAATATGGCAAAAGAGGAAACTGTAGAATATTTTTATTATTATTAAAGAAGTTTATTATAGGAAAAGGGACAGGGGGCAAGCAGAGAATATTTCAATACTTCTTTTCGTAATATTAGATGAGAAGAATTGTTATTAAATGTAAGATCTCAATGTATAATTCCTAACTCGCTCTCTCCGAACGGGTTTGAAGAGAAAGATAAAGTATAAAAGGAGCATATATTACTCAAACTCCTTTTAATATTATTATTTCAATATGGGAGTATAAAGTTAATTATTAGTAAACTTTCCACAGGATATTGTAATAAAATCTGTTATTAATAGGAATAATAAAATTCGTGTTAATTCGTAGAGTTCTTTAATAATACTTACGCTCTATTCCTTTATTCTTTTGCAAATCTATAACTGACACATTTATCTTCTGTTGTAAGAGAAAGAAAATAGGATAAAATCTATCAAATAACTCAATTTGTTTAGTATTTAATCAAATCATGTGTAGTGTATATTAAATAGAGTAGCATTTAGTGTACTTTTTAAAACTTACGGTTACCATTTTCCTGCTTTTTGTCAGTCAACAACTTTTACAATGAAATTGCATGAGTTGTCCATTACAAAGATAGAAATTGCGAATAATAGAGAGAAAGAGAGAGAGAGAGAGAGAGAGAGAGAGAAAAGAAATAATTACATCTGAAATTAGCAGCCCACACGAATGCTTAATCAGGCAGCAAGTGTGAATTTCTTTCTTTACCAACTTTTATCTGTTCCCTATATACTGTATATACAATATATAAAGAATATATGAACAAACACTTCAATAAATGTAGAATAACTTAATAAATAATAGGAAGGTGTCTCAAAATCTTTTACAATTGTCTATATATGTATAAATATTGCATTAAAAAAACAAATGATCAAAAATTTCTTTTCTATCAAGTGAAATAGCTATAAATTAACTTAATATACATATTGAATAATGATACATTATTGTTCATTGTTTGTCTTTTAAAACAAAAAAGAAAAAACAAGCACTTAGGGTTAAGTAAAAGCCTAGATGTCTTCCTTTTTTTGTCAACTTATGTATTAGAGAATATTCTTATTCTTTTTTTGTTTTGATAGCACCGTTATTGAGACATTTTGAAATGCCTCGGTTTTTTTTCCTTCAACGTCTTCTTTTTAACTAGTATTATTATTGTCCATTCGGAATATTATAAAAGCAAAATTGAAGATGAAAAACATTTTCTCATTCATTTTTTTTATGAACAGACAAAATCGTTATCCTCAATATCCGATAAGTCAACATTTTCCAGGAGAGAAGTTTTCTTCTTTATTTGCGGTTCGTCGTTTAGTTGTATCAACAGTTCTTCTGAAGATAAATTATGACGACGGTGTAGTCGAGGAGAATGCTGCAATTCTTTTAATTCTATTCTATCATTATCATGAGTTTTCTCGTCATCTTCCTGTGATCCAATACCATTTTCTACGCAAATACCTAATGCTTTTAGTTCTTTTTCCAATTGTGCAACGAGAAGTTGTTGATTTGCAGCGTTATTGCATAAATCGACAAATTCTTTGTGAAGTGTAGAGTTTAAATTCATTATGTGTTCTTCTTGCATCTTTGAGAGGTCTTTAAGGCTCGTACTGTAATTACATTTAAGTTAATCACAAAATGCTTTAAAAGTAAAATTAAAAATGTATTACTGATATTCTGATGAAACTTCATTAAAAACTGAGTTGGAATTGGTGATTAGAGGAGATGTCGATTTAACGTATCTAGGTATATACTGTTCCACTTTTTTTTGGTTATTTCTTTGTCCTAAATTAATAATTCTCAATGGAAGAGAATGAAAATAATCCCTGTTTTAAGTATAATTTTCATGATTAGATCATTAGCTTTGTACTTTAAGAATGAATATTTACTTTTTCTTCACTCGAAAGTCAAAGTTGCATGAATTTACGTCACTATCATCTGTCGCACTAGGGATTACTAATCCGAAAAGGAAATTATCTAAATCTTTACGAGCGTATTCGGCAAATTTAAGGTGTAACGCTTGTTCTCGAAAACTCATACGACTTGTAGAATTATGACGACAAGTAAACCATCCAATTATATCCTTTTTCTCTTTATTATCTAGTAGACTTTGCAATTTATTTTTTTTCACCTGACCAGTTCTATCTGAGAAGGAGTAATAGCTTTCGCACGTTAGAATCTTCGTTATATCTGCAATATAGGACAACTATAGCCAAGTTCTAAATTATTATTTTCCTTGTAATTTTAACTAGGAAGTAATATCATTAAATGATTATATTCGGTTAACTATATTTAAAAAAAAAAGAAAAATTTCTATTGATGTATGGCCATGCTTTATTCATTGACGGGTAATGAGAAATTCTTCTGATAGCAACTCAAAGAAAATGTCAGTATCAACTTACGTATTCTTATATCTTCCTTCCTCTCATTTATATCATCATCAGTTATTTCGTCTTGTAAACTTTTTACAACTTCCCCAAACAGAATACCCTCCTATTGTGTTGATCATGTAAACAGAATATCATATGAGTTATCAACATTAGTCATTTAAACATTCACATCCAAAACTGATACTTACAGCGTTATTTACTGTACAGTCGTGTAGTAATTGGGATAAAATTGTTCCGTTGATTTCAACTATCGCCATTTTGTTCTTTTCGTAACTTACCGTTTCAATTGTTTTCGTTTTTAATGTTACGAAAGCTACTAGCGACATCTATTAAAAATGAACTGGTGTAATAGAGAAGTGAAATATTCAAACAGGAAACGGAACCGCTGGAAAGCAATCTCTTAGCTTGCCTCTACGTGCAAAAATCGCCACTAAGTTACAGATAAAGATAATACATTACAAATCATGGATGTGCGACGGAGAATAGGCATTCAAAAACATCGTATACTAGATGCTAGACAAAAGTTAAACACAAAAACAACTTTGAAAGATGCTAGATTCCGTTTAGTAAACAAAAGAAAATTTTCAAATCAGCTTGCTGATGCACGGGCAAAACTTGTTAAAAAAGGTTTATCCGATGCGAGGTATTTATTGAAAAAGAAATCACCTGGTAACGGAGCAAACATTAAAATAAAAGTTGACAACAAATCTGTAAGTGATTAGCTATTTAAATTTGTCTTAAATACCTTATTTTTGTTTTACTACGATAAAGGGGAAAGGAAAACCAGCCGAAATGAAAAATTTTCAAATAATTGCAAAAAACGACAAAAATAAAAAGGTATAATAAGAGATTAATTTTTGATTCTCTATTTTTGTTTCTAAATTAAAAAAGAAAATAGCAAGATTAAGTGCAGGATTAAACTTGAACTTGAAGTCAATAAAGATATATTATTATTCAAAATTAAATTATACACACATACATAAATACATATGGGAAAGAAAGTTATGCTTAATTAAGCCAGTTCATTAATTTTATATAGTAGTTATCAATAAATGTTTTAATGAGATAGAAACAATTATTTAAATATTTACACCTTTTATTATCAATCTCTAGATTCTCCCTGGTCCTAGCGGCTTTCCAAAGTTTCGGATTGAAAATGAAAAATTTAAAACAAATATTACAATATCGCGAGGTGTTGCTAGGAAAAGACCGTTTACCAAAAAAATTACTGAAGCGGATGAGGAGGAGGAAGAAGAATACGAAGATGATGATAATTTTGGGAAAATCCGTATGAAAGGAGTAATAGCAGTAAGTTATTAAAAGTCAAAATGATTTTTCTTAATAATAATCAATCATTATATTATTTTCATAGGAAGATGAAGATGAAATTGACAATATAATCCCGATGAAAAACAGACTAATAGTAAATCATATTTATTTTTAGTAATAAAAGGTCCATTAAATATATCCATTTATTGCTTTAGGCTAAGAAACCTAAAACTATTCAACGAAAGATGGAAAGTACTTCTTATGAAGAATATGTTAGTCCTATTCAAGGCTTTCGAATAGCTGTTAGTAATCTACATAGAAAAGTAACACATGACGACATTGTAGTAAGTAATTTAGTAAGAAAAATAGTAATTTAATCTATGTGAAAAATGAACTATCTATAGGAATTATTTGGTAATATTGGCACTTTAAAGAGAGCAAGATTAATTAAGGAGGGAATTGCTGAAGCGGTATTTGTCAACAAATCTGACGCCATAGAGGCAGTAAATAGATATCATATGAGAGAATTGGATGGTAGGCTTTTATTAAATGATAATTAAGTTGAAAAAATTTTACAATTCTATTAATCTCTGTCATTTTTTATAGCTCAACCAATGCATGTAACCTTAACAACTGTTGGCAAGCCGTTTCCCAAGCAAAAGTTATCCTTCACTTATAAAAGGTATCTTTAGTTCTAAAACAAAAAAAGCATTAATAATTTCAGTTAAATTAAAATACGTTCATATTTAGATCCTCAAATGAAATTCTCAACGTCGATCCAAAGATTGCTCATCAAGTTCTATTTGGATGCACTTCAAGGAATGATCCAGCTAATAGACCTGTCAGTTTTACGGTTAAATTGGATGTAGATGAGGATTGAGATAAATTAGAATTGATATTAGTCACTTTTTATTGTTGAAATAAAAATTCTTTTTGTTTATTTACATTTCTGTACGTCTATGCTGTCCCTTATTTCGTTGTTATTATGAACATTCTTGAACAGATTAAAGCAATGTAAACTTTTCTTAAACATTTATAAATTGTAAAATTTTTTTGTATTGTTTATAGGGATTTGTTTGACGAGAAATAAAAGTGTTTTTTATTCTTATGTAGATATATTGGAGTGACATCTAGTGGTAATTCTTAGAATGATTTACTTGACAAATTTCGTTCGATTCTCTCTAGTCGATAAGCTAGAAATTACTTAATAATGTCTACAAGAGGTCAATCTGAAACAGCTAAGTTACAGAAAAATATCGAAGATCAGTTGGACAGGCTGATGCAACAACTTGTTGATTTGGAAGAATGCAGGTTAGGCAAAACATGATAAATTTTACCTTTGCTTATCTAGGAGGTGTAATTAATGAAATAAATAATATCTGTACAAAAAAAAAATAGGGATGAACTAGAAGAAGAAGAATATAATGAAACACGTAGCGAAACCATAGATCAATTAGGCGAGTTTCAAAAATCTTTAGAAGATATGAAAAGTGGCAATATGACATTAGTTGATGACTTGAACAGATATCAATTGGTAAGTGGATATTCTAAAGAAAATTTTCTATTTTGTAGCTGTAAGTCAAAGGATAAAATTCAATAGTTTATTCCAAAGGGTACAATGATATCTATATTTATTCGTTACACTTTCGTTTCTAAATATGATTGATTAATTGGACTTCAAATATTAGTCTATAAAATTCCATATTATTATAATAAATAGCTTTAAATAAATTAATATATCACGTACAGTTTATTTATCTTTCGATCCAGATGCTATTTCCATTGTTATTTTTGCTTGTATAATCATAAAATTTGTTTAAATACTTCATACAATTCTTTGTTTACTATTTATATTTTTAGGCTATTCAAGCAGCAATAAGTAACGCCTTCCAAACACCGGAAGTAATAAAACTTTTCGCTAAAAAGCAACCTGCCCAACTAAGAATAAAATTAGCTGAGGTAAGCTTAATTAATGAAAAAGCTATATGTACTTTATTTGATAATAAAAACGAATTTATAGATTGAAAGAGATGCCAAAATTGGAAAAATGACATCATCTGAATCATCTACAAAAAAGCTAGAAATATTAATGGCTTTGAAAAAATTAGGTGAATATCTTACTGCTGAAGAAAACAACTATATCGAAAAGCAGTCATCCAATAAAATGAAGGAATTTGAGCAAGTTGCTTCCGATAAAGGTATATATTTATGCTTATTCTATAATAAGGTAAATGATCTATTTTATACTATTAAAACAGTTTCTGAAAGTGTCTTGTTAATGGCTAGCAGCGATATATCAAAACGAAATTAATAAACTACAAATTGGATTACACATCTGTCATCATGAAAAACGGAAATAAAAAACCCAAAACATTTTGATTCGTTTCCCTTATTTCTATAAAAAATTACTTGTTTATACATATATATAAATATTTTCTAGCAAATAATTTAATCTAATAAAAAAATGTAACTTTATTTCAACAAAAACTTTTCATAAACATGCTATAGGCTTAACTATTATTAACTTTTGAGACTACATATTCTGATAGATTATACTTTTTATAATCATAAAAATTCTCACATATACTAATTAAACAAATACCTTTAATTATATTAATGAGAATTGCGTACTTTGGTGCGTTCAAGTCAACTTTATTACTGCTGTTAAAACCTTTAACAACTTCTGTTATGGCATCTAGAATAAAACTTCTTCCAATTTTTGAATTATTTCTAGACTTGAATACTATACTATAAGTTACTCCGTCGTCTTGTTTGAAATATTTCTCTAAAACGTTCTCGGCCCCTTTCTTTATTTCTGAGTCGGTCGCTGCTGTTGTTAGTAAAACTGGTAAGAATCTCATCACAAATTTACATGGTTTATTTTCTGTATTCTCGAAAACTTTCTGACATATCGTATTTGGTTCTTCTAATGTTGTTCTAACGAAAAGACAATTGTTTGCTCCACAATCGATTTTTTGGAACCTCCTTTCTTTTTTCTCCTTTAGACCATCTGCGAAATTAAGGATTATTTTCTGATATTGTTTTCAATTTTAAATGTAAAGTTTATTAATAAACCTATTTCTTTCGCGATCGCCTTTTCTATATCCTCTTCTTCTTCTTCTTCTGATCCTGATTCTTCCGGATCTTCTGGTCCGTAAAGGTTGTCAGCGGCATCATTAAGGAATCCATAACCTTCTCTCAAAGCTTCTCGTTCCCTCCGATTATGAGTTATAAAAAATCCTTTAATACCGCTTTTCAAGGTATAATCAATTCTAGATTGTTTTCCTTGCTTGCTACATTTTATATAATATGACTTGGGTCTTTTTTTACCCCTTTTAGCGGCTTTATTATCTGACATAATCGCGAAAACAAAGTTTCCACGTTTCCCAACGAAAATTGGACTTTATAGACTGGTATACTAGTGCGAGTACTTTGTAGATATACTCAAAGGTAAAAGAACCACCACTCAATATCTATGAAAGTAAATCATATCTACGTCTTGAAAAATGTTCCATTGAAATGCTAAAAGAAGTCTACAGTACTATCTCTAATCAAAGAAGATAAAGTTAAGTATTATAAATAAGTGTTTAATATTATGTTTTTGTTTTTACAAATAAATATTTTCTTGCAGCAAGTACTTTTGTATTCATTTACTATCAAAAACTATTTAACAATCGTTTCTAAACATTAAAGTATTGTATATAAGTTTACTTAATAGCAATATAGATAGCTTAGCCTACAAATTTTACCATGTTTTATATTGTACTGTCGGTCATGCACCTTTTAAAGAAAAAGCTTGAATAATATACAAAAAAATTCATTAATCTTTCTATAAAGAAAAAATATTCTTGTTCTTTTAATGCAGAATTTCTTTTGTAGTTATAAATTTATATTACTTAATCTTTTTTGGTCGGAAATAAAATTTAATGAAAAAATAATAAAATAATAAAAATTACTTTTAATAAAGAACATTTTCTGTTCTTGTTTTAGAATGTTAGCTATGGGAGGCTGTATCTATAAACTATTGCAAATGTACACAGTATTTCGTAATAAGTATCCTTATTAAGTGTTGTACTTTTTTTTTGCTGATAGTATTACTTTGAAATGTGACTAAGTATTGAAAATTTTCCATTCATTCTTAGCTAATCAAAATCTTTATCTATTTATTCAAATAGCTGAGGAGAGTTATCTCTATTTTACTTATTAAAATAATTCATAGTAAGGAACTTTTTACTATTCAATAAACAAATATAAAAATTCCTTCCTTATTAGTATTGTGATAGATAGGACTATAAAAATTTTTCAAAGGTTCAAAAATACCGAATATTTAGGGAATAATGGAATAGAAAATTTATAGGTTTTGGTATCTGAACAAGTATATAAATGAATTAAATTACAATGTATATATATTTATAATATACATATATATAAATATAATATAATATATTTATCACGTATTTGAGAAGATTGTAGCAGATTTCTACCAAAAATCATTAAATATTTTAATGTACTAGGTCAAATTATAGATTGTCATACAACGATGAGCCTCTTTTAATTCTAGCAGACTTTTAGCAGAAAAGTCGTCCATTATGACCTTGGCCATTTATGTACATATCTCAATCCACAGGCCTATTATCGCTCACTCCTCCTTCTCTTATGCTCTCAATTCCAGTAGCGTTTCATTTACTGAAAAGAGCTCTCATGACTGAATCGATGGCAGACAAGGTATGTAGATCATTCTTTACGCGAAGTTGTCATTCGACGATTATTATTATTTTATCAATATTTTTCAATTTTTAATTTTTGCTTTCTTAAAGACTACTGAGTAACACGTGTAAAATATAAGATCTATGTAGTAAAAGGTTTGATCAGGTGAAGAATTAGGTTGTTCGTATAACTCTGTGTAAATAACTAATGGAAAGGGATACTGAGTTGAAAAAATTGACTCAGACATCATACAGACAAATATATTTTATCACAAATCGATTATTCATTAATTGAAGGTTACTATATCTGCTCATGAATATTCAAACTAAATACTGCATAGCTTGATACTACTCGATCCATATTATAAAAAGTCAAACATTAGTACGATTCGTCAAAGTATTTTCATACTTATTCAGCCTTTTAGTAGACCACTTCCTTTTTTTGACATTTCCTGTGGAAAATGACTATAGAATCGGTAAGTTTAGTGATATTTATTTTAAAAAAACACACATGTATTAAATTGATAAACAGTTGTTTTAACAAATAACTAGCTTTATTGTTGTAATTGTTACTTTAAACGATAGATTTTAACATCTTGGAACAAACTATAAAAAATTAGCTTACCATATAAATTTATATATATGTATAAAGTATGGAAATCTGATATGGAAACATTTCTATTTGTCCGGAATCGCTTTTAGTGTATTATTGTAGTTTATTACTTAAAATGGGACTAATTAGTGCAAATCTTTTATCCAGATCATGTAATGTGAGTTGAATTAGGAATTTATCGCAAATAATGGTTTGTTTCTAGTTCAAATTTTCTTAATAGTAATCACAAATAATGAAAACTTCCGGGTTTTATATGTTACTTTTATCTTTATAAATAGACTGTTCAACTCATGATGTGATGGACATTGATTTTTATTCGTTATCTCTAAAAATAGCACAGTGATTTTTGATATAATATGTTTAGCAAATAATTCTACAGTTATGACTAATAACTTCCACATTATCGTCTTTTTCGATTTTGTGATCGTTAGGATAAGTCTTATTATACAATTCACCTAAGAGACTTTATACTTTATTCTTCAATAAACTTCAAAAGTGTTACTTAGTAATAAGCTCTTCCGATAAAATCACTACATTTAATTGAAAATTTCATATGTGCTCTCATGCTATAAATAGAGGCTTTTCTAGATTCATTTCCATTACTTGTTTTCTATTTTTAGATTGACAATATAATCAAGCCACTTCTATTGGAGGATGAGACCTATACGAAGATAGGCAGGCTTCTTGAACAAGAAATGGCAAAAGGATTATCCAAAACAACTAATCCTTCCGCAAAGGTTAAAATGCTCCCTACTTACGTAAGAGCATTACCCAATGGGTTAGAGGAAGGAAATTTCTTGGCTTTGGATTTAGGTGGAACCAATTTTAGAGTTTTGCTTATATCTTTGAGCAAAGAAAGTGGAGTTAGAATGGAAAACAAAATCTATCCTGTTCCAGAAAAAATAATGACAGGAACTGGCAAAGAACTTTTTGACCATATTGCTTATTGTATATCTGACTTTATACATGAGCATAACATTCAGGGGCAGGTCATTAGATAATTATCTATTCTTAAATAAATCTATTCAAATCAGTCTTTCTATTTTAATAGCATCTACCTTTGGGCTTTACTTTCTCTTTCCCATGCAAACAAGAAAGTTTATCTGTAGGACGCCTTATCTCATGGACAAAAGGTTTCAGCTGCTCTGATGTAGAGGGAGAAAATGTTGTAGATCTTCTCCATGCAGCTATCAAAAGGAGAAATGATATCAGCGTTGAATGCGTTGCAATTCTTAATGATACTGTTGGTTGTCTAATGTCTTGTGCTTATTTGGATCACGATGCTGAAATAGGCGTTATTCTTGGTACAGGTACAAATGCCTGTTACATGGAAAAGTTAGATAAAGTAGAATTATGGGATCAGGATAAGGCTGAACCTAGTCAAGTTGTCATCAATACAGAATGGGGAGCATTTGGGGACGATGGTTGTCTGGACTTTATCCGTACTGACTATGACTTTCAAATTGATGAACGGTCATTAAATAGGGGTCGACAGCTGTAAGTTATTAATTGTTTCCCCTATATTTATAATAGACCTTTAATTAGTATTACGCATTCGATATAGAAATAACGTTTAAAACAATACTTTCAAAATGAGTGAATAGAAACTGTATCTAACAATAATATTGTTTTATTAAATAACCAGACAAAATATCATAAAATAAATAATAATATGCTCTATTTCCGGGTAAGAAGTACTAGATTATATTGAATTTTTGATAAAGAGTCTATTTCTCAATTACAAAATTTTCAGTACGAGTCAATAAATAGTTGAGATATCGTGCAATTCTGATGAAATTTTTTATACAGGTTCGAAAAAATGATATCCGGAATGTACATGGGTGAAATTGTACGCTTGGTTGTTGTTGAATGTGTGCGTACGAGTCTCATGTTTTCTGGAGTTTTAGGACGTTTTAAAGAAAGAGATTGTTTCAAGACGAAGTACGTCTCAGCTGTTGAGAAAGATCATGGCAGAGGATCATTTGAAAATACAAAAAGAATTATTGAACAAATGGGCATAAAGGAATTCACTGATAGTGATTGTAGCGCCCTCTTTCGCATTTGCCAGGCTGTCTCTATTAGAGCGGCCAAGTTGTCTTCCGCTGGTATATAATTTTTCAAATTATTATATGATTATAGTACTTTAATTGAAATTTTCCTCGTTTCCTACACAGCAATCGTAACATTAATGAATCGAATAAATAGGCCGAATATCACAGTAGCCGTCGATGGCAGTTTATTTCGCTTTCATCCAAGATTTGAGGGTGTAATGAAAGAAACTATTGCCGAAATGTATAATTTTGGGCATCAATTCAAATTAATGCTATCGGAAGACGGTAGTGGTAAAGGAGCCGCTTTGGTCGCAGCAGTTGCTCACCGACTAAAAAATAACTGAACAACAGTACGAATGAGCTAAACGAGTTATTATTTACTAATTTCGGCTTTCTAATAGCTCATTGTATTAGTGATATTAGACAGTCTTATGCAGAATAAGTCTATTTTTTTCTCGTCCAGAAAAAATTTACCATTTTTAAAAGATAATTATTTTTTCCTCCTGCTTAATTCTTTTCTTTTCATTGAAATCTAATTGCACCCGGATACAATTGCTTTTTTTTGAGCAATTGGTTAAAAGCATAAACAATGGGAGGATGAATCTCTAATTTTTCCTGCATGAAAACTTTACTGTAGTGCATCTCTAATCCCTCCTAGTAAACAGATTTTATCCTGTTGTCTCTTTTAATGTTTAACGTTTGTGGAAATAAAGTTAATACAGGAAAATAGACTAGACTGTTGTAATATTTATTGGTAATTATAAAATACACATTCTCATTCTATTAATAGATTAAGGATACAATGAGTTTCGATGATTTTTAATATCATTTTTTTGCTAAGGCAAACCCTAGTCCAATCAAACCACCTAGAACAGCTACAGCAGCTCCACCCGCAACAGCGGCACCAATCAAGCCCTCTATATGAGAGAAGTTTAAGAATATAGTTGATGTTTTAATAAACAGTAGCTATTTACCTTTATTTCTTCGTTTTGTGATGTATTCATGCAATTGGTGCGATTGGGAATTTTTAGGTTCAACTTTAAGTATAGCTTCTGTATAGTTTAAAGCCTTGTTATATTCCTGAAATTAAAAACAAATAATTTATCATTTCAATCACTTGAATAGAGTATTTCACAGTGGCTTATATCTTGAATCGAATAAGGTTTATACAAATAAGCTATCAATATTGGTAGTGAGGAAATATTGAGAACAGAATATATTTTACCCCAATTCTAGTATTTCCAATAGCTAAATAAAATAGATAATCACGTTTTTCATCATTTTCACCCGACTTTTTGTACAAGTCTGTGAGAATTATACATTAAATCAAAATACATCTCTTTGGTAATTTACAAGTTTACCTTCTAGTAATTTCACGCCTTCTCTAACCCGTGACATGCTCTCACTTCGGATCAGACACCAAGAATAGTCAAATTGCGTTGTTGGAGGTACGAATCCATTCTTTAATGCGCTTAGATATTTGGCTTCAAATTTCTAAGAATAAAACAGAAATGAAATTGTTTTTAAATAGCTTTCAATTTTATGTCAATTGAAACACGTAGAGCGATAATATAATACTTGTAAAAATATCTGGTAAAACAGATTTCTAGACCGATAACAGTTCATGAATAATAAACATGGAATATTCTAAAACAATTATATACCCTTAGATCTTCGGGTGATACTCGATCTTCAACAATACTCTCCATCATATTCATATTTTCCGATACGCTTTCTACGTAAGTATTACTTAATCGGGTATTACTAAATACCAATGAAAACTTTCATTTGGAATTTTTAGTCATTTAGTTTATTGTGTTTGTTTTTTAAATGATAAAATTGAAAACTCTTTTAAAAGCAATGATCTATAAGAAAACGTTAAGTAAACTATGAATAGAATGAAGATATTGGAAATTATCTTTATGTTCAACAAACTAATTTGTATTTTAAGAAAAATTGAACTGTTGGCGAGGGGATGTAAGGCTAGATTATAGAACTATTTACTGAATAGCACTCTATTATGGTCATATTTAATGTTATTTTTAATTCTTGATATATATATATATTTATTCTTATTTTTAGAATATTTGCTAAAAAGTCAAATAGTATCCTTTGAAAAGAGAAGGTAAGAAAGGACACAGTGTTTTTTACACTAGCAGACTATTGTATAATTTGTAACAAGAAGTAAAACTACGCAGCGATATTTTGATATAAGTTACGATTAGAGTATTTGATAATTTTAGGTAATTAATTACGTCACTAAGATGGAATTTGCCAGATTTCGTATGTAATTTAGATTGTTTATTTTTTCTTCCTGTAACAAATAGCAAGCAGTTAATATAAGCTCAGCTGGTTGTAGTTAAAAGATTATAGCCTTCTTAAAACAAATAAACTTTTTTGCGACGATCTAAAAGAACACATTAGAAAGAAGTCTAATTATAAGCTATATTCCTATATCTAGTTAATTTTATATAAGCAAATATAGCATTATATAAATAATTTATGTTTGTTAATAAAAGTAAATTCGAAAATGGCATTTTTTTATCAAAAAAAAAAAAAGAAGAGTAATTCAATGCATAAATAATAATATTTTGATCCAAGCAATTTGTTCTAGAATATAGAACTTTTTTTCTGTTCTTTTAATAGAACGTTTTTACGAGAATTTCTAAAATTATTAATATTTTCCCCTTGTTTTATAGGAAATATCTGAAAAGGAAAATAGAATTTCCTTTCTTATTAAGGAGATATTGGATCTTGATTGAGAAGAATTGATTTTTTTAAAACCTGTCAAAGTTATTAGAATCGACTTTTCTTCTAAATTGAGCTACAATAATTTTGTTACAGTTTTAAACAATTTTTCTATTTTTCACTCTAATTATTTAATAATTGTTTTAATTAAATAATGATTAAAAAATACTTGAACAATCTGGTTTTTTTTATAGTCTTCCTTTTTTTAAAACATCCTTGTGGAGAGAGAATGCTTGCTTTTATATATGTACACTATTATTTATTTAAATAATTGGTACAAGTTTATCGATTGAAACATGCGTAAATGCTTTTTATAAGGGGAGTTTCTTTTCTCTCAGGAATTATGTTGAATGATAATTTGCCAAGGTTATCTGGATAGGATACCGTACTAAACAAAAAAAAGGCTATGTCGTAACGAGTTATTTACCACCCGGAAGTGGACTTTTAAATCTCATTCTTTATTCTTTTATAGAATTAATGAGGATATTTTTTATTATATTTTATCTAGTTTGCGTACTTTAACGTAATCTAAAAGGTGGTTATCTATGAAAAAGATTCTTCAATAAAAATTTTATTAGTCCTTTGAAGAAAAAAATATGGACATTCCAAAGGATAAACGCTTAGAATATTTAGAATGGTATAGTTTCTTTTGTGAAGGAAAGAGTACTTTTGATTATCAATACTTTGAATCTGGGGAAGAAATTTTTCAAGATTTCCAAACTAAAATTAGAAAAATAATTAAGGAAAAGGTTAATGAAGAACTTTTAAATCGTTCGAAATCAAAATCCTTTGATTGTTGAGTGTTAAAAGATAAAAAATTGTATATTTTTATGGATTTTTGATGTATCTTTTTAAAAATACGTTATGATAAATTACGTTATCAGATTATTTATCGCTTGGTAACAATTACAATAATTAGAGCATTAGATAAGAACCAATTGAAAAAAATGAAAATAAAGAATAACTTATCAAATACACTATATTCTGTAAAGCTATAGGCGATTATATTACAAGAGTTTCGAGGAAGCTCTCCCTTCCTTACAATGTGAAAATCGAATTAATTTGACTTAGCCATTCTTGAGCAAAAAATTTAATTGATACAGTAGTTTTTTAATGATTTAAGTTTGAAAATAAACTGGAGAAAAGTCATTGAAATTGTTATTAATTATAAGTCTTTTCTATGCGTTAAAAATTCTCTCCAATTTCTCAAGTTCTGCAAACAATACAATTAATACATACTTGAAGACGGATAGAAAGAAAGGGAGAAACTTTTATTATGTATATATAATGTTATATACAAAGCAATCAAAATAATAATGTCCGTTAAAAACAACTAATTGAAAACTACCCCACTTCTAGGTTAACTGTCTAATGTTGATCAACACCAAACAAAAGATGTCTTTCAGCATGGGAAAATTTTTTTTTATTTTAAGGATTATAAAGAATGGTGGCTGAATATATTAAATATTAAAGGGATACAATTTTATTGAACGAGTTTGATGACCTTAAGCTATTAAATACAATAATTACAATAAATATTTCGTTTACTGATTATTCCTTTTTCGCTCTCATTTTAGAAATGAGCAAAGGTTAAAGTTTATAAATTACAATCTTTCCAATTGCAAGTCAATCTTCATTAAAAGATTACCCGATTTCCATTAATAATACTTTATCCGTCTCGGTGTTAATCTTTATTTATTACCAAGAGGAGAATTTTTTTTTACTTGTTTCAATCAGCCATTCTTTATCTTTAATAAGGCAATAAAAGCTTTAGAATGCCGTGAAGGAAATGCTAATATCATAAAATATGAACAAAGTATAAAGCTACACATTTTTTTTTTGTAGTTCAAAACCAGGTCGTTCAACCAAGTTCTCCGTAAAAAAATCTAAGCTGTCAACACTTGGGAAGAGACTTGAAAAAAGCATTAATATTTATTGAATTGCATAATTGTTTGATATAGAAATCTCTTTTCTTGTATAATAGCAGAGTGTATTGAGTACAGGAATATAGATTTATGTACGATATTTAAAAGAGAAGAGAAATAGGGAAAGAGATATATATATATATATATATATATATATATATATATAGAGAGAGAGAGATAGAAGGATATATATAATATATACAGTATATGTATTATATATATTAGGTATAGACTGAATAGATCTATTTTTTGTAGTCTGTGAACTGTTAGGCATAAATTTTTTAAAACATAAATTTCGTTATGAAGAATTGTAGTATTAATCCTATTAAAAGTTATTAACTAAAATCAATGAAGGTAGAATTAATGCTTATATCGACTAGTTTAGGGTTGACCATTTAGTTATCGTATAGCCATTTTTTTTTTCTTTTTGGAAGTTATTCTCCTAACTAAAACATTAATCGTGTTTGTCTAACCAACAGCAAATATTTAAATACTTTCGACTTATTATAAACAAGGACCTCATGGCGAAAAAAAATAATTTTCTGCAAACTCCTTTTCATTCATTCATTCATATCATTCATTCGTTTATTTCTTCTATTCATTCTCTTTTATTTTTCGCTTGAATGTAAACTATACCTGAGGATAAAAAAATTCAATAATCTCGTAGGTTAATCGATAACTACACTACAAGGCAAACTAATATTGATTACTTCTATTTTAGAGAGCACTGTACGCCAGAAGATATAAACAATGGCTTTTTTTTTCTAAATTTCTCTTAGGGAAAAGAAAGGAGAGTGACCTTTTCAATGGCATTGACCCTTTTCTAGGGCAAAAAATTATATTAATCTATAAGAAATCCTCTCTAGTTGAGGTGAAAAAAAAAACAAAAATCAAAGCTAACTTACTTAGATTGGTAGCTCAGAGATATATTACATATATTGTACGGTATATGTATATATAAATAATGTACTTTTTATCACTAAAATAAGCACAAGAAACCATTTATTTATTACTTTTTGTTTACAAATAATAAACAAGAGTAAAAATTTTATATATACAAATTGACAGATTTGTTTACGCCGTTAATTCTCCCTCAGTGTTGAAATCTAAGCTAAATTCTTGAATTAACTGAATTTTTTATTTTATATAAATACTGTATGTATGTATGAGAATATGAATATTAATGAATAGTTTGTTAATTTAACCTTTTTTTTAATAGGATGTTATATGGTTATCATACAGTTTATAACTGAATTAGATTATGTTAATCTGTGTGTCTGTGTGTCTGTCTGTCTCTTTTTATGAACATAGTATTCAGCTGATTCGACAAATATTTAAGTATTAAAGAAGAAATGACTTACAGAAGCTAAAAATCGCTAAACCACAAATATTCATTATTCTCTTTATGATCTATTGTATAAACATGTTATTTTAAAATACTATATACATGTATTTCAAATTCTCTCGCATGTACAATATATGAAGCAACATTTCCCAGGTAACGGCTAGGTCATGAAATATAAATAATAAAAGCATATCTTCCCTTGTTGCCCCTCCCCCCCCCAACCCTACTTTATTTCTTCTCAGATTGTTCAAGTTGGCTAATAATTCTCCTCTTATTAAATCAAAAAGAAATTCTTTTTAAAGCAAAAGAATTTTTTACGTCTCTTTTATAACTAAAATTAGAATTAAATAGCTAATATTTGAATTTTGTAAATATTTGAATTATACAAAAATATTCTGTCAAGCGTTTCAGACCTACAATTTGTACGATAGTCTGGGAAAATGATCTGTTATATACATACATGTACAATATATATAAACAAACAGACAAGGTCAAGTACAAGTTGGCAACCTCTTCAGCAAAAATTCAAAAAGAGAAAGCAAGTTTTTGTTTTGTTTTGTGTGCTTTTTTCTTTATATAGTTGTATCTTGATTGGGATCTACAATAGTTCGTTTCTTTGTTAATTTCATATCATTAGGAGCATATAATCCGCTCAGATCGTTAGACGTTCCAGAGCTTTGCAATAAATGTGTCTGACTTCCTGACGGTGATTTGGGTTCCTTTTTGTGAGAAACAGCAGGTAATTTCGTTGGTTGAGTAAATGGTGCGGAAGATGATATTTCTGGATTAGACGGTTTATGATCCAATGCAGGTAATCTCATTGGTGGGACTGTAACTTCAGACATTTCCAAAGATTCTTCGTCCTTTCGTTTCTTCTTCTTCTTTTTTTTCTTCTTTTTTGTATCTTCGGGTAGGTCTACGTCTATAGTCTCCTTCCGGCGTTTCTTCTTCTTTTTTGGTTTATGAATTTCAATAGAACCTCTACCCGAATCTTCTGCCACCCTATCTCCCTCTACAACTTCGTCATTCCGATTCTTCTCCTCTTCCTCTGCCTCCACCTCTTTCCTCTCAACTTCGTCCTCTTCCCTTTCATCCAGCTTATTTATCTCTTGGGAATTATTCCTCTTTTTACGCCTCTTTTCACCAGTACCGTTGCAAGATTCAACCCCGGAATCTTGTATTAATGAGTTTGGCCTACTCCTTTGCACTTCTGTTTGGGGAGCTTGTTTCATTCGTTGCTCATTCTCTTTATTTTCTTCCTCTCCCTGCGAATCGTAATCGCTGGTGTCATCTTGAACGTCGCATTTCTTTTTTGTTATCTCTTCATCATCAGTTTCACGACTCTTGACGAACATTCCGTCACCCGTTGCGTAAAGAACCTAAGTATAGTACAATTTTTTATAAGTATAAGCAAGAAAATATGACTCATAATATTCAGTTTCATTACTCACCGGAACGTGAATACTTGAAGCTGACGCCCCATTAGAATTTCCCGCTTGAGCGTCCCCATTATGGCGGGGGGATGTTCTGGGGCTAGAATCATTAATTAGGTTTGATTTCCGGCAGAGAACTTTATTCTTTAGTTTCTGCCATACTTCCTTCCTCCAGGAGAGCGTTAAAAGAGGTACAACCATAGTATAACTAAACTTCATCCACGTAAAAGCTATTTGACAACCGGATACTAGTTTAGGACCACCGAAAATCTCTATAAAATCCATAACTATATAGGGTCCCTCTAATATGCACCAAACGAGGAAGAGAAAAGCAACGAATTTTGCAGTATTCAAGTCCTTTCTAAGACGATCGTCGTTAGGATCAATCCTCGTCTGAGATTCTAATTGAGAGAATGACTCCGGTTGAGCCGGTTCAGGTAACATTTTATTGACAGCCTCCTTAAGGATGATACAGAGGAGGACAAGGGTCACCAAAAATGGTAGACCGTAGCATATACCCAACAAAAAACCATTATAAATGGAGGGGCTCTTGGTCACATGACATAATGATCTAAAGAACAAAAGAAAACAAAAACAATTAATATATAATTAATTGAAAGAAATCAAAGACTATAAAAATTAGTGGACAGGTCAATTGATAAGATTCAATATCGCACTAGATCTTATTCCTGAACATTATTTAATTTATATATGAAAATACGATTTTTCCCTATTGACTGCTTAGAGAGAAATGACTAAACTTGATATCTCTTATAGGCTGTCACGTATTACACGATTCTAATGTAATACTGATTGATTCAATTCTTTTTTCTAGTGTTTACAATGAAATTATATACCTTTTGGAGTTTGCTTCAACATCCGTAACCTGAGAAATGAACAAGGGTATGGCAAAAACAGTAGGAAAAAGCCATATAATGGCAATAAAAATGATGGCTCTATGGCTTTTTGTCCCGTCTGGAGGAGCTTTTAAAACGGTTACAGTTCGTTCTAATACCAAGAGGAAAAGGCTGAATAAAACTGTTGAGGTGGTAATTTGAATAAGAGCTGCATTTAGACGACAAGCAAAATCTCCTAGATCCCAAGTATCCCTTACAGTATAACTTAACATTATCGGCATAATACAACCACAGTTTATAATATTTGCTGCAGCAATGCTCAATAGGAAGCGATTAATCTCCGAACTCCTGAGTCTTTTCGATTGAGCTATTATAGCCACTAATAAGCAATTGCTTACGAATCCAACTATTAAAAATACTGATAAAAATATGGCTCGAATTGTTAAACTTCCTCTATCATCTGCAACGGGACCACCCGTTGATTCAACTTCTGAACTATCCATATCACAGAAATTTGATTTTGGACGGATTAAAATCGCCGGGAAAACGGCCTTCTATTCGATAATTCCTTCCTCTCACATACTTGCTTCTCCGGTATGAGAGAATTACGTATGCAAATAAGTACAGGTAGAGCCAACCAATCAAATCTCTAATTCGTCTATTTAATTTATTAATTTTACTCCCTCTTATAGAGTTTCTTCTAATTTCATACAATTTTTTAATTTCTAGAAATTTTAATACTTTACTAAAAAATAAAGAAAATCCAAATAAGCTCTTTCGTCTTTCAACAGAATATTATAGTATTAACTAAGTTGTTGAACGGTAATATGACAATTTTAATACCAGTTTTCATAATATATGCATATTTTTCTAGGCGTCTGTAGAAACGGTTAGGTAAAGAATTTCTTTCATATTACAATTTTTAAGTATGGGTATTGTTGAAGGACCGTTGTTTACTCCTTCAAATTATAACAATTCTTTTATACGTAAGTTGTTAATTCATATTAGAGAATAAATAAATATAAAGCACTATTTCGTAGTCAATCTATTTAATCCTTCGTATTTTGATCACCCGCACAGAATGAAATCCAATTTTTTTCTTAATGTTCTTACAAATACAAAAGATACAAAGGGAAGCATCTGTCCCTACTGATGCTATCAATACCTTATTTACAATGTTTTTGTTTTGTTTTGTATTCTATTCAAAAAAAGAAAAAGAATAAAGAAGAAGAACGTTCCATTATTCTATTCCATTCTTTTCTCTTTAATTGTTGATTTTATATTTAAATATCTAAAGAATAAAGTCTTTTTTATTTCCGGTTAATAATTGTCTGTCTTTCTCCTTATTTAAATAGTTGTTTGTACAATTTATCATTTTTACAGCTTTAAAAGTTGTTTTAACTGAATATTTTCATTTCTTTCTTTTCTTACTTTTAGGCCGACAATAAAGTCATTATCAGTGAAAAAAGCATATACTCTGTATTAATTTTCTTTTAAGAATTCTGGGAAATGAGCAGTGCTTTTTATTTTTTCTTTGTTTATTTTAGGTTAGTTCTTTCCCTTTTTTCTCACTAAATCCACGTTTAACTCTACAGCGCAGTCCGCGTCTTAATACTCCCTGCCTAGCTTTTTTCTTCTTACTTTTCTTTCTATCCTCTCATGCTCTTTACTCTCATATTAAATTTAATGATCTATTGTTGATTAATTAACAGTCGAGTCTCATCTTCATTCACCACTTTGGGAAAATGAAAAAGATCTCATTAAGTTAACTGACGACGTTTGCGGCTTATTTGTTTATTTCGAATGTTTATGCAGGCGCCAGACTCTCAAATCGAATTCGCAGCAGTTTACCAATTTTCCCCAAGCTTTCAAAACAGATGCTGACCTTTTGGTAGATAAGATAAGAACTAAGATTTCAGATATTTCTAAGAAAACGTTAGAAGAGATTGCTAATAGTAACGAATGTAGAACTTTGTTTCCGTTTATTGGAAAATATCTATTGAATCATCAAGCAAACGAAAGAGATAGAACATTAACAGATGGTAAAGTAATTAGCATTTAAATTAATTAATCCTAATTATTTCCTTATATTTCGTAGAGTACTTTCGAAAATGCTCAACGATGCAACAGATAATCTCTTTAGCGCATCAGATCAATTGTGATGTTATTCAATATACGAATATCAAGTATATAGCCCATCAATTGGCTTTACTTTATGTAAATTAAATTATTTAAGCACTAATAATATTATTAATTAACCAATAAATTAATGCTTCTCTTTCTCCCTCCAGCAATCATTAACACCTTTTGAAACTGATAGTGAAATAAAGCCACTTAAACGTTTGTAGTTTATTGTCTTCTATCTTTTGTTTGGCTAGTTTTTTTTCCTTTTCGTTCCATATTCTTTCACTCTTCTTCTTCTTTCTCTTTTCATCCATTTATCTTTAAGAAGAACAATGTAAAATGTATTCTCACATACAACTTTTGTATATACTGTATATATATATATACAGTATGTATGTTCATATATCTTTACAATTATTTCCTCTGAGCGGATAAAGAAAAACAGATATAAAAGAGAAGTCTGCGTAAATTATAGTTTATTCACATGTAACATTGATTTAGCTTTATAAATGTACATTACGTTAGATAAAAAAAATATACACATTATCTCTTGTTCTTATCAAATAAGAGCAAGGCTTTCATTATTTCAAACTTCCTTTTCACTCTCTCTCTCTCTGTTTCAATTTATCTCTCCATTCTATCTACTTATCTCATTTGTTCAAGTGATAAAAGTAACATATTTATGCCGATTTGAAGTAGATTAATTGTATTTAAATAGGGAACATTGAAGAGAATTTCGAAGGGGTGAGAGAACAAATAGGAGATGAAGAGAATGTAGATCTCTCTGAGGAGTATATTACATGGTAGATATATTTGTACCAATAAGGATAAAGAAACGTTCCACGTCAAATACTAAATCTTGGTATCTTCCAAATAGGGTTCTAGAGATAACTAGTCGAATAGTCAAAAGAGTGCAGAAGATTTCGACGGAAAGCTCGATAAATTTCTATTCTCATCTGTCAAACTTTCGTAGAATGTTATCACCTAATTTAAAATAAAATTACATCCTATTTATCAAAGTATTCATGTTGTCGACTCTCGTCACACACACAGCCTTCGAATTGAAGTCAACAGAAGATGGCGGCACTGAAGAATGGGGAAAGTATAGAAAAATATTAAGACATAGTCAGCCAATTCATTTCATTATATACTCTTATATATGTATATATGTATATACAGTATCTCGTCTAGCTTTCTGTCTGTTTCTATGTATAACTTTATATATTCGTATATATAAATAATACAATGCTTTCATTTTTCAGGACAGAAAAATTTTATTTGTAAAAGATAAAACATTCGCTACAGATGCATAGCAAAGCAATAAAAAAGCGCCTATTAAAGCTCAAACAAACAGTATAATATAGTTAGACTAGTTGATACCGGTTTAAATTTTTCTTTGCATACATACATTAATTATACTAAGAGTATTCATAGGACTCTACAATACTAAAAGAACGCAAACAAAACAAAACTCAAAATATAGATGTAAAAAGCGTGTATAGAAATATATATATATATATATATTTATATATATTTATATACTTCATCGTAGCAAACGTTAAAAAAAGATATATGGAAAACATCAAAATTTGCATAATAGATAATAATTATAGGAGAAAGGCAAGCAACAGAACTGAGCTCTTCGAGATGAGCACCAAAAGCGTAAAAAAACCAGCTGAAAGCGAAATTTTTTTTCGTTTAAGTGTACAAATATAAATATGTATAAAAATGGAATATTTCATCTTTTTTCTTTTTTTTTTTTCCTTTTTTCACAATTTAGCGGCAGAAAAAAACCATAAATTTCTTTAATATTGCACGAAAAACAAATATTTTTTCCTTTTTCTTTTGTACAGAAAATTATTTTCAAGTTTTTACAACTAAATTCGTTGATAAATAAAAAGTTAAATGCTTAATAAAAACAATTAAAACGCGTTGACGGATTAAAAAGCTTTTTTAAAAGGTAAAATCTTAAGTTTGCCTATTTCTGAAATCGGGAAATTTTATTCGGTTTGCTGCGCTTCTCCAGCGTTATTCTCTTCTGAAGTAGTTTCGGCGGCTTTTGGTTCTTCCGCCGGTACAGCTTTAGTTTCTTCTACTTCAATTTTTGGCTCCTCTTTGGCTACTTCGGCCGGTTTTTCTTCAGTTTTTGGAGCTTCTACTTTTGGCTCTTCAGCAGCCTATTTTTATGGGAAAAAATAGAACTTGAACAATTAAACAGCTTAAAAAGGAATAGAAATTGGATCCACTTTGTTTACAATGGATTAAACTTATAAAAAAAAGGCTAAGCGGTGTTTTCGATATCTTATCTTACAAATCTTTTACTTCAAAGAAACAAACCTTTTCTTCGGTTTTAGTGGCGGCGGGAGTCGATTCTCCGTTCTCAGCCGCTGGTTTATCGCTTTCGTTTGGCTTAGGCTTTAAAGTGGACAGGAAAAAAGAAAACAATACATTAATAACAATGGAAATAGGAATGGTTAAGATCAAAGATAAGATCTACTAGACACACAAAACAAGCTAGCCAATGCTAGTGTAGTTATTTTAGTTACCTTGCCATTTCCATTCGTGGTAGCTTCACCATTTGCCGTGCCGTTCGCTTCGCCGTTTGCTTCGCCATTAGTTTCACCATTAGCTTCACCATTGGTTTCTCCATTAGCATCGCCGTTGGTGGCGCCGTTGGTTTCACCTTTTTCGTCCGTTGATTTCGACCTGTTCGGCCCTTGATACTTTTTAGCTTTTTTAACGTATTCCATATCAATAAGGGAATAACACATAAGCTTAATAGCCTCTTCAATATTTTCGGGTTCGGGCTCGAATTCAAGATCCTTCATCTATAAATGAGAGTAAACAGGTATTATAATCAATCAGAGGTCAAAAAGTTAAAAAAGTTGGCTCATGTCATTTTTCATTTTCAACAAAAAAACAAAGTATTAGTAATCAAATATATAAATCAACTTGTCCTCATCTATTGTCTTTCAAGTATAATATTTAATGTGAAACAGATATGATCGACCTTTTAACAAAATGTGCATTTCGTGTTTATCGAGCCTCGCCCAGATGAATTAATTACTCGGTTTACTATTTTAAGTATATACATGCTTACTGTTAAATGAAACAGCTATGAAAATACTGTAAATTAATACGAGGAATGTCTACGAAATTTAAGAATACAATAACAAATAAGCCGCTTACTTTCTGACTTTCCATTTTCCAAACTTTTCCAACTCGCGGTAAAACGTCGTTCTTTGTATTTTTGTTAAATAAACCCTTCGCTTTCAAAAGGAAAAGCGGAGAATTTGATGTTGGAACACTGTAACCTGATTCCATTCAAAAAGAAAAGAAAATTCGGGATTAAATACAAATAAAATGAAATTTGTTAAGGAATAAAGATAAAAATAGAATCGACAAAAAAATTGAAGAAAAGCATACCTTGGGTTTTGAATTCCTTCGAAATCACCTGAGAGACCTCGTTGAGGAACATTCCCTTTGAAGCAACGATGTGACGACTTCCAACTGCTGCATTTGAATTCAAAGCCTTGACAACTAGTTTGACCAAATCTCTAACGTCTACAACGTAAACGTAGATTTTCGGAACTCCAACGAAACTCTTTGATTTCAAGAGATGCTTGATGAACTGAAAAATTTAAAACGAACATTGATTAATGAGAGTATTAAAAGCGCCCTTTGAAAGGCTGTTCTGCTATAGCGCCCCCTAATGAATTTTGTCATCCGGAAATTGCTTTAAATAGCATTTTCCAGACTAAATAGTTCAATTAGTCTGTAGCCTCACTAAGCAGTCCAATATTAAGCTCATTCTTCATTATCTATAATTATTTGGCTTAATATCCAGGCTGCTTAATGTATTTAACGTAGGTGGAAGAATTATGCGTACGGGTTGTATCGCTAAAAAGCTATTCATTGTCTGACCGTTTGTAGGCTTATCAAATGTAAATTTCCTTATCTACCGCCTTTTCGGCAGGAGATGGGTTTACGTTAAGAATGTCTTATCGGTGTCTAAATGTAGGTAAAGTAAGAAAAGAACTAAAGAAAACATACTGTCACATTAGCATCTTCTCGACCAGCTTGATGTGGCAACAAGATAGGTCCAACAGAATATTGAGGATTTAAAATAGCGACTTGGACTTTATCGTCACTTTCATTCTCCTTGTCGAAATCTAGAGCAGCTCTCTCAACAGCCAAATTAACTTTATGATTTAAATTGCTAATTTTGTCCGCTTCGGCTTCGTCTTCTTCAGTGTAAACTTTTCCTTCGGTATCGTCGGGTAGAGATCCAGTAATTGTCGTTGAGGTTGATGTCATAACAACCCTCTAAAAGTAAATTTAAAAAAAACTTGTATAGATATACATTGTATAGATTTAAATGAATATGAATATATACTTAGTAAACAATAAAACAACAATAGAACAAAACAAAGAAATATAATATATTTTAAATAATTTTTAACCTCTCCTTCAGGCTACCATCGTGATATTATAGGAAACATAAAGCTTTAGAATACGTAATTATATACCTTTGTTGCGAAAATATAGAAAATTACTTTACCAATGTCAATTAATGAGTTGATAAGGAGAGTTCAATTAATAAAATTCATGCTCTTTATACATTTTTCCCTTACAATTATTAAAGTTATATTGTTACCAGTTATAAATGATTAATCATCTGATACTAATCGAGTATGGCGTATAAAAAAAAATCTAAACATTTTCATTTATTACTATTTAATAACGTCTGTGTTTTTTATTTAACTACGCTGTTATATATATCCTTAAGCTAATATATTTTGCAACAAAGCTTATATGTTAGAGTTATTCGACTCTTTGCTAAAGTTTGTATGGAAAAAACAATTAAGTGAATACATATATAAAAAAAAACCTATTCTCATCATTAATTGTTTTACTTGCATTAGCGACTATTTTTCGCTCCTATTTCTACTTATTTAATACCAATGCTATACAGTCTGATTTACGACCGTTTCGACATTTTATTAGCCCGTATTAAGAATTTAACTCCCTTTTAAATATGCCAAGTTAATTCAATGTAAAATACTGCTTACCTTAACCCGAGCATTTTTACAAGCAGTCATAAACTTGGTAGTAGATTCTGCAGCCTTTTTAGCTATGTCGACATCGCCGTTCTCTGCTACCCAAGTAGTAGATGCAGCCACGACATGCGACACATCTTTTAAGGCCTCCTCCCAACCATTCTCGGCTTCGTAATCAACCTTACAAAATTCCAAAGGAACCTCCGTCTCCTTAACGATACCCTTTAGTGGTTCGGTCTCATCTTCTTTCTCAGGATCTACCACCGCAACGCGAACCTTCAGATTATTTTCTTGAAGTTCACGGATTGCGTGGCTTCCTACAAATGAAGTTGCTCCGAGTACAAGAACTCCTGCAAAGTAAGAAAACCTGTATTGTTTTTATAAGCAAAAACGTATGCATAACAAAAATCTCTGCCCCGATTGCGGGCTATATAAACTAAATATAAATATTGAAAAAACCCGGATAATTATACAAACTTATTAGTTGCGCTACACACGGGAATAAACTTTGGACTTTTCTTCCCATTTATCTTTCTTTTTTTACGCACGCGCTAGTCAACAGTAACTTAATAGGATCTTTATTCGAGAGATAAGAGAAAGAGTTGGACATTTGAACTCAAAAACAAGAGAGGGTGAAGAAAGAGGGGGTAGTGATGGAAGAGTGTTGTCAAAAGAATAGAACGAACGACTGAGGGTAAAGAAAAAAAGACAAAAAGCAAACAAAAAGAGAATGAAAAATTAGTAAAAGCAAACAAAACTAAACAAAAGAAAAGAAACCCTTAAGATGTTAGCAACAGGTTGTAACTTATAATAAATTGAAGTAGGGACAGCTTGCGCTATGTATACTTCATCATGCTCAACAAATAAGCAAATTTTATGATGTATTCGCTAAGTTTATTTTGTATTGTAAGAGGCGATGAAAAACGCGTATGTTTATTCTTGTTTTATCGTTAAACCTATATAAAGTCGTCCATATTTTTAAATGATTCTATCAGCTGCGCTAAAAATTTAATCAATTTTTATTAGCTTACTTTCTAAGTATAACACTTCGATTATTAATGAATAAAAACTAGCAGAGCGAAAACGGCTAATCGCTTTTATTCCTGAAATTTAATTACGTACTAACAAAAAAAAAAAAAAAAGAGAAGAAACGGCTGTAAAATGTCTTAATTTATTATTCAAAGCCGGATATGAGGTTTTCTATTAAAAAAAGGAAAGAGTAGCGAAGGACGTGCTCAAGATCCAATATCTATTGGATAGTAAAAAAAGGACTTGTCGAGAGAGTGGTAAGATGAGGGTGTTAAATGAGGTAGTAAGAGGGAATATCCTATAACGAATTGACATTCGAGAAAAAGAAAAGATAATTTTCTTTATGTTTTCTTTGAAAAATTATCTAAACAATATTTCGTAAGGAATAACTAAAGAGATTAGATTCAAAAGAAAACACGAACTTATTCTAACCTTCTACCATAGTTAAAGTATAAAATCTCCAACTGCCATTCCCTCCTGCTTTCCTCCCTCTCTCTCACTCTCTTCAACTATTGCTACTGGTACTATATACATTTTGTACCATTATGTCTATCATCAGTTTATGTTCTCAATAGAATTTAAAGAATTTTTCTCCCTCCCTTTTATTCGAGGAAAACCGACGCGATAGCCATACTACTGAAAATTCTATTTTTAGCTCTTTGACTAATGCGTCGACCGCTGCGTTTTAGGCAGTTTTCTTTTTTTCCGTTGGTCTAAAAATATACAAAGTCGCCTATAATTAAAGGCTATATGCCGGTCACGTAGAATTTCTTTTCTTAAAATGAGTTGAGCCTATAATGATTAATTGAACATTCCTCGAAGATGATTAACGACTGAGTTTTCGACAGATAACCCTTATCTGAGGATAATCGTGTGAGTTGATCAATGCCAGATGGCAGCCTTTGTAACACCCAACACAAAGAAGCAGGTTATAAACGCTCGCAAAAAGTAAAAAATTAAGAAATCTGTGTAAATTACAATCCGTTTTCTTTAATTGGGCCATAAAAATGGTCGACATTCTTCCAGACGTTAACCCTCTGATGCCTGGTACCGACCAGACAGAGACGCTTATCCTCTAATTCGGTACCCGATTCCATTCAAGGTCGATATTAGCAACATTGAGGAATAAACGTACGTAGCCATACTACGCATTCTAGGGGTGAGTAGGTCAATGCGCAAGAGCGTCTAATATCAAGCAAATTTATTTATAGCTGCCAAGAGTCGGATTCTTAGAAGGCGCAATAAATTTAAGTGTATTTTGACTAGGAAAAGGGTTTGTAGTCATAAAATTAACCAAAAAAGGTGGGGTTGATAGCCCAAAGAAAAAATCTTATTTAAATTAAGTTTTATTCAAGTAGAATAACGTTACGGTCATAAATTAGGCGAGAGGTTTTTCAACTCAAAAAATTCCAAGAATGTAGACAGGTATACTTTTACATCACCCCAAAACATTTTCTTAAAGAGTAGCTTTTAGTTTTTCTACTATTTTTCGACAAGTATAAAAGTGAACATACTCAACAAATATATACAAAGTTCAAAGTTCCAATAGCTTAATCTTATGTACTTAACACTTTAATTAAATAAGAGAATAAAATGTCGTTTTTATTATTAAATAGATATTGAAAGAAAATACTAATTTAATAGTTAAACTTTATAAAAGAACAATAGAACACAATGTTCGAAATTCTTTTGTTATTCGTTTCGTTCTTTGTTCATTTTTTTAAATATTATTTTTAAATATTGTTATCTTCGTAATTTTTTTGGTGTGAATTTCTTAATATATTAAAAACATTTTATTAACGTAATACAATTGAATGAAAAATATTTCATGAATTAAAAAAATATCAATTATGCTATAAATATAAGATCTGTTTAGCGAATGAATAAATGTATATATTGTTTAGGATACTTCCAGATATGTAGCAAGCTTATTATACTATCACTCTTCCTTCTATATATATCACTTACTTAGTGAAAAACAATAAGATAAAGCGCCCAATCGGCAGTGATTCAACAAACATTCAATAAAAAACTAGGGAAAAAACGCTATATAATTAGGATGTCAAACATTTCAAGGGAATCGCAGCAACACGAGTTGGGTTGCATGCGTGCTTCCATTGAAAGGAACTGTTAATTAATTAAAATCGACTGACCCCTATGACACGGAAGATAGAGAGTGAAAGAGAGAGAGGATGGAAGTTGGGTGCGGTCCAATAAAAAAAATAAAAGGCTAATAATTGTATACATTATCGTTGATAATTTCGCGTACACTGAAGCAATTTTTTCATTATTACTATGGCATTTTTATTTAAGTTAAGGAAAACGTGTTGTTTGTCAGACGGCGTAGCGTTAGGAGGAAGGTTGTTTATCTATTTATCGGACTGCCACTGATAAAGTTCTCTTATCATAGTCTAGACGTTCTAAAAGTAGAGAATAAAAGGAATGATGAGGGTGAAAATTCCACGCTGTCAAAGTGGAACCTTCGAACCTGTTTTTGTGTATGGTAGGCGTATTTACGCTTCTTGTTTATAAAATAGCCGCAACAATTTAGGCGTCTGATACTCGTCAAGAAGTAGGAACGATAAAGCTTTGTGCTTTCCGGCAGTTTTTTCAAGTAATTGCCTAAAATGTTAAAAAAGGGGAAAAACTCTATTGACTGTTTCGCACATTTTTCCTTTCTTTACAAACAGACATTTCTTTGTCATTTTTTCCCCCACGCGTAACCGCGGAACTAGTAACGCTTAAGGCTGTATAAAAATAGTAAATACTAAGAGATATTCTAAACGGAAAACGACTTTAGACGACCGACCGCCAGACAAGACGATTACGTTGGAAAGAGGAAATAGTATTTTTTTTGTTTTCCTTTTCCGGTACTTGAAAGTTTAGCAATATTTTATAAAATGGATGAGTAACGAAAGATCTAACCGAAGGAAAAAAAACCAGGAAGGAGTTGACTTGAAAGGCGGTTGGTGGTATAAAAATAAGTGAATAATCATAATTTAATAAATTACACGTCAGAATGAAAAAGACTTTACGTAGATCGCTCCAGGGTATGCTCCGTTTAATGAATATGTCTATATTAATTTATCTGATACGAATCAAGGTCTTTATCATAACGTGAATATGCTGGTTAGAAACCTGTAATTATACGGTTTACACCGTTTTTTCTTATCAGCTCGGAACGCCATACGCATGCGGGAAGGGTAGAGTATTTTTAAGTTTCCGTCGGAAAACGCGCCGTGTTCGCAGATAAATATGGCGACTAAAGCTGTTAAAACACTAGTTAATTTTCCGTTTTATCGACGTTTTTCGGTTTATTTTACACAATAATTGGGAGGGGGGCATTTAAAGTACACCAATCTATGATTTGGGATATAACGGTTTGAAATACAAGCATAAAAGAAAATGGAGACAAAGCGGAAGCACGTGAAATGGGCAAAACGTTACCAGAGTGTGTTTGCTCTAACCGGGATTGATTTTTTCCTCTCTTACTCGACGATTATACGCTTCCAGAGGAACCGGTTAAAAAAGAATATTCTGGAACAAAGAGACGCCCGAAAGAGAAAAATCGATAGGCGACAACGTGTCGCCGTCCCGGCTGTTTTTAACCCTCCATTTCTCCTTAAAAAAGATTTAGATAAAGACGTCTTCTACGTTATGTAAGTCTGGTCAAGTCCAGTTCGTCAGTTCATATGACGTCATAATTCAGTCATGACGTCATCTTTCCGACCAAGCCGGTATAAAAGTACAGTTTGTACATTTAAGGCCACCATGGGAAGTATATAATTAGCTAATTTCCTACTTATATTGACTTATTTAGCTAGAGCAATTTTTTCATAGCTAACTAATATGACAAACCATAAAAAATGTTTGCGGTGAGGAGCAAAAAAGTGAGTCATATCGCGTTTAATCATCAACATTATTTATGCGTTCGACAAACATATAGAATATAACGTAACAATTAATAAGGAAAAAGAAGAAAAAACTAGTATAAATAATACATAACGTCTGCTAATTAGGCGGCTTTTTGAATATTACTCAAAATACGCGTTAAAACTGCTTGAAATTAGTTAAGCATTGCAGTATTTAATTTTAACTATCCTAAACTTAAAAGTTTGAGGCAAAAAGTCGAAAAAAACAACTATAAAACGAATAAAGAAACTTACGAGAAATTTCGTCCGCGCTCGCCATTGCGCCTTTATCCACCGAATGGAAGCTGAATAGCAACACGTGACCGAGTATATGTTAATGAGTATTGCCATCGCGTCGTCTCGATCATAGCGCCCTCTTACAAAATTTTCAAGTAACATTTAGGAAAAAAATATCTGTTTTTCAAAATCTTGCTACTTTTTTATTATTTATATATATTAGTATATATTCATATATATATATATTAGTATATATATATATATATATACTAATATATATACATTTATATATGTGTATATATTTTTAAAACGTGTACTAATCGCATACTTTAAATAATCAATATAAAAGTCAGTTTTAGTAGCATTTTTGTTTCTGTTCAAATTATTCAGCAAGAATCCTTTACAGCCCTTAAAATCACGTTTGCTTGATGTACAAGGTAGTTAGCGCTAATGAACACTTCATTCTTCAGCCTTTTAACAATGGAATAAATAAATATATATATATAATATTAATAAATAATGAAAGGATAATTATAAAACTAACTTTTTTTGTTTATCTCTAAAGAAATCTTTGAGGGTATGGCTAAATTTTTTCGAATATTTAACAAATTCCCGTTTCTTCAAATCAAGAGCCTAAGAAAAAGTAAATCGATTAGAATGAATATATTATATATATATATATAGTTTCTTTAATTAATGAATTATTAATATAAATGTTTGTAGCGTATAAATATTATATATTACGGATTGATGTCATTTTTTCTAGTTATTATAAGAGAATTTAATAGTACTTCTTTCTGATAAAGAGCTTTTTTTCCCCCTATATAACACGAAATATAGAAATGAATCATTATCCTAAATGAAGAAATTTTTTCCATTAATGTTTATCAATGATGGATAGAAAGTTTTTCCTGTTTTTTTAGACTATATAGCACACTCGCACATTTGTACGCAAATTTATATATATATATCTGCTACCAATATACTATGAACAGTTAGTGTGATTTAGTGCTAAATTGGTTTGGAATACACAGAGATGCAAAAAAACGAACAAGATAATTGAGAGAGATTGATAGAAATTTATGAAAAACCAACAAAAATAGTAGAGATTTATGTTTCCTTCTGTAATGCAATCACTCTAGAAAATAAGTTGAAAAAGTTAAATGTATTTATAGAAGATGAAGTAAGAGTAAAAACAATTAATCATTCATCTAATACATGATTCATTTAGTCATTAATTATAATATTTTATAATTTCAATAAAAGAGAATTGGGGAACGAAAATATCCTATGTCTATCAATCTCTGTTTAGTAATAGTTTTCCTTAACGAAAACAACTATTCAAAAGTTTTAATTAATTGTAGAAAAATCTCGTTGATTATTAATATAACTATAATTACAAGAAATAAAATAACATACATATTAATCATATCTCTTATAATTACGAATAATTAAGCAAACCTTTTCTTTATATTTAAATAAATTTTATAAAGTTGACAAGCTTAAAGGTATTTTTAGTATTTTTAAGATTACGGGTCTTTTTAATTACCAATTGTAAGAGTACATAATGTTCAAAGTCCATCAAAAAACAATATCATACGCAAAGTTACACCCTGTTCTATAGCATTACTCTTTGGAAACAATGTATAATTAACTTTCAGACCATTAATTGTGTATTCAATCTATATTGAAGTTCTTCTATATATAGTTTGGTCTGAATTATAGACTTATCTTCGATTGCTATCTAAATAGTGTGCGTGGTGAAAAAAAGGTTCGTGCTAAAGAATGTATGTTTAAACATAATTACTCTCTTTTGTTCTTCCTCTTGAATGAACGATAGTACGTCGTCAACGGATTTTAACAATATCCTTATCGCGCTTGCAATTTCCCTAAATCAAAAGTTCAAAGGTAAATATAAAAAAACAAGCATAAAAACAAAGAAAGTAAAAAAACAAGAAACAAAAAGATGTCTATGTATCGAAAATGTTGTAAAGATTTGTATTTACTTTATCGTTTCCAAAAACTTC